GATATGGACTTGACCACGAAAACTTAACCTTGTTCACTGATCCAATGAAATTAGGTCGAGGTCAGATGAAAACTGTCTGACAGGCACAAAGACCTTGCAAGGTATGCACATACTAAATATAGTTATCCTATTACTCCAAATAAGAGAGAAATTAACATTACAAACAATCTTAAGTTTTTTTTCAAGTAGTCACTGAACCATAATCAAAGTGCTTGTAAGCACTGAAGGGTAAGGATTTCTTAAATTTATCAGTGGAAGTAAAATTAAAATATTGCATTGTATTAAGCATTGGTTGTAATTGATTCAACTGTAATTCTGGACAAAGGAAGATAACTCCAATTTTTAAAGGTGACTACCAATGACATCATTTAGAACAGATATTAGATTCCTATACATTGCAGAAGTTATGTAATTTTCTTGACAAGTATAATATCATTTTGTAACTTGAATATCTAAGCATATATTTCATTAATAAATTTCTGGAAATGTTCCTGGATAGGATGTTTAGAATGTTATGATCAATGCACTATATTTTTTGTATCTAAAAAGTAGTGATAAACCTTGGAAGATTTAGATATCAAGTCAGTCCCATAGGGTTTTGATTGCATTTGATGCAATCTTTACCCAAAAAATGAGGTCAAGGACAATGCACATATGACAAACGGAAACTTCATAGCATACAGCATCTATATACAAAGTATGAAGCATCTAGGTCTTCCACCTTCTAAAATATAAAGCTTTAAAGTAGTTAGTAAACGCCACCGCCAGATCACTATCCCTATGTCGAGATTTTTGCGACAGAAGTCGCAGGCTCAACAAAAATCTTAATTGTGTACATTAGATTGACTTGCTTTCTCATTTATGTTCAACTTAAAGCTCCTATTTTTATCCCCTCCCATAGTATTTGTCTTGCGTGCAATGAAATTGCCAAACAGTGGCCTATAATTGCTGATATCCACTTCATTTGAACTCTGGTTGATAGTTGTCCTATTGGCAATCATAATACATCTTGCCTGCAAGACAGGGATTACAATCCAGCAGTGGCAACAGTGTAAACTATTTGTATAAAGCTTTATATTTCAGAACAAAGAAGACCAGGATGTTTTATACCTTGTATGCAGATACCTTATGTTATGAAGTTTCCGTCTGTCATGTGTCAATTGTCCTTGACCTCATTTTCACCGTTCAGTAACTGCTTGTTGCCAGTTGGATACATAAATTCTGATTAAGCTACTTGGATACAGTAATTTGATTAATGAAAATTTTACTTGTGGCCATCTTGATATTGATGCAAGGTGATTATGGAAGACCTTTTCTCTAATTCTATGGAAATTTATCCCTTTCCGAACCCATTGTATAAAAAAATTTAATCAACGTGTGGTTGCCGGTGATCTCAAAAGATCATTGGATGATTTTAAGGGTCATAACCTTTTTAGCTAACTTGATGAATCAAAATATGCTATCAGGTGTTAATGAAATTGACAACTTCGTGGAATGTGAAAGGCACTCGAAGGGGATTTTCGTTTAACAAAAAAAGAAAATTTATTTTTTAATCATTAGAGAAACAGATTCTTACATAGTTACTCGTGAATTATCGGATTTATCCAATCTCGATAGTTAAATTATAAATTTTAAAGTCCTCAACGAGGCTCGGACTTTAAAATTGATAATTTAACTATCTCGATTGGATAAATCCGATAATCCACTGGTATCAATGTAAGAATCTATATCTATCACTGATATAAAATAAGAGTACACACACTGCAAGTTCTAACCCTGCTTTACTTGTAATTGAATTTATGTTGAAAAGTCTGTTATATGAAGGTTCTAATACAAGTATCACATTAACTTAACATTATCAATGGTCCATGAAAATGGGGTCAAGGTCAGATGAACCATGCCAAACAGACATATACACCAATATAGTTAATCTATGGCTTATAATGCCTGGAAAACAGATCAAACTATATAAACTTAACATTGACCAATGAACCATAAAAATGATGTCTAGGTCATATGAACTCTACCAGAGCGACATATTCATCTTATACATATTCCATAGTCCATACACTAAATATGATTGACCTATTGCTTATAGTATCTGATAAACTGACAAAAACATGAAAACTTAATATTTACAAATGGACCATGATGAGGTGAAGGTCACATGAAACTTTCAATACAGACTTGTACACCTTACAATTATTCCATACACAAAAAACTTAATGCCCCCACCACTACGGCGGGGGCATAAATATAGTTACCTTATCAATCATAGTATCTGAGAAATAGACCAAACCACAAACTAAACATTGTATACTGAAACCATAAAAATAAGGTCAAGGTCAGATGAAACCTGCAAGTCAGACATGTACACCTTATAATCATTCCATACACCATCGAAAGACCCATAGAAACATCTGATACAAAAATTTATTTATATTTCAAATATTTGGATGACATATTGGCTCTCAATAATGACTTCTATATGTAGTATGTACACTAAAGAGATTTATCCTGCTGAACTCTTTAAGTAAAGCTAATACTAACAATCAACACTGGCCTTTCTTGACATCTATATCTTTAATTAAAGGGCAGCTGAATACCAAAATTTACGATAAAAGAGATGATTTTACATTTCCTTTTGTTAATTATCCATTTTCAGATGGTGACGTTCCCTTGTCACCATCTTATAGTGTTTTATTTCTGAAATATAAAAGCTTGATACAAATAGTTTAAGCTTTCCCTGCCATCTGTATGTTTCACATTTTGCAACTTGGTCACTTCCGAGACAAAATCAGCAATAAAATCAACAGATATATTGGTTATTTCCCCAACATCTTGTGGGATTTTTGTGTCATGTACTGGTATATTCAATCTGAATCCTTCCTTCTGCAATTCATAAAGGTTACTTCCACAGATTGCCACAATCAAAAGTAGCATGCATCATCATGATAATAATACCTCACTCTTAAATCGAAGTATAGGAAAAAGTTGTATGACAGATCTGTTACAAGTTATCATTGGCAAGCTACAGACCAGTTATGATGTCATTCTCTTTAGTAGTACATGTACTGGATAAACATGTGATGAAGTTCATTCAACATGTTCAAAATTTCTAAATATTGGCTAACAAGAAGTAGGTGTCTAACTTAAAAACTGTTATCACAGAGATATGTCTCGCCTTTTTGTAATTTTGATAATGCAAATGTTGAAATTAAAATAGCAATACTTTAACATGTAAGTTATGCAAATATTCAAAGTCGATGAACCATGACTGAAGGTACATGGCTAAACAATCTCCATGGAAAGAGATGTGCCAATGCTAATACAACTGCATACCAAATACCATTGACTTATTATAAGTCGTTCCCTTTAAACAAACCTAAACACAAACATCAACTTGTAAACTATGTAAAAGTTTCAAAGTCAATGAACCATGATCAGGGGTGGGGCTATATAATCTCCATGGAAACGATACTTGCAAATGGCAATAAATTTGCATACCAAATATCATTGACTTAACATTAGCAGTTCATCTTAAACTGATCAAATCACAAACTAATACATGTAAACTACATGTAAGCAAAAGTTTCAAAGTAAATAGACCATGACTGAGGGGCGGGCCAAATATTCTCCATGGAAATGAGATGTGCTAATGCTTATACAACTGAACACCAAATAACATTGGCCTACCACTAATGGTTCCCCTTGAACTGACCTAATCACAAACTAATACATGTTAACTTAACAAAATTTTCAAAGTCTATAGACCATGACTAAGGGGGCGGAGCCAAATAATCTCCATGGCAATGAGATATGCCAATGCTTATTCAACTGCATACCAAATATCATTGACCTACCACTAGTGGTTCCCCATAAATTGACCTAATCACAAACTAATACATGTAAACTATGAAAAGTTTCAAAGTCAATAGACCTTGACTGAGGGGGCGGGGCCAAATAATCTCCATGGTAATGAGATGTGCCAATGCTAATACAACTGCATACCAAATATCATTGACCTACCACTAGTGGTTCACCATGAACTAGACCTAATCACAAACTAATACATTGTTGATGCCGCCGCCGCCGACGCCTGAAACAGCATACCTATGTCTCGCTTTTTGACTCCGTCAAGACGAGACAACAACCAAAAGGATTATACATTACAATTCATCACAGTTGATGACCAAATATAAAGTCATTCTGTTCAGTAGAACTGAGAAAAGTGTTGATGAAAATACTTGTTGGAAGAACATACAAACAGAAGGAAAAATATTTACAACAGAGCACCTAGGGTGGGGTAAAATTAATTAAAATTAATATTTTATCATGAATTTTTTTATTCCAAATAAGCCTCTGCATCAGTAATGTTGAAATATTACCCTGGGGTAGTGTTCTTCAATGCAAAAATGTGGCACGATTAAATTCTTGCAGTGAGGTGTGCACTTTTGTTCAATTGATTGATTAGCGTTTAACATAACTTTAAGTACTATAGGTTATTTCAAGGCGGTTTGTTTTTATAGGAGGAAGCAGGAGTGCCTAGGAAGAATCACTGACCTTCTGTTGGGAAACTTACAATTCTAGTCAATTAAGATTGGAGTTAAAGATACATGCCAAGTGCCGGATTAGAACTCACAACCTCAGTGTTGACATGCTAGTGATACAGTAGTAGGACAACCTAAACAACTCTGCCACCAATGCCCCCTCATTTTATTCCAAAGTTGAAGGTTTTGCTGTGACTTTGATATGAACAACAGCAATAAAAGAGGTTCCTTTACCTTTTGTCAAATGTAATGAATTTTGTGTCCTGAATACACCATATATATTTCATTTCAATCAAGTTCCATTCTAATTTACCCTAAATTTTACAGGTCAATGAAAAAAAGTCTTTTCTACATAAATACATCATTTATGCAGGACTAAACAATTGATAAATATAAACACCAACGTATATGGGTTAATTTTCTGGTCTATAAATATGGAAGAATGAACTCTTAACAATAATATTTTAATATAAAAATACAACATACATATCAGTAGAACAGAAACAAAAATTGTGGTTAGTTGTTCAACCAAAATCTTATAGGCCTTAGGTATATAGATTGTCATTGTAAGATGTCCTTCTTTTCTTGTATTAAACAAAATAGTTCTAAATTCTATAAATGTACATTTCAAATCAACAAACATTTAACAGAATGTTAAATCAAAACATCATTGAGTAAAGTAACCAAAACCAGAAAAAAAAACAATCCTGGTAGTATTTATAATGGAAAAAATTCGTAAGGGTTCCGCGGAACCCAGTGTCTCGCCTACTTTTGCTGTTAATCACAGGCTCAACAAAAATGAGAAAAAAAATTAAAAAAAATATCTCTCTCTATACTATCTTTTGAATGTAAGTAGCTTCTGTCCAAGTTTGGTAAAAATCTAGGATAATTCATGAATCTAATAAATGTTTTAAAAACTTAAACTGCAGACTGTATGTAATGTTGACTGGAAGAAAAACTAAGTCCATTTATAAGTAAAATACGGAAAAAATGGAACAAAATTTTATCAAAATTTCCTTCTAGATACTAGCATTTGATCATAAACAAGCTTCTGTCCAAGTGTGGTACAAATCCAGGATAGTTTAAAAACTTTAACCACAGAGTGAATGTAATGTTAACTGGCAGAAAAACTAAGTCCATTTATAAGTAAAATACGGAAAAAATGGAATTTTTTTTTTACGAAATTTACTTCTGGATACTATCTAATGATCATAAACAAGCTTCTTTCCAAGTTTGGTAGAAATCCAGGATAGTTTAAGAACGTTATTAAAATTTGAAAAACTTTAACCACAGAGTGAATGTAATGTTTCCTGGCAGAAAAACTAAGTCCACTTATAAGTAAAATACGGAAAAAATGGATTTTTTTTTTTTACAAAATTTACTTTTGAATATAATCTTATGATCATAAACAAGCTTCTGTCCAAGTTTGGTAGAAATCCAGGATAGTTTAAGAAAGTTATTAAAATTTCAAAAACTTTAACCACAGAGTGAATATTTGTGGACGCCGCCGCCGCCGCCGCCGCCGACGACGACGCCGACGGAATGTAGGATCGCTATGTCTCGCTTTTTCGACAAAATTCGAAGGCTCGACAAAAAATCAGCAGTGACTTGGTTTAGATAGATTTCACTGACTTCAAACTAATAGTTTTAAAGTATACATGTAAAACTATTAAAGCACTTTCATACCTGCCAACATTTCAAAATGCCCATGGGGGTTTTTCGTGAAAGACAGCTCTTATAGACCTAAAAAACACTCGAGGGCTTTCAAATGTATTTTAATATTGTTTTTTTGCTTCTTCATACTTTTACAACCCTATAGTCATTGTAAAATTAATGGTTTTGTTTTTAATAGTGGACAAAACTGCTCTTTCAAATTTTCCTTTTGGAAGCTTTCATGGGGGAAATCCCCCACAAATAGTGACAGTTGGCAGGTATGCACTTTAAGTACTGTTATCTTTAATTGACTTTTTAAAAGACCTCTGACCATCAATTATAATAATGTGCTTTACTTTGCACAAGGAAAATGCAAATGAAACTTCAGGAGACTAAAATGGTATTATTACTAACATAACTATCATGACCAAACTGCCAAGTTCCATAAGTCTGTACACCTTCAAAATCTTAAATTAACATGCAACTTTGAAGGTTGACAGACTTGAATACAACAGTTACCACACACAAATTAACAAAACCTCTAATACACAAGAAATTTCTGCTTATTCTGTTTGAATCATCCAAACAACTGTGATGTTTCTCATTTCTCTGTTTATATGTCATTTTCACCCTAATAAGCAAATGTAATTATATGTACTGTACACATACACAAGTGATGGAAAAAATAGTGATATTCAAAACTTTTGCCAGATTTTGAAACGCAAACTATCAAATAATGTGATCTATACTGAATCTTAAGCAGAAGCAATTATATTATTTAAAAATAAATAAATTTTTTGATACAAGTCATTTTAAAACTGTTTTCTAGTGAAACACCATTATTTTTTTTTAAGTGTCCAGAATTAAGATTATGCAACTGGGGCAACTGGGGCAACTGGGACAACATTTGGTATTTCATTGTCTGGTATAACCTACAACAGAAACAAAATATGTATTAGTCACAACATTAGATTGGAAACATTTATAGAGTTACTTCCCCTGGTAACACAAGCATTTAAGCAGGTTTGCTTTTGTTTTGATTTGAAAACTTCATAATATATGGACTTCCCTTTCTCAGGTACAAAGTAATTTTGCTCTTTCACATTGAAAAAATAAAGCAATATAGAATAAAAGTAAAAGAGTAAACAAGAATATATAAACTTTTCAACAAAGTTAGAAAATTAAGACATCAATCATGATAAAGTTTACATTTTTCCTGATATGAAATGTTTTTATTTTATTTTTATTTCATTCTCACATTATGGAGGTTCTTTTTTTTAAGAAACTATTTTTTTAAAATATTATTCACTATTTTTAAAGATTTAATCGTAGATTTTCTGTTCATCAATACACCTAAATTACCTTATACTTACATTGTCTACAACATGTCTGTATACCATACCATTTTTATTGATGTAATATGTGGAAAGGCCATCAGTCCATCTACAAAAGACATGAGATTGGGTGTAATATATTAACATTATTTAAACATAAAAAAAAGTATCTTATGATTCTATATGAAGGTTTTGTTAATCCCTTTCCCTGGTTCAGAAGGAGCTGTGGAAAACTAGTGGACAGATAAACCAACAGACACACTAATAAATAGATTTAATACAAAACATATAAGTTGTGATTTGAAAAAAAATACTTGAACTCCACCACAAATTCAGCTACAATCATGTGTCTGTCCCAAGTCAGGAACCTCACCAGCCCCAAGTCAGGAACCTCACCAGCCCCAAGTCAGGAACCTCACCAGTGGTTGTCCCAAGTCAGGAACCTCACCAGTCCCAAGCCAGGAACCTCATACATGCTTGTTTTATGTAATATCTTAATGTTTCTTTGTTTTCTGAAGAATTTATTGATTATGGCAGATCTTTGATTGTTTTTGTTTAATTTATTCATGAGTTTTATGGACTTTAGATGATAAAGAGTTTGACATATTGTATAAAGACCTGTCTATTGTTGAAGTCTATATATTGTTCTCAAAATGTCTTTTAGGTTATCATTGTTGTATGTTGATGTATACCCACAGTTTGCATTTATTTACAATGATTACCAAACATATTCTGTTTCCCTAAGATGGGAGTTACTGAGCATCAAAATTTTACAAGGCAGGACAAATTTTTTTGTCAGACTTTTTTTTTTTATACCCTAGATTTTGCTTTTGAGTTGAAAGCGAAGTAGCTGAAAAATATGAGGCAAAAGTTTCTTATACATGCATCATTTTTAGAACATACATGTATTAGGCAAAAAGGAAGAGTATAGGCAACGATTCGAAAATGTGTCACATGTTATATCTTACCAATATTAAGCTTTATCAAATATCAATAGCCTTTGATTTGTAAGTTTAGACATAACCTTGTGACAGCTGGATGCATGGATGGAGACAGACAGATGTAAACCAGTATAGCCTCTCCTTTTGAACAGGGATATCCTAACTCATAACATCATTCTTCAACTTGCAGACCTTCCCACAGCTGAGTAATGGCAATAAAGTGCTATTCCCCTGAGTTATTTCAATGTAAATCGATCCCAATTCAGAAATCTTTTTTTCCATATTTTTTGGCCTTACACAACTATTTCATGTTTTGATAATAATAATCATTATGTAATGATTCTAAGCTGGTGGTAATATGAAAAAAATGGGGTTAACATCAATGAGACAGCAACCTAAGAAAACAAATAACTTAAAGACATCTAAAGAACAATAAATACAACAATAGATAGGTGCAAATAGTATTTGTCAAGTTATAAATTGCTCTGATCAAATTTCAGATCAAAGAATAGAAAAAGATTTTCTAGAAATGAAAGAAAACTTGGTCTACAGAAGTTGATATTATTTTTGGGAGACTATTTATATCATGCTCTGATCTTATAATTTTCCTAAACCAATAAATAGATCACTTTGAAAGTTTCAAATTTTATTTTAATTGAAGGCCCTGCACACCAAGGCCTCTGAGGTACGTTAATAAACCAATACATTTAACAAATCAACATAGCATATATAGTCTGGAAACTTGAAAAAACAGGTGATAAAATATGCAACAATATTATCCAGTTTATCTCCCCCTGAATTTTCCAAATTAGTGCAAAAGTTACCACCCTTTAAAAATGACAGTCTTTATTTTGAGAATAAATTTATAAATTGTGTGTACTCCTGCAATGTATCATTAAAAAAATTGTACATTTTCAGAAATTGTATGTCTATCATGAACTGATTTATTCTTGTACAGAATTAATAAATCAAGTTTTAATTCTCTCAGAATAAAATCTGTTTCCTCTTATACCTATTTTGTCACTAAAACTATAAAAGTTTAATAATGCAAGTCACAATACAAAAATAAATGGATATCCTATCTTATTTCCCAGGTTTACATGAACACAAAATCTCCAAAATCATTGGAAAAAAATATCCAGACCGTTGCTGGAAATGGAACTGTATGACTTACTGTGAATCCTTTTCCACATTTTCCCTGTATTTTCCTGGATAGTAATTCCAAAACTTTAAAGATGCTGTGTTGGATAACCCAGCAACCCTCCATCTTACTTTCACTGCTCCATCCTCGGGGTGAACTGTTATTTTAAGAATTTGTACAGTGATTTGAGTGTACTTGAAATATGCCAATATCCTGATCACAGATAGATTTAAAGAATACATGCCAATGCCACTGAAAGAAAAAATATTATCATATATATATAAATATAAAAATTGCTGTTTTTAACCAACACAATCATAGGTTTGAACGTTGTTTTCAATTTAGACTTGTTTATATATATATATATTGGTCTTTTGGAAAATGTTGTTTGTGCTGTATTTAGACCCCTCTACCAAGAAATTTGTTTTGCATGCACACGTATAAAAACTATAACACAATTTTCCATACGTTTCGCCCATTATGGCCTTCTTCATTGGAATAAATTACAACATTGAAACAACAATTACATCGCTTGGATACATTACGTTATAATTACTACTATGAAATTCATTTGCCGAGTTTTTTCTCTATAAATATTTTCACTATCGTTCATACATTGTGTTGAGTCCATCAGGCTCTAAAGTTTTTAATTTTTTTATCCACAAGGCTTCTTTAGTTTTTCTATAAATTTCTGTTCCAAATACTCTTTCTATTGCGGTGACTTTTAAATTTTTCATTGAATGATTATGTTGAATGAAGTGGTTTGCTACTGGATTGTCTGTTTTGTGTGTTCTAACTTTTGAAAAGTTTAATAGCATCCGTTGGTATAGTGTATCACCTGTTTGTCCTACATATATAAGTTTTTCTAATTTTGTACAGTTAATTGCATATACTATGCCCACAGTTTTACACTTTATTTGTCCCTGAATGGTATATTCATTTCCGGTGTTATCACGAAATACCTTGGTCTCATTAATGTGTGAGCATAATGCACAATTTTTCCTGCATGGTCCACAGCCTTTAGTTTGTTTATCACAAAATATGGCTGTAAATTACGATCCGCATATCGTAGCATTCAAACGTGACAACAACATAAAAGACATCTTAGTGCACAAGAAGCACAATTTATTATTTTATAAACAAACTAATGCATAATGGCCGAAATGTATGGAAAATTGTGTTATAGTTTTTATTATATATATAAATATATATGAACTTTTTTAGCCTGCAGCTTATGACACAATATATTTACTTTAATAGACAAAAGGCTGTTATTTTTCTCGTTTTAATTGTTTTACATTTGTCATTTGGAAGGCCTTTCATAGCTTACTATGTGGTTTGAGTTTGGCTCATTGTTGAAGGCCATACAGTGACCTATAGTTTTTATCCTCTACTTCATTTGGTCTCTGGTGAAGAGTTGTCTCATTGGCAATTATACCACATCTTCTTATTTTCATAAACATAAAATTTGGGTTTGTATTTTCTCAAACTACAAGCTTTAAGGAGTTTGCATCAGTCATATGGCTTCTAATTTCTAAATTAGTTACCCTGACTCAATAATTACAATGATTCTGGCATTAAACAGAATTTAAAAGAGAATCACGACCATAGAAGATTTCAGGAATATCTGATCCTGAGGTGGGGATAGGGATATAAACAAGGACCATCTTCCATTTTCCATAACACCTAAGTCAAGTTTAATAGCAGTTGGGGTTATCAACAATGATTCCATTTTGATTACAACTTTAACCTTCCATATTTGTACCTATGTGTCCTTTTTTGCAGGATTTTTATTAGTTTTGCTATTAAATTGTCTGCCAGATTTTCCATTTTGAGTAATGCATGTTATGATTGGGACATAAATCATCAACAAAAATTCCTAATAGCCGAATCCTTTACCTTATTTTTGAAATGAAAATGATCTTAAGACTGCTTTGCTAAAAACCATTAATGGAAGGAGAGAAATATCATTGTTTAAATATTTGGAGAAGTTTGGTGCTGTTGGTAAATTTTTGATAGATCCTGTTTACTTTATAATATTTATTGAAATAAGTTCACCAATACCAATAATGATCAATTGATTTATAGAGTTTACTATCATTCAGACTTCACCCCAGGATCTTAATACACCATCTTACTATATTTTTTATTACAATGCCATCTGAATAGATTTTATAATAGAATATATTATAATAATGGTGCTATAATCTTTTGGAAACAGCTATTTCAAATTCCATGGTGCTGTTCGAAAACACTGGGGAGAACACTGTCAATTTCAAACTCCACAGTAATTCTGTTTACCGGTAATGTTCATACCTTCTGTAGATCAGTGAGAAGTCTATATCTATTTAGATTCTTTCTATTTGAATTGCCTGAACAATAAGGTGTTTTTTCGGATATATCATAGAGTACCTAGTATCCTAAGTTTGTATGCTGACATTAAATATCTTGGTGTTTATTATGGAAATGTATAGCGAATTTTGATCAAGATGCCTTAAACATGCAAGTATTGAAGGGTGAAGGTTGGCGCCTGTTAAAACTTTTAAACCCGCTGCATTTTTATGCACCTGTCCTAAGTCAGGAGCCTGTTCAGTGGTTGTCGTTTGTTGGTGTGGTTCATAAGTGTTTCTCGTTTTTTATATAGATTAGACCCTTGGTTTTCCTGTTTGATATGTTTTATATTAGTCATTTTGGGCCCTTTATAGCTTGCTCCTTGTTGAAGGGCGTACTTTGACCTATAATTGTTAACTTTTTATACATTGTGACTTGGATGGAGAGTTGTCTCATTGGCACTCATACCACATCATACACAGAATTCCACTCAAGGGGCTGTCTTGAACTTGCAGTGAGGTCAGATTTTGCTCCAGGACTATGTTTAAGGGCATACGATACAGTTTTGATCCCATAATGAAATTTTAATGAAAATTTGCATATAGGCTATTTTTTACCTGATTTAATCAAATATGTAATAAAAAATATAACTTCATGTGCTACTTTTTGAGTAAATTGAGGTCGAAATTTCAGATATTTGCTCAAAATTCGGATTTATGGACATATTTTTCCTTTCGACAGAAATTCATAACTTTTCTGTTTTAAAAGATAAACACAAGCTGTTTTTTGTTAAATTATTTGTAAATTCTGTTTTATATAAATGTCCTATAAATTTGTGTATTTTATTTTTACTAATAACTCATATTTATCAAATGTTCATGAATGTAGAAAAAAACCGTCATTATTTGCTGTATATTTATCAAATTTAAAGAAATTGCATTATTGACTTTTTCATGAAAATTGGTACACATAATCTTCATACAATATCAAACCAAATGTCATTTTAAAAAAGAGGGGTCTATGAACTCGTTTTCAAGATAAATCAGTTTGAATGATAACAAACAGTCGAAAACTGCATCTTTTCCCGATAAGTCGCAGTTTGACGTCGTGAAAATAACAATTTACGTTAGCAACGTCATTACCTCCCCTGTAACTGTATCGTATGCCCTTAAGGCATCTCTGCTCCTTTGCTTTTAGTTTTTCTTGTGTGTGTAGTGATTTTAATTTTGTGTATTGAATTGATTCACCATATCCTTTCTTTTCCATTCATTGAAAATAATAGTGATTTACTGAGTGCCTTCTTTAATACTACTTACGAGGTTTTTCTATTCCATATATTGTTCACAAATACAATTTTCGGGTCATATATTGAATAGTCCACTACCTTTTTAAAAAAATTTGGAAGCTGAAATAGAAGAAAATTTTAAATTACGGCCAACTACATACAATTGCAATGTCATGAATGTAAAACTATTATATACATGTAATTATATAGTATAAAATTATTGTCTATGACATACCATATGAAATAACTCTGAGGTGGATTTAAGGGGGAGGGGGGGGGGGGGGGGGGGGGGCAAGTGGTCAGAGAACCCTTATGGTTCTACACAAATGGATATTGCATAGATTTTTTACCATTCCAACTCCTAACGTTACCTTGTTCTGGCCCCCTGTTTAAAAATCCTGCATCTGCATCTGTAAACTAATGTTCTATGTCAAATTACTGTCAACTATGTCATGTATGACATGTAGTACAATGCACATTTTGCATGTAAGATGAAATACATGTATGTAATACTATGAAAGTCTTAATTCAACTTAAATTGATGAATCCACACTAAGCATATTTTTTTCAAGCAAAAAAAAAAAAAAAGCAATAATTTCTGTCTATAATATTCAAATCAGAATAAATGAAGAATTATTTGTGCATTTGCTGTTTGCTTTGAACAATGAATGATAGCTTATAAAGTTTATTATTATTCAAAAATGAAAATCTTTAGCAGAGTTCTTTTTTGCTTTAAACCATTTTAAAGAACTGTTCTCTTGGAAAGCCATAACCATTGACCACTACATACATGTACAACCCCAGAATTGATATTTTCAAAGGAGATTATGGATTGCAGTGGGCAATGATGATACCATCATGGAAGATTTGAGCGTGTTATAAAGAAAATAAACAGGTTGATCACTGGAAACACAGCATTCTTTTTTTTTGGCCTGATCATTGTGAATATGTACCTTTAAGTAGTTTATTTTTGCCGAGTTGGAATTTAACAATTTCAAAGGCCAAACCTGTCAGGATGCTTTCATGTTTTTCTTGTCAATGATTCTGAATTTCTTTAAACAAGTTAAAAATAAAATTTAAGCCAGTGGATATCTTAGCAATTGTATCTTTATTGCAAAATTTCAACAACAAAAAAGAAATCTTGCAAAAATTGCCAACTTTACAGTATAAGAGAATTAAAGCTGTGAACTGTCATTAAAATATCAACAGTGGTTTCTGAGAAATGGACCTAAATTGGGACATATGTACATATTTGTACATTCTATATGTATACATAAAATGGTACCCAGTGACTAATGGACACAGACATGTTTATTAACGACAATATAACTTGTAAAATAATTTGCATATCTACAAAAACTTTTAAAATGTAATTAGTCCATTAATATCATTTTCCTTGATTTTCACTTCTGTAGACTGTCTGACCATGTTGTGAAATCAACTTTAACCTATGTAAAATCTTTTGATTTTACTGTGATATATTCATACTGGGGTTCCAAGAAAGTTGAAACTGAACAAAAACAAAAATGTTTGGTTTGAGAATCATAAGGATTAAACACATTTTTTTCTAGAGGTTATTGATGTGTAAACTGGGCCACTGACTCACAAACTTTATATAAAAGTCCAACAGACTTTTATTTAGTTTGTGAGTTAATCCACCCAGTTTACACATCACTTACCTCTAGAAAAATGTGTTCCATCCTTTAGTAATATTTGTACATACTGTCTCTGCCAATCTTTCTTTAACAGCCTCCAACTGTTCCATGGAAGGTTTTCCAAAACTTTTGTCATCAGGGGTTTTCAAATCTGTTTTGTCTGGTGATGAAGGTATGGGTTGACTGCTGTACCATGATATGCTGCTTTTCAAAAATTCTAATTCTTCTTGAGGTAGATTTATACTCTCTAAGGTTGAACTTATTTCTCTTGAAATGTCTTTCTGTAGAAATTCTAATGATTTACTCGAATTTGAACAAATATTTAAAAACTCAGAACTGGCATGATCATTGTTTTGGCCATTTTCATATGTAACTTCAAGACTCTGTTTCAATCTTGGAAGAATACACAACGTTGATAAATCTGAATTTATTATGAGTAAATCTTTTCTCCAGTCAAATTGGTTTTGTTCTTTTTCATGAACAGAATGTTTCTTTTTGTCACATGACGTCACATTGTCGCTGCACCAGAAAAATAAAGCAACACTGTCGGAAGAGTTTTGATTTTTATTGTTTACTTTCACTTGTTTTTGACTGGGATTAAATATCACAGGTAAATATGGCACCTGTAAAAATAAAGAAGTTAACAGTCATGACAGTAAGAGTTTTCTATTCATAGATAAAACAAAATGAATTTTTACTTTTACTACAGTCTATTAAATAGCCCATATATATTAGAGAAAATGATGCTATTAACAGGTATGATTTATAACAGAAATAATTATTGCGAAGGAAATAAAACCTTTCCCAAGAACATGAAGAATCAGTGTGTGTTTACCTGGCCTTTAATTTTTTTGCAAATTGAACTGTCCTATTGAATAAATACAACAGCTTTTGTTCTCTGAGGAGTTCATTCAAGGGAACTTAAAATTTTTTCTTGAAAAAAAACCATTGATTAACTTTGCTGTACAACAAAAAATAAACTTCTAGTCATGAAAGTACATGTACATTTCAGGGATGATTCTACTATATAATTAAAATCGGCCGGCCCCTAAAAAATTTATGCGAACATAAATTCTTAATTCAGGAAAAAAAAATAATAAAAATCCATATTTCCAGAAATGTTTCCATCACCGATTTGGGCAAGTATAATTTTTCATAGTTTTGTCATTAAAGCGTTTTAAAACCTGGATAGGAATGCTGTCACCGATCGCATTTTATCAACAACGAATCAATTATGTCAACATGTGGTAAACGATTTAAGCAGCAGAATCAGACCCCTCATATACAATTGGCGAAAATACAATGGGAGTATTTGATCTTGTAAAAGTAATCCAAATAATTATGACATTTTGAAAGGCCAATTTTAAATTTTTTTGCTGTGACACCTTCTTACATCAGCAAAAAAATTAAATAGCCTTTCAAGACGTCATAACTAATTGGACTATTGTTAAAGCAGATCGCCTAGCAGGTCAATAAAAAAGATGCTTTTTGTCAAAATGGGTCTCGTAAAAGCAGACCTCGGCAGAGAGCAAAATTGAAATTTGGATACTAGTATAACATTGATGAGTTTAATGGGCATATGATGGAAACTTGTTTTATAAAAAAAAATATTATATTTTGTCTGGCTCTATTTCCTCAAACAAAAGTCTGACTGTCACAGCGTTTTTGAAAATACATATTGATAGATCATTCATGAATTAAGATGTCAACACATTATGGAACTGTTTCTAAAGTTGTGAAGATGATCCAAACAATATTATAATACAATGGTTCAATGCTTAAATTTCCTGTTTCTCAGAGTTACACCTAAATTAAAACTGGGACATTAGTATAAGAGTCCCAGAGTAAAACTATGGCAACCTTCTACATATAAAACAGCAAGCAAAAATCACAAAAAATATCTTATCAATTAAGTACTAAAACTTTTGTAATTGCTTTTCTGAATTCAACAGTTGGCCATTTCAATTTGAAATCCATTTCAATCGAGGTAAATTTATAAAGATGACCTGTTGTTGAAAAAATTACCCAATGGATGATTTTTTTCAGCTGTATATCTTTACTAGCTGTTATATACATGTATGTAAAAGGTTACCATAGCTATAAAATGCAAGTCTACAAAAATTAGTGCATCATGTGCAATGATTTTCATGTCACAATTTCCCTGGTCTCAATCCACTTAATGTCAAGCTATATATCATAATCAATAGCCTGTCCAGGATTATTCTAAATGTTACAACTTCATACAGCAGTGTACAGGTAAAACTTAATACATTTTCCGTTTTTACAGGAAAATAATGTTATTTCGTCTAAGATTTTACATGTATGCATAAAAAATTCCCAATTTGGATGAAAATTCCCAAATTGATTGGTCAAAGGACCCATTTGAAAACAACTGGAATCATCCCTGCTCTTTTTTGTACTTCATCTGTGAAGATTACAATTACAGTCGGTACATATGAACATTTACTTAAAGAAATCAGGTTTACAAATATTAAAAATTAAAAGACTAGAAGTATGGTTGTAGAAATCTTCAAAATATTACATAAACAATGTCTATTATATTTTCATGACATTGCATCACTTAATAAATTGCTTCGCTGAGCGCAGCTGGATACGATCACAGATGTCCAACCCTGAAAAGTTGGGGCCAAAATGGACACAATATCCACACTTGATACAGGTCTGAATTTGGATTGTAATTAAATTTTTGACACATAATAGGTTTCTGACAGAGAATAACTGTAGTCAAAGAACTTCAAATTGGTTATATGATTTATATATTTTGCTTTTGTGTAAAACACTATGTAAATTGACCCCCCCCCCCCCCCCCCCCAAAAAAAAATTTACCCCGTTTTTTGGGGTTTGTGCAATACACTATGCTGTTGAATATTAACCCCCCAAAAAAAATATTTGAAGAAATTTTCTTTTAATTTCTGAAATCTGAAATGAGAAAAAATTGTCCCCTCCCAATTTTTTTCACCTCCCCCCTTTCCCTAATTCCAAAAAATAATTCTTTCCTTCAAGTTATGGTAAGTATCCCAGACAATCATCATTTCTTAATACATAATTTACAAGCAGTGTAAAGGAGGTATTCAAACATTGTTATTTTTAATTGATTTGGATTACCTCCCTTACACTGCTTTTAAATTGTCTCAATTGTCCTTTAACCAGAAAAACCCTTGTTTTTCCCATTTTTCTGCCCCTAATTCCTAAATGGTTGGGGCCATAACCCCTCAAAGTCAATCCTAACCATCCCTTTGTAGTATGGAAACTTGTGGTATAATTTCAGAGAGATTCATACACTTTAACACAAGTTATTGTCTGGAAACTACAAAAATGCTTATTTGGGCCCCTTTTTTGGCCCCTAATTCCTAAACAGTTGGGACCATAACCCCCAAAATCAATCCCAAACTTCCTTTAGTGGTTATAAACCTTGTGTTAAAATTTTATTGATTTCTATTTACTTATACTAAAGTTATTATCCGGAAACCATCTGTCTTCGGACGACGCTGACGACAACGTGATACCAATATACGACCAAATTTTTTTTTAATTTTTGCGGTCGTATAAAAATACTTATTACTCTTTGAGAAAACATTGTAGAAATTCTGCAGGTGAGAATAACCAGTTTTCGCTTACACTCTGACATTCTCAATTACAAGTTTGATTAAATACTGGACTGTAAGTGCATACTGATGTGGCTCTTGCAGATCTTAGATTATTGTATTTTAAATTAATTATATGCTTTTTAGATGGTGCTTTATTGTTTTACAGTGTGCTGCTTATATCTTAATTAATTTATATTGCATGTGCTAATCTTTAAACAGTGATCTGGAAGGATTTTTTCTCTATGGGCCCAGGGCCCCCAAAAAATAAATTCAATGGGCCAATTTTAGAATTAATGGGCCATGTTGTCAAATGAGTGGGCCATTCGTTAACAATAAAAAAAAAATAAAAAAAGTGTATATTTCACTGTACTTAATACAAGTATGGTTCTAATTAATATCATGGAAATTGTTCCTGTGATTTTGTTATTTCAATTTCAATGAATATACAATAACTTCTTCCCAACCCGGGCAATATTTACGATAACCTTTATTAACAATATGTTAAAACTGGTACTGTTCCCTTGTTCATGTTCATGTTTTTTTTACATTAAATTTGGGTCTTCATCGATACCATACTTATTCCAGACGTTCCGTATTAGAGGACGTTTCTGGCATTTCCTCTGCACTTGTATTATTATTACTTCATCACGATGACAAGAATAACAGTAGAGAGCAACGTTAATTGATAAGACACAACAACAATTCGCTGAAGGCATGTTTAATGTCAAAACGAGCCAAAGACCAAAAAATTGACAAGGACAGTTAAGCCTCTTTTATGGAGACAAATACTATGCTATTCATAAAAAGGCTTTTGGATTTTTCAATCGAAATAATAGCAAGCTTACTTAAAAGATTATAATTAGAGAAGAATTCTCGACTGTACTAGCCAATTTTCACAAATTTAAAGTTGTTTATAAAAAATTATATCATGAATGATGGTTAATTACGTTTTTTGGGTAATCAGTCATACCGCATGTTGCTATTATTACCATAGGAAAACACCCAAAACGTCCCAAAAATATATAGGTGCTCCTATCATTGAAGTTGTGTACTCACACATGGCGGCACGAAATACGATCGGAAATCCATTTGACGATATCTCAACGTTTCAAAACTAAGTGAAAAATATCATGCGCCACGCGGGCGCTTACATTTGTCACTCTATGCGCCATTTCTGGTCGATAAGCGCAATTGGCGCAAGGCGCACGTCCTTCCCGATCACTGTTTAAAGTCAGTCAGGGGTAATACTAATACAAGTGTTTTTTACTTAATTGTACAGGTAAATTATTTTGGAGGTAGTTATTTAGACTGTTGGTTTTCCTGTTTGAATTGTTTTACACTAGTCATTTTGGGCCCTTTATAGCTTGCTGTTTGGTGTGAGCCAAGGCTCCGTGTAGAAGGCCGTACTTTGACCTATAATTGTTTACTTTTTACAGAGACTTGGATGGAGAGTTGTCTCATTGGCACTCATACCACATCTTCTTATTTCTATTATATCCCTTAAATTTTCAGATTATTCTTTACTTAAACATGTTAAATAAGTTAAAGAGTCATATTTTCTTCTTTAGTTTAATTTTTCTTGAATACAGTGCTGTTATACATGTAATAGAGTGTTTAATTGTCAGTCATTTATTTTAATTTTGAAATAAGGACAAGTAGTATGATTGAGACAACAGAGTCCAAAATTACATGGATTTATGCAATTATAGGTCATTGTAGGGCCTTCAAAAATGAGGAAACCCATAAGGCCACCCATAACAAATTCTTTGTTTGATATTGCCTACACATGCGGCGATGATGCCTGGTAGGGTTAGGTCATTTTGTAGGTAGGAAGGTAGGGATTTTTTTTTTGGCCAAAAACATGTACATGTAGCTGGTTAATGGTTCTATGCATGCTTGCAACCCTATAAATGTTATTGTATATTTTCTAAATTCTTATTCATGATTATTTTATTTGGAATATAAACGTATATATTGCATCATTGAAATAATTAGATATAATTTATTTCTGATTGAATAAAAGTAATCAATGACCCTTTCAAGTTAATAATTTAAACCGATAATTGAGTTTTAAACATATCCTTGAATTTAAAAAAACAAAACACAACATTCGCTATTTTAAATGTTCATCATCTTCTATCAGTTTAATAAAATTATGAAAATCACTTAAATGACTTAAATGCATGTTTCTATACCATTTATTTGAAAAAATTAATTGTCAAATTTCTTTGACACTTTTTTTTCTGGTCTCTTCTTGACACTAAATTAGTCTTCTTGTTACTAATTCGTGAGACCTCTTTGGCTAGTCGAAATAATTATGACGTCTTGAAAGGCTATTCAGTGTTCTCCCCAGGATTTTTGGATAGCACCAGGGTAACACGTGTGGACGGCTTGGTGAAATGATTCGTACAATCAGTCTTGAAGCGTTGCATCACTTAGCTATATTTCTGGTTAGTTTTTATGTCATTACCTTTTTGTATTTTGTTATGTTTTAATACTGTAATACTGTGTTATGTAGACATTGAGTCAGAAATTATTGGTAAAAAAGAAGTAAATCAATAAACAGTTTGTATACTTTAATATCATTTAAAGATAAATAAAACCCGATTCATTACAAAATATTCATTTAAATAATCAACCAAATTTTCCAAGAAAAGGGGGCCCGCCTTACAATTTACGATTTTTTATATGAAAATTTTAGCACTGCAGACCAAAATTATACCATCGCTCTAAGACCGATGAACCACGCTAAAAAATTATACCACCGCGGGTCCGCAGTCCTTAAAGGGCCTGGGGAGAACACTGGACCGTTATTTTTAATTTTTGCCTTCATACGTCTCTTTAATAGACTTTATAAAATTTTAACAACCTGCAGGGACCAATGAGAATAGTAGTGACATGACTCTGGTTGCAAACAAGAATAATGCTGAAATGACCTGGATCACATGTTACAGGAACATCTATGATTATAGTTGATTGCTTGATGTAAAGCAGCAAATATTACAGTACAGACTAATAGTTGAAAAGAAGTTATCCATATCATTCTTGAAACAAAATCCCTTAACTTGCCTCTGAATGACTGACAAGTGACTGTGCAGTTCTGGTAGTTTGAAAAGTGGTCTTCAGATTTGTTCTTAATATATGACAGCCTAATCTCTGAAACATTAGGGCCATGGCAGCAGTCGTAAGTTTGTACACTTCACATGTCCTTCACCAGAAACCGGAACGAGTGCTATGAATAAAGGAACGAATATTTAAACAACCTTTTCAACGAAAATATATCTCATTTCACATTTCAATCACGCTGATCAACATTTATTATCAATGGTATATTTTTGGTCGTCCAATAAACACTTATATTAGAATGTGCTTTTGTAAAATGACGATTTAACCGTCTTTTAATCATACCGGAAGTGCATCAAGTGACAACAAGGCAAAATGACAACACAACCAGCAGGATAAAATCAAACATTTCCATCAAAAGAGAGGTTATCGGCAGACGAATCAAATCCAGCATTGTATATTTTGTCCAAACATGAAGTGCCAAAAAGTTGTTATAGTACTGTCTTTCGTTATTGTGATTTTTGTACTGGAAGATGGTATGGTTAAAGCAATGTCTCTGTCTGAAAAAAGAGAGTTAAAGTAAGTTTAATGGCCTCAGATCAAATTTGTTTTCAAAGTGCTCTCTTTTTAAAGTAAAATGAATAGAACAAAAAAATTTCACCTGTCAAATTTTCCAACTTACCAGAAGCTTGTAGTGGTACAAGAAACATGATTGTGTGGTTCAGAAAACATATTTACACTTGTATGCAGATTTGCTGTCCATTACTTGGAGTCGAACAAGTTTCCACAAAATTTTGCGTCATGTCATAAATGAAATGTGATTGTTGCATGACGCTAGAAGGTTATAAGGAGAAAATTCAGTTAAATACCCAAAAGTGTAAATAGGTCTACACAACTTATCGCTGTTTGTCCGCCATTAGTTCTTAAAAGTTCCTGTAAAATTTTGATGTCTTAAGAGAAAATATCAAATGCAACAATGCAAAAGTTATTGTTGTACAAAAACGTTGTATGACATCAATAGTTCAAGTGTTGCAAAGTCGTGGATCAAGTGTCACAGATTCCGCAATAGATACAGTACACGTAGAGAGTTTATAATCGCGAACTCTTACCACCAAACAGTAAGCTATAAAGGGCCCCAAAAATTACTAGTGTTAAACCATTCAAATGGGAAAAACTAACAGTCTAATCTATATAAAAAACGAGAAACGAGTAACACTTATGAACCACATCAACAAACGACAACTACTGAACATCAGATTCCTGACTTAGGACAGGTGCAAACAAATGCAGCGGGTTTAAACGTTTTAATGGTACCAAACCTTCACCCTTTTTCTGAAACAATAGTGTAACATCACAACATAGAAAGACACACTATAAAATATCAACTGAAATAGCTTAACTCAATCAAAGGACATTAACACCAGTGAATATACACTGAACAATTAAATTTGACCTATGATACAATGTAAATACAAAATAAATAAACTAAGGGAAGAATAATAAAAGTAACATGTTATATCGGTATGAAATGTTTAACAATTTAAGAAAAACAATATGCTCAAACAAAAATATCAGCCATATGCAATAACTTTAAACACAGGTAAATGAAAATAATTTTGTTGTTAGGTATACGTGTACAGTTCCAATAGAGAAAGGAAATATTTTTACAAAATAAATAATTTTGATGTTCATAGTACGAAGTGAAGATTTATAGTAATACCAAACACTATCAAAGCTGGTATATAGACCAGATATAACCCTGAATAACATTAAATAACAAAAAAGCATTACAATTTGTATCAACTGGTCAAATAAACAAGAAAGTACGATTTGAGAGTACTCACAGTTACTGACAGCTAGTTAAAAGCCAAAACAATTAATAATAAAAAATCATGCATCAGAGACTAAAATCAACTAAAACACATGTCTGTCTAACTGGTGTCATCTGACCTTGACCTCATTTTCATGGTTCATTGATTAACATTAAGTTTTTTGTGTTTTGGTCTGTTTTATCAAGTACTGTTAGCAATAGGTCAACTATATTTGGTGTATGGAATGATTGTTAGGTCTAGCTGGTGTCACCTGACCTTGACCTCATTTTAATGGTTCATTGGTCAATGTTAAGTTTTTGTGTTTTGGTCTGTTTTTCAAGTACTATAAGCAATCATGGCAATAGGTCAACTATATTTGGTTTATGGAATGATTTTAAGGTGTACATGTCTGTCTAGTCGGTGTCATCTGACCTTGACCTCATTTTCATGGTTCATTGGTTAACATTAAGTTTTTGTGTTTTGGTCTGTTTTTAAATACTAATAGCAATAGGTCAACTATAATTGGTGTATGAAATGATTGTAAGGTGTACATGTCTGTCTAACCAGTATCATTTGACCTTGACCTCATTTCCATGGTTCATTGGTTAACATTAAGTTTTTGTGTTTTCAATTACCATAAGCAATGGGTCAACTATATTTGGTGTATGGAATAATTGTAAGGTGAACATGTCTGTGGGAGTTTTTATCTGACTTTGACCTCATTGTCATGGATCTTTAAAAATGTTAAGTTTATGTGATACTTGTAGTAAAACCTTTATCTTAAAGACTTTCAACATAAAACCAATGTTCAGTAAAACAGGTGAGACGTTTCAGCGTGTGCACTCTTGTTAACTTAGGCCTCCACCCCTGTCCCAGAAAATTGTTGTGTCTAAGGATTCAATATCATTATTGGTATCTTTTGGTTACAAATTATTTTGGATTGCATGTTTGCTGTTTCCTTAATCTTTTAGGTCTGAAAAATACACAGAATCGTCATATTTTGACAATACATGTACATCCAAAATTTGCGGACTAAGAAGCCTAGAGTTTACTCTTTTGAAGAGATTTGTTTAACCTACAATGTAGTAGTAAGGCTTTTGGGAGATGACTTTACAAGCATGATTGATTTGTGTCTCATCCCTTTTGCATATTTAAGCAAATATAATATGTTTAAACTAAGGCTTTTGAAATAGACCAATTTAAAAACCATAAAGTGGTAATTTTGACATTTTATGATTAAGTGTATCAAAAATCCTGGGGAGAATACAAGGCCATATTTTGCTTAAAGTGAACCTTTTCCTTTCAGCATGTATCCGTGTAGCCATTTTGTGTCATAATTCTTTTCCATTAAATAAATAAATATTCAATGCAATATATAAAAAAACAATCAACAGTTTATTAAAAGCAAAAGTGTTTTATTGTATATTTACAGATTGAAGCTTAAAGAAATGTTCTTCCATGCTTATAATTCTTACATGGTGAGTATTTCTTAAATTTGACCCTTCAGCAAAAAAATAGTAAAATAATATGATTATGATTTGTGTGTAGTTTTTTGTTAGCAGTTTGCCATGTCATGAAGATTTGTGGTCTTTGATTGTCCCTTTGGTGTTTTGTCTCCCTTTTTATGGCACAATATTAAAGAGTTTATGGTCCTTGTATATATAGTAATGCTATTATATATGTATTGAATAATTAAGATAAATGTTTATGTCTGTTACATTTGTATTAGTTGACAAATGAGGTTTGACATGGGTTTTTCTAAATAAAGAAATAATGGACTTATACTACAGAAAAACGGGCCAAAAAATAAAGAAAAGACAAAAATAGAAAGAAAAAAAAAATTTAGAATAAAAAATATAAAGAATAGAGAAAATTATCTAAAAAATTAAAGAATAAAGAAAGGAAGGACCCCCTTCCAGAACGAGAGACAAAAGAAAGGAAGGACCCCCTTCCAGAACGAGAGACAAAAGAAAGGAAGGACCCCCTTCCAGAACAAGAGACAAAAGAAAGGAAGGACCCCCTTCCAGAACAAGGGACAAAAGAAGTTTCCAATCTCAGCAAAGACCAAGACCCCCTTCCAGAACAAGGGACAAAAGAAATTTCCAACCTCAGATTTGCTGATTTTTAGGATCTTAATCATGTTAATTTGCAAATTAAAAGTATTACATTTTTTCCAATTGTAGGACAATGCCTATCCTGCGGATGAGTTGATGCCATTAAGTTGTAAAGGACGTTATAGAGGATCACAACCAAACAGAGGAGATATAGATGATAGCCTAGGAAAGTAAGATACATAGATGATCAATTTTATACATTTATAATGATTGGCCTTCAGGGTTAAAAAAAAGTTATCTCCAATAGCTTAATGGACCCTAATAACTTTAACCTGGCCATGGCATTATCTATAAAACTCGGAATGTTTCCATGTTAAACAACGTTAAAAAACAATTAATTTAAAAAATAGAAATCTTTCTAGCATGAACCTGCCGAATGTTTTTTTGAGTTGGTTATCAGAAGTAGTTTCAGTTATTAGTCAAAATTTATGTACACATGTATATGTTAAACTGTATCGATCTTTCTTAATATGTTGTAGAAATTTACAAAAACATGCATAATAGCATTAAACTTGAACATGTATAAATGTTTTGAATATGCATTTTCATTTTCTCTTGACAGTTTTACTTTGACACTTATAGATACTTTGGACACATTAGCAGTGAGTATTTATAACAGTAGCATTAATTTAAAATACTGACATTAATAGTAGGCAGATGCTTAATGCAGGATAAGTATTAGTGTTCTCTGTTGCAATGAGGAGCTGAGGACATAAACATTCTAGGCATTCTTCATGCTTTATTTTGACTTTTAAGCACATTCATGCCTACATTTTTTGTTGTAATTTTATCAAATTTATATGGAAGGTTTGTTTAGCATCTATTTTGGATGAATTTGAAAATCAGTGCTGATAAATATTTTTGGCAGATGTTATCACCTTGAACAGTCAAGAGTATAACTTAAAAAAGTTATTAGAGAAAATAACAGGCATTGTGTTATTGTGGAAAATTATTACGGTTGTCTTTCTTGTAAAGTAACATAGTGTGCAGGACTATATTTCCAATAGGAATTACCTCCTCTTAATTCTGATATAACTGGTGTTATTGTGGATTCATTATTATATGTTGAATACTGTAAATTCAGAAATTATTGTGTGCATTTATTATTGCGATTTTGTCAATTTTGACTAAAATGCGATTTTATTTTTTGCGATATTGAGAAACATCCTGTTTAATTCATATAAAAAATTTCAAAATGCAAGTTTAAATTATTGCGATTATTACCCTGTTGCATTTTTCGCAATAATAAAAACATCTCAATAATTTCTGAATTTATACAGTACAATTTTCATGATTTCGTGGGTAAAAGTAAACCATGAATTAAAATGTACAACAAAGTGCTAATTTTCTATATGCTTGTAGTCAGACTTTAGCAAAACCACTAAATCAAATACCCCCGAAAATACAATTCTTCGTCAATCCAGGAATATTGAAATAGTCGAAAATAAATGAATTCACAGTAGCTACTAGTTCAGGTTAATTTTTATACTGTTTCACATATTTTAGTTGAAGTTGTTATGATTCTGCATGTTTTTTGTAGCTGTAAACGTCAGTAATTTCTCAGATGACATTTGATAAATGTTTTTCCACTTGTAGGTGAAATAAAAAAAGTATCAAACTGTGAAGTAATCTCTCAAATGGCATTTGATAAATTTTTTTTTTTTTGCGAAATAAAAAAGTATGTCCAAACTGTGAAGTAATCTCTCAGAAGACATTTGATAAATGTTTTTCTTTTAGGTGAAATAAAAAAGTTTGTCCAAACTGAAGTAATTTCTCAGAAGTTTTTCGGCATTCAGTTTGGCGAACAAGTCAGTACCATTGCTTACATGTATTTTTTTTAATAATTTACATGAAATAGAGATTTACAAAGGTGTAAAAATAGTCATTACATGTTTAAACTTTGAGATATATTTAATCATTTATGACTTCAGATTCAATGTTTCTCTTTCATTAGTAACCTTTGATATGATTTTCAGGTTTTGGGTGAAGTAAAAGAGTTTGACAAAGCTGTAAAATTAGTTGTTTCTCAGGTGACCTTTGACACAGATGTTGTTGTATCAGTATTTGAAACAAACATTAGGGTTCTAGGGTAAGTACATTTTACATGTATATGATTTTTAATGTCATAAATTTCATCTACATGTATTTAACGGAAAAATTTAAAGTTTATTTCATAAATTGTAGAAGAGATTGTCAGCATTTGAGACCTATAATGTGTCAAATTGGAGCAAGCTTTCACTCATGTATGTAAAAAATGTGCACATTTTCACACCAATATCTCTAAGACATTGCTGTATGAATTGCATAAATTCATTGTGAGTTCTATGAATTCCAAACATATACTGATTGTTAAAGTCAGTGACTCAATATGACAATATTGGTTGTTGATATCATTCAATGATTAGACAAAGAAATTAAACAAACGAGAAGCATATTAATTTTGTAATCATTGATTTGTATTTGCCTTTAAATCTGAGCGTTGGATGACAAAGAAAAATCAATTTCATTTAATCAACTTATTTTTTAACAATATAAAACCTGTAATTGTTTTTTAAATGATCTATAGATGATTGAAGTGGAAGTATTGATTTTAATTGAAAATATTTACTAATAAATACAGTTTTCATTAGAGCAAATTTAAAATAGAAATTATCATGCATTACAGGGGACTTTTAGGGGGACATGTTTTAGCATCATCACTTAAAAAGAGGAGGAAAGGAATGGAATGGTATACAGATGAATTGTTATTAATGGCTAAAGATATTGGTTACAGATTATTGCCAGCTTTTAATACATCCACTGGAATACCTTATCCTAGAGTATGTCACATTTTACATTAGATATGAATGAAAGTCAATTCTACTTTATTGCAGCATTGTAATATGATGCATATATATAATCATGATCATAAATGTTGAAGAAAACTCAGAATTTGTTAGTTTTTGTATGTTTATGTTTTGTGCATATGCTTGCTGATTGCTATTATCTGTCAACTCTAGAAAATAGTTTTTACAGATCAATTTAGTTAAGGGGATTTTTGAGATGTTAAAAGCCATCATTTTGCAACAATAATGAGTTATTTTTATGCCCCTGAGGAAGCGGAGGGGGCATTAAGTTTTACCCTTGTCCGTCTGTATGTACATCCGTCCGTAGACCGTACGTCCCAAAGTTGGTTTCCGTTCTCTAACTTAAGTTTGCCTCAACCAAATGTTATCAAACTTATATACAATGTTTATTACCACAAACACAGATCATGTTTGAATTTTGGTGGCGTCACTTTAACCATTCTAGAGTTATGCCCCTTTACATTTCCGTTCTCTAACTTAAGTTTGCCTCATCCAAATGTTATGAAACTTATACACAATGCTTACTACCACAATACACAGATCAAGTTTGAATTTTGGGGGTGTCACTTTTACTGTTCTAGAGTTATGCCCCTTTACAAATGGAAAAATTGCTAAATTTTTCTAGCAATTTTTCAATTTTTTTCCAAAAATATCAATGTCATTATTCAAGTAATTTTTAAAATTGAAGTTATCTTCCTTTGTCCATGATTATAGTTAAATCAACTACAATCAATGCTTTATACAATGCAATGTTTAATTTTGCCTTCCACTGATAAAACACAGATCAAGTTGAATTTGGGTAGTGTCACTTTAACCATTATTGAGTTATGCCCCTTTATAAATCGAAAAATTGCAAAATTTTTAGTTTCCATTCTGTAACTTAAGTTGTCCCAACCCAACATTATGAAACCTATACACAATACTCATTACCACAATACTAAGATCAAGTACAAATATTGTTTCCGTTTTCTAACTTTTGTTTGCCTCAACCAAATGTTATGAAACTTATACACAATGCTTATTACTACATAATACAGATTAAGTACGAAATTCAGTGGTGTCGCTTTTACCATTCTTGAGTTATGTCCCTTTATAAACATAAAAATTGCTGAATTTTTCGTTTCCGTTCTCTAACTTTAGTTTGTCTCAACCAAATGTTATAAAACTTATACACAACCGTTCTAGAGTTATGCGTGTTTACAACAAGGCTTCCAAAACGGTCATATATTCCGGACATTTGTATAATGTCCGGTAAAAGTCCGGCTGGGCAAAGCATGAAACGGTCATCTACTTTTTAGTTTTCAAGGCTTTCTTAAGAGACGGTCATTTTAACATAATTCACGATCTTTTTGACCCAACCTTTTGCCTTTAACAGCCACACATTTCCGGTCATAAAAGTGACATGATCATTAAGTACTATCAAAACAACCCCTACTTTAATACCTTCTCATTTTAATCAAGGCTAATTAGTTGTCGAACAGCTAAAATTTACCTGTTCAGGTGACAGGTAAACTATTATGAACCGGACATTGATCGGTCTATTCAAAGTTATTTTCTTACATTTCATCAGTTTGCATCTAATTAATTTAGTCAAAAAGATTTAAATTATCAGAAATACGTTTACAAATATGATTTGATGAAAAAATTAAAAAGGTGAAAATGAAAAATCGTCATAACCACGTTGTTTGAACCAGAGACATGTCTCTGTTTGAACTAGTACACGTGTGTGCATGTGCGCAGGTGTGAAATTTAATTATGCATCCTAATTTCTTCAATAAATGCTTAAATTGTCATTGATACCTTTATCTCACGCTTATTTCGAATATTTTCTTGAAGAAATAACGTAGAAAGAGCTACGTACACTCATTCATGCTTTGCAAACGTACACAGAATTTACGTATCCGTCTCTGGTCCATGTTTTACCATTGTCAAGATAACATCCGGTATAAGATTTTAACGAATTCAAAGTTTTTGACAACGTTATTTTGCACAAATAAAGAGTCTAAGGCAGATATAAGTACGCTGATGTTGCACACTCTGAATGATGCACTGCCAATTGTACAGTTTACGTCAGAACTTTGAATTTGAATCAAAGAAAGTTTGATATCGTTTTTTTTTAATGTCAATCATTGCCATTGGGATGGCCAACTCAGCAACTGAATACCATAATTGCCTTTTGTTTATTTAGTCTTAAGGGATTAAAATCGGGATAATATATAAAATGTCCGGCTGGCTAAAAATAATTTTGGAAGCCCTGGTTTACAAATAGAAAAATTGCTGAATTTTTCGTTTCTGTTCTCTACTTAAGTTAGCCTCAACCAAATGTTATGAGACTTACACACAATGCTTATTACCACAAAACTCAGATCAAGTTCAAATTTGGGTAGCGTCACTTTTACTGTTCTTCAGTTATGTCCCTTTATAACTATATAATTTACAAGCAGGGTCATCACCTGTGTCCACATGTGGACACAATCCACATTTAACTTAGACTGAGATATGTTTTTTTTTTTACATTTTTTGATAATTGATACAGTTTTATGAAATCAAAATTAAAGATCTTTAAAAAGGTCTAAATGTCTCTATGTCATCTTGCCATTGCAGCAGATATAGACAGTACACAAAGTTTTTTTTATGATTTAGGTAAATTTACGGCATGGTATCAGAGATATGATTAATAAATATAAAGATACTTGTACAGCATGTGCTGGAACCATGGTTTTAGAATTTGCTGCATTGAGTCGACTAACAGGAGAATCAATTTTTGAGGTAGCGTATAATTTTTTTTCTCTTAAATAATTTGCAATGAAATGAGTCTAAGGAGATGAATATATTGCAATACTTGGATAATTCTTAATATTGATAAATTAAGGCAGAAAAATCATAAAACACACAAATCTTAAATTCTTAACACACACAAAAAAACTTGAAACATAGAACTAGATTTGATTGGAGGAACAAATAATGAATGAAAAAAAAGTGAAAAAATATTATCTTTAAAGTCACCATATCTTACCTCTGTAGGAGAAAGCACATAAAGCCATGGATTATTTGTGGGAACAAAGGCACAGAAGCAGTGATCTTGTTGGGACAGTCATTAATATACATAATGGGGACTGGGTTAGGAGAGGTAAGTCCATAATACTAATACTGTTCATGTGTATATTTTTTGCTGGCTGTTATTTTTTTATTTCAATGCATAAACCTTTCGTTAGGGGGGGGGGTTAATTTCCGGCAATAATAATAAGTTTATCCTTGGAACAGTATTATTACTTTATATAATCCAATGTCATAGGCAATGTTGTTTTGCACATTATAGATGATTAGTTTTTATACGACCGCAAAAATTAAAAAATTTTTGGTCGTATATTGGTATGACGTTGGCATCGTCGTCGTCTGGCGTCGTCTGAAGACACATTGGTTTTCGCACTCTAACTTTAGTTTAAGTGAATGGATCTCCATGAAATTTTACCATAAGGTTCAATACCACGAAAGGAAGGTTGGGATTGATTTTGGGGGTTATGGTACCAACAGTTAAGGAATTAGGGGCCAAAAAGGGGCCAAAAATAAGCATTTTTGTAACTTCCAGACAATAACTTGTGTGTAAGTGTATGGATCTCTCTGACATTGTACCACAAGGTTCCATATCACAAAGGGAAGGCTGTAATTGATTTTGGGGGTAATTGCCTCAAAATTTTAGGAATTAGGGGCCAAAAAAGGGGCAAAAAACAAGCATTTTTCTAGTTTCATGACAATAACTTGTGTGTAAGTGTTTGGATATTTCTGAAATTGTACTACAAGGTTCCATATCACAAAGGAAAAGCTGGAATTGAGTTTGGGGGTAATTGCCCTAAACGTTTAGGAATTGGGGGCCAAAAAGGGGCCAAAAATAAGTATTTTTCTAGTTTCCAGACAATAACTTGTGTTCAAGTGTATGGATCTCTCTGAAATTGTACTGCAAGGTACCATACCACAAAGGGAAGGCTGGGATTGAGTTTGGGGGTGATGAATCATAAGGGGGTTCAAAAAATTTGGGGGGGGGATTTTTTTTTTTTCTTTTTTTTTCTTTTTATCTTTTATTTTTCTTTTAAAATTTTCCATTTTAAGTTGGTTATTTCTGATTAATATTTAAAAGCAAATAATAATGATATGGTAGGAGATACACACCAAACAGGATGTGTAAATTATTATATAATAAGTATTGTGCAATAGCAAGAAATTTTCAATTGCACAGTATTGCACAATAGCAAGAAATCTTCAATTGCACAGTATTGCGCAATAGCAAGAAATCTTCAATTGCACAGTATTGCGCAATAGCAAGAAATATCCAATAGCACAATATTGCGCAATAGCAAGAAATTGTCAATTGTACAGTATTGTGCAATAGCAAGAAATATTCAATTGCACAGTATTGTGCAAAAGAAGATACTTAGTATAAATTGCTTATTTCTTGATCAATTTCAATGGGGTTTTATTCTTGAATTCTTGGGGTTCTTTAATATGCTGAATCTAACCGTGTATTAAGTTTTTGGATTTTGGGCCTTTTTTTTTAATTGGTCCACGTTGAGGTCCAAAGGGTCCAAAATTTAACTTTGTTTGATTTCATCAAAAATTGAATTATTGGGGTTCTTTGATATGCCGAATCTAACCATGTATTTAGATTCTTAATTTTTGGTTCCGTTTTCAAATTGGTCTACATTAAGGTCCAAAGGGTCCAAAATTAAACTTCGTTTGATTTTAACAAAAATTGAATTTTTAGGGTTCTTTGATATGCTGAATCTAAACATGTATTTAGATTTTTGATTATGGGCCCAGTTTTCAAGTTGGTCCAAATCGGGGTCCAAAATTAAACTTTGTTTGATTTCAACAAAAATTGAATATATGGGGTTCTTTGATATGCTGAATCTAACCATGTATTTTGATTTTTGGGCCCCGTTATCAACTTTGTCCACATTGAGGTCAAAAGGGTCCAAAATTAAACTTTGTTTGATTTCATCAAAAATTGAATTCTTGGGGTTCTTTGATATGCTGAATCTAACCATGTATTTAGATTTTGGATATTGGACCATAATAGGTGAATGTCCAATTTAAAATTTTTAAGTTCTTAGACCACATTCATTCTGTGTCAGAAACCTATGCTGTGTCAATTATTTAATCACAATCCAAATTCAGAGCTGTATCAAGCTTGAATGTTGTGTCCATACTTGCCCCAACTGTTCAGGGTTCGACCTCTGCGGTCGTATCAAGCTGCGCCCTGCGGAGCATTTTATTGTGACCTGTGCACGAAAATTTCCAAGTTTACCAAATTTAATGGTACTAAGGGAAGTTAGAAATCATATTGGTAACAAACATTATAGTGACTGAGTTAAGAGAGTTTGGTGTCTAATTTCATTTGTAAAAATTTTATTTTACTGTATTTTTGTAAGTATGTTGCTTATAGTCTCAAATTTGCTTTCAATATTACATTCAACTGTATAAAGAAACAATGCAGAGAACAGAAAAAAGGAGAGGCCAATCAATAAAAAGAAAAACAAGATTAAGATTGAGATACAGACCAATATCGCATTTTATTTACATGCTATGAATACATGGCTTTTCAATTGACAAACCTGAAAAAAGTAGTAAAACTGAAACTTACAAATAAGAAAGCAAAACCCACTTTGAATACTGTATTAGGACTAATTTGTTTACATAATGGTGACTTGATTAGGTATCTTACTGTTAAAATGGATTTATATACATAGTGATGACTGTGTGTCGGTATGGTTTAGGTGAGTTTAAGGGTTGTTTTTTGACAGTTATAAATGTATGATTTAAATCTAGTTTTTACAGAAATAACAAAAAATCATTTGTTACCAATCTTTATCATTTAGGCTAAATGCTTTAATTGCCTATCTACTGAAATTTTCCTTGTTTCTTACAGAAAGCGGCGTTGGTGCTGGAATTGACTCCTACTATGAATATGTATTAAAGGCCTACATATTACTTGGTGATGATGAATATTTAGATAGATTTAACAAGGTATGATCGCCTGTTATAAATTATGATACAAATTGTGTTTGATAAATGTATGTGCTTGTTGTATTTGCACAAACTACATTATATATGTAACATTATATTGAAGTCATTTGGTTTAAATTCAGATGATAAGTTTGTCATTTGAGCTGTGAAAGAAATGTTGTATATATATTTATGTATTTAGATAGATATTATGATATCCCTACTTTAGGAGTGGGCTAAATGGCATTCACCTTGTTTGTCTGTTCATCTGTCTGTTTGTACAATAAATATTTCAACACTTTTTTCTCAGGTACTAATGAACAGAATGACTTCATATTTTTTCAGCAGCTTGACAGTGAAGAGTTGTAACCTGTAAGCACTTATCATCGAATCTGTCAAACTCCTGCTACCTGTTTGCTGATATTTTCAATTTTTCAATATGTAGAATGTAGTTTTCTTTGCCATACTTTTACCAGTACTACTGAACAGGATGACTTCATATTTGTCCAGCAGCTTGGCAATGATCACTTTTAACATGTGGTACCCTTTTGGACTGTCAGACATCTTCTTCCAGTTTTCTGATACTTTGAATCTATAGGGGTATGCTTAGCATAACAACATGTGATTTCTTGTTATATAAAGTTTTTTGTGACATCAGATTTAAAAAAAAATTTTTATCTTTTTTTCTGGAACATGTAAACATTCATTTGTATAATATCAATCCATTTTCAAAAACAAAATTACAAAAATGTAACATACACATAAAATACTTTTAATTTAGCACATTTTGCTATCATAATTCATTTATTAATGGTTAAAAAGTAAAGATAAAAGAAAAAATTCCCTTTTATGTTATATTTTTAAGTCTGTTAGCAAGGTACTCTGTATTTAAATGAAAGATTTTACAGATTTTTATGAAATTTTGCAAGCAACTAGAGCATGAGAAACTGCATAACATATTCAGACAATCTATAAAACTTTAATACTTTCTGAGATATTGCAAATTTAGATATCTGTAAAATGTATTAAAAACACGTAAAAGTTCTCTTATTTCGACTATTGAAATGTTATTTCTCAAAGCCCTGTACTACAACTTTTCTCTGAAAATGATATGTTATTGCCACGTAAATTTCTCCTTTATTGATACAAATTGTGTAGGGGTCATCTTATTCATTTTATTGGTATAAATATTTAAAACATTTGCACATATTTTAAAAAAATGGTGAAAGGGAAAAGTTAAAGGGTGACATTGTGACTGCGTTGTCATTGTTCATCAAAATGTTAATTTTCGTATGTACAAAAATATTGTCATCATTGTTCATCAAAATGTTAATTTTCATATGTACAAAAATATGACAAAGACACTCAAATGATTTATATAGCAAAAATGAATTTGGTGACTACATTTGAATGTTACATCAATGAAATTGACATTTCACTGGCTATCGCATATCTTTTTTTTTTAACAAAATTCATAAGACAAGTTTGAAAAAGGGCAAATTAAAGTCTAATTTAATAATTTTATGTGCATTCTATACAGTTGTACTTTTTCACATTTTCTTTTACAGGTCTGCGTGATCTGGCTGATTGCAAAATTTCACAAATCAGCATATTTACCTTTTATGATTAATTGTACTTTCTTTATTTAATGCTTTTATATTCTTTATTTGACAGCATTATTCGGCAGTCATGAAATATATAAGCCAAGGTCCACTATTGGTTGATGTACATATGCATAAACCAGAAGCTTTATCTAGACATTTTATGGATTCCTTACTGGCTTTCTGGCCAGGGCTTCAGGTTTGTATATTTTCTTACACAACTTATTATATATATGAATACTTTGGTGTTTTTAAAATATTTTTTTATATTTTGCAGTTGTTTAACCATAATGATTTGACCTGTAAGGTTAATTTTTAAGCATTTAGCAAATAGAATATGTCAATCCTTAAGTAGATGAGGAAAAACTTTGATGTTTGAAGGAATTGACTTCAGATAAGAAATGATTTATGACAGCTCATGGGTTATAGGACATCATCTGTAGGCATATTTTCATGAAAATGTTACTCTCATTTGAGAGTGGTAATGCTAAATGTATAGACAAGATGCCTATAAATATTTAAAGTTAATAAAAAAGTAGAATTCAATATCGATAGGTTGTATGTTAAAAACTAACAAGACCTTGTGTTGCATCAGAACAATTCTATTTACAAGTATATGACATATATGTTGGGCACAAAATGTAATAGAAAGTTTTCAGTGTAAGTTGATAAAGGAATATTTCATTATGGAACATACCATGAATTATTTTATTGCAAAATAAAAAGTAATACCACTTTTGTTTAAATGCTGTATGAAGTCAATTCCATGGTTGACTACCAGAGTCCTTGGCAACAACATTTCTGTGATATTTTAAATGTCTGTTTTTAACATTTTTGAACAGAACGCATACTAATTTTTTTTTGCTATAGATCTTTTAACAATAAGACATGATTATTTTGCTATAGGTTTGCAAGGGTGATATAAAACCAGAAATACAGACACAGGTGTTATATCAAGATATGTTTTATTTTGCTATAGGTTTTAAAAGGTGATATAAGACCAGATTTTTTGGCAGAAATGCATGTATAATAAACTTTTTAACGAAATATAAAGAAATTAAGAAATGCAGACACATCAGATGTTATATCAAGTTATGTTTTATTTTGCTTTAGGTTTTAATGGGTGATATAAGACCAGAAATACAGACATATCAGATGTTATATCAAGATATGTTTTATTTTGCTATAGGTTTTAAAAGGTGATATAAGACCAGATTTTTTGGCAGAAATGCATGTATAAATATAAATCAATTGCTTAAAAAAGCAATTGTAAACGGTCTTTCCCCTTCTGAAACATGATTGATTGATTGATATATGTGTATGTTTGTTTGTGTGTTTGTTTGTTTGTTTCTTTCTTTGAAAGGTCCATATTAGTGTGTTGGTTAAGTTTCTATATTTAGTTTGGAAAGTTTTTATTCTATTTTAGGTCCCGCGCGCGTCTTTGTCTCGCGCCAGATTGTGGCGTCACGTGACGAAGCTTTATAATAGCGAAAACTTAGTATTTTTATTTCTTTTTAGGTGGGGACGTTGGACAGACAACATGTATAGCGACGGAATACACACAATGTATTTCTTTTGTCATTGTAGGTAATTGACATTTCGATCACAGTTCACGAGCAGTGCATGCTTTGGATTTAATTGATCCTGTGTAACTTTAAAACACGTTTATCGATTGTTTTCATACAATGTACATTTTTCAGCAGCAGTTTGTAACACAGATTTGTATTTCAATCTAGGAGCGGACATTTTATTGTAGGATTTCACTGAGATTTACGGAACTAGCAAGCGAATTTTACGGCATTGCAATTTCTTTTCTCTAGGAAAATTCTTGAGAGATATCTGCACCACGTTCTTTTATGAAGATGTAATACGTGTATACCCTTCTGACTGCAGTTTTTAAGGTCAATTGGACATGTAGTTTCCCAGAACATCTGATAACAAGCATGTGGATTTTTTTTTCTTCAGAAGAGATGTAAATACAATATTACACACATGAGACGGAAACATGCATACAATGAATGATTGATTGGTTGGTTGGTTGGTTGGTTGGTTTGTTTATTTATTGGTTGGTTGGTTGGTTGATTGATTGATTAGTTGAATAATTAAACACGTGGGATAGGGTCTCTTGAAACAAGCGAAAAAGAAACAAAGGAGATCTTGGACCCCGTGTTAAACACATAAGACGGAAACATGCATACAATGAATGAATGATTGATTGGTTGATTGGTTTGTTGGTTTATTGATTGGTTGGTTGGTTGGTTGGTTAATAAATTTAACATGTGGGATATGGTGGTCTCTTGAAACAAGCGAAAAAAAAAAAAAAAAAAAATGAGATCTTGGACCCCATATTAAACACATGAGACGGAACCATGTATGCATGCAATGATTGATTGAATGGTTGGTTGGTTGGTTGGTTGGTTGGTTGGTTGGTTGATTGATTGATTGATTGATTGATTGATTGATTGATTGATTGATTGATTGATTGATCAATTAATTAAACACGTGGGATGTGGTCTCTTTAAACAATCGAAATAGAAACAAATAAGATCTTGGTCCCCATATTAAACACACGAGACAGAAACATGCATGCAATGATTGACTGACTGACTGACTGATTGATTGATTGATTGATTGGTTGGTTGGTTGGTTGGTTGGTTGGCTGGTTGGTTGGTTGGTTAACACAGAGACCGGATCCACTTTGATCACGCAAAGACGGAATAGAAAGCCTAAATACTATATCTAAACACATGGGATTTATCTTTTGAGAGATCACTTAACAAGTAGTAAGGTTAAAGGTCAATGTCAACCTACAAAAGCACTAAACCACACATAAAACTCTTTAAATAGTGCCAAAAACACACAATTTGCCTTTTTTACATGACCTTGACCTTTGACCTTGACCTATATTTTCAAGTTATGGTCCAATGATCTCAAATCAAAATACCCTAGGTCTTTACAACTTGCGGTTCATGAGATTCATATGCATATTGAAAAGTAAAATATTCAAGGGGTAATAACTCCTATAAGAAGTCACTGGATCGCTTCGGTTGAAATTATTTAAAGTTGCGACATGTGACAAGGAACATTTTTAAAAAAACCATTTGCCGCTAACTCTTATAGTTTATGAAGAGTAGCGATAACAATGGTTTTTGTAATTGGGGAGATAACTCCTATAAAGTAAATAGTACACTTTGGTGCCCCTAATACAAGATAGATTTTATTAACCCGATACTTAATACCAAAGATCATTTGGATCTGTCGCGTACTTTTTTTGACTTTTGACTTTGAAATCGGACGAGGAAAAAGAATAATAATAATAATAAACAAACGAAATACAGTAAGGTCTTTCCATTAAGAAAGGAAAGACCTTAATAAACTTTTTAACTTTTTAATGAAATATAAAGAAATTAAGAAATGCAGACACATCAGATGTTATATCAAGTTATGTTTTATTTTGCTCTAGGTTTTAAAGGGTGATATAAGACCTGCAATACAGACACATCAGATGTTATATCAAGTTATGCAGAAACATAATTTTTTACCAGAGGTAAATTTAATCATTTTGGGGGTTTACAATTTAAATGAGTCATAATTGATTTAAATATTATGTTTCATTGTATATCTAATATTTTAAACAGGCTTAATAGCAAAGCAGTAGTTAGAATTTCAGATTTAATTATATTTTTATTTTTAATATTTCGCAAAATGGAAGTTGACACAGAAACGAAAAAATCTAAGTTACAAACTTTGACCCAAACTATAAAAAAGTTACTAAATAAACAGAAACAACATCTATTAACTTGTCAAATTATTTTTACAACAAGAATGTGTCCATAGTACATGAATGCCCAACTCACACTATCATTTTCTATGTTCAGTGGACCGTAAAATTGGGGTCAAAACTCTAATTTGGCATTAAAATTAGAAAGATCATATTATAGGGAACATTTGTACTAAGTTTCAAGTTGATTGGACTTCAAATTCATCAAAAACTACCTTGACCAAAAACTTTAACCTGAAGAGGGACAGACTGACGGACGGACTAACGAACGGATGCACAGACCAAAAAACATAATGCCCCTCTACTTTCGTAGGTGGGGCATAAAGAATTGTTAAATATTACATGATTATTATAACACAATTGATTCAGAAGGACTAATTTCAATAGAATTTTATGAACTGTGACATAGATCAAATGTTTAGTTACACATGACACAGTATGTCAAATACAGTGGAAATTTTAACGAGTATCAGAGTAGCTTACACAAATATTCTGGAATTTGGTAAAAAAAATATTCCACTATTTTTCTCAAAACGGTATGGGTTATGCTCATTGTTGAAGGCTGTAGAGTGACTTAAAATTGTTACCTTCTATGTCATTTGGTCCCTTGTGGAGAGTTGTCTAATTGGCAATTATACCAAATCTTCTTATTTTTATGTTCACTTTTTGTGCAAATGTCTAGCTATCAATAAATAATGATCTATTTTGTTACAGGGATTCACATCTGACTTTAGAGTACACTGGGGAAATCATCCACTGAGACCAGAACTAATAGAATCTACTTATTTCCTGTATAAGGTAAGATCTTTGATAGAATTTAACTAAAAAGTTAATCAGAGTAAATTCATCTCTTAAACAATGTATTTTAGCATCATTAAGTATATATTGTAATGTTGAGAGTAGACATTTCTGTAAAAAAATTAAGAATGTTGCAAAAATTCTTGAATAATCAGTGGTTGACAACAGAAAAATTGAACAAAGCTCATGTTGGGTAAATGTCCATGAAACAGCAATCCAACAACATAAGTTCATGAAATATTTACATCTGATACAATCTGCATAATGGACAAACAAATGTAAATCAGCACTAGAAGACACGTTGTACAGCAGTTCAACAGAAACTTCTGTCATTACATTTAAAACAGTCATCTAAAAGTTTTAATCAGATATTGTTAACATAATCAATACAGAGTAGGAACTCAATAACCATACATTTTGTATCTGAATTGGTAATTGTTGAATTAAAGTTGGTAAGCCTTGGCATAGGCATTTGGATGTATTGATCTTAAACCATAGCTTAACATAATTACATGTAGTTGCATTTCCTAAGGAAAAGACATCCAGTATTATTGATATTATTTATAACTTGCAGGCAACTGGTGATAATCATTATTTAGAAGTTGGCAAGAAGATGATGGAGAATTTGGATGCTCATGCACGAGTACCATGTGGATTTGCTGCCATTAAAGATGTAACTTCAGGAGCACATGAAGATCAGTAAGTCAAACTGTCCAAAGAATATGAACAGGAATGATTATGCACTAGAATTTTCTCTTTTCATTCTTATTTGCATTTATAAAATTTTATAGAAAAATTTCAAAGCTAAATCTATCTTTAAGTTGTTTTCATAATTAAAACTCTGACACTAGTTACATTTCAGAATGAAGTTATTTTGGCCTTTTTAACTTTTGTGTTAATTTACCAACCTTAAAACTTTGTGCAAACGTGTGATTCAATGACAGTTTGATACCTGATACTAGCTGCCTGATACTTGTCCATTAGGACTCTATAATTGCTAAATATATAAAATTCAGAAATTTTTTAATATCAGGGATAAAAATAGTTGTATTCTTGTATCTCTATCTTTTGCTTTATTGAAAATGAAATGTTTAGACTACATCAGGGGTAAGCTATTAGAATTAAAATGAAATGATGTTTGTTAAAGATCATTATTTGTCTTGATTAACTACATAGTGAAAGTTTACTGAATCATTGTATTAACGGTCAATTAATTTCTGTAATGTGATGATATCATTACAGACTGGATTCCTATGTATTTGCTGAGACGTTTAAGTACCTGTACTTATTGTTTGCGGAGAAATCTGACCTGATAATAAATGTAGATGATTATTTATTTACAACAGAAGCTCATCTATTACCATTATCATTGTCTGTATATAATTACACAGCAAAAGTTCCTAAGGTAAGTCATTTTTTAAGTGCTAAAAACAATTTTATTTTTGCTACATTATTTTTTGCATATAGACCTATTTTCAGTTGCAATTAATTTTCATGGTTAGAAAATAACATTTTGATAGAATTTTGTGATCAGAACCAATTTTACTGAAGAATCTTTTATGCTAGATTATCATCAAATTTTTCTGTTTTGCAAAAGTGAATTTAAAAGTTGGAAGTCTGTTAATGCATTTTCATTAATTTTTTTCTATATATCTATATCACGAAAAGAGAAGATCTGAAATTGTGTGTCGACTCTTTTATTTACAAACTTGACTTGTGTGTTTTAAACATGTTGATGTACGGTGAAAAGTGTTATTTTGAAAGTAGGCATGAATAGGTCTGTTATATTGTATTTCCAAAGAAAAAACAGAAAAATACCCTCGAATTACCAGTTCCTTTCTGAAGCAAACTCAAAAATTGTACTGGTGGTGTTTATTGTTTACAGTATACTGGAATGTTCCTCCATTCTAAGGAGAACCCACTAAGGATTTTTAAATTGAACATCAGTATATGAATTAAAATTAACGAAAGGGATGGGAGGCACTCAAATCAATAAATTGTGGGTTGTTGAAAATTTTCCTTAGAATTTGTAAATATAGGTTAAATGAAATTTTATTTTATGGGTAGTTTGGGTCTTGAAACAGTGCCATTCATCCCCCTCGCTCATCTTAAGCTTACAGTCACAGTAAACAGGTGAAAGGTATAAAGGTAGAAATTTGCTTTACTATAACAAATTTTGTATGTTTGTTTCATTTGATTGTTGCTTTGGTGTAAGATAACAGATGCAAATTCTCACAATTCCAACTCTTCTCAATTGTTCTGTTGCCATTGAAGAGAAGACAGAAAATCAAGCAGAATTACATTTAATGATCTTATACGAACAGACTGAGCCAGATTATTATTATGCTTACTCAATAATAACTGGTCCAAAATCAGAAACAACTATGTTCTACCTAGAGATAACAACATTCTTTCTGACATTCTGGAATTTGCTTCCAATCACTGCTAACGATTTTTAACATTTGTATAGGGGTGTTTTATATTTACTTTGCTTATATTTAATCATTGTGTTTGCAAATTATACACCTTTCAACTCTGCAGAAAAAAAATTGTAAGTACCTGTGCATTTCTTTTTGTGAATATAAAACACAAAATCTTCTGGATAATTAATCTAGTAAAGAAAATTCCCCGTCTGTTCCAGCAACATGTTGTATTTAGTATAGAGTAAAAAAATGATTGAGACATACATTTTATTTACTACTCAATCAAAATAGAAAGAAACACATTCATGGCACAGTTATTTGATAAAACCTTCATATACCATCATAGCATGTGTCGAACCCCATTGGTTTGACCTATTAGAAACATTGCAGACAGTCTGCACAATATTAAACATGTGTAGTGTATAAGGTACTATCTACCTTAGCCCTCACACATATTACTTTTACAAACATGATTTTTTCCAATTTGAAAAAACAAATACACATCAACAGCTTTTTATTGTGTATACCAATTTTATGCAAATGCCATACATAAAACATTCAATTGGCCTAGTTTAGATTGTCTAAAATATTGTAGAGATGAATAAGCTTATTTGTTTTTAACTGGATTATTAAATTTTATCAGATTACCAAAATTTTATTTGGATTATTTACCCTTTAAAGATGCAAAAGTTTATTGCAATCTTATATTGATAGTTTTACACAGTAGGACATGAATATTTTCATGGGTTCAAATATCTTATGGTTATAGATTGTTCATGTATACAATAAGGTTAATGTCTGAGGGGTTAGTATAAGGATACAATTTGATTACAAATACTTTTAAATGTTAGCCAACTTTTTTATACACTGTACTAATAGTTTTGTTTTATAATTGAACAGATCAGAAGGGAGGTATATGAAAGTTGAATGGTTATAGATTGTTCATGTATAAAATAAGGGTAATGGCTGAGGTGTTAGTGTAAGGATACAATTTGATTACAAATATTTTTAAATGTTAGCCAAATTTTTTTATACACTGTACTAATAGTTTTGTTTTATAATTGAACAGATCAGAAGGGAGGTTTATGAAAGTTTAGAAAATCTTTATGATGAAGATGAATTATCAGCTACTATTGATATATCAGCCTTAAAAGTGGAAAATACTTGTCAGAATCCCCAGTATTTAGCCACAAATTTAATGAATTATGCCACTAAAGTTAGAGGAGAAATGAAAGGATGGATGGACAAATCAGTACCAGTACAAAGGTAGATATGCAGTACTAAGTATTTCTGTAAAGCTCAACAGCAGTAAAGATTTGATGAAAAGTACTTTTGAAGTTGTTAACACTCACTATAATGTGTAAAGTAGTAAACATTTACTGTAAAGTGAAAACAGAGGTATAAAGTTGTAAACATTTATTGTAAAGTGAAAACAGAGGTATAAAGTTGTAAACGGTTACTGTAAAGTGAAAACAGAGGTATAAAGTTGTAAACGTTTACTGTAAAGTGAAAACAGAGGTATAAAGTTGTAAACGTTTACTGTAAAGTGAAAACAGAGGTATAAAGTTGTAAACATTTACTGTAAAGTGAAATAAAGTTGTAAACATTTACTGTAAAGTGAAAACAGAGGTATAAAGTTGTAAACATTTACTGTAAGGTGAAAGTAGAAGTACAAAAAAGTAATGGTGTGCTGTAAAGTAAAAACAGAAAAAATTTACTGTTAAATACATATTAAGATATGTAAACCTTTAAACACAAAATCTGTTGGAGGTGTACTGATTGATATTTAATCTGGAAACGGGTAATACATTAGTTTAAAATGGGTTTTGGACAAGCATTTTGATACTGTGAGTATTCTTAGATTGTTACTTATTAATGTATTTTGTTTTATAGTTGTTCTTCAGGTCCACGTCTGAAAGCTGCTGATTTCATAGCTGGTAATAAAGCACAGTTACAACAATTACATGACATGGGTATAAGGATAGCTACAATGGCTGATGGCAGGATCCAACTTCTCCATTCAGCTGCTGATGTAAGAAATGTCACATGCAAATCCTGTCTTTTGTATCAGCTTTAAAATGGCTATGATATATTCACTGAAATATAAAACGAATAATTTTACACAGAGACATAACAACATGGCAGTTAAATCAACATAAATAGAAAACAAAAAATATTTAAAACACGGAGACATATTTACATTAATCATTCCAAAAACACCTTGATAAAGAGCAGAGTCCTCATTAGTATGGTAGAAAAATTAATAAAGAAATCAATATAAAAGTGAACTCAACCTGATGTATGATGTAAGGGTCTTTACAGTATGTTGATCAGTAGACTTTTAAAATCTGACACCTCATAAATGTTACATCAAACAAAGACAGAACATCAAATAAGTGCTTTTGAAAGGAGAGTTGGTACTTCCAATACCCCCCGCACAACCAAAATTTTTACTTTTGAGTAAGTGTGCATATATCAAATGAACAAACAACCATAAATGACCCACGACCTATATCATCTGTTTGTAAGAATGATTTGATAATCGATTTTCAAATTTTGGTTGGATTGTGTCTACAATTTTCAGATCTGCTTGGCAGTCACTTCCTGTTTGACAATACTTTAAATTTTGTTATTATATGTATTGAGCATGGAATTTTTCATTGACGATTAGATCAAAGTGATCAAGCAAAAAAATCATTCAGGTTATCCATGATTTTGGAGAAACAGGCATGGTTATGTTTTGTTTCCATATTAAAACTTTTTATTTGTTTTATTTGTTTTAATTTTTATTTTTTTATGAATATGTTATCTTTTCAGGCTGCTTCTGTAGAAGATGCAGAGAATGGTATGAAATTTATGCAGGAAATGATAGAATTATCTTCAAAGCAACCACAGGATGGTAAAGTGTTCAAATATTTTTATTTGTCAATAAGTAAATGCCATCTATTCTATATCCGTTATCTTTAGCCTAACAACTCTATTCTCCTTGCTTATAGTACATATTTTTGTTTGTGTGAGATATCAAGTTTGTAATTGTTATCCTACTGCTCTACTCTGTAAGTCTTGAATAAGAAGAAAATACATTCAAATGATAGTGGATGTTAGAAGATTTCTCACCTCACCTATCCTCTTCATGCCTTTTTCTCTTTCTTTCTCTTTTTTCTAAAAAAAAAAAGATTTGTCCATGATACATTTATAAGCACTGACGATCGATTTATTAATTTTGCTCTAAATAAAAATCTATAGATATTTTCCAATCATTCCTTTCTTTGTATTTCAATCATTTTGAGGAAATTTAGATTGGTATTCTCTGTTTTGTAGAACAATTTATCATAGAGGTATTTTTGTTTGATTTATAGATGTTTTATTTGTTATTCACCATAATCATTGTTTATCCAATATTGAAAGTTAGGTTAGCTCCTTTTTGTGTTAGAAATTTCCCGTTTGTCTAGATCCTTGTAAGATATTCCCCGATGATAGATATTTATCACTGCCAAAACATATACATTTATTGCTTAGACAAACTTAAGCCCTACTTGTGGTAAGGACTGATAATCAGAATTTTTGTAGATAAAAGACAGGTTAAAGGTAAACCAAAAGGTAATGCAACTATATATTTTTCATTTATATTGGGCTTATTTAATAATTTTAAACCTGGTCATTTAAAAAATGTATTGGAATACTTTTGTGACATTCTTATCCTATTTTATGCCTAACTTCCTATAGTCACCATTGGGATTATTTTTGCCATGTGTCATCCAAGTTAATTTTATGCTATAAACCAACTGTTATTTGGTAATGATTTGTTTTTTGTTGAACTCATCAACACACAGAAAAATCTAAAATATGTCAGAATAGAATACACATAACAGCTGAAGATTTTTTTGTTGACATTTTTTTCTGAAAAATTATGACTGAAGTTTTCCTTCAGATATCAGTTGGTTTACAGAATATGATGTACTGGCTTACTGTAATAGGAGCATGAAGATTTTATGTTTTCTTAGTTCAAATTGATTGGATTTAATGGGACAATGTAGTTCCTAGTTCCTTGATAAGTTACATCAAACATGATCATGTAAAATTTACTTTTGTTTGTTTACTTTTACTTTATATGTATTGGAAAACACAAAGGTCTATTTAAAAATAGGTATATCAGGAGTAAACACCAACCACAAAAATGCACTTCTCGAGATGCTTATGGCACCATTATGCATGTTTTATTAATTTTTAGTTTTAAATGTTACAAAAACTTTTGATAGGTTACAGACATGTGACAGAGGTGTCAACTCACATTTAGAGATTTTGGAAATTTTCAGGTATAGGTTGGGCCTCAAACTGGAGATTTTTTATCAACATTTTTATCACAGTTTCCGGTGTTCAGTTTGATAACAAAATTACTTATAACATTGGTCGCAATGAAATACCATGATTTCCCAGTGAAATAAAAACCAATAATTTCACATGTGAAATAAATCTGATTATTTCAATCTCCTGATGTAACAATGGGTGTTGTCAAGACACTGTTGATGAATAAACAACATATAGAAAAAATATAGTTCCTTCCAATTTGACTTCACTTCAATAAGTTTAAGTCCATGGTCAATGTAATATAAAGGATAACTAATCCAAAATTAAAATATCGTGACCGAACACTACCGATCATTAACTCAAGAGCTATGGGCATTAGTGAATTAATGTGTTGTTCGGTCACTCACTCTTTCCTTCCGTCCCATTTTTATATGTCCATTTACGGGACGTATTATGGTATTTCGTTGTTCGTCCATCCGTCGTCAACATGTCGGACATTAGCTCAAAAGGGCTTTAACCAATTTGCATAAAACTTTAGTGAATTGTTTAATTCTATTGACATGAGCTCCCTTTCCTTTTTTAGATTTTACGTTTCCCAGTTATGGGGTTATTTTCATTAAAAAAAGGAGGATTTTCCAGTTTTTGGACAATAACTCAAAAATGCTGTCACCAATTTGCATGAAATTTTGGTGAATTGTTTATATCTATTGACATGAGCTCTCTTTCGATTTTCATATATTTTAGATTTTACTTTTCTGAGTTAGTGGGTTTTATTCATTAAAAAAAAGAGGGATTTTCCAGTTTTCGGACAAGAACTCAAAAAAAATTTCAGCAGGTCTTGTGAAACTTTGGTGAATAGTTTATATCTATTGACGTAAGCTCCCATTCAATTTTTGTAAATTTTAGATTTTACATTTATGAGTTATGGGGTTTTATTCATTAAAAAAGGGGGGATTTTCCAGTTTTTGGACAATAACTCAAAAATGCTTTCAGCAGTTCTCATGAAACTTTGGTGAATTGTTTATATCTATTAACGTAAGCTCCCTTTTGATTTTTACAAATTTCTGAGATGACATTCAGAAGTTATTGAACTTTATTCTTTGAAAACGCGACAGGAGTATCATGCGCTCATAGCGCAGCTGTTTATTGTTCCACACTTTAATTTAAGTTTGCCTCATGCAAATTTTATAATGCTCATACACAATGCTAAGAACCAAAGCTAGCAGAAAGAGTTCGAATTTTGGCAGCAAGTCATTTATTGTTCTTGAGTTATGTCCCTTTATAACTTTGAAAATTGCTTTTTTTTTCGTTTCTGCACTCTAATTTAGGTTGTCTCATCAAAATTTTATGAAACTCCTACACATGCTAAGAAATAAAACATGCAGACAGAGTTTGAATTCGTGTTGAGTGCCATTTACCACTCTAGAGTTATGCCCCTTTTTAAATTGGAAAATTGCAAAGCTTGAGCGGGGCATTCATGTCCTTAGACACACTCTTCTTTTATTTAAGGTAAGAGTGTAACTAGTAATGTATTTTTTCAAATAGACAAATATAGATAGCCTCACAAATTATCTTAAAACAGAGTTTTTGATGGAATGTTTACAAAGCACAAACTCAGACTTCTGACTTGGGATATGTTACTGTGATTGAGTTTTACCACTTAAAAATCACGATATTTTACCAACATTTTAGAGAAAGCCATATATTTTCACTAAAACATGACAGAAAACAAAAGTACAGCGGAAAAAAATATAACTGACTTCATAACAATATTCAGTACAATTTAGCTCCTATTTGTTGTCAGCTCAGAATTTACCACAAAAATATCTTTCGAGAGATCATGGTTCTAACAGTAGATTTTTAAGGCACTTGGGCTGTCTCTGATTCATTGGTAGGTGGGAGAGAAGTAAAATCAACAGAGAAGAATTGATTAACCTAATCAGGAGAGATGTCTCTTACCACAATAGCTCAACATAGAAAAAATTAGACTGAGTTACGATAATGAGAATTTAATCCACTCTCACAAGTGTCCATTGTTTAACAAATTGTCGCCAAAATATATCAAATATTGTAGTTTATATAGCAGTATTAGTTTACTTTTACAGCATTCCATTTATATGTGATTGTAAAAATTATAGCTGAACCATTTGGGATTACTGATTATCTTCATAGACGTTATTGTTATTTTGGGATTTGCACCCAAGAATTTATGACACCTATTGGTGTCAGACATTTTCTCTTAAGGGAATTTTTACGTGAATGTCTGTTAAGTCCTGTAATGGCACAAATAGCAATAAGTTGTATTCTTTTACCATTCCCCCAGATCCAGTGGTTATTTAAGTAGTAAAAAGACTTACTAATATTATTTATAAAACAAAATATTTTACTTTACAGTTGCCTTTGAGCCCAAGGTTTCCAATTTAATTTCAGATCTCTGGGATTTACATTTCGTCCTTGTTTTTTTTTTTTTACAGCTTTCCGTGAGTTCATGGTTATACAAGGTTTACAATTTTATTCAGAACAAGTTATAACAGAACCTTGATATGGAACCCTAATGTTTGCATAACACCATTGTATCATTTTATAGCTGCCCATGAGCCTATGGTTGTACAGGTTATAACAGAACCTTATTACGGAACTCTATGGTTTAAAGCAGGTCCAGCACAGTTTGGTTACAATTTAAAAACTAACCCTCCAGTAAGTGTTATACTGTTTTGATTATGTTTTATTGTAAAAACCATACTAGTGTTTACAAATTTTTTCCAAGCATTAAATTCTATTCGTCCTTATCAATAGTTATTAAAAACCAGCTTTATTTAAGCCTTGCTGGAGAAAAAAATGTGCCAATTTCATTGAAAAAACTTTGAAATATCGCAAGGAAAATAACAGCTGCATACGTTACACAATACTAGTAGGATAATCCAAAAGAAAACAGCTACATATGTTTCACAGTACAGGAAAGCATAATCATAGATAACAGCTACATAGGTTACACAATACAGGAAGAATAACCACTAGTATACAACTACAAATGTAACACAACACAGGAAAGGATAATCATTGATAACAAACAGCTACATATGTTACTCAATACTGGAAGACTAACAGCTACATATGTTAATACAGGAAAAATAATCATAGATAACAATGTGTTTCTGTCTCAACTCACTACAAACTCACACATGTTTTGGCAATATTAGATCTTTTAGATACCAGAATAATTTAATTTTGGATGTAACACGTCTTCCGATTGGCTGACGTTGTTTTGTTTATCAGCTCATAGACATAATTTTGTCATGTGACCTTGACGTCATCAACGTTTTTTCATGATTTACTCCGGTTTAAAATGGAATTAAGAATTAAATTATAAAAAATGACTTATGCGGGTTATTCAGTGTGCACCACATTTTTGATGTTATTTCTTCATAGACAGAAAAATATTACAGTCATTCCTTAAATAGTTTTCTGATCTATAAATGTATGCATTTGTTGGTTCTCATTCCCACTTGTATTTATTGACTATTGTTGGTTCACATGGCAGGTGATGCATGCATTGCAGGAGATACTTAATCTGTCGGCTCTACTTTAAGAGTTGATGGGATTCTCTCAGTGTTTGTTTTTCATCTTAATTTGTATCTTCTTAATGGATTGATGAGATTTGAACATCGTTAAACTAGAGTTGCCACAAATTTATTTGTGTGATAATGTTTTACAGGTGCAGGGACCTGTAGTTCAAGCTGTACCATATAAAGCATGTACTCAGATAGAAAATGCTGATGAAGTAAAGAACAAGATAGCAGTCATAGAAAGGGGTGATTGTATGTTCAATGATAAGGTAGGTCTGAATTATTTATTGTAAAAGATCTGTTTGTTAGACAGCAGTGTCTTGGAAGTAATGTTTGCTAAAACCTTTGAAATATCTGTAAAAAAGAGATATATAGTCATAGAATTATTGGTATTGACCTATATCATGTATATTGGCTCATTGCAAGACTAAACAACTCATGAACTGACACATTTTTCACAAGACATTCTGGATTTAAGGTTCTTTCTAATATTAACTGTGAATTCAAATTGGAAAATTAAACAGTGAGAACAGTCTTAAGTAAACTTAATTTATGATTGGTAATTTTGTTCAGATTTGACAAGATTTATCATTGTAAATTTAAGAAAGCAACTAGTATCGAGGGTGGGGTGTTGGATTTCAGATAACACAGATTTTAAGTATACTCAGAGTTAGTATTGAGTTGTGACCAATGTTGTCTTTAATAGAATATTTCATTATATATAGTTAAAATTCTACCAGGGACATGCACTAATCTTTTTTGTTGATAGATTGAAGTAACTGGTAAAGGTTGACATATACACTAGGTCACACTGGCCCCTAAAGAAAACAAAAATAAGATATGGGTTATTATAAATGAGACATTATACACAGAAAATGTATTAAGTGGTCAACAGGTATGAGCAGGTGGTTCAACTTGATCTACACTATAACAGTATCATACTAATGTAAAAAAAAATGTTAATGTCTTCAATAAAAAAAAATTCATGGTTTAATAAAGTTCATTTTTTATTATTAGGCTAGAAATTTACAGAAGGCTGGAGCAATAGGAGGCATTGTTATAGGTATGTATTTTCTGTTCAAGAGTTCTTTAATAAACAAATACCAACAAAACAGAAATGGATGTGGTTTAGGTAACAATTTTATTTTTATATTTTTGCATCTGTTTGTAATAAAATTTGAACAGTCTGATATTTTTTAAATGAAACAAATTTTAAGTAAAAATAGAAAATTGAAGTTGAGTTTCACCATGTACTATGAATTATACGTAGGAGGGTCTGAATATGCCTGAAATATTTGCCACTGGACATTAAGCTAACAACAATCAATCAAAAGTGGAAGTGTGTTCTGAAACAGGGAGTGGGGTATATATGTTTATTTGCAGACATAATTGAGATCTAAAATTCAGATGTCTATGATTTTCTTTGATAAATTGTCATATTGGTCTAAACTCATCAAGTGAAAATTAAAAAAAAAAAAATCACTAAAACCATTTGTTTTTGCAATACTTTGCTTTATCTCATTACAATTATTTTAAACGTAAAATATGCTTTGAGTGATTTTGTTTTTTATTAACAGACCATACTAAAGGTAGCACTGTAGAGGGTCAGCTTTTGTTTGCCATGTCGGGAGATGGAACTCAAGATGTTAAAATTCCAATGGTCTTTCTCTTCCACAAAGAAGGACATCAGTTGTTTGAAGTTTTGTTAGCTTTTCCTGAAACAGAGGTTTTATTGGCTCATACTCGTAAGAGTGAAGGTAAGCTTTTCCTGAAGCAGAGGTTTTATAGGCTCATACTCGTAAGAGTGAAGGTAAGCTTTTTTGAAAAAGAGGTTCTATTGGTTAATACTTGTAAGAGTGAAGATAAGCACATGGAATTAGTAAACAAACACATTCATTGTTGCTAACATCCTCGGCCTTTGGTCTCTGGTGGATGGTTATTTCATTGGCAGTCATACCATGTTTCCTTATTTTTTATATGGATGTATATACTGAATAATTTGTGGTTATTAAATTTTCAAGGCTTACTATTGCTCATGAAAAACTGATTTAAATCGTACATACTGTACATGCTATTTGGTCTCTGGTGGATAATTGTCTTGTTTGCAATCATACCACGTCTCCTTATGTTCATATTTACATTAATTGATATTGTATGAACAGCACTTTGGAATCATCACATAATAAGTACTTCATCTGTATTTTCATGCAGCTTTAAATAAAATTTTATCAAGAGCAATTTTCAAGTCAAAATTTATAAGTGGAAACAAATTGTTGATTTATGTCTAGATTTACCCTAGGTCGATTGTTTAGTTAACTTATGCTAGGTTTGCCCTGGTCAATTGTTCAGTTAAGTTATTCTAGGTTTACCCTAGGTCAATTGTTCAGTTGATAACTTATGTCCAGGTTTACCCTAGGTCAATTGTTCAGTTGACTTATATCCAGGTTTACCCTAGGTCAGTTGTTCAGTTGACTTATGTCTAGGTTTACCCTAGGACAATTGTTCGTTGACTTATGTCTAGATTTACCCTAGGACAATTGTTCAGTTGACTAATATCCAGGTTTAACCTATTTCAGTTGTTTAGTTGACTTATATCCAGGTTTACCCTAGGACAATTGTTCGTTGACTTATGTCTAGGTTCACCCTAGGACAATTGTTCGTTGACTTATGTCTAGGTTCACCCTAGGACAATTGTTCAGTTGACTTATATCCAGGTTTACCCTATTTCAGTTGTTTAGTTGACTTATATCCAGGTTTACCCTAGGACAATTGTTCGTTGACTTATGTCTAGGTTTACCCTAGGACAATTGTTCAGTTGACTTATGTCTAGGTTTACCCTAAGTCAGAATTTTTGTCTAGGTTTACCCTAGGTCAGTCAAAGTAATTTGTTACACTCATGTAAATAACTTATAAATTCAACTGACCAGTAACAAGACAGTGTGGATTAGAATGAGGAATATATTTTTGGTAATGTGTCCTGTTTTTAAAATATACATATGTACACTTAAAAACAGTCATAAAAGCCATCCATTAATTTAACAAAGCAGGTACACAAAATTCTACACATATTAAATATTAATCCAAGCATGAAATAAACCTGTATTCCAGGAAATCTTCAGAGTTTTGACCATATGATAAACCAAAGATTTGACACCTCATGATGCATGTTAATTTGTCAAGTTCAACCCATTTTCAAGTTAATTTCATTCAGTGAGAAAATGCTTGTATATTCATGTGGTAGCATGCTTGTCTTAAATGTGGAAAGTCACAACTTATTTCTTGAATGATCGAGTTAAAACAAAGATTTTGAATTTGGTATCTGCTGCTCTTCTGCCAAATGTGTGGCATTCAGTAACAAGAGCAAACAGATTTTGAGCTATAACATAAAAACAAAACATCTTTCTGCTGTCATATTTGCCACTGAACATTAAGCATTCTTAAAAAAATCAATAATGACTTATATACCAAGAACACATTCCACTGACCATATTTGAATCATAATATATATAAAGTACTGTATTATCTGGTTTTCAGGCTACTTTAGGCCAGATGGAGTGGCTAGTGTCACATCCCAGCCCAAATCACCACCAACCTCTGCAAAGGGCCCAAGTCGTGTAGAAAATGTTCCTAAAGTGACTGTTCGTGTTATTGGTGATAAAGTTACAAAGACAACTTTACAAGATGGAAATGATGAAACCATTATTTCTGACGGTTCAGGGAATACAGTATATTACAAATATCAGGCAGGAACTAACAAAATATTCATGAATGTCAAGGTCAACCCCAAGGACAACAAAAAACCTGAAATTCCCGTGGTAACAGACGATGATGTGATAGTGATAACTACAAGGCCAGATGGATCAAAACAATTATCATTTAATTTTGATCATATCTCTGCAGCAGTGTCAGAATCCGTACCTCAGTTGAATCAAATTTATCAATATGTTGTGGACATTATGAAAGAAAGAACAAATTTTAATTCTTTAGACAATCAAGCAGACTACCTCACGGCCGTAGCTCGAATTTTAGAGTCGGCATATTTTAATACAGGTTCATTTGACAGCCAGTCACAGAGAATGTTTGATAAGTTAGCTAGTGTTTTAGAATTAAAAAAGAAAGACACAGTTTCAAGTGAACAGAAATCCACTACAGTATTACATGATTCCTCACAAACAACAGACAGTCTCCCGTCCTATGCTTCAGAGGGAGATTTAAATGAAGAGTTTGAGAACACAGAACAAAGCTCTGAGCTGGAATCAGAGTCTTCTAATGAAAAACCTGAGTCAATAGCAAATGTTAAAATTATAGATGAAAATGGTCATATAAAATATATAAAAGTAGAAGAATTTGAAGACTTTGCTCAATTTACAGATATTGATGATTATGTGTCAAATAAACGGACAGATTTAAATAATGAAAATGTAGAAATTGATAGAAATGAAAATTTAGGTGACATTGATAATAATAATAATAATAATAAAGATGAGTTATGAAAATTACCGATTGTAATAAAACAAAGAAATAATATTTTAGGTTTATTTTTTCTTTTCAAAATGTTGTGGATTTAAAAAAAATTGGGTTTCATTTAGGTGTCAGAAATTATAAATGCAATGCTAGTCAACAAAAAGTAAAAATGCATTTTCTTTAGAACTTGAGAATCTGATTATTGGATAAAAATTATTATATATAGACTTTTTTATATATAAATATAAAGTCAATGTTCAGTATTAGATGTTAAAACAGTGATGATTTTTATGAAGTTATGTACACACTACTCTTCATATAAATCTTCTTTTTAAAGATCTGTTAGAAGTTGCTGTAACTATATGTCTACTTAATTGGTCTCAGTATTGCAGAGGTGGATTTAGAAGGGGGCCCGGGCCACCCCTTTTCTGGGAAAAATTTGGTTGATTATATAGGGAATCACTGAAGCATGACCAGAGTGGGCCCCCTCTTAGGCAGTCAGTGGGCCCCCACTTATGAAAATTTCTGGATCCGCCACTTATTCCATTCTTTTATAATAATTAAATGGTTATAGGTTTGTTTTATGTAAATAAACATGGCATCCAGTGATAATGGCACTGGGAAATCATATCCTGATTTTTGTATTGTTTTTGGCCAAAAAAATTCACATCCAGATTTTTGTATTGTTTTTGACAAAAAAATTAAATGATCAAATCACTGAAATAAGTAATAACAAGCCAGAAAAAAAGATATTCCAAGATCTTATTTGAATTAAAAAAAAAATTGTACCCAGTGAAATTAATGGATATTTCCTCTAGGAAAGACTTTTTTTCTGAGTTGAATTGTTGTTTCTTGTAAATAGCAAAAATCAGAGTATGAAAAGTAAGTGTTTAGATCTAAAAAGTTTTTAAAAATCAGGCCAACAACAATTAAAAAAATTTTTTAAATTTGGAGTTATGTTTTATAACTAGTTTTGCCATGAGAATTCTGTTTTTTGATGTTTATTCAAGTGAAATATTTCTGTGTTGATAACCATGATAATACTTAATCATATAAAGTCTATAAACATCCTGTATAACACTGACCCTGAGAGTATGCAAATTAATTAAGTAATCTGACCCTGAGAGTATGCAAATTAATCAAGTAATCAAGAGAATAAATGTGTTCATTTCATGTAAATCAATACAAGATATATAATGAATTTAATACATATTTACAGATATCTGAATAGTATTACTATTTATACTACATGTACTATATATGATGAATTAGGTCTGACAAAAAGTAAAAAAAAAACATCTTTCCTATAAACTAAAAGTTGTGTGTTTCTAAATTATGTCCTAATATTGATGTTATGGTAAATTGAAATACAATTTAATTGGTGGATAAAAATACTTATTAAAGCATTTAAGTGCTAAAACATTTTTTTGTAAAGATGGTGCTTTTATGTAAATGAAGACTGAGCATTAATGTTGAACAAGAGATTTAAACAACCTATTGCTCATTGTTGAAGGCCGTACGGTAACCAATAGTTGTTAATTTCTGTGTTATTTAGTCTCTTGTGGAGAGTTGTCTCATTGGCAATCATACCACATCTTCTTATTTTTATATTAGCTGTTTGTTAAAAACATAAAATTAAATCATGCAAATTACAGTCAACAAGTTGATACAGTCTGAGGTTAAAGTTTTTCAGTTATCAATAACTTTGTCAAACTTTCAAGGAATTTTAGGAAATTTGGACATAAGCTTAGTTATGACCAAAATACGGTATTCAGAGCAAAATTTTGAAAAATATTTATTTTCATTTTTCTGTACTTAACTGATAAATGGACTTTTTTTTTTTACATTTAACAAATAGATAGTCTGGGGTTATAGTTTGTTACACGTCAATTCCTCTATCAAACCTGCATTGAATTTTATGAACTTTGGCAGAAGCTTTTTTATGATTAAGAGATAATGAAGCAAACTTTTGAAAATATGTTTTTTCCATTTTCAGTATTTTTCTGATAGATGGACTTCGGTTTTTACAATTAACAGTTTTAACAAAGCTTTTTTTGACATGATGAATTTGTAAACCTTTGTGGATTGTTATGAAACTTGGACAGAAGCTAATCTTCAAGACCATGAAATATTATCTAAAGAAAAAAGGTTGAATTTTTTATTAATTCTGTATTTACTGATAAATGGACACACTTTTTAAGTCAACATTACACTTTTATACTGACAGCAGCAATCATAGGCAAGACACAGGGTTCCTTGGAACCTCTTACAAATTTTTTTAACCTTGAAGCAAATAAAGTCACAAATATTAAAGTGAGAGTTGAGAAACAAAATGCTGTTATTTCATATCAATGATAGGAACTATAAAAAATCAGAAATTTGAATTTTAAATTAACTTGGGCATAGTTGTGATCTCTTGTTGAACATTGTATGCTGGTATTTAAGCCAAACTTTTATTGACATATACATCATCTAGTCTTCCATTGTTATATATGTGTAGTGTATTGTGTATGCATCTGCCATCTGGTAATGGTATACTCCATTGGTATTTAGGGATATTATACCCATACATACAACTTTGATCAAAATTTATCGTATAGGAAAGGTCATCTTTTTATTGTAATGTCATTTCTGTTTTGATGATTGATTGGTTTATATATATTTTAAAACTACATTGTTAAGTACGAAATTTGTTATTTTCTTTTTCATTTATTTAATAATAACATCTATGTGTGTTTCAATGCAGAGTTAGAGCCAGTAAAATTTCTTGTTATGTATTGTTAGTGATATCTTTTGAAATGAGCCCTGTTATTTTAGTTAGCATTGTGGGTAATGTTGCTTCTATCATTGTAAACAGATTAATTTCTGTGAGGGATTTATTTTCCTAACCTTCAAAAGTAGAAAAATAATATGAATATCAATTGTTGGAACTTCTGTTATAAAAATACTTCAAGAAAGTTTAAAAATTCATGCAAATAAATCAACTCTCTTATAGATGGCTTAATTAAAAATAAGTTAGTTTACAGTAGTTTGTTTTTAGGCTAACAAAATATTTGTGTGTCTCCTTTTGCTTCAAGATAATTTTATAGATATATTACTTTATATAAAGACACAGATGTTCACAGTGACAACTTAAGGGAGAGTCAGCAAACCAGAAACTAGAAACATAAATTTTTTCCTGGTTTTAAATTCTTCAATATGAGTGATGTTTTATCTAGGTAGATATTTCACAGAGTCCTTATTTCTAGTAGCTGATTTATCTTTTTTTCACAGTATATGTAGTAATGAAAATCAAATTGTTTTCCCTATTTTATACGTTTATCCAAATACTGTGGATTCATATATTTGAGTGGTTACCAATTTTCATGGATATAGGAGAAATTGTACTTTCATGGATATTTGATTTTGTAGTTTTGCCAAAGTCTGCATAAAAGCCTATTAAAAATTTATACTTTGTTGAACATTTAAATTCATGGTTTACCTTTATCCACAAAATCCGGGAAAATAAGTACACCATTAATAATAAATCCATAAAAATTAAGTTTCATTAATATTTTCACAATATTTTATGAGAAAAATATGGTCCCAGTAAGGTAGATATATATACTGCTTGTTGATTAATGTTGCTCTGGAGCCTTGTCTCCTTCTTAAATCCTTGCTAGTGTTGTCTTGCCAACCCCAAATTGACAAGTCAGAATAACTCGATTCCAGTAACACTTGTATGATCCACTCTTTATCAGACCTTTAAATTTCTTATCAGAAAAATATGGTCTCAGTAAGGTAGATATATATATATATATACTGCTTGTTGATTCACGTTACTCTGGAGCCTTGTCTCCTTCTTAAATTCTTGCTAGTATTGTCTTGCCAACCCCGAATTGACAAGTCAGAAAAACTCTGTTCCAGTAGCACTTGTATGATCCACTCTTTAACAGACCTTTAAATTTCTTATCAGAAAAATATGGTGCCAGTAAGGTAGATATATATATACTGCTTGTTGATTCACGTTGCTCTGAAGCCTCGTCTCCTTCTTAAATCCTTGCTAGTATTGTCTTGCCAACCCCGAATTGACAAGTCAGAAAAACTCTGTTCCAGTAGCACTTGTATGATCCACTCTTTAACAGACCTTTAAATTTCTTATCAGAAAAATATGGTCCCAGTAAGGTAGATATATATACTGCTTGTTGATTCATGTTGCTCTGAAGCCTCGTCTCCTTCTTAAATCCTTGCTAGTATTGTCTTGCCAACCCCGAATTGACAAGTCAGAAAAACTCTGTTCCAGTAGCACTTGTATGATCCACTCTTTATCAGACCTTTAAATTTCTTATCAGAAAAATATGGTCCCAGTAAGGTAGATGTATATACTGCTTGTTGATTCACGTTGCTCTGAAGCCTTGTCTCCTTCTAAAATCCTTGCTAGTGTTGTCTTGCCAACCCTGAAAGTGACAAGTCAGAAAAAGTTGGTTCCAATAACACTTGTATGATCCACTCTTTAACAGACCTTTAAATTCCTTATCAGAAAAATATGGTCCCAGTAAGGTAGATATATATATTGCTTGTTGATTAATGTTGCTCTAGAGCCTGGTCTCCTTCTTAAATCCTTGCTAGTGTTGTCTTGCCAACCCCGAATTGAATTCAGAATAACTCGATTCCAGTAATACTTGTATGATCCACTCTTTAACAGACCTTTAAATTTCTTATCAGAAAAATATGGTCCCAGTAAGGTAGATATATATATACTGCTTGTTGATTCAGGTTGCTCTGAAGCCTCGTCTCCTTCTAAAATCCTTGCTAGTCTTGTCTTGCCAACCCCGAATTGACAAGTCAGAAAACTCGGTTCCAATAACACTTGTAAGATCCACTCTTTAACAGACCTTTAAATTCCTTATCAGAAAAATATGGTCCCAGTAAGGTAGATATATATATACTGCTTGTTGATTCAGGTTGCTCTGAAGCCTCGTCTCCTTCTAAAATCCTTGCTAGTGTTGTCTTGCCAACCCCGAAATTGACAAGTCAGAAAAAGTTGGTTCCAATAACACTTGTATGATCCACTCTTTAACAGACCTTTAAATCCCTTATCAGAAAAATATGGTCCAGTAAGGTAGATATATATATTGCTTGTTGATTAATGTTGCTCTGGAGCCTGGTCTCCTTCTTAAATCCTTGCTAGTGTTGTCTTGCCAACCCCGATTTGAATTCAGAATAACTCGGTTCCAATAACACTTGTAAGATCCACTCTTTAACAGACCTTTAAATTCCTTATCAGAAAAATATGGTCCCAGTAAGGTAGATATATATATACTGCTTGTTGATTCAGGTTGCTCTGAAGCCTCGTCTCCTTCTAAAATCCTTGCTAGTGTTGTCTTGCCAACCCTGAAATTGACAAGTCAGAAAAAGTTGGTTCCAATAACACTTGTATGATCCACTCTTTAACAGACCTTTAAATTCCTTATCAGAAAAATATGGTCCAGTAAGGTAGATATATATATTGCTTGTTGATTAATGTTGCTCTGGAGCCTGGTCTCCTTCTTAAATCCTTGCTAGTGTTGTCTTGCCAACCCCGAATTGAATTCAGAATAACTCGATTCCAGTAACACTTGTATGATCCACTCTTTAACAGACCTTTAAATTTCTTATCAGAAAAATATGGTCCCAGTAAGGTAGATATATATATACTGCTTGTTGATTCAGGTTGCTCTGAAGCCTCGTCTCCTTCTAAAATCCTTGCTAGTCTTGTCTTGCCAACCCCGAATTGACAAGTCAGAAAACTTGGTTCCAATAACACTTGTAAGATCCACTCTTTAACAGACCTTTAAATTCCTTATCAGAAAAATATGGTCCCAGTAAGGTAGATATATATATATACTGCTTGTTGATTCAGGTTGCTCTGAAGCCTCGTCTCCTTCTAAAATCCTTGCTAGTGTTGTCTTGCCAACCCTGAAATTGACAAGTCAGAAAAAGTTGGTTCCAATAACACTTGTATGATCCACTCTTTAACAGACCTTTAAATTCCTTATCAGAAAAATATGGTCCAGTAAGGTAGATATATATATTGCTTGTTGATTAATGTTGCTCTGGAGCCTGGTCTCCTTCTTAAATCCTTGCTAGTGTTGTCTTGCCAACCCCGAATTGAATTCAGAATAACTTGATTCCAGTAACACTTGTATGATCCACTCTTTAACAGACCTTTAAATTTCTTATCAGAAAAATATGGTCCCAGTAAGGTAGATATATATATACTGCTTGTTGATTCAGGTTGCTCTGAAGCCTCGTCTCCTTCTAAAATCCTTGCTAGTCTTGTCTTGCCAACCCCGAATTGACAAGTCAGAAAACTCGGTTCCAATAACACTTGTAAGATCCACTCTTTAACAGACCTTTAAATTCCTTATCAGAAAAATATGGTCCCAGTAAGGTAGATATATATACTGGTTGTTGATTCATGTTGCTTTGGAGCATCGTCTCCTTCTAAAATCATTGCTAGTATTGTCTTGCCAACCCCGAATCGACAAGTCAGAAAAACTCGGTTCCAGTAACACTTGTATGATCCTCTCTTCACAAGACTTTAAATTTTCTTATAAAAAAAAAATGGTTCCTGTAAGGTTGATATATATACTGCTTGTTGATTCACATTGTTCTTGAGCCTGTTTCCCTTTTAAATCCTTGCTAGTCTTGTCTTGCCAACCCCGAATTGACCCATAAAAAATGCTATGTTCCAGTAACACTTGCATGGACCACTCTTTAATAGACCCTTAAATTCTTTATGAGAAAACATCTTTATTTCTTCCTTGGGGCCTCTCAGTTTAAAATGGAAATTCATAAAAATTAAAAAATTAAGCATCAATTTTTATTAATATTCTGTTAAAAAAAAGGTACAAGCAGTATGAATAATAAGTTGCATGTGAAGTCCTTAAATCATAAGACATTGAAAGAATCAACATCTTGCACAATGGGTAAACAAGAAAAATATAAATCATTAAATAAAGTATAATTGAAAGTAGCGTTAGACATACTGTAGACAGTACAATTCAATATCATGAAGTTCAAGATCAAGTATCAATGAAGATTTTGATGTCTTCCATTAGAGTCTGGTATCTTCTTTTTGTCAGAGCAGAGGTTTCAGTTCTCTGGTATCTTTCTCATTCTTGTCCTTTATTAGAGGAGAAAAAGCAATATTCCCTTCCCAATTTCATGGTTTCAGTATTTTTTCATTGTGCCTAGATATTTAAAAAAAAAAGCAATTTAAACTTCACTGTTGATTGTCACGGATAATTTTATTGACAATAAAGCATTTGTGTAATATAGCCACTTGAAGTATGAAGCTTTGTTTGTAATGTTCAATTTGTGTTTCCCTTAAATTTTATTAATGAATTTCAGTAATGCTTTATACATCATCTACTTCACACCTAAAATTAATCAGTTTCACCCCACATTTTTTCTTCTTAATTTATTACATCTTAAAGTACTGAGAGCATTCTTTGACTGAGGTGAAAAAAAATACACTGTTGGTTTATTATTCTTGGTGTACTTACATTTGTTGATTTCCTGGGTAAACATTTACCACGAATTTAAGTGTTCAACGAAGAAAAAATTTCATATGGGCTTATGTTTAGACTTTGGCAAGACTATGAAATCAAGTAAACAGGAAAATACTGTATTCTGCAATCAATGTAAACAGGAAAATACTGTATTCTGCAATCAATGTAAACGACTGAATTCATAGTAGTTTATTAATTTTACCTGTTTTATAGTCATTCATTTTCCTGTTCTGTGAAATGACAACTTTCATTAGAATTTAAAATAAATCTAAATGTGGTGTTTGTGAAAGTTTTTTGTAAATGTTTCAGTCAAATATTTTATTGTGTGTGTATTTGGTTCTAGTTGACATTTATAAGAGAGTGCCATATTTTTATCCCTACAGTCTTATATATAAAGCAATTTGCAATTAAATAATTCTGTCATTAAACTTTATCATCCTGAACATGCATGAAATATTTGCCACTGGACTTTAACAACCAATAATCAATCAATCATTTAACTTTGATTTTTTCTTTAATAAGAATATTTTCAGTAATAAAAGTGACTTAAACACATAATATTAAGTATTAAGAATTATAATATGTAATATTCGTGTATATCAAATTTTGTTGAAACATAGATGAATTAAGATACTGAGCCTTTTGGAGCTCATGAATGAAGATTGATAAGGACCTTTAACCTCAGAAACCAGTTTTATTTTGTTTAAATGTTTATAATAACTGGTCTAATATTAAATTGACATGACAACCAATCAGCATTCAATTTTTTCCATCAACTATTTTGCCATTAAAGTATTAATTTTTTATCAAAATGCAAAAAGTTAAGTACGAAGTAAGTGAAAAATGATTAAATGTACAAGCCAAATATGTTTTAAAGGTAATTATGTTGTATAGGAGGAGAGACTATATCAATCAACTTCCTTGTCACATATTCCCTAATACAAATAATATTGATCTGATAGAGCAAAGAACGTACAACCATTGGTGTCTGAGGAAAGTCAACTTTAAGATTTCAGGTTTTTTTTTGGTAACAATGATATTAAGGTTACCACAAGTCTTTTTATCATTACAGAATAATTCATTGAATAAAACACACATTTTTATCTGTCAAATATATTATTCAGCATGTTTATTTTTGTCAGAATGAGTGTAACTTAAACATGCGATAATTAAAATATAAAGTGTTCAATTATCATTCCTCTATAAGTGTTCTATGTGTTTGTTGTTTTAGGTTTTTAGTTACATGTATGTTTAAACATATCATATGATGTCATGATGTGCAGCCTCATTGTGATATCATGACTTGTAGCCTCGATTTTTGTTTTTGTTTTGTTATTATATTTATTATGTTTTACAATGCCACATATTTTGTGGTTTTATGTACAATGTATTACGATATATGTCCGCCAGCATGTAATATTTCAGAAAAGTTATGAAATTTTTCGTTTTGTTTCAAACTCATCATTGGCAGAAACTTCCTTTTTTTAAATGGTTTGTTAAATAATTATAAGCTCTTAGAAAGAAATAATTGGTTGAATTCAGAAAAAAAAATAGTTTTTTGGTTTGTTTAATCAATTACAGTGAAATCCTGTCTAAATCAACCCCTGTGAAAACTGATTGCCCTACTTAGCTGAACTCTCATATAAGCTCAAACATTTGTTTTGTATTACTTCGCAGTCCGTATTGATAGCCTTATCCCTCTACTATTTAAGGTTTTGGTGGAATGGGTGTGAATTTTGGCAACAAATTTTAGTTCAGCAATATTTCAGACCCTGTAAATATCTTTAAATTCTATACATTGCTAAGCATTTCATGGATTAGTTATTAACATTTTTATTGATGAATCTAGGCAAATTATTCCAAAAGTGCAAATTATGTTAAAATCTGGATATTTTGTGGAATTGATAGGGCTCACATATTGAATTTGTGTAAACTGACCGTCAATGTAATAAACAAAATGTTCAATCCTATAGAGGTTTAGTTAAGACTAGTATATCTAATTTCATTTGTAATTCTTGGGGCTTTTTTTGGCATGCTATCTTTAGTTTTGACTCGCATGCAACCAAACAGTAGCCTAGATTCAGAAAAAAAGTATTTGAGTAACAATTTGTGTATTGTTTTATAATAATATGTAATTTTTTATTCTTAGATAAATATGGTTGTACTTACTGTCCCCACCCCTCCAAATGAAGATTTGAAAAAGAAGAAATCTAAGCAACAAGGAGAAATAATTACAACACAAACCATACATGTGTTTACCATTTTTCTTACTAAAAATCAAATATTTTTAATTTTATCATTGAAATAAAACTGTATGATGTTAAAACTAAATTACTTTGACGGTGAACTTAAAATGAAGATGCCTGAAGCTGTTTAAACTGATCAATATTGATTTCAATACCTCATAACTGTGTAAACAACATTGATAAAAATTTAAATGAACTGCAAGAAAACTAGCTAACACATATAGGGTTTAAATATCTCATGTTTTTTTTCTTCAAAAGCTGAAATCACCCACCCGCATATTAGTATTCATTTGGAAGAAAAAACCTGCCAAATTGTGAGTTGATCTCTAATCCAATATGATGAGTTATTTTCTAAGAACAATAAATCCTTGTATGGTGCTCTTCATGGCTGTCCCATTTTTGTAGAATCATTTTTATAATAAAATTGAAAAATAAAACATTTGTCTTATCATTTTGTCTAGAACAAATAAGATTATATGAAATCTGTATAAATTATGTAATAATTATTGAAAATACAGCCTTCAACGAAAGGTAATGGTAGGCAAATCTGATATCATAACCTTACTTTCATCCAACATGTACATGTTACAACTATGCTATACAACCAAAACAGTTGACCTTTCATTACTTATATATCTGAAAAGTGGACTTAAACATGATTATTAAAGATTGATCAATGAACAATGAAAATTAGGGCAAGGTCAGATGAATCCTTTCAGACAGACATGTATACTGTATAGTCATTCTTACACTAAATACCATTATAGTTGATCTATTGCTAAAGTTTCTGAGGAACAAACTAAATCATGAAAACTTAATGTTGACCATCGAACTGTGAAAGGAATTTCTGAATTAACAGTATTCATACTCCAAACATACCTTCTATTTTTAAGCTATAATCAAGAATAAGAGTCTTTTAGAAATCAAGAAACAAGAGTGCACACGCTGAAATGTCTCGCCTTCTTTACTAACCATTGATTTTATGTTGATAGTCCTAAATATAAAGCTTTACTACAAGTAACACATAAACTTAACATGATCCAAAAAAATGAGGTCAAGGTCAGATAAACCATACGAGAAATACATGTAGACCTTACAATCATTCAATAAATCAAACATAGTTGACTTATTGCTTATAGTTTCTAAGAAACAGTCTTAAGTTCTTAACCAAGAAAACTTAACATTGACCAATGAACCATGAAAATGAGGTCAAGGTCAGATGAACCATGCCAGACAGACATGTACACCTTACAATCAATTTATGCATTAAATATAGTTGACCTATTGCTTATAGTATCTAAGAAACAAACTTAACCATGAAAACTTAACATTGACCAATGAACCATGAAAATGAGGTCAAGGTCAGATGATACCTGCCAGACAGACATATACACCTTACAATCCTTCCATACAACAAATATAGTTGATCTATTGCTTATAGTTGAAGAAAATCAGACCAAAACACAAAAACTTAACACTGAGAAATGAACCGTGAAAATGAGGTCAAGGTCAAATAAAACTTGCAAGACTGACATGTACATCATAAAATATTTCCATTCACCAAATATAGTTGACCTATTATATAGTATTAGAAAAAAAGACCAAAACTCAAAAATTCAACTTTGACCACTGAACCATGAAAATGAGGTCAAGGTCAGATGACACCTACCAGTTAGACATGTACACCCTACAATCATTCCATATACCAAATATAGTAGACCTACTGCTTATAGTATCTGATATATGGACGACCACGAAAACTTAACCTTGTTCACTGATCCATGAAATGAGGTCGAGGTCAAATGAAAATTGTCTGACGGGCATGAGGAACTTGCAAGGTACGCACATACTAAATATAGTTAACCTATTACTCATAATAAGAAAGAAATTTACATTACAAAAAATGTTGACTTTTTTTTCAAGTAGTCACTGAACCATGAAAATGAGGTCAAGGACAATGGACATATGACAGACGGAAACTTCGTAACATAAGGCATCTATATACAAAGTATGAAGCATCAAGGTCTTCTAGCTTCTAAAATATAAAGCTTTTAAGAAGTTAGCTAACGCCGCCGCTGGATCACCATCCCTATGTCAAGCTTTCTGCGACAAAAGTCGCAGGCTCAACAAAAACTACCATGGTACATAATATTAAATTCCAAACAACCTATTGAAAACTTTGTGTACAAACATCAAACTAACATCAAAAACTCGTGATAAAGTTAAAGGTTCTATAAGGCTCCAATGTATTTCTTGCTAAAATTTCAAATAAGGATTTATTGAGTATTTGGTTTGTCAAAACGCTGCACTATGTGCTACCTAGGCCTATATGTGGTTGTAGTCCAGAAGATTTTGTGAAATGTCATGAAAATCTTGTTAATTGTGAAAAGTGCATCTGATGTAGAAAAATTGGTACTGTAAAGGGTAATTTTTACCACTGGGTCGATACCTCTGCTGGTGAACTGTTACCCCCTGAGGGTATCACTAGCCCAGTAGCCAGAACTTCAGTACTAGCATGAAATATGCTGAAGTCAAATATGGAAAATTATTTAAATTAAGGAATATATCTCCTTCATTCAAACCTCTGCCTTATCCTGATTACGCTATAATTTAAGTCCTCTTTTGTTTTTCAGCTCTTCATAGTTTGTATAAGGTTTTGGATTTTCAATTATTTTGAAGAGACAATAATTGTTGAAATGCACCTCTTGTGCAGTAAAATTGGTACTTTTAATGTTATTTTTTATTGAAAAAGCTCAACATAAATAGTTCTATTTCACTTTCTTTAATGTCTATTCATCAACTTGAAACACTTTTTATATTGCAAAATGGACAATTCGAAGCCAAGTAAGGCCCTTACTGAAATTACTACTTTACCATCCCTCATCATATTTTTTACTATTTTATGGACCTCTAATTTATAACAAAAGCAATTCAATGAAATATTTCTACCCCTTAGTCAATCTATACAAGTAGACAAGTTGATAGAATTCTGTCCTAGTTGATAGAATTCTGTCCTCATTTTATATACTGACAAAAAATATTGATGTTATAAGAACAATTTATTTGTCAAGTCCCTAAGCTTTCCAGTCTTGGTTGTGTATTCTCTATGATTTCTGTCATTATTTCTGGTTTTAAAATATCTTTTACCTACAAAAGAACATAGAATACTCATGTAAAATAGACAAAATATAAGGGTATGCATTAATTAAAGTTATATTTCTCTCAATAAAAAGAATGTAAAATGCCTGACAGAGATATGATGTCATTATTTGGACTATGAAATTGTATGGTTCTCCAATCAGTTCATAAGTATGTGTGCATAAAATGAAATAGTATGGTCATTTGAGTGCAGAAATGTTATTTGTGAGGTCACTGTGACTTCATGAACATGTCATAATTGACACCCTTGACTAAAAATACCACTTTTAATTGACTTTTCAGTTAAATGGAATAAACAAACAAGAGTGCACACACTGAAATGTCTCGCCTGTTTTACTGACCATTGATTTTATGTTGAAAGTCTTCTACAAGTATCACATAAACTTAACAATTTATAAAGACCCATGACAATGAGGTCAAGGTCAGAAAAATCTGGTCAGACAGACATGTTCACCTTACAATTATTCCATACACCAAGAATAGTTAACCTATTGCTTATGGTAATTGAAAAACAGACCATAATATAAAAACTTAACATTGACCAATAAACCATAAAAATGAGGTCAAGGGCAGATGAACCCACCAGACTGACAAGGTACCCCTTACAATCATTCCATACACCAAATATAGTTGACTTACTGCTTATAGTATCTGTGAAATGGACCTAATCATGTAACTTTAACTTTAATCACTTATCCATGAAATGAGGTCGAGGTCAGGTGAACCCTGTCAGGAGGACATGTAGATGTTGCAAGGAACCCATATACCAAATATAGTTATCCTATTACTCATAATATGTGAGAAATTCACAGGACAAGAAAACTTGATTTTTTTCAAGCAGTAACTGAACCATGAAAATGAGGTCAAGGACAATTGACATATTACAGATGGAAACTTTGTAACATAAGATATCTGCCTACCAGTTATGAAGCATCTAGGTCTTCAACCTTCTGAAATATAAAGCTTTATACAAATAATTTATATCTCCCATAGTGCGACTTTCATCACAGGCCAGACAAAAATATCTTTGAATAGGATACTTTATAACAAAATATTATTTATGGTTAGGCTGTTCCTCATATTTAATAAGAAGATCTGAAATTAATGCAATCTTGTGCTTATTTCCTTAACTGCAAGATTTAAATCAATGGTCTGTCATGTTAATGAAAGAATTAATGCATCAACAAATCCAAAATCACAATGAACAAAATTTCTACAAAATATTATAGACAGTGAAATCTGAGATATTCCTCATTACAACACGATTATCATGTAATATTATTAATTGTTCATAGAGGAATGTAACACAGTTCCTACCCGTTTGATATATTGTTATATAATTGATTGATTGTTGGTTGCTTAATGTCCAGTGGCAAATATTTCATGCATGTTCAGGAAAATACCATTATATGTAGCATACTTACATTAAATCTTAGAGATTCTTCATAAGAATACAACACACTTGTATCATATAACATCATCTGATGTTCAGAGAGAGCTATTACACAGTTCCTTAACCTAGCTATCACTTCTCTGTCTCCTTTAGAAACTGGCTAAAATCAGAAAAAAAGGTTGAAATATACTTATATAACTATTTCAAGGTCATAGTTTACATCAACTTATATTTTAAAATGTAGTGGAAGACATTTCACATTGTTAATTCTTTTATTTTCTTTGGTACACCAATCAATCAATCATAGACTGTTGATAGATTATATTTTCGTGGATACTTTGTTGAGTGGTTTCACCATACAATCCTATTAAAGTTCACAAACACAGTCGCACCTGTCTGTTCTGATTGCCAAAATTTCATCAGACTCACTACTTTTACATTTTGTGCCAATCTGATTGTCTGACTGTTCATTAATGACAAAACAGGTTGTTGCAACATTAAGTATTTGGTCAAACAATGAGACATTGGATGATGGTTTCAGCCTATAATAATGTCACTGAAAAACATAATTTTTGGAACCAGTTAAAGTAATTACTTTAATAATGGCGGACCACCAAATATTTTGTAGGACCAGCAAAAGTTTGCACCCTTTTCACTCCTTGGTTTGACAAAAGAAATGAAGTTTCGGGTGTTCTATCATATGAAAAATTTGTATTTTGTTGCAAAATTCACTTCACGGTTCACCTTTCTTCATGAAATTCTCCAAAATTAGTATCCCATGCCCACTAACATAAATGTACCCAAAGTATCAGAGTCAAACTTGTGTATCAGTCAAAGCATCCAGTATCTATTATTTGTCAAATGTTAAAAATCTGGGACCGGTACTCTATTGTACATAACTGATACCAACATGGCCAGATTACATTGAAGAGTAAATCTGTATACATTTTTTTTTAATCAAGTGACTTTTTCACAAACTACTAAATAAATGAGAACTCGTTATAAACCTTAAAGTGATTCACAAAAAAGCTGTTTATTGTCACAAAATTTATTTGGTTATGATCTCTATTTTGGTGACGTGAAACAGCTATATCATTTGAATCAATTTTATTGAGATGAAATCCAAAGAATGGATTATTAGTGCAAATGTATACTTTCTCAATATTATGCAACAAAAGATCAGAGACTTTAATTCTTAATTATAATAATATCCCTTTTACATTTCATATTAATAGCTAACCTGAAATTTCTGTGACTTATAATTTTGGTCAAAAATCAGCTAGCTGTTGGTTTTCTTGTTTAAATTGTTTCACATTTTGTTATGTCTCGGCCTTTTATGTGTGACTATGCGGTATGGGCTTTGCTCATTGATAAAGGGCATGTGGTGACCCATAGTGGCTTATATCTAAGTCAATGGAACTCTGGTGGATAATTGTCTCATTGGCAACCATACCACATCTCCTTATCTTTATAAATATGCAAACAAATTTTTTTGGTTTTATAAACATTATAGCATCTATACCATAAAACATCACCTGATGGCTGCAAGACAGGAATGTAGTTATACAAGTAACCATCATAATTATGAATGACTTTTGCCCTATTCTGCAAACTTCAACACTATCAGCTGATTGATGTTTAATGCCAACATATAAACATAGTTTAATATATCATACTGATCCCTAAGTGCCTGACCTGGAGCAGCTATGCATTTCTGATACTGTAAATTCAGAAATTATTGCATGCATTTATTATTGCGATTTTTTAAGAATGGACAACAATGCAAAATTAATTATTGCAATTTCAGAAATATCAGTATACATATATGCATCAGATATCATAATGCAGGTTCTTATTATTGCGATACTCACCCAGTCGCATTATTCACATTAATAAAAACCGGGCAAAAATTTCTGAATTTACAGTACTTTAATATGAATAAAAGGAGATATGGGGTATACATCAAAGAGACAACAAACCAAAAACACAAAAAATAAAAAGACATTTAAAGGTAAAAAAATATATATTCATCAACAATAAATAAATGTCTATTCAATATGTCAATCTTAACTAGCTAGATCTTATTCCAATATAAACAACAAATGCATACCTCTAAATCTTGTTCATAACCTCCTGTTTGTTCTGTCTCTTCGTTCATTGTAGCCGAAATCCAGACAGAGCCATTGTTCCCAAGAATTATTGTAGCACCACATGGTAATGTGTGAAAATGTGTTTTCCTTCGTTTGATTAAGGATGGTGATACTTGTATAATAGTCCCTTGAGCCAGCTGTCAAACATATACATGTCAATTAATTTGTTGTGACAGTAAGTTAAACTTTTATTAAATGGAGGAAATTAAATTCACCATAAATGAATAGTACCTATTTTCATACACAAGTAACAGTAATTAGTAAGTTATCATTCATTACTTATTATCTTAATTTTCTATTAACGTTTATTCACAGTCACTCAAAACAGAGAAAAATAACATTATTTTTTCAAAAACTGTAACAATCTTCACTTTAATTTCTAGATGTGTACTTCAATTTTCAATTCTTAATAAATAAAGACCAATGTATCAAGATTACAGCATGATATTAGGTTGTTATTGTACACTTATTTGATGGGTTTTTCTATTCAGTTTCATTTTAGCAAATTGGTGGCGGAAACAGAAGTAAACCACAAACAGTTATCAATAAATGTCAGTCCATCACATATCAAGTTCACTTTATCATCTCTATAAATAACTCTTGCTTAACCAAATAACCTAGTAGTTACAGGTTTGAATGTTTGTCGTGACTAATCAACAAGACCAATTGGTTTTTAAGCTCCTCTAAGAAAACTTCTACTGGTACATACCTTTCCATATTTTAAACTTCTAGTGTGTAAAGATAATGCACCGTCAGAAAATACAGATTGCACCTCTGCCTGTACAAGTTAAGGAAAAAGTCACAAAATAACATCTGTGTATTCAACAAATACACGAAAAAATACTGTGTATCCAGCAGAAAAAAATTGACCTTTCAAAACTATCATATTTATTTATCAAAATTATTTTTTATAAAGGTTACCTTTTCAGACCTAAAGAACTTTATAAGGGATTCTCAATGTTAACACTAATAACAAGAAGTTGAGATATCAAAATGCTTTTCTCATAATTTCCTGGAACATTTTTGTATTACTGTAGACAAATTACTCATTTTTTTTTTTCATATAACAATCTGTTCTTATGAACTTATTCACATTGTCATATACAGTAAATTTTTCTTGATGACTTTTGCATATTTCAATTACAACAGATTGTATGATTTTACAAGTAGCACTTTGTATACATTGTTCAGGATTTAGGACTGGTTGTAAGTGATATGACCTTTTGTGAAATATATGTCAGTCTGTGTTTTGATCAAGTAAGAGCAACTTAAAGAAGTAAAATTAAGCTTACGATCAGTGCAATTTGGGGAAAAAACTTACTGTTTTCCTATGAATTTGTTGTGTATAGAAACCACATAACAGGTAATTTCCTCCCTAATTGCACCAATGTAAGTTTGATTTGATTTTATTTAGTTGCTCCTTCTTGACCGCATACCAGAATGCCCTACCACAGAGTAAAAAAAATCTGCTGAAAAATTACATAACTCTGGGTCAAAAGTTGGTAATATGTAAATAGTCTAATTACAGCTGACTTTTACAAAATACAATTATATATTGTAACCTTAATTTGACAAGGATACACTTATGAGGTCTCCTTCTTTGAGATAATTTCTCATCATCTTTTCATCTTCCTCTGATCTTCTCCTCTACAAGGGGAAAGCATTGAAAACTTTTACTTTACACAATGTTATAAATTTACAAAATATCATGATATATCCTTGGAATCAGACACTTTCAAATCAATGTAGTAGACATTTCAACATGAATATATGTCATATAATGTTTTATAATAAAAACTGTAATACTAAACATGCTAAAATGTCATCTTTGCCAGCCAAGGGTTATGATCCAGTCCCCTCCTCTCCACCCTTGGCAGATTAAGTCAACATTTGTGATTACAATGCTGCACCATCTAAGTCACGCCCATTCAGACTACATCATTCTTGACCAATGGCAGCACTAAAACTCTCTTCAGTGTGGAGGTGTAAAAATGGTTGTGTCTCGTGTTTACAAATTTCATGAAGTAGGAACCGAAAATATACGTGGACATTCCAACACTTGCTCGAGAATCATACCCTGGAACTCCAATTAGTTGATTAAGAACTTTAAAATTGTCAATAAAATATTGACCTATGTTTTGGGGATAAAGACTTGTTGCACAATCAGCACATGGCAATTGTTTTTTTTTCATTTTCTACATTTACACTTGATCATCTTAAAAGCATTTTTTGATTGGATGCTGCCAGATACAACTGCGATCAATGGAAATCATTACCTCGTGGATCAGAAATTCTATCTTAATCCCCCAAGGGTGGAGAGGAGGAGACTGGATCGTAACCCTTAGCTAGCGAAGATGCTAAAATTTATGCTCTTTGAAGAATTTTCATTTTGAAAAATATAGGGGAGATAACTCATCAAGAAAATAAATGTGGATAGTGTCCACATGTGGACACAGATGATGCCCCTGCTTGCAAATCATATAGTTATAAAGGGACATAACTGAAGAACGGTAAAAGTGACGCTACCCAAATTTGAACTTGATCTGAGTTTTGTGGTAATTAGCACTGTGTGTAAGTCTATTAACATTTGGTTGAGGCTAACTTAAATAGAGAACAGAAACTAAAAATTCAGCAATTTTTCTATTTGTAAACACGCATAACTCTAGAACGGTTGTGTATAAGTTTTATAACATTTGGTTGAGACAAACTAAAAAATTCAGCAATTTTTATGTTTATAAAGAGACATAACTCAAGAATGGTAAAAGTGTCGCCACCTAATTTTGTACTTAATCTGTATTATGTAGTAATAAGCATTGTGTATAAGTTTCATAACATTTGGTGTAGGCAAACTTAAGTTAGAAAACGGAAACTAAAAATTTGTACTTGATCTTAGTTTTGTGGTAATGAATATTGTGTATAGGTTTCATAATGTTTAGTTGGGGCAAACTTAAGTTACAGAATGGAAACTAAAAATTTTGTAATCTTTCGATTTATAAAGGGGCATAACTCAATAATGATTAAAGTGACACTACCCAAATTCAACTTGATCTGTGTTTTATCAGTGGAAGTCAAAATTAAACATTGCATTGTATAAAGTATTGATTTTTTGTAGTTGATTCAACTATAGTCATGGACAAAGGAAGATAACTCCAATTTTAAAAATTACTTGATATTTAGAAGAAAATAAAAATTTTGCAATTTTTCCATTTATAAAGGGGCATAACTATAGAATGGTTAAAGTGACACCACCAAAATTCAAACTAGATCTGTGTTTTGTGGTAATAAGCATTGTGTATAAGTTTCATAACATTTGGTTGAGGCAAACTTAAGTTAGAGAACGGAAACTAAAAATTTTGCAATTTTTCCATTTATAAAGGGGCATAACTATAGAAAGAATAAAGTGACGCCACAAAAATTCAAAATTGATCTGTGTTTTGTGGTAATAAGCATTGTATATAAGTTTCATAACATTTGGTTGAGGCAAACTTAAGCTAGAGAACGGAAACTAAAAATTTTGCAATTTTTCCATTTATAAAGGGGCATAACTCTAGAACGGTTAAAGTGACTCCACCAAAATTCACACTTGATACTGTGTTTTGTGGTATTAAGCATTGTGTATAAGTTTCATGACATTTTGTTGAGGCAAACTCAAGTTAGAGAACGGAAACCAATACGGTGGGGGCATAAAAATGTATAAATTGCATTTCACCAGAAATATAGTACACAGTACGTTGTTCTATCAAATTATCAAATATATTACAACTTGAATATATATTTGTTTATATTCTAAACATATATTCAACATTACTATGCATCAATTATATTAATTGTCCACATATACTCCTTTTCTTACAAAGAGAACAAGTCAAGTAAGTGTGCTAAAGCAATTTAAAAGGACAAATCGATTCTTACAAGTTCTCCACCAGGCAGATTAACTGATGACAACATTAATATTGAATCTAACTTTGATCTGGTATCTACTTTCCATCTCTTTTGGCCCACTTCTATAATCCTTCCAATCACCACATCTCCAACTTCACCATTATATCTGTGGATTAAAAATAATTATGTCTTACAAAACCACTTCTATATGCTTACCAATCAAGGTAGAAGGTGTGGATGGTCATGAGATAACCTTCACAAGACATGCAAGATAGACTTAGACATACATTGTATATCAAAGGGACAGTACTGTCATTGTTGTGCATATTTATATTATCTATGTTTTTGAAGCTCAATACATTTGTTTATCCTCATCTCATCAAAGAGCTTTAAAGAAATTTTTAAAATATGTTGAAGGTTGTATGGTGACCTCTAGAAGTCTTTTGGTTCCCTGGAGTTGTTGTTTGCTATCACATCAGTTTTTACCCATCATTTCAATTCATTTATGATGTTGTTTCAAATGAAGTTGTAAGAAACTAAATAATTATAGAGAAAGAGTGCATCTTTCATCTTTTCAGGGAAATTCACCAATAATGTGTATTACGGTCATTATGATTGACTAACAAAGGTGTATTAAATTTTTATTGACTTACAATAGTGTACATGTACATCTATATAATTATTTTTGGCTAGTGATAGGATATCACATTCTAATTGATATGTTGAATATCTTTTGTCTTTAAGACTCTTTATGTTATTTTTTTGGTGCTTAATACCAATCTAATGAGCCAAGCCATTTCCAACTGATTTTTACAGATTGTTTTTATGTCGTTTCTACAGTTTTATTTGTGCTGTTAAAGCACTGTCCCAATTTAGGGGAGGGATGAGTGCTCACAAACATGTTTAACACATGGCTATACATGTACCAATTCAGGAGCCTGTAATCATGGTAATTCAGTGGTTGTCCTTGGTTGCTGTCTGTCATGTTTATTTTCCCTTCATTTACAAATCAGGCCATTGGTTTTCTCCGACATTTAAATTGCTTCACATTTTGTCATGTTTAGGCCTTTAATACCTGACAGTAGGGTGCATGTTTTGCTCAATGTTGAAGGCTGTATGGTGATGTAGTTGCATACATGTACATCCACATCATTTGGACTCTGGTAGATAGCTGTCTCATTGGCAATCATACCACATCCCCTTATTTTAATATTGTGTTCATAATGACTAACACATGACTTACAATGGTGTATATAATCATTATTCACTAATTGAAAACTGTATATATGCAATATTGAAATAATCTGACTGGTCCAATAAAATTGATATAATGTTTACCTTGTTTTAAGAGGTTTTACACATATCAATTTGTTGACTCTTTCAACAACACCAGCTACTGAGGCATGAAGTTTCTCATCTTCCATATATGTTCCATGACCACTGGAAATATGCAACAAAAAGTGAAATATAAATTATTTCTCTGGTCCCTATAATGGCAAAATCCTTACTTTTCTTTAAGTTTTGAAGGGAGGCAAAAAAAGCTGAAATTGAGCAATATACCTGCAAAATCCTACACTTGCAAGTTAAAATATATAATCCTTTATACATGTTGAATTAAAAAATATAGCCATTTTCATATATATATATAAATATATATCATATCCATTTTGTTACATCTTGTGATCCGTTTATTTGGCAATCGCCAATGGCAGTCAGCAGGGTTTAAGAACATCCCTTGTTTGCCTGTTAGTCAAATGCGTTTTGTTTGAATATACTTTTTCACTTTTTTGGTCCTTTGGGAAATGTTGTTTGTGCTGTATTTAGACCCCTCTACCAAGAAATTTGTTTTTCATGCACACGTATAAAAATTGCGGTTTTTATCCAAAGCAATCATAGGTTTGAACGTTGTTTTCAATTTAGACTTATTTATATTTTTTTGTTTGGGCTTGTATTACAATGTATATTTGCCTTCGGGTTTATATGATCCGTTCATCCTATTTCGACTCTTCAAAATTCAAGAGTCTATCCTAAATTGAGGTAAATTATATGGCCTTCCAAATACCGTTTCCATTCCTAACATCACTGAAGAGACATTAATTGTCGAAATCCGGATATGGTGTACAAATTTTTGCACCTCATGTTTGCAGTATACCATCTTTCCACAAGTTTATTGTTATCTGTTTGGTATTAAATTAATAATAAAGATCCATTTTTTTACATCTTGTGATCTGTTTATTTGGCAATCGCCAATGGCAGTCAGCAGGGTTTAAGAACATCCGTTGTTCGACCTGTTAGTCAAATGCGTTTTGTTTAAATATACTTTTTCACTTTTTTGGTCTTTTGAAAATGTTGTTTGTGCTGTATTTAGACCCCTCTACCAAGAAATTTGTTTTTCATGCACACATATAAAAATTGCAGTTTTTATCCAACGCAATCATAGGTTTGAATGTTGTCTTCAATTTAGACAGTCTAAATTATTATGCAGTGTAATAGTCTTACAAAGTTCAACAAGTTCATTTATACTGTGATTCCTTGTTTTAAAAAAAGGAACCCAACTTTTGTTGATCAGGAATGTCCCCTGAAACTAATTGAAGTAAAATTTTGAACTTGATTTTCAGATCTTATATCCCTAATCTTCATATTTAAGTGACACATCAGTCATGTCAGTCAAATCATGCAATTACTGCCTACTTATTTGATGCCTTAGTCCTTCAAAGTCTGACAAACATGTATAGCTAGTAATATACATACATCCTTGGTCCCTTGCTGTTACCCAAAATAATGTTGATTTTCATCTCGCGCAAAAGTGACTAAAGCCCTCAAAATCCTAGCTTAAACCCTGTTTAGACTTATATATATATCAGTTGCGCATTCAAGAATTTGTGAAAAAGGGGGTTCACAGAGGCAACCTTAGGAGTAAAATGTAATATTATGACCAAGATTAAACGAATGTTAAACTTTGTTACCTGTAAAAAAAAATATATATATATAATAATTGTATTCCAATACATTTCTTTAATAATCAATGTAGAAGTAGTTTTACTAAGCTATATATTTCATGTTAATTAACTTATAATTCGACATATTGTTTTTCATTTCAAGTTTTTGTCACATGATCTGTACTGTAAACAATAAAACTTTTCCGTCAGAATTTCAAAAAAAAAATTTTGTTGTGCCATTGAACTATCCGGAAATAAGGATTTGTCAATTACATTTTTTTCAGTTAGTTTTTTGTACTTGAATGAGAGAAACAGCACATGTGAGACAAAACAATATGGCCATCTCCAGAACAATAAAAGAACAGAGTTCCAATATCCCCCGCACATATTTTATCTATCCAAGGTACAAGGGCAATAACTAAACCAAGAATGTGTCCATAGTACAATCATTTTTTATGTTCAGTGGACCGTGAAACAGGGGTCAAAACTCTAATTTGGCAATAAAATTAGAAAGATCATATCATAGAGAACATGTGTACTAAGTTTCAAGTTGATTGGACTTCAACTTCATCAAAAACTACCTTGACCAGAAACTTTAACCTGAAGCAGGACAGACGGATGCACAGACCAGAAAACATAATGCCCCAACTACTATCGTAGGTGGGGCATAAAAAGCACTTTTTTTTGTTCTTTAAAACTTTTTATTAATATTTTTAAAGAGAAATGAAGGCTTCAGAGCAAATTCATTGTGATTTCCATTATAATTTATATTTCCAAGGGGCATAACTCCTTTAAAATATTTGATCAGAACTTATTTTAGAAAGTGTAAAGGACATTGCTGATATAAACCTATGATATAAGTTTCATAAAATTCTGGCAAGAATCAATTAAACACATGAGAACGATAACATTGCAATTTTCCATATCATCAATATTTTATAGGGGCATAATTCTTAAAATAATTGATCGGGACTGATTTTTGAACTCTTCTCTCTAAAGGTGAGATCATGTAGTTCATGAAAAATTTCCCATATATATAGCGTTAATAGGAGGGTAGGAATGCCCTTTACTGTCTGGCGTTAAACGGTCATTTTTGGCTAATTGGTTAAAATTTTATGGTGAGTCGTCAAAATATTCATATCATGACTTGTCAGGGGTCTCAAACAATTAACTGTTACAGTTATTACTGTAAAAACTTTAACGTGATTTGTCAAAATCAGTTGATTTTTTTTATCGTCATAAAGAAAATGTACATTTTATCATCATGCGCCAAAAATTACTGTTTACTTCATTCAGTGTTCTCCCAAGACCGTTTTAGCGTCGCGGTACCGCGACGCTATATTTTTTTCCCGTGATGCTATAATAATTTCCGCGACGCTATAATTATTTTGAGGATGCTATTTTTCTTGTTTCTATATCGTAAATCCATGTCCTAAATTTTGAACTTTCATCTAATTACCGCGTATGATCATAAAAATTATATCACCTTTAAGTGTAATCCCTTCAAGTCGGACAATAGAGGCATTTCAGAGTGATTAAATAGGTGTTAATTGCCCTTTGGGTGATAACTGTTTGGATACGAATACCCCAAGCTGACACTTGTGACATGATTAATACCACGTGGTCTGGCTGCAATCGCAAATTAAGACATGGAATAGATGTAATCAAAAAATCATAAAACAGTTCGAAATCTACGTTTTGCATTACGGAAATTCAAAGATACAAACGATTTTCTCTTTAAAAGAGGTTTGGTCGTTTATTTTTACAACTTTCAGTCAGGGGTACTACTTGTACAAGTAATTTTTATTTACTTGAAGAAGTAAATAAAATATACTTATACAAGTTAATTATATTGTCTGAATAATCTCCCCTTAATTTTCTAAAAAATTTACTTGTATAAGTAAATTTTTTTTACAATCCCACAAAAATTCTCAAGTTTTGAGATGTAAAATCATGCCTTTAATAATTTTTCTCAGGTTAGCTCATAATTTTTGATAAGAGTTCAATGTTTCATCTCATTAATTCAACAAAGAAACTGATTGAGCAAAGATCTTAAGTATTTGCGCAAGGCCTTCAAAAATTGCTCCTTGGGGGCTTGTAAATGAGCAGTGTTCTAAAGATAAAAGACAAATGAGATTTTCATTGTCCATGAAATTACACTTAAATGAATAGTAAAGACATCTGCAAAGGACAGACAATTCAAAATTCTGTTAGAGCAAAGAAGTTCTAAGAATTCAAGAAAAGAAGATAGGATGACTTTTTTACTTGTATAAGTAAAAAAATCTGAACGCCTAAGGGACATAACTAGGCCAAAAAATAATTTACTTATACAAGTAAATAAAATACACTTGTATAAGTATCCTACAAATTTACTTATATAAGTATATTATAATTACTTCTTCAAGTAAATAAAAATTACTTGTACAAGTAGTACCCCTGACTGACTTTCATAAAATTACTTTCTTTCTCTTCCGCCGGTACTTCTTGTTAATCGAGAGCGAACATATCGGTTTAGAGCTAAATAAGTTGGCTTAAGTTTATGTTTCATCCATTTAATGCATCAAAAGCGTCACATTCGTTCCCAATCTCTTGTCAAACATTGTTTATTTTCGTTAATTTTTCTTCGGCCGCCATTGACTAATTTGTGTAAACTACCGATCGGAACCGGACCAGATATGACAAAAATCCGCATTTTTACGATAATAACTACAGATGCACAAATGGCACAGCAGACAGAAAAAAATATACCAAAAGAGAAAACTACGCATTAACAGACTATTTGTTAGATAACTTTGTTAAAAATATCTATCATCTTGATATAAAGAAACAACTGGGACTAATTCATTGAGTACCATGAAACAATGAGTTTTTAGACTTGAAAAAAGTTTTTTAATTGAAAGTTTATTGCTATATGATACTTTCTCTTCCCTTTTTATATAAAAAACAGTTCTTTTTTTACTTGATATTTAGTATTGTATATGTATAAAGGTTGCACTATAATAAAATATTCATTCTTTCATTCATTTATTTGGGTAGGTAGGGTAACTAGAACCAGAGACATATATTGTATTATATGTCTCTGCTAGAACCACACATATATTTTTATATGGCCCAAGAGGAAAACAATAATTCTGTACAGTAACTATAAATGAATATAGAAAACTGAAACTGAAACAACTGTTATCATGGTTATATTTTAATTGTATTCTCAGTTATAACATAAAGGAAATAGAGCATCACCGCGATGCGACCAATGACATTGAAAAAAATACAGTTTATCTTTTTTACGCCAAATGTGATGCTATCCAAAATTTCTGGGGAGAACACTGTCATTTGGCAAGATTTTTTACCGTTAATCGTCATGAAGGTACCCCAATTACAACCCTCTAATAGGGGTTGGTATTCGGCATAACAAATTCTTTTAATTGATAAGCAGCATTTCAGTAGTTAGGAAAGTGTGATAACATACATGTACAATGTACCAAGGGAACACAAATTATATCTAGAATATAATATCCAGCATATATATACATTATGAATCCCTAAAAATGTTTCAATTTTTAATTTTGCAAGGATACAGGCTTATCCCACTATCTGGTAAACAACGCCATAACCGTGCATAACTGACAAACTTTTCCGTTAAAGGACATAACTAACAATAGGATATTAGTTTTCCTGCTGAAGGTTGGTGCTTCTAGACTCAGGTACTCCAGCTTCCCCCACCAATGAAAACTCCTGCCCATGATTTAGCCAATTGAGCTCAAAGTGGCGTTAAACACCAACAACCAATTTTCATCAATCTAAAATATGCATGAAATATTCATAACTGGGTGGGAATTTTTTTTAACTGATTAAGAAACCAAAAAATTATTATTCCGTCCCCAAACCGATCCGGCCCCAAGTCGATCCGGCCCAAAGTCGATCCGTCCCAAGTCGATCCGGCCCACGTCGATCCGTCCCTACGTCGATCCGGCCCCATAATAAAATATGAATAAACTATATTGACTTTGGAGGATTTTGTGACAAATTTTAACAGTATAAATGGAATTTGTAAAAAGTATCGTTGATGGATGACAACAGGTAAGTGAAGTATTGGAGTACCAGTCAAAGAATTATTTTACATCGATACGAAAATGAGTGTGATTGTGTCTGTTTGTATAGCAGCTTCAACATATTTTAATATGAAGTTATTTTCCATGATAACTTTGAATGTCATGGCGATTTTTATTTTATTTAATTCACACACAGAATAGCTTTACAGTCCAATGGAACCTATAAAATTTAACTCATCATAATGACTTGTTTAATCAAATCATTAGTCTTGGTTTGTTTATTCAACAATTGTCTAATGATTGTGAACTTAGGTAATGCCTCTCGTAATCACTTAATTCAATCAAATCCTGATTGATTAAAGTTACGTAATCAACAAGGTCTTTATAGTTTGATCTTTTGTTTGGTGTTATGTGTTATAATAATTAGTTGTATTTTTTTTCAGGTAACATCAGAGGCTTCTATAATACATGTTTGTTTTTTTGTAATATCGAATATAGTCAATATATTTTTTTAAAGTTGACAATATTTTGAAAAGTTGTGTGTAGATAAAAAAAAACAAGTTATAATATGATGTCACACTATCATAATCTAAAAACGTCTGGAACCATCTTGTAGAAGTGGAGTTTGATGCCATTTGAGAAGTTTTAAGAACTTAAAACAAAAACGAAGTTTGTATGTATCAGCTTGGGGATCGGCTTGTACCGTTGTGTATGTAACTATTTGTTATTACACAGGATGAAAGACTTGTTAAGATCACAGACAATTGAAAGAAAATGCTAATTACTGCATGTTGATGTCTGTTGATTGTACTAAATTCTGTTATATACGTTTTTATTATAATTTTATCCATTAATCTTGAAAACTTGTAATGAAAACATAATCAACATAGTTGTTTTAAACTCATCTGAAGAAAATATTTGTCAAAGGCCAATTTTTTTTTACCGTACACCTTTTACATTATAATAAAATTCATAAACATTTATGAATTACAATTAATATATATCTTTATTTTTATTCCTTATAAATATATTTTTTTATTGGGCCGGATCGACTTTAAATATGGGCCGGATCGACGTTGGGCCGGATCGACGTGGGACGGATCGACTTGGGCCGGATCGACGTGGGGCCGGATCGACATGAAAGCAGTTATGTACACGCATGCATCCATTTCCTACCGCATAAACCCAGTATCTGCAGTGATAACATCGCCTGGACACACAAGGTTTGATATTTCCTCTGTGAACTCTTGCTTCTGACGATCTCTGGCTCCAACAACACGAATATCAACCATGCTGCTTCCTTGATGGTTTGTTTACAGCTCAGATCATTTATGTTCTTTTCGGAAAGTATAAAATTGGATACTTCAAAACGTTTTGAAGACAGGGACTTCAAAAATTAAGTAAAATCCAGAGGATCACCGAAATTTTAGTTAGAAAATTTGACCTTTCATTTTCAATGAAGAATCACGTTGTATAACTTTCATCAAATTAAAAGATGACAGAAGAACAAGTTGCAGAAGCTCGTACTAGCAAGCTCGAAGAGCTGCTCATGCAAGATGAGCCCGAGGTAATTAAAATCTGCGTACCACTAAAACAGTTTTACAATTACATCACATTTCAAAGTTGAAGAGTTTTACATCATACATGTAATGTACATGTAATCAGCTGATATAAATATTCTTATTAAACCATTCACAATTTTATGAAGTGTTCTTTGAGTCTTTTGCAGTCCCATTGTATTGAGCAATGGAATTGCGATTCACGAAAATGTTGTCAATATTCAACTCAAGTTCTAAAAAAAAATCAGAAAATATCTATGACAGGGTCAAAAATTTTATGCTTATTTACATATATACATAATTATTTCTGTATATACGTAATTCTATTTACATATATACGTAATTTGATTTACATATATACGTAATTCCATTTACATATATATATAGAGATAATTATGTTTATACTGAACTTTTTTGTATATACAGAATTCTTTATGTACAACTTCAACTACAAGTCATGTATATACTTAATTTGATTTACATATATATATGTAAATCAAATTACGTATATTCGTAAATCATTTTCTTTATATAAGTAATTCGAATTCTGTATACACGGAACTATTTCTGTGTATACGTAATTCGATAGATACATATATATGTAAATATGTAAATGAGTATTTTTTACCTTGTTTCACACAATACTATCGTCTATTTTCATATGAGTATACAAATTTCACGGAAGGATTTAGGTGGGGGCGTGGCAGGCCCCCTCCTAAAATTTACAAAGCATGGGTTGTCCTCAGCTTAATAAAGAATATTTCGATAATTTTACCTCAAAAAATTTTTTCGCCTCGCTCCGCTCGCCCAACATTTAAGTTTTATTTAAGTATATACAGAATTCGAATTACTTATATACAGAAATAATAATGTATATACGAGCACCAAAATGAAACCTAAAGACCCTATTAACAGTAATTGACCAGGTAGAGTGGTTTTTATAGTTATGTCCACTCAAAATTTCAATCGACCAGTATTTCCCAGTATTTACTGCCAGCATGGTCAATACTAGTAATGACCGCTTTTTTGCCAATCTTGCAAGTAAGAGCAATAGAAGAAATAGAATATGGAGAAAAATATTTTTATTTTTATAAAAAAAATTCTATATTTTAAACTGATACATGTAACTGGACTTACTTTTAACTTTTATGCTGACAGCAGCAACAATCATATGCGAGACACAGGGTTTTGTGGAACCCTTTACAAATTTTTTATAACACCATCATGATTTGGTTGTCCATGACTTTTATACAGAATAATTGTTTCAAAGATTACTGAATATGTTTGTTGTAGCCATAATCCTGTTCTACATGTTCTAGTCCTGAATATGCATATTAATTTGCCGCTGAACGTTAAGCAGCCATCCATCGTCATCATCTAATTTCTTAAATTGTTTGATAATTGACATTTTTATATTTTTTCAGTTTGTAAAGAACAAAGATGTGTGCCAATCAAGGTGTTTTATTAAAGGACTGGGAACAATGTTTGTAGGTGGGTACATATATACCAATTTCTTTACTTCTGTCTTTTAACAAATAATTAAACATATTGTTTCTCTTATGGAGCTAGAAATATTTAAATGGTTAAACAAAATGTCAGTTGTTTAATCCCTTGAGCTATTTGAAGACACCAAAGATCACTTTAAATCGTGGGCATTTCCCAATGGTAAAATAAAGGCTGTTTAAAAATGTAAAATGTTAAAAATGTGAATGTAGATTTTTTGCATAGTTGATACAACATTGTACCAAAGCTAAATAAAACAGTCAAGTGAGTTATAAACTTTTAGCTTTAAAAATCTCCCACCGAAAGTTTTTGAATTTTCCATGAAAGACACGATTCAACATTCTAAAGTCACTTTAATTGACTTATGCACAACTAAGCTTATTTGATGTAATGGCCAAGCATAGAACAAATTTAAACATGTAAAGGTATTTTGATATTTAAAAAATCCTACCATGAGAAAAAAAGAGAAACAGTTGTTTGCTACATCTCATAGAAAAGAAATGTTATACATCATGACTGACCCATTCTATTGAACTGAATGTACTGTTTATACACATAAATCTACAATAAAACTTATAATATGTAGCTTATATATATATACATTAAGAATCCTTTTTTGGCAAAAGTTGCACCCGTTTTTTACTGTGGAACATTCTTTTGAGTGAATAAAGACACTTTTTTTTCTGCAAGCAAAATTAAACCAACAATTAGCCATGCATTAACAGTACAGGGAATTATGGAGGAGCAAAAAAGTCCTACTTACTGATACTTATTTTTCATCATGTTCATATAATTGTGTCAATGGTTTGTAACTTTTCTACCAAACCAAAATGGCTATAGTGAATTATTTTTTAAGTATGACCAATATAGTGTACTAAGGTTTTATTTATTGTTTCAGTTGCTACAGCTGTTGGAGTTCGTCAGAATATTAAAGAATTGACAACAAGAAAAAGACTAAAAAAGTATTACATTTTACCTTTAAGTATAGCCGGCTTGGCAGCATTGGCAGTTACTCAATACGAGTACAATAAGTGTAAAGAAAAATTCTTCAAGGATTGGTATGAATACCACAAAGCACGCAACTTTACAAGATTTCCAGAGGGTACAGGTAAGATACATTTACTAAAAAGTAAAATAACAAAAATAAATACCGAACTCAAAGTTAAATTCAAAAACAGAAAGTCCATTATCAAATGGCAAAATCAGCAGCTCAAACACATCAAACAAATGGAAAACAACTGTTATATTCCTGACTTGGTATAGGCATTTCCTTCATACACTTAATACTTTAAAATCTGCATTCATGTTTATGCAATTTAAAATGCATAAAAATAAAATTATGCATTTGTGTACTATAAAACTGCATAAAGAAATTATGCATTTATGATCTATAAATTTGTATGTTTGAAATTATGCATTAATGTGCTATAAATCTGTATGTATGAAATTATGCATTTATGCACTATAAAACAGCATTAAATCAATTTTGCATTAATGCTCTATAAATCAGCATAGAAATTATGTATTTATTGCAAGAAAATAAATCGTTCATAAGAATACGTTGCTATTGGTCAGGGTATTTAGATATTTAGAAGGTGAACTGATCAATTAAATTAAAACAATATCTTTTGTCCTCTGCAGCATTTATTCAATGAAGACGTTAAATTACAGTATATGTACATGTATTTTCATTACAAGGAGTTTTAATTTTTGTGCTGCACAATTTAGTTTTTCAAGGAGAAATTTTAAATTCCACAGAGGACAATATCTATTGTATTTATTCAAAGAAATAGTTTATCCTCCAAGAATTTAAATACCCTGACGAACACCAACTGATTCAAGGTTTAACTTCCTTCACAATAACTGCATAAAACAGAACAATTGTATCAGTACTTTTACTAGGTAATTTGAATAATTTTTTGGATCCCTATATTCCTCATTTCAGATAGATATATTTTTATTCATCTGTAATAACAAAAAAGGTCTTTCTAGCAAGCTGGTTAATTCCAGTCCACCATGCCAGGTGTTATTTAGATTTAATAAAACTATGTACAAAAACATTACTGTGGATTCATTTATTTTCGTGGGTACCAATTTTCGTGGATTGATGAAAACTTGCATATTCGTGGATATTTGATTTCGTGGTTTTGGAAAAGTCTGCATACTTTTCTGTAGAAAACTTGTATTTCGTTGAACATTTGAATTCGTTGTTCCCTTGTACGCACGAAATCCACGAAAATTGGTATCCAACGAATATTAATGAATCCACAGTAATACAAACCAATCAACTCATAAGCTGTACCAAAATAAATTATTGATAAGTTCAATTTTTACTGTCCACAAAGCCCATTAAATATTTGACTTGTATGATGTATAACTGTATTGTTTTCCTTTTTACAGACACAGCTGTATAGCAGGACATGAAACAATGGCTGATGTGTGTCTTGTAACTTGAAGGATGAAAGAAGGAATATCTGAATGTGATACATAAAGATTGTTATGTGGCAATCTTCAACATGGATAAATACATATTCATCCTCTTTTTCTTGTTGAAAGATCTTTTGATTTGCTGAATTTGTATGCCACAAACATGTTATTTGAACTTTTATTTTATTTTTGACTATAGTTGTCATAAAATGACAGTGACTTATGATTTTTGATACATGTTATAATCATAATAATGTTATAAAAGAGTATGCAACATCCCAGTAGTTGTTTATAAGGAATTTGTGTATTTCATCTTTGAAAATAAGAAACAAATCTAAAGATTAAACTTGTACATGTATTGCATAATTTTAATTCCAATTTCACAGCACTAAACAGTATTTAGAATTTGACCTTAATTTTAACAGATGTTCAAAATTATTAAGAAGTTAGTAGCTTTTCATAATTGGGTTTTTCTAAAGGAATAACCCTAAAAAACAGTCTATAATGGTTTACTTTTATAAATTTTGACTTGGATGGAGAGTTGTCTCATTGGCACTCATGCCACATCTTCTTATATCTATATTCATTCTAGAAGGTTACTGTAAAAGTCCTTAAAAAGAAAAACAACAGTTTTCATGGTTCAAATCAATATCTATTAAATCATTTGTTTTTAATTTGACAAAGAAATCAGAATGATGTGTGTATTTCACTGCATAGTTTATCTTCTAGTATGTACATAGAAATTTCCTTCTAATTAAAGTACAGATGAAATTTTTGAATTGTGGTTTAAATTTGTAAGAACTTTTTATTTATTTATATTAAAATAGTCATAAAAATCATTAAATTTCCTAATGTAATGTGTTATAATTCATAGTAGTCTTAAGATTTTGTTGGCCTTTTAAACTATGAATTTAATTACCGAATGAAAGCATATATTTTATACCAATTTATTACTGAAACCTCAAAAACTAAACAAAAATCAATTAACCATGAATAAAAGTACATTAGTTAAACAGTATTTTTGACCAAAATCTCTTCATTCTGTTGATCTGTCATTTAAGTCTTTTCTTCATTTATTTGAAGGTCATGAAAATTGACCTCCTGATCATTAACTTCCATCATATTTTGTCATACTGTGTTTTTTAAGCTGTGAAGCATGTCTATGTCACATCATGTAGATAATTATATCAGAATGATAAACTTGTATTATTGTGATATGTAAAATAAAGGTCTTAACTTAAATATTATGTTTCTCATGAAATATCAGTGTATTAACTTTGGATTTATAATTTTTTCTAACCTATGCAGTTCTTCTCTGTACATTTCTAACCTATGCAGTTCTTTTGTAAAGACTAAAGCTGTTCAGCAGCATTTTGTGGTTACATTATAAACTTGCTTGATCTTTATCAGATGAGTGTGTTGCAAATGTTCAACTCCTTTATCAACCCTATGACTAGAGATACTGGTCTCCTGTGTGACTGTAAGAACCTTGTTCAGGCATGTTAAATCTGATGTATTGTTTGAAGACTTGTTCACTACCCTCACCTGAAAGAACTCTTGTAACAACTTTTACGAGATCAATAGTTGACCTGCTGGAAGCACAGGCACTAATGTCTCTGAAAAATATTGCCTATATACCTTTATATAATGTTATATCAAGATATATATGTAATTTTTTTCAGAGACTAGTTCCTTTGGGTGGAAGATTAAATATTTTCCCCTTTTTCAGCGACAGTAAAATTTTGCTGCCCTTCATAGAGATCCACCAACATTTTTAGAACTTGAAGTATTTGCAAATGAACATTAAACTATCATCATTTTATCAATAACATTGTTATTAATTTTAGGATATTGTCCTCTGCAATATATGTTTGTCACGCCTCAACAAAGTGGGGGTCCGGGGATTGGAACCCCTCCCCCTTTTCTTTTGACAATCAATGCATTTGAATGGGGACTTATAGTTGGAACCCCACCCTTTATCCTGGGTTAGGAACTCCCCCTTTTATAAATGGCTGGATCCTCCCCTGTAACCACTAATGGTAGGTTTATGATATTAACTATATATTTGTATAAGCATAAGCATATTTCATTTCCAAAGAGATGATTTGGCTCTGCCCTATTCAGTCATCGGCTATTGACTTTGAAACTTTTGCATAGTTTACATGTTAAAGTTTGTGATTATGTCAGTATAAGGGGAACCACTCACAAGTCAATGGTATTTGGTATGCAGTTGCAATGGTACTATCGGTAGCCATTTCCATGGAGAGTACTAGAATATGACCCTGCCTCCTCAGTCATGGTTCATTGACTGGAATTTTTGCATAGTTTATATGTAAAGTTTGTGATTAGGTTAGTATAAGGGGAAGGCTATTGGTATATCTCATTTCCATGGAGATAATTTGGCTCAGCATGTTATAGTCATAGTTCATATACCTTGAATATTTTGCATAGTTAACATATTAAAATATTGCCATTTGAATTTTGATTTCAAGATTACATACAGGCGAGGCATATCTTTGTGTCAACAGTTTTCGTGAACGTTTCATCAGAGTTATTATTATGGTAGAATAACATGTTAAAAGTCTGTATGGTTAAAGTTTAAAAATCGATCTTACAAGGAAACATTGCAAACGTAGAATGGACAACATATATGAAATCATTTAACATTCCTGATAGAAATGTTCAAAAAGTTGATTGGAATCACTGAATGATAATAAAAGGTAACAGACAGGTGACTTCTGTTAGTTACATCAGCTGCCCTTCTATGTTAACTGGCAGTGTATTTGATTCCATTGTCAATCATGACTGGCCCAATTGGTCAAAATGTATGATTTTACAGATTTCTGACAAAACAGTAACATTCTTTTACAGACATGAACTGATCTAGCCATAAAATGAATACATGGTAAATCATAGGCGGATTAAGAGTTGTTTTTTTTGTGGGGAAAATTTGGTTGATTATTTAGGGAATCACTGAAGCATGACTGGAGCGGGCCCCCTCTTAGGTAGTCAGTGGGCCCCCTTATGAAAATTTCTGGATCCGCCACTGTAAATATCTACGGCAGGTATATACCATTGACGTAGTTGAATCCATATATAATCCCATCTTCACCTGATTTTTGCTATTTTCTCAGTTTTTCGATTTTTACCTCCAAGATGGCCAGTAAAGTTGTCATAGTTTCATAAAAGCAATTTTAGAAAAGGTAGATGGACAATAATTTGCAAGAATAATCCTCCGGCTGTTGTCAAACCAGTTCAGCATGTAGGGTCATATGTGAATGACTATTGACATCACGACTATAGGCGGTCAAGGCCGCAATGGGTTAGGTTTACCGTCAGGTAACTATAAGAGGTCGCTGAAGACGACTTTAAGCAACTCACTTCCACAATAAGAACGAACATGTTTTATTGCCAGTAAATTCGAGCGCACCTGCCACACGCGGGATTCAAACTCCCAACCTCAGTGTTGACAGGCTAGTTAGTGATACTGGATCATACTGGGGCGTGTTTTTTTTTGTTCTTCGGTAGTGATCCAGAAGAGGTCCATTTCTGTTTTTTTGCATTGGGAAGATCTTCAGTTTCTCTTCTACCTCTTCTTTTTGAATAGGTGGTTTAGACGACAGAGGCACAAAACAAACATGGCGCCGTCTAGTCTAAATGACATTAATAAATTTATGAATGTAGATATAATAGAATGTGAGCTTTTTATGGTATTGCATCCTTAGAACATCCATGTAGGGACGATAAGCTGGATAAATATAAGAACTGCATGGACAATAACAGTACGGGGACGACTATTTGATATTCTGGGGAGGGGAGCGAGCAGGAAGATTTTTTGTGGATTTATTATTCATTTTAAAAGGTCCCTAAGCATGCCTATTTTCAGCTCTTACGAGGCCAAACATATTCCTATTCAAAATCCTCATGTCCCCCCCTAAAAAATCAAATGGTTTTCTCCTTATTTAACATGAGTTTAGATTGATTGATTGTCTGTTGCTTATTTTTAACGTCCAGTGACAAATATGTCATGCATTTTTAGTTCAAATGAAGGGGATATAAGGAATTATAGGTAACCGTATGGCCTTCAACAATGACAAAAATCCATACCGTATAGTCGGCTATTAAAGGCCCGACATGAAAAATGTGACACAATTGAATCCAAAAAACCAACGGCCTTATTATATATAACAAAAACAATTGACTTTGGACAGAAACATTAAGAATATGGCAGGGTTAAACATGTTTGTGATCGCTAAACTCTCCCCTAAACTGAGACAGTGGTGTATCAGTACAACATAAGAACAAACTGTAAACATCAAATGCCATAGGATTAACTCAAAAGATCGGTACGAGACACAACAAACAACTAACATTAAGACAATAGACACAAAGCACCGAAATAAGAGTATTTGCAGTTACTGAAAGTTTGTTCAAAGGCTAAGCCAATTACAACTAAAAAATAAATCCTGTTCTCCCAGACTTAAGTATCAATCAGTACACAACCAACGGATTTAGTCATAAAAATCAGAGAAACGCCATGACCATGCATACCTTGTATTCAATTAAAGTTCTCAACAAGTCATGGTCCGAAGGTTTTGACCATCGAAATTTTGCAATGGAAATTATAAAAGTTAGGACCAGCAGATTTTCTTAAAGTGCCACCTGGGAAAAAGATTTTAAGAACTCTGCGATATCTTTTATATACAAAAATATTCCAGTTCTCTACTTTAAACAAATTTGAGAGACAAGATGTCCTTTTCGATAATATACCAAACAAACATGCATTGCCGACAAATTCTTGTACAGTTTAAGCCTGATTATTCCAGAAAATCAAATGGTCGGAGCTTTAAGTCCGATTTGTTTAGCAAAACTGAGTTCGGCAAGTATAAAGAAAAAATTTCACGAACACAGCGATTTCTTCCAACCAATTTTCTTTGTTTTTACACTTATTGTATAAAATACACCAATGCTGAAACATAGCACTGCCACACTATTACATTAATGTTTACCGAATGCACTGATGTATCTTAATTTTCTAATAAATCATCGTAAACTTCATTTATGTCATCCAACATAAAACATCTGATATATTCGAAGGTAAATTGATTTTTTGTTTTATTGTTTCTTCCACAGAATATCTTCAGAAGAGTTCCAGATTAATTTTTTTTGACTCTTCACCAGAAGACGTTCTTGAGATGTACAGAAGAGACCAATGAAACACGCCCCTGTAGTTCGACTACTTAGGCACTGAGGCCCCTTCAAGAATGACGAGTATGTCAATGAATTTATATACAAAATATTAAAGTTTACCTCTAATTTGTGTAAACTGATATCACAAACGTTTAACTATCAAAAGGCGGTCAAGTTTAAATGCCATTTGTCAGACATGTGCTCCTGGTAACACGTACATCAACTGATCAACGTTTATCCCACATATCCTTATATTCCATTTTACTTTCGATTTTCAATTCACAGAGAAAACTTCAATATAAATGTTGGGATGGATCGAGGTCCTTTCTGTAATCTTTTAACTTAATTTTTAGGACATTTTTCCTTATCATTAGCAGGTGCGGATCCAGGATTGAGAACAGTGAGGGGGCTAGAGGTATACGACAAAAGCCAACGTTTGGAGTGATACTTGTAAGAGGTCTGCATTTAACATTTTATATGAAGCTCCATACGGGGCACCGGCCCTTGCCCCCCCCCCCCCTAAATCCGCCTGAATAAAAATAACACTGTAAAATTCTCATGAAAAAGATTTTACATTTAAAATTGACGTTTTCTTTACTCTGTACGCAAAGTTCTATAATCAGTATTGTATTACCTGATTCTTTTATTTCCCACCAATATTAATTATTTATACTTCTGCACCGCATTTTTCTCTATTCGATTTTTTATATTTTGCTCATTTTACTCTAATTATTATTACTTTCGGTCGTTATTATGCTATTCTGTAAACAACAATTTTTAAAAGAGTTATGCCCCTTGGAAATATAATATGTATGTAAATTTACATTGTTAGCGCTCTCATGTGTACAATTCTTGCCAGATCTTTATGAAACTTATATCATAGTTCTAAATCAGCAATGTATCGGACAAGTTCGAAAATCAGTGCCGATCAATAGTTTTGCCCCTTGAAGTTTTAATTACATGTATATGGAAAATTGCATTGTAAACGCTCTAACATGTACAATTTTTGCAAGATTTTATCAAATTTATATCAAAGGTTCATATCAGTAATGTCATCATGGTCATGGACAATTTGGAAAATGAGTGCTGATCAAATATTTTTAAGAGTTACGCGCCTTGGAAATATCAATTATATCGGAAATTGCATTGCATTTGCTCTCAACCCTTCATTTTCTTTTAAGATATTTATAACAAATTCAAAGAAAAAAAAGTTGTGTTGTAGTTATTGCCCTTCGACAGAAAAATATGTGCTATGCGGGGCACATTGGAACTCTGTTCTTTTATTTTTAATGTCACTGTATTGTGGTACAGAATTAACTAAATTTATTTTACTCCTTTTTTTCGGAAGACCCATTCGTATATATGGACCAAACTTTTGTTCAGACTCTTTTCAAAAAATGCGCTTAAGATGACCTTTCAAAACAATATGATCGTTTTACAACATAACTGTTTAGACACCAGTAATGATCTTAGTATGCACGGGCGGATCCAGCCATTTTTAAAAGGGGGGGGGGTTCCAATTATATGTCCCCATTCAAATGCATTGATCGTCAAAAAAAGGGGGGTTCCAACCCCCCGGAACCCCCCACCTGGATCCGCCACTGGTATGAATAAGACGAAGTAGGTGAAATCGTTTATAGAAATGATGTGTTCATACCTGGCCCCTACTACATTTGTGAACATTTTAAATCAAAGGGCATGTGATCTTTGAAGTGGTGCATTTACAGCGGTTGGTTTTATTTCCATTTCTGTATGTGTGAGTGTTGTTATATTTATTGAATATATGTTGTTATGGTTATGGATAGTTTTAACCAGAATGGTATTTATTTGATGTCGGTGTTAACTAGTTTTTCGATATTCAGACTAGCTATACCAGGCACAATAATAACACTAAAAACCTCATTGGTAAGACACGGATTCCATGTCTATGAAAAGACTAGGATAAACACTATGTTAAGGGGAAATAATGGTCATAACGACACAAATGTTGCCAACATTCTATACATTGTATGAGGACCGCAGTGATGAAGTAAAAGGTTTCAGACAAACTGCATGATACAACGTATACTAGTATAAAACCGAGTCTTACGCAGACAGATGGACGGACAAGGTTCTAACATGCTCCAGCAGCACATTAATTCGTAGGGGGATATAAAATAAAAACAAAATTGATTTTTCTTTTAAACTTTAGCAAATGATTAGATGATTGATTCCAGATTATTACATTAAGTTCATATTTTCGTTAGTAAGCACCAGCTTTGCTGCCATTTAAGATTACGAAAATCCAATCAACTGGAAAGATTATGTCCCGTTTTATTTGATCATTTCATGTGCCATATGAGATGGGCATTAAAATCAACGCCATTTTCCGCCTCATCGCCACACAAATGGCAAACAAATGGTTTCACTGGATTAATGTGCAGTGTTTTGTGCACCAAATACATGCTATACTCTCGGAAAATGATCCGACAGTGCTTACATTCATGAACCTTTCCGGCCGTTTCCATGTCGCAAAATAGTTTATCTGTATCCGATAATATAATTGTCTGAACGGCCTTTTCGTCTGTAGAAATAACAGAAAGTTGTTGTGGTTCAGGTAATGGTCTATCAAAAAAGTTTCGGGACTGAACTGGCGAGTGTAGCATTCGAGATGAAGCACTTGTTTGATCTAGCGTAGCGCTTGGATGAATAGATCTTTCAATGGACATATTTTCATAATACTCCTCATTATTGTAAACTTCGTGGTCTGAAATAGGTTCCTTCTTTATGCTTCTTTCGGTAGATTTCAGAAGTCCAGTTGGATAAATATTAGTTTTGTGTACCTCATATGTTTGAGAGTTATTCGGACTGCCGAATGGGTTGCTGTCATGTATCGTTTGACCAAGAAATTCAATATCAAACTCCTCGTTTTCGTTTAAACTGTTGTAATGGTTATAAGTATCAGTTTGTTCATTGGGTTTTTCGTAATGATTTGGTTCGCGAGTGACATCTTCATTAGTCATTGTTTGATGAGTGTTGTTTATATAACTACAACCACCGGCTAGTTGACTTTTTACTTGGTGTAGTGCAAGTGATTCTACTGATCTAAATATCATTCCACATTGTTTGCAATGATGCGCTCCTGTCTTCTCGTGACACTTTTCATGCAGATTCCTCCTCCTTCCGGTCGCAAATGATTGGCTACAAAAATGACATTTGTATGGCTTTTCGCCAGTATGTGAGCGCACGTGCACGCGTAGATCGTATGCGGTAAAGTACGATTTGCTACAAACCATGCATTGGAACTGTTTCTGGCCATTGTGGAACATCATGTGTTTTTTCAGAACGGTTTCGAAACTAAATGATCGCCCACATACGTCACACGAATAAGGTTTGTCACCAGTATGGGTTCTTAGATGAGTTCGCAAAGTTGTCATGTCCTTGAAGTTTTTGCCACAATGTTCACATTCGTGTGTTCGGTTCTTGCTACGCATGTGTGTTCTTTCGTGTTTACGGCAGCTGCCTTGGCTATTAAACCGCTTACCGCAAAAGCTACAAGAGAATGGTTTTTCACCCGTGTGTATGCGTTCGTGTTCTTTGCGGTAGAAAGAACGGGTAAAAACTTTCCCACAATATCGACACTGCAAAGGATTCGGGCACTGCGGGATTTCCATCAACTCGTTATTATCTGCAGGTTCTTCTTCTTCAAGAAACTCGGACGACTCAGCAACTGCTTCCGATTCTCCAACTGCTTCAGATGTAATAGACGATATCACCAATGGCGTCGGCTCAGCAGATTCGACAAGAACTTCTGTGTCGTCTTGATTAGACTGTTCTTGGTTATCCGTTTCCATGACAATCCCTACAAAGTGAACAAAATATACAAAGTGTGATTACAAAAAGTCCAGTATATATATATATATATATATATATATATATATATATATATATATATATGCCAAATAAACGGATCACCAGAGGTAACAAAATGGATCTTAATTATTAATCTAATACCAAACAGAAAACAATAAACTTGCGGAAAAGATGGTATATATCGCAAACATGAGGTGCCAAAATTTGTACACCATATCCGGATTTCGACAATTAATGGATCTTCAGTGATGTTAGGAATCGAAACGGTATTTGGAAGGCCATATAATTTACCTCAATTTAGGTTTGACTCTTGAATTTTGAAGAGTCGAAATCGGATGAACGGATTATATAAACCCGAAGGCAAATATAATACAAGCCCAAACGAAAAAAATATAAACAAGTCTAAATTGAAAACGATGTTCACACCTATGATTACGTTGGATAAAAACCGTAATTTTTATACGTGTGCATGCAAAACAAATTTCTTTGAAGAGGAGTCAAAATACAGCACAAACAACATTTTCCAAAAGACCAAAAATGTGAAAAAAATATATTTTAACAAAACGCATTTGACCAGCAGGTCGAACAACGGATGTTCTTAAACCCCGCTGACTGCCATGGCGATTGCCAAATAAACGGATCACCAGATTTAACAAAATGGATCTTAATTATTAATTTGATATCAAACAGAAAACAATAAACTTCCGGAAAAGATGGTATACCGCAAACATGAGGTGCAAAAATGAATACACCATATCCGGATTTGGACAATTATATATGCATGTATTAAATCAAGCGGATGCGGTATGGTTGCCAATGTGACAACTATCCACGGTAGACCAAAGGATGAGAATGTACACAACTATAGTTCATAGTACGGCCTTAAAAAATGATTAAAAAACCATACCGTACTTTTTACAAGCAACCTTCTCGGATTGTCAGACATCTGGGATATCCAGCCTCAAACGAATTCAGCGTTACCAATCAATTTTCCCGAGGAATGTGCCTGTTCCTAGTCATAAATATGATACCATTTATTAAGTAAATACCATAATCGTGCAGTTATTACTGCTCGGGATGCTTTATGTCCGACTGAAATAATGAAATGCCCTTTGGGCCAGGTGAGCTTAAAATGAATTATCTTAAACTAAAACCTGAAACGTTCTCTGAAATGTAATTTTAGCTAAATTTAAGTTTCAATAGGAGATAGGAGATGATCCAAAATCTGTCCCTTTTATATGAAGGTGCATATCCCATTGATGCTTGATTCAAATTGTATAAGTAACGATAGTAACAGGGTGTTGTAACCAAGTCTACCTACGAAGCCACCTAAGCACAGCCCCCCCCCCCCCCCCACACACACACAAAACAAGAGGTTCTAAAGATCATGTGTCGCTCGCTAACCTAGGTCTATGTTCATCTTCAAAAATGGACACTCTCCAGCATCGTAGACAAGTAGACAAAAATAGAATTCATGACCAAAATCTCTTTTTATTGATCTTGTTTTGCTAATCATTTTTTTCTGCTTATAGTTTCTCTGTCTTCTTTAGTTTTTGGCCAAAACATAAAATAGGGTAAAAAAGGTCATTTAAGGGCAATAACTCCTATAAATAGTCTACTAACTATTTCTGCAAAATTTGACTTGTTTGTAGATCTTATCTTGCTGATCATTTTTGTTATTTAAAGTTCCTATCTATCTTTTATAGTATTCAAGATAATAGGCAATCACCAAATAATTGATAAAAATCTTCATTAAAGAGCAAGAACTCCAATAACGAGTTGACTAACGATTTCAGCCAAGTTGAGTTCGTCTTTTTTATTATTTTTGTGATGTATTATGTTATGTGTTATTTTGTTAATTTTCATGTATGCCATCAACCCCATTGGGGTATAATAGTGCATTACTTTAAACAAGCATTCGTTGAGTATTGCATGGCAATACATAGTCCCCTACCGTTTAAAAATTCATTGTATTGGAACAAAATTCTAACTTGATTTATAACTTGTCATGGTGTAAACTATATAACAAATATCAAGTCAATATCTTCAACCATGACGAAAAAAATTGTTGAAAACAGATTATTTAAGTGAATTTTCTAAGTACAAGGACTATAACTCTGCACAAAATCATCAGACAGGAACAAAATTTGAACTTGATCTGTAACTTGTCATGATAAAACTATATTCCAATTTTCAAATCAATATCTTCAAGTTTGACGAAAAAAGTGCGGAAAACTGATTATTTGAGTGAATTTTCTAAGTCAAAGGACCATAACTCTGCACAAAATTATCAGACCAGAACAAAATTCGAACTTGATCTGTAACTTGTCATGATAAAACAATACACCAAATATCAAATCAATATCTTCAAGCATGAAGAAAAAAGTGTGGAAAACTGATTTGACGGACAAACAGACAGACAGACAGACAGACAGACAGACAGACAGACAGACAGACAGACAGACAGGCGAACGAAGTGCACACCTAAAGTCTCCTTCGACTTCGTCGGTAGGGGACTAATAAACTAACTTATTTGTAGATCTGCGGCTCTTTTCACAAAAAATCTTAAGAGTAAAATTACTCGTAAGTCATGAACATTTCAGTATAACTTGCGATCAATCTTAATCGTAAGATTTTTTGTGGAAAGAGTCGCTGGTCTTTCTGATCATTTTTGCTATTCAAAGTGTCTATCTACCTATTATAGTTTTCAAGATAATGTGCAAAAAATACTAAAAACTGGTAAAAATCGTCATTTAAGAACAATAACTCCAATAACAATGAATAACGAGTCGACTGAAGATTTTTGCCATTAGACTCATTTGTAGATTTTGTCTTGCTGATCATTTTTTTTTTTATCTTTGAAGTTTCCATCTATGTATAATAGTTTTTTAAAGATATTAGGCAATACAATTCTCCGCGGGCCACAGCTTGATACGACAGCAGAGGTCGAACCCTGAATATTTTGGGCAAGAATGAACACAACATTCAAGTTTGATACAGCTCTCAATTTCGATTGATTAAAAATTTGACATTGCATAGGTTTCTGAAACTGAATGGATGTGATCTAAGAACTTAAAAATTTGAAATTGGACATTTACCTATCATGGTCCAATATCCAAAATCTAAATACATGGTTAGATTCAGCACATCAAAGAACCACTAGAATTCAATTTTAGATGAAACCAACAAAGTTTGATTTTGGACCCTTTGGACCTCTATATGGACCAATTTGATAATGGGGCCAAAATCGGGGCCCAAAATCCAAAATCTAAATTCTATGATTTTATTCAGCATATCAAAGAAACCCATATATTCAATTTTTGTTGATATCAAAGTTTTATTTTGGACCCCGATTTGGACAAACTTGAAAACTGGGCCTAAAATCAAAAATCTAAATACATGTTTAGATTCAGCAAATCAAAGAATCCCCCAAGTATTTTTTTTGTTAAAATCAAACTAAGTTTAATTTTGGACGCTTTGGACCTTAAAAGAGGGACGAAAGATACCAGAGGGACAGTCAAACTCATAGATCGAAAACAAACTGACAACGCCATGGCCAAAAATAAAAAGACAAATAGACAATAATAGTACAGATGACATGCACAACATAGAAAACTAAAGATTAAGCAACACGAACCCCACCAAAAACTGGGGGTGATCTCAGGTGCTCCGGAAGGGTAAGCAGATCCTGTTCCATACTGGAGCAATTTGCAAAGGGGGCCCAAACCTAAAAATCTAAATACGCGGTTGGATTCGGCATATCAAAGAACCCCAAGAATTCATTATTTTATGAAATCAAACAAAGTTTAGTTTTGGACCCTTTGGACCACAATGTGGACCAATTTAAAAAAAGCGGCCTAAATTTCAAAATCTAAATACACGATAAGATTCAGCGGTTTAAAGAACCCCAAGAATTCAAGACTTTGAATTAAACCCCATTGAAATTGGTCAAGAAATAGGCAATTTGTACATAATATTAGAAAAGTATTGTTTTAGGCCCCTTTTTTTATCCTAATTCCTAAACAGGAAGGGCCATAACCTCCAAAATCAATCTAAACCTTCCTTTTTCTGGTATGGAAGCTTGTGGTACAATTTCATAGAGATCCTTAGACTTATACTCAAGTTATTGCCCGGAAACCAGAAAATCCTTGTTTTTGGTCCCTAATTCCTAAACGATTTAGGCCATAACCCCCAAAATCAATCCCAACCATCCTTTTGAGATATGGAACCTTGTGGTACAATTTCATAGAGATCCATACACTTCAACATAATTTGTTGTCCTGAAACAAGAAAAATGCTTTTTTTTTTGGCCCCTTAAGTAATTCCTAAACACTTAGAACAATAACCCCCAAAATCAATTCCAACCTTCCTTTAGTGGTATGGAACCTTGTGGTACAATTTCATAGACATCCATTCACTTATACTCAATTTATTGTCTAGAAACCAAATGTCTTCGGACGACCACGACAAAACTGACGACGACATCGCAATACCATTATACGGCCGCAAACATTTTGCGGTCGTATAAAACGCAAAAAAAATAGTAAAAAATCGTCATTTGATGGCAATAACTCAAAAAAGGAGTCGTCTGACAATTTAGACCATGTTAATTTATTTGTAGATGTCGTCTTGTTGATCTTTTTTCCTATTTAAAGTTTCTCTGTATTTATCATAGTTTTCAAAACAAAAGAAAAAAATCGTTAAATTTGTCATTTAAGGGCAATAATTCCTATAAGAAGTCGTCTGACAGTTTTGACGTTAATAGGCAATAGGTGAACTCAACATTCTGAATATTATGTTCTGGTAAAATTTTCTCTATTTATAGCGGTTTTCAAAGTAATAGACAAAACTTGCACTTTACCCTATGTTCTATTTTTAGCCATGTCGATCATGTTGGTCGGCAGGTAGGGTCATCGGAAACATTTTTAAAACTAGTTACCCCAATGATGGTTGTGGCCATATTTGTTAAATTTGACCAGTATAGTTTCAGAGAAGAATTTTGTAAAATTAAACGGAAGACGACGGAAGACGGGCGACGGACGCTAAGTGATGAGAAAAGCTCACTTTACCCTTTGTATATACATCAGACCTTGACATATTAGTCAAGAAATTACTGTAGTTAACCACGGGGATCTCAAGCATTTTCAAGAAATTTGAACATTCTCAAATGTCAAGGGCGAGGGTGACCCCTGGGGACACATTCTTTATATCTTTCAATGCATCTTGACATGTCAAACAAGAGAATATAATACGGTTTAGGGGTTTTGGAGCCCAGGTGTTAACCATTTTCAAGATATTCGAATATTTTCAAAGTGTAGGAGGTAGAAATGACCCCTATTTTTTCGTCTTATATTCTTGTCTATTAATTTTAAACGGTTCATGGTTTTGAGTTATTCAAAAAATCATGTTCAAGGTTTAGGGTCAAGGTCATATGTTACCACTGAGGTATTATTTCTGAAGACCCAATGCCTCTAGCACGCATTATTCTCAATATAAAAATAGGGAGATGTGGCATGATTGCCACCGTGACATATGTCAACCGAAGACCAAGTATGGCCTTCGACAATGAGCAAAACAAATACTGTAAAATAAGCTATAGAGGCCCCGGCATGACAAAATTTTAAACAAATCAACGGCCTACATGGCAATAAATCCCCTCATAGGTTATAATTACTAAAGTAAACCCCTCTTTTGGGAGTCAATTAATGATCATTAAGATCAATAGCTGCAGGCACAACAAACAATTTTCTGACAACTTTTTTTATTATTTCAGAAAGACAGAAGACAATATTGTACTTCTTATACTCAAATGTCGGATATATCTCATGTCTATTTATAAATGAGATGAGAAGTGGACTCGATCTATTCAACATTATTTTTTCTAATTTTTAGAAATATATGTTTCAACTAAATGTGTTTGATTGTAGTTTAAATATAAGGCTCAGCTGTTAAAGAGATGATATTATGAAAGAAACTACATACAACTGCAGTATATAAGAACAGGATATAACGAAATTATAGCAATAACAAATAAATCATAATTTCAGTAAGTGTTTTAGTAATTAAAGTTCAACATTATTTGAACTCACTTTTAAATCTTCTTCGCTTCTTAGGACACCAGTTCAACTTTGCTTTCTTCCGCATACAGGCTTCTGAACTGGAAAAAAAATATTACGGCATCAGTTCCCGTTGTTTCACATTACAACTAAAACCCCAAGGCATAAGCACATGGTATGGTCTTTAATTAATTTACACTAAAAATAGTCGGTTGCATGCTGTTGAGTGAATAATTAGGAATTAAAATATGTCGACTGCCCACATGATATGTCCTTTCCACCATTTTCTACATAAGAAAATGCCTGTACCAAGTCAGGAAAATGACAGTTGGTATCCATTCGTTTGATGTGTTTGAGCTTTTAATTTTGCCATTTGATTAGGGATTTTCCTTTTTGAATTTTCCTCGGAGTTCAGTATTTTTGTGATTTTACTTCCTTTCCATTGCTGAACGTATTAAACGTTTATAACTATATGTACTACTTATACCTATCAAGGAGAACATGCTGTTCCTATTTAATAGACATTCATTGGGAATTACAAAAGTTATTTACTGGAAGCTATGCCAATTTTATATGTGTACACATACTAGCTGAATGTTAATTATCTGACTGCAATCATTAATTCTCCAGATGTTCTCTAACGATAACTGCGTGTACATATAGTAAAATACACGTGTCACGTGATACATTGCAGGATGTCCAGTAATCTGTAAATCTGATAAAATAACTAATTGATTCTATACCAGACAATACGACATTAATCGATGAAATGGAAGTTTTGGCTTTAACGCAAGCAGGACTTTGGAAAGATGGGAAAGAAACGTCGATGACTGAGTTACTGGTTCCATTGATTTTCTGACGACATCCTGATTATGTTTCAGAAGTCATATGAACTAATAAGGCAGGCATCTCGTAGACAAAGACTTTAATTTTCTATTACAAATTTACGTTGATCATTATAAATTTTTTAAAAAAATCCAGTAAAAACTAAACATTGTGTGACTGTGAGCGTATAAATATTTAAGACTTACCTTAGCACTAATTCTAAATTCCAATTTGTTCTTGAAATACTGTCCACCCTGCCAGACGGTTGGTAAGAATCTGGTGTACTTGATAAGGGCAGACAACTAGATGTACTAGAGAAACCAGACGATGCAGACAGTTATCGTCTGCTAAAGCGTCAGAAATCTGCAGATGTTTTTCAATGACTTGCTGATTATCTGGAATTTCTGAAGTATCTGGCGATCAATTGATTCTGGTAGTAACAAATATCTTAAAGAGAAGGAGTGAGTTTGTTAGCTAGAGGAAACGTTTATACATGTGCAGCGATGTTCGGCAAATTATGTTTATGAAGGAAATAAATCTAGAGGCCTATAGGGTTTTCATTCCTAGAGAAATCATCTGAACAATCATGTGAAAATTCATATGGTTTATTGATAATTCAATCAAGAATGTTGGATACTGAAAATGGGAATTATTGGAGAATGTGGAATATCATAGGCCATACTTGACTGTACGCCCATATATATATATTGTCATTTTCCTAATCCCATATGGAATAAACTCATCCTACAATTTCGATTGTAGTAGCAACGATTTCACTAAATTGCACTAATGTGAGAGTAGGTAAAACTTATGGTGACTGTGAAGGATACCAAAAATTCTTAATTACTATACAGTTCATATAAACATACAGGTCCATTTTGGTAAAATTAGAAAATAGATAACCCTAAAACGTATACAGTGCCCAATTTTAAAAAAATGACGTTGTATAACTTACTGCTTGATAGTGATCACTGTAACATGACAAATTTAGTTCATTTAAAACACAATTTTGTGTTATTTCTTTTATAAATGACCATCAACTCCATTACTATACTTTTCTTTTATCATTCTGATGGATTGAGCCCTTTTCAACGGATTTTTAGTTTGTTTTTATGTTGTGCTGTTACACCACTGTCCAAGGTTAGGGGGAAGGGTTGGGTGCCAGCAAACATGTTTAACCCCACCACATGCTGTATGTGCCTGTCCCAAGTATAGTATAAGAAGACTGTAATTGAGTGGTTGTCGTTTGTTGCTATTCATCATATTTGTTTTTCAGTTATTACTCTATAAATAAATCAGGCCGTTAGTTTCCTTGTCTAAATTGTTTTACATTTTTCGGTTTTTGCCTTTTATAGCTTGCTATGCGGTATGGGTTTTGCTCATTGTTGAAGGCCGTACTCTGACCTATATATAGTTGATAACTTCTACGTTAATTGGTTTCCGGTGGCTGTCTCATTGGCAATCATACCACATCTCCCAATTTTCATACTTAACCTTTATTGCACTGACATCTTGAATTGACATTTGTGTATCAAAACTCTAGGTTCCGTTTAGAACAAAATCATAGATCACTTATGATATTAGCTCATAAAACATTACAGAAGCACCCTGGTTGCATGAGCCGAGTTCCAATATTTATAGTTAGATTTGTAGTAGAAGAAACAGATTTTTGTGAAACAATGAAGAGGGGTTGGACAGGGGGTACCATTCTCCCACCTCCCACTTTCAGAATCTTTTGTTCTCCACCACCTCCCACCTCCCTCAAAAGCTGTCCACCCCCTCAGTGAAGAAAAGGGAAAGTATGCTGACATTTTTTGTCAAAATTCAGTTCGTAAATTGCAGCTGTAAGCTTGACCCAGTGACCTGAAAATCACTGCAAGTCTACTCCCCCATCCAAGGCACATTATCCACCAGATAGGTAAACACATGATTTATAACTCAGGTTTATACTGAAAACATTTCTTAAAAGTTCAGCCTATTTACAGGTACTGTGACCTACCTTTGACTTACCTACCCAAAAATCGATATTTGTAATGTTCTTTCCAAGGTCATCATCCAGCAAGGTTTGGTGAAGGTTGGTCATCTTGTTCTAGATATCCTGAAATCAGATTTTTCCACCTGACTCAACATTCCTGTCTATCAGTTGCTGCTTTTGACCTTTGACCTAGTGACTTACTATCTTAAAAATCAAAGGGTTTTTGTCATCTCGTGGCACTTATCAATTCAAGTTTGGTAAAAGTTGGATAAATGGTTCAAAATAACATCAGGAAACCAACATTTGGGTCAAATTTCAGTATATATCAATAAGGCACTATGACCTTGACCTTTGATCAATTGAACCATTGAATCCTAGAGTCAATAGGAAATTAATCTTCCATGTTTCTTGGGTATATTAACAAGCCAACTTTGGTAAAAGTTGGACTAAATCAAGTCTTATGGTTCAAAAGATAACATCCTCAAACCAAAATGTGTATCAATAGCTGCTGTGATCTTGACATTTGACATATTAAATTGTCTATAGGAGTCTTCCTCACCCCATGAGACATTTTCGAATCAAGTTCAGTAAATACATTTTTATGGGCCAAATGATAAAACCAGATTAATAATCAAATTAGGACAGTCGACATGGACACTCAAATTGACATTATACCCCAGAGAAGTGTTAGTTCATTCTATTACTTATCCCACTGTTAAAAAGGATATTTTAAAACTCTTTTACTTTATTAATAATGCAAAATGTGTTTATTTTTTTTTATCAAAACTATCCCATTTAATTTGAAATAAAGGATACCACATATATACTAAGGTCTACTTCCATTTCTTGACCTCAACCTAGTACCCGGTAATTTACATTAAAATGTTTTAAAATCTAAACTTTATGACAAAATAGTTCTCACCTTTCCATTTTGATATAACATTCCATCAGCACCTTCATATGAAGTATATTTCTCTTATGGATGTAGCCTGTTCTCTATTTCCTGCATGAGGAGGTATTTCTCATTTCAGATTAAACAAAGTGTAATATGAATAAGTGATATACAGGTAGGAAAAATGCATTTATTTGGTTGGTTTATCCTGCAAAGAGTTACAAAATTGTGACATTTCCTTTGGTTATTTGTAGGGTCAATGATAACTTTGTTGTCACAACAGACTTCTATAATCTATTAAGATTTGTGATTTTTCAAAACTATACAAAACACTCATGTTTAACCTGAAATTATTGTTTTTTGTCAAAATTGATTCGGTTCTGACGCATACAAAAAACTTGAAAACATCTGATTATGTTAGGATATGGACTAACAAAAAGTATGGCATCATACTGTTTTGGTGCAAAAGACGAGTACAATGTTTGGTAGAATTTTTTTTTCATACAGATAATTTTTACCATTAGAGAAATAGGTGAAACAGATTGTGAGAATTGGATATCACTTGATATTAACTCTTGTTATTTGATTAATTTGAATAATACAATAATACACTTGCCAAAGGCTCATTTATTAACATACTGAAAGTAAATAACTCTTGGTTGATATCAAGCGATATCCAATTCTGACTCATCATGAAACCTTTAAATATTCTACTTGACTTGTCGTTTCATCATTTATGACTATCATTTGTGTTTTATCATTCTTGAGCAATAACAAGGGTACCTTTAGTTGAGCAGGAAATTGCTTCCAGAGCATGTAAGTTCATACCTGGCTAGTTTAAGTATGATTTAAGATGAGCAATCAATAGTTTTCTGTGTAGTGTTTTGTGGATGTTGATGTGTTTAGCTTTTTTATTGGCCATTGTGTAGTCTTGTCAGCTAATGATTTTGATTACACCCTTTGTTTCCCGGTAACTTTTAAACAACTTCCTAAAAAATCCTTATATGATAATTTTAAGACTTTATCTTGGTATAAGAATCAGATTGTACAAGAAAATAACAATGTGAAAACCTGCTTTTTAGGTATTTGCAAGTGTTTTATTGGCATCCAATGTTGGTAATTTTCTGAAAGTATTTGGTTAAGTAATAATTGCAATAAATGTATTTTTTTTTACATCAATTGAAAATAAATAAACTTGCTTTTTGTAGAGGCTTATAGCAGAAATTACATTTCTTTCACAGGTGTTTGAACAAATGAATAAGTCTGCTTCCCAAATAAAAACTTTTCTCTTTTGTTCTTCAAGTTCCAACTGATACCAGGGGAGTGTAAGTATTCTATTAAATGCAATTTGTTTTTGTTGATTTATTCGAAGGACAAAAGTCTGGCTTAAAATGCAATCTATTTATCTAATTCATAAGCTATTGACATATAAGAATGCACATTCAACAGAAAATAAAATAACAGATATATAGCATTAAAATGAAAATTTATTAAATGTATAAATTCCCCTCTAAATAACACATTATGTATAATTTCCAGAAAATGAATATTGTAACCATAATATATCTGGAAATAATTAAAGCTTCTTATAAAATATTCATAAAACTTGTAACAAAACAATGTAAATATACAATTCTTATGTAGATAAACTTTGGAATCAAACTTGGAAAAACACATTTGTAAAATTCATTTTTCATCCCAAATGGTTTTAAAACTTATTGTAATAATATGGAATTTTCAGGAATGTCTATGCAAGCTAATATTATCATAATTAAACATTATAAGGACTGTAACAGCATTGTGTTTAAAGTTGTTTTGCTTGTATTTGTCAACACATTTTAGTGATACAAATATGTTGGTTATAATTTTGGCTATTTTGTGGCGCCAGTTTTTATAGGTGGAGGAAGCCACAGTGCACAGAGAGAATCGCGACCTTCAGTAGGAAAACTGATAATCCTAGTCAATTAAGATTGGAGTCAAGCATCTGCCATGTGCTGGATATGAACTCACAACCTCAGTGTTGACAGGCAAGTGATACGGTAGTTCAACTACTTAGACCACTCTGCCACCGAGGTCCCCTATTAATGATTTATTTGGTGTTCAATGTCATGTTATGAAATAGCATATGATATGGATATTAATAAATGAAAATTTCTGTTCTTCACTAACTTTAGCCTTCAGGATACATTTTTTTTTCTCTGCAAAGTTAAAATTTGCAACATGTGTATAATTCATGTGATGATCTTGAAAAAAAAGTTGAAATTGTCATAAAATTAAAATTAACATGTGACATGACTATTAATGAAAAGAATTAATATCATATAAATAAACTGCAGTAATATCTAGTTACACTAAGGATTAATACAATTCTGAGGTTATCAACTGTTCCTCTTCACATTGCACATATCTCCCATCTGAACCAGTTATATATGATTTCCAAAATAATATAATTGATTAAAAAAGATTTTTATATAAGAAATCATATCTTAACTAATTAAATCATTTATATAAAAATCACTTGAGGTATGTAAAAAAAAAACTGAAACAATTGCTATGTTGTCTTTCGTTTCATATTTAGTTTAATCTAAGCATTAAATTAAACATGTATGTTACAAAATACTGCTAGCCAAATCATATCAATTCAATACATAATCTTATTACATGCATAATTTGCATGTAATATTATTCTTGCTATTTATTAAATTTTCATAACTTTCAAAGATTTTGGAGGCTCTGTACATGTTTAACAATTCAGTTAATTTACTAAATGAAAAAGTTAAATTTTGATATTATTGTTTCTTCTCTATACATGACCTTGCTGGTGTTAACAACCTAAAACATGTTTATTTAGCATTCCAAAGACTTTCAATGCAGAAATGCCCCCTTTTCACAAACAATTCAAATCTTTAAAATTATTTGCTACCTTAGGGAGCTACCATTTGATTTTTATGGGGGGCTAGGATGAAAAATTTCGTCCTGTCTTTTTTTTTAGTTGTAATCTCTGTCCTGCCTTTTTATTTTTCACTCTATTCCGTCCTGCCTTTTTTTTTATTAGTTTATCCTGACTTTTTTTTACATAAATTGTCATCCTGCCTTTTTTTTTTTTGCAAAGTGTCTCATCCTGCCTTTTTTTTCAAATTTCATCCTAGCCCCCCCATAAAAATCAAATGGTAGCTCCCTTATGCAATACCTGATGACAGAAAAGTTGTTCTGCTAAAGTAGTTTGAAAGACAAGAGTGCATACACTGAAATGTCTCCATTGCTTTATTGACCATTGATTTTAAGTTGAAAGTCTTAAAGATAAAGGTTTTACTACAAGTTTCACATAAACTTAACATTTTTAAAGATGATAACAATGAGGTCAAGGTCAGATAAAAACTGTCCGACAGACATGTACACCTTACAATTATTCCGTAAACCAAATATAGTTGATCTATTGCTTATAGAAGTTGAAAAACAGACCAAAACACAAAAACTTAACATTGACCAATGAACCATGAAAATGTGGTCAAGGTCAGATGAAACCTACCAGACTGACATGAACCCATTACAATCATTCCATACACCACATATAGTTGACCTACTGCTTATAGTATTTTTGAAACGGACCTAATCACATAACTTTAACCTTAATAACTGATCCATGAAATGAGATCAAGATCAGGTGAACCTTATTTGACGGACATGTAGATGTTGCAAGGAACCAATATGCCAAATATGGTTATCCTATTACTCATAATAAGCGAGAAATTCACATGACAAAAAAGCTGTAATTTTTTTTCAAGCAGTCACTGAACCATGAAAATGAGGTAAAGGACAATGGACATATGACAGACGGAAACTTCGTAACATAAGGTATCTGCATACAAGGTTTGAAGCATTCAGGTCTTCTACCGTCTGAAATATAAAGCTTTATACAAATGGTTTACATTACCGCAACCGGATAGTAATGCATATGTCTCGCATACTGTGACTTTTGTCACAGGAGAGACAAAAATAGGCACATGTTCATGCTTGTCAACAAAAGAATTTATTAGTTAAATGATAATTAATTAAAGAAGACTATGTTTTCTTAAAACATAGATATTGTCAATCCTTAGGCTATCACCACACAACAAAAACAAAACAATGATTCAGTAAAATATGAATAAACTGAAGATCAAACTCAAACTGAAATTGTGGCTAACATAAATGTCTCAATGTTTTAAGAAAGTAAAGAAGTCATTTTAATGTTAACCAAAAAATTAAGAAATCCAAAGCATAAATAACAAAAGTTAAAACTAACCTCAAACAGTGCTAAGTGGTTAATTAAAAATGTGAAAAAAAAATTTGGTAGTGGAATAACAAATTTAATGGAAACTTAACTTTTGGCTTTTTATGCTCTTTCATGGTGAATTTTTAAGAATAAATAAAAAAATAATGTTTAATTGTCCAACAAATTATGTAAACAGCAAATCAGTTGTAAGAATAATGTTAACCAAAGGACACTATCTTTTCTTGATAATTTCCACCAATATGGACAGAGATTGAAAAAAGCTTTCTTAAAAATCAAACTAAACCTGAAAGAACTTGTCTATCAGATTACACTAAAATTCCTACATATTATGTAAAATAAATTTTAAAAAATCATTGGCGTCAATTACTGACAGGAAACTACATGTTTGGTATTTCCCAAAATTCTAAAAATTGCCTTAAAATCAAATAGATTTGGTTAGAGTATTTTCAATTTTTTACAAGGAAAATTCTACTTTGGAATTTTGAATGGCAAAGGGTAAAAGTTATTTTTTTCAAGACAATACTGTTGAAGGTAGATTTGTTACAGAAAAAAACTTTACAGGCATGGGCATCTGCCACACACATAAAATGTAAAAACCAAATTCCTCCATCTGCATTAGTAGCCTCTTGTAATGTTGGTCATTTCTCCAAGCATCTTTGGTTGCCTTGTGTTTTGCAGGCAAAATGTTTTTCAATGATTTTAAATGGTCACCAAATATGGGTACCAATTTAATGAGAGTCACTAAATTAAGATATTTGAGCTGCTCTTTGATCTTGTTAGATGTAATACAAAATTACGACGACAACTGTATTGAAAATTACATAAATGTTGTATCATCGTAATTAGTTTTGTGGCTTGAGCGAGCTTCAAACAGATCTCTAATCAACTGTGCCTTTTCTTGTTCAAGTTGTGTGATTTTATCACTTTTCTGACTGATTTCCTACAAATATAGAATTTGTTCACCATTATAACAGTAGTTATGGCTATTTTGATCATTTTCCCATAAATACTCACACTGTGGATTCATTCTTATTCTTTGGATACCAATTTTTGTGGATTTAATGGGTATAGGTTATCCACAATTTAAATATTCAATGAAGTACAAATTTTCTATTGGCATATATGCAGACTTAGTCAAAACCAACAAATCAATATCCAAAAAAATACTATATTTCCTGAATCAACAAAATTTTGTATCCACAAAAATAAATGAATCCACAGTACTTGATTTCTTAGTTTTGACAAATTTTGCACACAAGACCACATGAATTTTGAATAATTCTAAAATACATGCTTTACCTATATCCACGAAACTAACTTAATTATTTCAGTTGAATAATAATGAATCTGCAATATAATCCTTTTTATTAAATCATTAAGTGACTCTAAAAATTAAATTTTGATACTAGATACATTTCTTCCTAGTTAACTGCAATGCTGAGAGATAAAGTGAAACAATTATTATTATTGCTACAACTTATTCTCTGTTACTGTGACATTTGGTTTGTAGTAATGTGGTATTTTAACCTCTATAAAAATGATAATCATTGTATTCTGAGGTAATGATTAAATTTAATTTTCATCTTACAGTAGCTATTAAAGCATTGCCAAAAACCAGTATTTGCTACTGTGAATGATAAGCTAGCAGTTTGTTTCAAAATTTCAGTCAATTCAGGATTAAAGAATTACTTGTTAGAGAGAACTTTAAGTATTGGCTTTGGTTGTCATTGTAAATTATTCTCTACTGGCCTTTTTGAAAAATCATAAGAATGGTGTTAAACTTTAAATTTCTTATAATAAAGCTATGGATTTTCAGATTCTCTTAAAGACAAGTTACATTTTAATAGTACAATTGTCTTCATTGTCAAAACTGTCTTTTGTCAAAACTGTAATTTCTGTGTCATTTGGTCTCTTGTGGAGAGTTGTCTCATTGGCAATCATACAACATCTTCTTTTTATATTTACCTTTGTTAACTGTTTATTTTGACCTTTGACAACTTTAATGGTACTTTGCAACTGATGATTAGTAGAGGTCATAGCAAGGTTCATATGGAGTGGAAAACCCTGCAAATCACAATCACATACATGTTATATTAAGAAATAAACCCCATGTATTATCTAATGGGTATTTAGACAATTGTATTATTTAACATCATCAGTGCCTTTAACTATCTAACTTTGTATAACACTTGGCCATTACATCAAATTAGTTTATGTGTAATGAAATCGTTTGATTTGTCTTTAGCTCATAGATATCTCATCTCCCAAGTCATGATAAAAATATTTTTCAATGCAATAGTTTCACTAATAAAGGGGGATAACTCTTGTGGTAAGTGTAGTTTCAACTGGTACCATACAATAAACAGGATGTAAAATGTTCCAATTTTTTTTCTAAAAATTCAATTGTGTTGAAAGAAAAGAAAGTTAAATTTAAAAGAAAGGGTCTTTATTTTACTGTGATGAATGGAGTCTTGAAATAATTTTTGCATAAAAAAAATGCAATATCTTTGTATTAGAATTATTACTGGAAAAACATTGATTATATTCCAACATTTTGGATTTTAAATTGTGTTTCACAAGTTGGGGTACAGTTAAGAATACCTCTATACACTAAAACATTGCCTTTGTCATCAATAAACATATATGAATATTTTTTCAGCTATGACCTTACAGTAAGAGCTATGAATTTGTGACAAATAAATACCTTTTCACTACTGTCTACAAGTGTTTTAATTTGATGATTCACTTCAGCTATTCTAGCTTTTTCAAAATTCATTCTCTCTTGCATTGCCTCTAAATTGTAGTCCTGAAAAATATAATTTCTAATATATAATATATATGTAGGACTCTGAACCGTGATGGTACTCCAAGCTGTGATAGTTAAGCTGAAGTGCGATGGTCCTACTGAAGTGCGATGGTCCACGCTAAAGTGCATTGGTTAACACGCTGAAGTGCTATGGTATCATTGTGACGCTAACTTGTTGTTAGATACACTGAAATGCGCTGGTGGGTACACTGAAGTGCGATGGTCTAACTGTGACGTTGTGTATACTAGCTAAATGTGATGGTTTAAAGTGAAATCCCAATTCAATGTGGCGGTGTAGTGGTTAGCATGCTAGCCTCACATTTGGAAAATCGGGTTTTGTTTCTGGCCAGTTAAAACCAAAGACTTTAATTTTTAATTTGCTAATTATTCGCTTAGCACACAACAGTATGGAGTCAGAAAATAGACTGGTGGGCTCAGATAAAGTAAAATGGATTCGAGTTAGAGGACAGATTTTTTTGGCCTAACCAATTGCAGAAGATTAATACTGTAAACACAATATAATTACTAGGATTGCATGTTTTCTTACAAAGCAGAATTCATCTCAAGAATACAACAAAAAAATAAATGTGGATAGTGTCCACATGTGGACACAGATGATGCCCCCCTTGCATATCATATAGTTATAAAGGGACATAACTGAAGAAAGGTAAAAGTGACGCTACCCAAATTTGAACTTGATCTGAGTTTTGTGGTAATAAGCATTGTGTGTAAGTCTCATAACATTTGGTTGAGGCTAACTTAAGTAAAGAACAGAAACTAAAAATTCAGCAACTTTTCTATTTGTAAACACGCATAACTCTAGAACGTTTGTGTATAAGTTTTATAACATTTGGTTGAGACAAACTAAAGTTAGAGAACGGAAACAAAATATTCAACAATTTTTAAGTTTATACAGGGACATAACTCAAGAATGGTAAAAGTGTCACCACCAAATTTCGTACTTAATCTGTATTATGTAGTAATAAGCATTGTGTATAAGTTTCATAACATTTTGTTGAGGCAAACTAAAGTTAGAAAACAGAAACAAAAAAATTTGTACTTGATCTTAGTTTTGTGTGGTAATGAATATTGTGTATAGGTTTCATAATGTTTGGTTGGGGCAAACTTAAGTTACAGAATGGAAACTAAAAATTTTGCAATCTTTCGATTTATAAAGGGGCATAACTCAATAATGATCAGTGGAAGTAAAAATTAAACATTGCATTGTATAAAGCATTGATTGTAGTTGATTCAACTATAATCATGTACAAAGGTAGATAACTCCATTTTAAAAAATTAATTTGATATTTAGACGAAAATAAAATTTTTGCAAAGTTTCCATTTAAAGGGGCATAACTCTAGAACGGTTAAAGTGATGCCACCAAAATTCAAACTTGATCTGTGTTTTGTGGGAATAAGCATTGTGTATAAGTTTCATAACATTTGGTTGAGACAAACTTAAGTAAGAGAACGGAAACTAAAAATTTTGCCATTTTTTCCATTTATAAAGGTGCATAACTCTAGAACGTTTAAAGTGATCCACCAAAATTCAAACTTGATCTGTGTTTTGTGGTAATAAGCATTGTGTATAAGTTTCATAACATTTGGTTGAGGCAAACTTAAATTAGAGAACATAAACTAAAAATTTTGCAATTTTTCCATTTATAAAGGGGCATAACTCTAGAAAAGTTAAAGTGACGCACCAAAATTCAAACTTGATCTGTGTTTTGTGGTAATAAACATTGTGTATAAGTTTCATAACATTTGGTTGAGGCAAACTAAAGTTAGAAAACAGAAACAAAAAAATTTGTACTTGATCTTAGTTTTGTGTGGTAATGAATATTGTGTATAGGTTTCATAATGTTTGGTTGGGGCAAACTTAAGTTACAGAATGGAAACTAAAAATTTTGCAATCTTTCGATTTATAAAGGGGCATAACTCAATAATGATCAGTGGAAGTAAAAATTAAACATTGCATTGTATAAAGCATTGATTGTAGTTGATTCAACTATAATCATGTACAAAGGTAGATAACTCCATTTTAAAAAATTAATTTGATATTTAGACGAAAATAAAATTTTTGCAAAGTTTCCATTTAAAGGGGCATAACTCTAGAACGGTTAAAGTGATGCCACCAAAATTCAAACTTGATCTGTGTTTTGTGGGAATAAGCATTGTGTATAAGTTTCATAACATTTGGTTGAGACAAACTTAAGTAAGAGAACGGAAACTAAAAATTTTGCCATTTTTTCCATTTATAAAGGTGCATAACTCTAGAACGTTTAAAGTGATCCACCAAAATTCAAACTTGATCTGTGTTTTGTGGTAATAAGCATTGTGTATAAGTTTCATAACATTTGGTTGAGGCAAACTTAAATTAGAGAACATAAACTAAAAATTTTGCAATTTTTCCATTTATAAAGGGGCATAACTCTAGAAAAGTTAAAGTGACGCACCAAAATTCAAACTTGATCTGTGTTTTGTGGTAATAAACATTGTGTATAAGTTTCATAACATTTGGTTGAGGCAAACTCAAGTTAGAGAACGGAAACCAATTTTGGTACGATGGACAAGGGTAAAACTTTTAAATGCCCCCACCGCTACGTCGGGGGCATAATTATCGCTACTTGATATAACGAAAAACATTGCTAACAATCAATTTTATTTTATTATTAAGTTGTCCACACAAAATCATGTGATGTATATATACTTGAAATAAAGTCATAATTAATATTAAGATAAAGACATTTTATTTGTCGTACAAAACGTTTGCAGCATACATTAAACATGCTTCCGACACTGGTTAGCCCATCTGCAGACCAAGATAATCTTTAAGCCGCCTTGTTCCCCATGGTTTGCTGTCTGACTTAGTTTTTCATATTTTTGTAACCTCCAACTCTAATGCTCAAAACTGTACAGGACTAGAATCGTTCGTTTCATTCTGTTACCTTTCCTTTGTACGCATGAAACCTTCATCTACAAATCTTATTCTCCTGCCTGAGATCAATTTAGTTTAATAACGTTGCATTTGAAAATGTCACAATATCCAAACGTCATGCAAAGCCATCGCACTTCAGCGAAAGGACCATCACACTTCGGCATAGACCATCACACTTCAGCGTGACCATTGCACCTCCGAGTCCTACATATATAATACATCATTTTTAACTAGTCAGGAATCTAGACCTGTCTTATTTGTTATTTGTTAAAGTATTTATGTCACTGCACCATGTCCTGATGTGACATGTGACATTTATTTAAAGAATGACTGTAATATTTTTTCTGTCTATGAAGAAATAACATAAGCAAGAATGTGTCCATAGTACACAGATGCCCCACTTGCACTATCATTTTCTATGTTCAGTGGACCGAGAAATTGGGATCAAAACTCTTATTTGGCATTTAAAAAAGATCATATCATAGGGAACATGTGTACTAAGTTCCAAGTTGATTGGACTTCAACTTCATCAAAAACTACCTTAACCAAAAACTTTAACCTGAAGCGGGACAGACGGACGGACAGACGAACAGACAAAAAAACATAATGCCCCTAGGTGAGGCATAAAAATGTGGTGCACACTGAATAACCCACGTAGCGGGTTATTTAAAAGTGTGCACCACATTTTTTAGGTTATTTCGAATAGACACAAAAAATATTACAGTCTTTCCTTATAATTTAATTCTAAATTCCATTTTTAAGGAGTTAATTTTGAAAAAAAAAAACGTTGGTGACATCACAGTCACATGACAAAATTATGTCTATGAGCTGATAGACAAAATACTTTCAGCCAATCAGAAGACGTGTTATTATGATGTAAAAGCTGATTATGACCACATTCACCTGAAAATTTAAAGTAGTAGGTTTCTTAATGGCCATACTTGGCCTCAATTATTAAGTTCAATGTCTCAAGATAAAAAATGTTTTAAGTTGGTGTAAAAGACATATGAGAAATGTAAATAGAACTTTTTTGTCCAAGCTTTTATTTTAAAGCATTGATTTTTACATCCAAATAGGCCAAAAATAGAGATTTTTGCAAAGTTTGACAAAATTGTACAAGATCTCAACCAAATCAAGGCGTAGGAAACAAAGATCGCAGACGTTGACAAACTAAATATCCAATTCAGATATGTAATATATTATAACAATCATTAATGAAAAGATCATTTTTGTTGACGCATGCGCTCTTTGTTTCCTGTCCAATACAATTAATAGAAATTTACCTGTTTTCATTGAATTTTTGTGGAAAATCAAAATGAGTGGTATTTGTGAGGTCATGAATTGAGCGCAAGTACATAAATTTTTAACAAAAAGACATATTTTCTATCTAGATTCTAGTCATTGTAATAGCTATGATTCAATGTGATATAAGTTAAAAAAGCCTAATTTGAAATTGTAGCTTGAAATAGGAGCCATTTTAGGGCCTTATTAAATGTACTCTTTAACAATCACAATTTAACCTAAGGGTTTTTCATGCTCAACAAAGACGAAACAAATCATTCATATTCCAATATCATCGTAATCTTCTCAAAGGTTTCCCAAAAATGCCTATCATTGAGCAATTCAAATAAGTGTAAAAAAGAGAAAAAGGAGGAACAATTCCTGGAAACTTTGATTTAACCTATTTTTATTCCTGGAAACTTTGATTTAACCTGTTTTTCTTCTGTTTTTATCGAATATTGAAAAGTGTAAAATAACTTGAATAAGTGACTGATTGATTCTTGGTTCCTTGATGTCCGGAAGCAAATATTTCATGAAAAGAACAAATTTACAAAATAGGATCAGAGATTGGTCATCATTTTGCTATACAACAGCTTTCAAACCTACACATAGAGTTGTTGTTTTAGCTCTGTTTTCGAGCAATTTAGAGTCTAACATATAAGCTGTGTCAGATAGAAAAGTGCGAGTATACATGTACATTTATAAAACTTTGATTGATTTTGGAACATTCAAATACAAAATGTACAAAATAAAAGATGAAGTTTGATCTGTTTTGTAGGGTTCTTTTAACAACAAAATTTTCGAACAGTTCTAGACTTTCCGTAGATTTTTTTTGAACCCGAAATAGGTTAACAGATGTATTGATATTGATTTACATAAGGTTGTTTTCTATTGGACACAGCTCATACCTAGTGTACATGCATCTCTAATCACGGGCAGTTATTGCCCCAATAAATTTACAATTTTGTCCTCTATTTTATTTTTGTTCACAAGGTGCCTATTATCATAAAAAAAAACATAAAATGTGGCCTTTTTTCAATTCTTAAAAATACTACACTCTGGCGACTACAAATGTACCTACATTATGTGAAGTTTTGCCGACATATTTCTGCTTTTCTTCCATTAAGTTAATCTGTTTTAGATACCACAGACGAGCTTTGTCTATCATGGCTAACCCCTGAATTAATATTTGTTTTTCTTCATCTAACTGCTTGGCTCTTTTTATCTGCAATAAAATGATCAAAAAGTATTATTTTTACATGTGAATTTGATTGTTTTGGTTTTTTTCAATCTTCTTTCAATTTTTGCTGTTATGACATTCTTAGGTTCTTTTACACTAGCCAAGCATCTATGTGACCTGAATCCAATAGGCAGGTGTTAAATTACTCGATGCAGTGTTTTTACAGTCAAGGTAGCATGATGAATACCAGAAAAACTGTCAGAATGTCATTCAGATGTCTTCTTATCACATGAACAACCATCATCTTCACACAGGCTCGTTCAGGGTTGCTTTGAGGTTAAAAAGGCCTGAAAGTTCTGAAAACAGTCTGTCAGACATCAGAGTATAATATTAGACTACACACAGACCTGCATCAAGTAATTGTATTTGTAGGACTTTCAATAGTTCTGTGGATAAACAAACAAATCAATACTCTTATCTTTCATCAAATAAATGTTATATTAAATACCACTTTCATAGAACTAAGACTCTTGAGTAATTAATAACTATTTTTCTAAAACTAGAATAAAAAAACTGTCAGTCAACATAATATAAAGCCACATCAATGTGACAATGGTTTCTTCTCTAGCAATGAACTTCTAATGAAATACACAATATATACATTAGTAGGAGTTCATAATAACAAATAAATGGATGTGTACTGATTGATATTTTAGTCTTAGATGATCTACCTGACTTTTTTATTAGTTGTTATTGGCTTTGAACTAGCTTTCAGTAACTTTGAGTACTTTCAGATCTGTACTTTGTGTCTTCTGGGTTTTTGTTAGGTTTTTTGTGTGCTTTGTATTGATCTAATGAGTTATTAATAAGCCCTTTTCAAATGATTTTTATAGTTTGTTCTTATGTCTTGTGCTGTTACACCACTGTCCCAGGTTAGGGCGAGGGTTTGGCACAAGCCAATATGTCCAACCCCGCCACATTATATATGTATATAAAAATAAGGAAATGTGGTATAATTGCCAATGAGACAACTATCAAACAGAACGTGAATATAAGCAATTATAGGGCACTGTATAGCCTTCAAAAATGAGAAAAACCCATACTGCATAGTCAGCTAAAAAAAGGCCCTAACAAGTCATATGACAATACAATTCAAACGAGAAAACTAACAGCCTAATTCATAACAAAACAATTTACAAAAAAACAAAAATGACAGACATGAACCAAGGACAACAACTGAACTAATGGCTCCTGACTTAGGACAGGCACATAAAGTTGTGGCTGGGTTAAACATGTTTGTGAGCACTCAACCCTCCAAATGCAATTGGCTTAATTTGTGTTTGTTATATATAAATGTTTATTATTTTTGTTACAAGCTTTCTATAATATTTCATGTCAATAAATATTTGATTTTGAATTAAAATAAGAATCTATAACTTTTACCATGTTAGAGTCTACTCCACTTGATAATGTATGTCGTCTTGCAGAATCTCGTCTCTTAATACTGGATGGATGACTAGAAGTTGTGGGACCATGGTCTGATGCATTTAACTGGGCAATATTTACTGAAAAATTAACAATACATGTAAATACTGTATTATCTTGTCTGCCTTGAATTTAGTACATATGTAACACTCAGAAACGTGTCCATCCCCTCAAACGTGTCCGATTCCCCCAAACGTGTCCACATGACGTCGCTGAACTTCAAAACATGCCTAGTTGCTAAAGGGCGCCAAAACGTGTTATGTTTATGAGCGCCCAATTGTGTCCATTTTATTAAAAAGGCCAAACGTGTCCGGTTCATATGAAACTCTAAGGTCTCCCTTTTAAAAGCACAGAAACCAGTTCTGCATGAAGCAGGTCGTGCATTACCCTCATACATTACAAATACATTTAGGCATCATCGGACAATATTAGTACAATAGAATTCACCTAGTAAACTAGGATTTAAACTGTACAAAACTAATAACTTGCAATGTTTATGGTTTTTTTTTCTAAATATGCATGTCATATTTGCCACTGGACATTAAGCAATAAACAGTCAATAGTTAAGTATGTGTTGCAAATGCGTAAAATAAATAACCGGCGTTGAACAAATTAATGCTAATAAATGACCACTTTATTAACAGTGAACCACTGGGAAAACTAACAAGATAAAATGTATTAAATGTTTAATTGTGAAATACCTCTATGTGAACTTCAAAACAATGATTATTATATTGATAAAAAATAAATAAAACCGCTGCAAGTATAAATAACTTTTTATTGTGCGATTTTTTTTTAACCTGGTGTCTATTTATATGAAAGCAGAAGTCACTGTGCACAATGTAGCATGTCTTGGACATTTATCTATAAGGTCTACTACACCTTTCCTCTAGATTTCTGTGGGTAGCTACTTAGACTTTTTAAGAATACAACCGTACCCGAAGTCTTTCATCGTATCCCACGCCATTGCATTGCCGTAAACGTATTTGACTTCACGGAGTAATATTGGCGCTTAAAGTTTTAAGACGTTCTAGCGTTTTCATCTGGACACGTTTTGGCGAATAACAATTATCGGACACGTTAAGGGATGTGAAATCGGACACAATTGTGCGATTTATGATTTGAAGGACACGTTTAGGCGAAGTAGACACGTTTGGGGGAATCGGACACGTTTTGGGGGATGGACACGTTTGGGAGTGTTACACATATATACAGAAATATAACTTTAAATTTTTCAATGCATACCCATTGGTATAATAACAACATTTATTAATACAGTGTGATTATTGATGTTAAAGATTCGATCATTGTTACTATATTAGTATCTTCCAATCCTTGTGTAACCTTTAATTGAAAAGTAGATTTGCACATTATGCAAAGTTCAGGCCATTAAATCACCTCTATGTATTAGAAGTTGGAACCAATCTAATTAAAATTCTTTCTCTACAATACCGGCCTGAGGTAGAGACCATTTCAATGTGGAGGTTGAAAAGTTTGTATCACTGGAAAATTTGTAAGGCATGATATATATATAGATCTGTGTAGTCATTTTCTCATTCAAATATTGAGCTATGATTTTACACATATATACACATGCATATAAACCATGTGGTATACTGTGGTTGTCTCTATTTCTATTTCTTATTATAGATATCTTACAAGTAGATTTAATGCTCTGTGTTATATCAATATTTGATCGATTGGTGTTTAATGCCACTTTCAGCACTATTGTGCTATTTTGTGGCAGTATGTTTGTATTGTTTGAGGAAACTGGAATGCCCATAGAGAACCACAAACCTTTCAGTAGGAAAACTAACAATCTTGTCAATTAAGATTAGAGTTGATTGCACCTGCCATGTGTGGGATTCAAACTCGCACGCTAGAAGTGATACAGTAGTTTGAATACCTACATGTAGACCACTCGACCACTAAGTCCTCATCAATATTTGATTTGTTATCATCATATATATTTACACCTGTACTCATGGTTTTTCTAATTTTTTGCCTTTAAAGGTACAATACATTTGTAGGTTAAGTTAATGCTGAAGATATACTTACCTACTGCTTAATAATATCCATGATTACACTTTAAGATTTTCAAATTCTTACCATATATTTCATTCTGGGCAGAACTTTGTTCCGGAGACTTTGAATCAATTGTAGATTTGTCTTTAGATTGCTGTATTCCATGCATTCGTTGCTGCCAATTTTTAAGTTCACTTATAATCCTTTTACTTGTGTTTCCTCTAGGTGGAATCTTTGGAGGCAGTTCAGACTGGGTCTTTTGTGGAGATCGATCTGGTCTTGGAGGTGGTGCTGACTGTGCATTTTGATATCCTTCCCTGCGATATGATTTTTCACTCTTCTGTTCACGATTTGTGGGATTTTTCCACGCCGGAGTTGGAATGTGACCATGTACATTATTTGGCGGAACTGTGGCAGTTGGGTTAACATTCTGAGGTCTTTGGTTTGACAAATTTTGTAAGATATTTGGATTCGTCCTTTCATCATAATTGTTCTTTGAATTTATTGGGTCTGGTGACAGTGATGTACTTGTTAATTTTTGTCTGGTATGTCGCTGTCTGTATTGTAAATTTGAATTTTGTGGGCCCTGACTTGGAAGTTTATTTCTTTGGTTGTCTTTGTAATCAATGTTCTCTTTTTCATTGACCGGATTGCTATTCGGTTTGGTTTTACTTGTCAACAGTGCTAACTTTAGCCCTGATACAAAGCGTTCAAAGCTAAGATAACCATTTGGTGGTACGACTTTTCTTAGTGCATCTGTAACTCCACTTGGGAGCCCTTTCACGCCTTCTTCGTGCCATCTGGTTTCAATATCTTGAAGCCTAACATAGCCACATTTTTTCTCATCTAATATATCGAATAAAGTTCTTAAAGAGGATAAAAATTGTCTTGGTAGACCGTCTGTACTATTCCAAGCTTCTATGCTGGTCATTGTGTTTACCTGTGCCCAGTCTCACCTGTAATCTGGTACCCGTGACCTTTTAGTTTTAATGTAGGCACTAGGTAATACGACTCCGGTACCAGTCTATATCATTTGACTTTTAGCTCCGACTTCTAAATTGAATTTTGATTGGTTAAAAAAAAGGTTATCTTAAAATAATTTCTGTAAAGTTCGAGCCGCCAAAATTTTGAATGTCTTGTACGTAATCTTCACGTACTTTTGATCTCATACACATTATCGCTATTTGTACGCCATTACTGGACATCACAAAAAAGTGTTTTTCATGAACAATCTATGCACGACTTGTAGCTTGGGTAACTTATAGCAAGGTGACCCATACATTTTATTAATTTTTTTTTAAAGAATGTTATTATATGTCTGGTAAAATCTACATTTTGGGTCAGAGACATTACAATTTTTATTATCAATGTTAATAATTTTCGCAATTTTGGCAGAAACTAATAGATAAGGAGAAATAATAATTCAAAACTGTTCAGTCAACAAATAAGATAGACCGTCTGTGTATTATATATGTCTCTGATCCATGTTACATCTGGTGATCAATTTATTTGGCAATCGCCAATGGCAGTCAGCAGGGTTTAAGTACATCAGTTGTTCGACCTGTTAGTGTTAGTCAAATGCGTTTTGTTAAAATATACTTTTCACTTTTTGGTCTTTTGGAAAATGTTGTTTGTGCTGTATTTAGACCCCTCTACCAAGAAATTTGTTTTACATGCACACGTATTTATAAAAATTGCGGTTTTTATCCAACGCAATCATAGGTTTGAACGTTGTTTTCAATTTAGACTTGTTTATTTGTCTCTGATATATATAAGTCAACAATGACGAATTTGTCAATTTATCGACTCCCTCTAGATGTAATTGATCTTAATTAAAGACGATTTTTACCATTGTTTTTGTGTTATATGAGGGTCTAGACGGGGGTCCTTCATTTCTGTATTTTGTAATTTTTAGGCTATTTTTCTCTATTCCTTATACTTTTTGCCTATTATTCTCTATTCTTTGTATTTCAGCAACTCGTTATTCTTTATTCTTTATTTTTTTGGTCCATTTTTCTCTATTCTTTATATTTTTTGCCCATTATTCTCTATTCTGTAAACCCCCTTCCACGCCCTCTTATATTTTATTTTTTGCAGAAACTGTTATAGATAGAAATTGTATATTCCGAAGCTGCACACAACTCCTTACAAATATAGATGTATATATCTTCAAGCCCGATTGTTTCACTACTAAACTATCTATTCTAGTTACTAGTACACTTGGTACAATAAAAAACCTGGTAATAAATTGTTCAAATAAGGCCTTTGGAGTGTCAAAAATTCGTTGGAAGTACTTGATAAATTGCATGCTTATATTAGTGATTTCGAATCTGTTCAAAGTTTTGATTTTTCTACCTTATATACCACGTTGCCTCATAATCTTATTAAGAAAAAATTCACACACCTGATTAAATGGGCATTTAAAAAGTCGGAATGCGAATATATATGTTCAAACTCTTTTATGTCATTTTTTAGTAACAACAAACAAAAGAACTATGTCAATTGGACCTGCTTTGATACTATAACTGCCCTTGAATTTTTATTAGATAACATTTTTGTTCGCTATGGAGATTCCGTATATCGTCAGGTTATCGGAATTCCCATGGGGACTAACTGTGCACCACTTATTGCGGACCTGTTTCTGTATTGTTATGAGTTACAATTTATGACTAAAATCAGCAAAGACCCATCGAAACAACATCTGATCCAAAAATTTAATAACACTTTTAGATATTTAGATGATATATTGGCTCTCAATAATGACGACTTCAGTATGTACACTAAAGAGATTTATCCTGCAGAACTGACTTTAAATAAAGCTAATACTAATGATATCTTTATCTTTAACGGGAAGCTTCATACCAAAATTTATGATAAAAGAGATGATTTTTCATTTCCTATTGTTAATTATCCATTTTTAGATGGTGACGTTCCCTTGTCGCCATCTTATGGTATTTATATATCTCAACTTGTTCGATTCGCTCGTGTATGTAACAACGTATTTGATTTCAACGAAAGAAATCTCTGTATTACTGAAAAATTATTACACTAGGGTTTTCGATATCACAAACTAGTCTAAACATTTACTAAATTTTATCATCGGTACAAGGACATCATTCGAAAATATAAATCAACATGCAGACATCTTATACGTTCAGGTATTTCACATCCAATATTTTATGGTAATATTCTTTACAAAGCACAAAAATGTCGGCATTCACCTCAAAAGCTAACCAAACCTTTGAACAGACTTATTCGGAAAGGATATAGTTACGATACTGTTGTCAAGTCATTAAGAATTGCATATTTTGGTATTAATATTGATTCACTCTTAGGGTCTTTGCATCGGAAATAAACACATGTATTGTAAAACCAGTTGTTGGCATGATACGGGTTATGTTCTTCTCATATATTTTATGATGGAATAATACTAAACCCCTAACGGGAGGGATTGTACTTGATTTTCATATGATGAAGACATAATCTTTCAATCAGTTTAATTGAGGTCTGGAGCTGGCATGTCAGTAACTGCTAGTAGTCCTTTGTTCATTTATGTATCATTGTCATTTTGCTTAGTTTCTTGTGTTACCTATTCTGACATCGGACTCGGGCTTCTTTTGAACTGACTTTTACTGTGCGTATTGCTATGTGTTTATTTATTCTACATTGGCTAGAGGTATAGGGGGAGGGCTGAGATCTCACAAAACATGTTTAATCCCGCCGCATTTTTGCGCCTGTCCCAAGTCAGGAGCCTCTGGCCTTTGTTAGTCTTGTATGTTTTTTAATTTTAGTTCATTTATATGTTTTGGAGTTTAATGTGACGTCCATTTTCACTGAACTAGTACACAATTTTATTTAGGGGCCAGCTGAGGACCATATAAGGGTGCGGGATTTTCTCGCTGCGTTGAAGACCCATTGGTGGCTTTTGGCTGTTGTCTGCTCTTTGGTCGGGTTGTTGTCTGCTCTTTGGTCGGGTTGTTGTCTGCTCTTTGGTCGGGTTGTTGTCTGCTCTTTGGTAGGGTTGTTGTCTCTTTGATATATTCCCCATTTCGATTCTCAATTTTATGTTCAGTATTATAAGATCTTCAAATAATTCAACTTGGCAGAAATTTTCCATTGACTCCTTATTTGTGTAATCACTCTAAAAGACGATTTTAACCCATGCACTTTTACAATTTTGCAACATGGCCGAAATTGCCGGTCAATTGACTCGTTAAAGGAGTTAAATGCCCTTGCCTAGCTATTATCTCGAAACTATATAATAGATAGTTTGAAACTTAAAGGGGCATTAGCTGTCAAATTTATGTTCACCGATTTGACCCAATTTCTCATATTTGATTCATAACATACTAAAACGTATATCCAAATTACAAAAAGTCTAAAATAAACAATTAACAATGCATGGAATCGATAATATGTATCCTCATTTCATGTATTTTTTTGTCTAGATGCTAAGAAATCATCTAATTAACTATCGTGATTACCTACGAAGACTGTCGACGCTCATATATATCGATATAAACATAAATATAAATAGATAGAAACCACGTGCAATTGGATTTTTCTATATCTGTTTGATTTCATAGCATAGGTCAAAAAGTATGTTTAACATCGTTTTTACCTGTACAAGAATAATGTTTTGTGGATCGAATCAGTCAACCAAATGGTTCATCCTTGTTTCACTTTCAATGTTGACATTTTTTTCCTTTTAATAGCGGAATACGTGCGTAACCCATCTCTGGCTAAGGGGTTACATTGGAGGTCACATGAATATGGAACTCAGTATTAAACTAGTAATAGTGGTTATATTAGTATAATAGTCCCAGCATGAGTACGGATTTAATGAGGTCGAATTATTCCATCGTTTCTTATAAAAATAAGGAGATGAGGTATGATTGCCAATGAGACAACTATCCAACAAAGTTCAAATAAAGTGGATGTACGCAATAATAGGCAACCGTACGGACTTCAACAATGAGAAAACCCCACACCGTATAGTCGCCGGGCTATAAAAGGCCCCGACATGAAAAAAATAAAACAATTCAATTGAGAAAACTAACAGCATAATTTATAACAAAACAAATTAAACCTCTCCTAACCTGGGACAGTGGTGTAACAGCACTTAGTTTATTTTGACAAAATTGAACCAAATTGGCTGCTAAAAGCGAATTATTGTTTCACTATTTCACTTTCATTAATGATTGAACAAAATATGATTTTTTTTATATCTCGTAGCTAATGCCCCTCAGTTTAAAAAAGCAAAACTATCAGCAATATAAGATGTTATTTATGACCGTGATAATTCCTGTTTTGCCGCCTATTTTCTCAAAAACAAATAAGGTAATAGATAGGTAAAAAGTAAACTGTATATTGAAAGGGAACAAAATAAAGATACATAGGAGTCCCCTAATTTTCCTTTCTTAGTTATTTTTAATCCATTAATCTCTTTTACGTTTAAGCACTCCATGTTTCTCTTGTCATCAGTAACATTTTCATTTTTTTATGCTTGGGCGTGCAATGATAGTCCCATCCCCAAGAGCACACTAGTTTTATTGCAAATAAAAAAAGAAAACTTCTAGATCATAAACGGTTGTTTTTTCTTGTCAGTTTTAAAAGAAGTTTGTCCCCCCCCCCCCCCCCCCCCCCCCCCCCCCACACACACACACACACACACCTTCCAAACTGATTTCAGTTTACTCCTTCGGCAATCGGCACTGAATCGAAAATAGATATACTTTGTATACCAAACCACAATGCAAGTGTTATATTGTGTGATAATGTTAACGATTTATAACGTAACGTACAGAAAACTTTGTTGTAAAGTTGAGTTATTTATTCGTTTTGCATACAATTCGGATAACTGTACAAAACAAGCTCTATTTTTAACAACCATTTCCATTGGTTCTTTTACAGACAACGTACTTCCTGTGGCGTCTATCTTCTGTAAAGGTAAATTTCGTTGTTGTTAATATCCATTTACAATCACATTTTGGTGTATACATCAGTATATTTTAGATTCACATTTCAGTCATATAATCCATAATTTCATATTTTTTTCTCGTATCTATTAGAAAGACAAAGCAAATGTCGCCCTCAACAATGTATTGCCAAACTGGGCCCAAATACAGACGCCATTTTTTAAAGGAAACTTGAAAATGCATACCTTATAAATTACATAGCTGTATGAATTAAACATTTACACTGCATATGATGAAAAAACTTTATTTATTTGTCGCTTAAGCGTCAAAGAAATTTCCCTTTTCCTTCTTTAAATTTACTTCAAAATTGCACAACAAACCCGGTTTGTTGTGCAATTTTTTGCAATCTTTGAATAGTCGTGTGCCGGTTTGAAGGAAACCGGCACACGACTATTCTACGAACGAAAAAATACAACATTAGACCACAGGCACCTGACTATCTACCAACATTAATTGAAAGGGTCAATTGAAAGAAAATATGTCCTACTACTGTGAAGCCTTCCCGTGGAATTATAGTTATCTCGTACCATTGCAAACTCGTACCGATGTGAACTCGTACCACTAAAAACAAATTCGTACCAATGCAAACTCGTACCACTGATAACTCGTACCACAGTAAATTCATACCATTGTAAACTCGTACCAACTTATTTAAATACATTCAAATGTTGTTTAATGATGAATAATGCTGTGCACTTTTTTTCATCCCTGCAGTAGATAATAAAATTAACAATTGAGTTTCACTAGATGTGGTCCAATCAGGTACACAGTTTAAATAGCCTTTTATTGTCAGTTATCTATTGTCCTGTCAATCAACAGGTTGGGCTCAAGTCAGGAAAAGGGGGTATTCCCTGTTTTCAGGGTACACCCTAGTTTTCTAATGTTAAAAAACCCCAGTAAATAGGGACTTCTTTTTATACAACCGCAAAAAAATTTTTGTGGTCGTATATTGGTATGACGTTGGCGTCGTCGTCCGAATACACATTAGTTTTCGCACTCTAACTTTAGTTTAAGTGAATGGATCTCAATGAAATTTTACCATAAGGTTCAATACCACAAAAGGAAGGTGGGGATTGATTTTGGGGGTTATGGTACTAACAGTTAAGGAATTAGGGGCCAAAAATAAGCATTTTTGTAACTTCCAGACATAACTTGTGTGTAAGTGTATGGATCTCTCTGACATTGTACCACAAGGTTCCATATCACAAAGGGAATGCTGGGATTGATTTTGGGGGTAATTGCCTCCAAATTTTAGGAATTGGGGGCCAAAAAGGGGCAAAAAACAAGCATTTTTCTAGTTTCATGACAATATCTTGTTTGTAAGTGTATGGATCTTTATGAAATTGTACTACAAGGTTCCATATCACAAAGGGAATACTGGGATTGATTTTTGGGGTAATTTCCTCCAAATTTTAGGAATTAGGGGCCAAAAAGGGGCAAAAAACAAGCATTTTTCTAGTTTCATGACAATAACTTGTGTGTAAGTGTATGGATCTTTATGAAATTGTACTGCAAGGTTCCATATCACAAAGGGAAAGCTGGAATTGAGTTTGGGGGTAATTGCCCTAAACGTTTAGGAATTTGGGGCCAAAAAGGGGCCAAAAAACAAGCATTTTTCTAGTTTCCAGACAATAACTTGTGTTCAAGTGTATGAATCTCTCTGAAATTGTACTGCAAGGTACCATACCACAAAGGGAAAGCTGGGATTGAGTTTGGGGGTGATGAATCATAAGGGGGTTCAAAAAATTGGGGGGGGGGGATTTTTTTTTCCTTTTTTTTCTTAACATTTTCCATTTTAAATTGGTTATTTCTGATTTATATATAAAAGCAAATAATAATGATATGGTTTGAATAGGCATACATGTGAACCTCCCGACGGGAGTACAATAATCCCGTTTTCAGGGGTCTCCTCCCGACCTCCCGTTGAAGAGGAAAAAATCCCGTGTATGAAATTTTTCATGAATGAAAAATTTCTGCCCAACATATCATCTCAGGCATCTGGTGTAACTGACATTACCTGAAGTTATATTTTACCTGTAAATCAATTAACATGCATAATTATATGGCTTCACTTGTCAGCTTGGGTGTCAAACATACAGGTAATCAACGATTTTTACCTCAGGCTAACTGCCGTTGTGTAACAAAAACTGTGTATTTATTGGGTTACTTCCCTTGATTTATCCTGTTTTAAGTTACTTTCCTTTTAATAATGAAAATTTTTAAAAGAATATAAATAAAATATAAATTGAACAAATAATCATAAAAGGATGGTTATTAAATGATTTTAAATGTCTTAGGACAAATAAAAAAATAATAATTTGAAAATTATTTGAGGATTCTAGACTTCCTTTCAAGGCTTAAATTGAAATTTATATAATAACTATGACCCTAATTTTACAGTTAAAATGATTTTCTGAGTTTGCAAATAAAAACTATTTGCAAGAGAAAAAAAAAAAATAAAAACTATTTGCAGATAGCTAAACAAATGTTCTGGTTGCAATGATTGTTTTATAGAATATGAAGTAAAAAATTTAAAGAACATACTGGAAAAATACAATGTTAGATTGAACATGTAGAATATAAAGATGGAGAAACTTTATAAGTACAAGGGTACTATAAACATAATAAATTGGATGGAAAGTTGAAGAAAACACACTTTAAAAGACCATTTTTACAGCACACGGTTACATTTACAACAAAATTAATGTCGATTAAAAACCTCCTGATCTGAGTCCTAATCTCCTGACCAAAATTTCCCAATCTCCTGATCTGAGTTTCACAGTCCATCACATGTATGAATAGGTAAATTGAAAATTTTTAAGTTCTTAGACCACTTTCATTCTGTGTCAGAAACCTATGCTGTGTCAAATATTTAATTACAATCCAAATTCAGTGCTGTATCAAGCTTGAATGTTGTGTCCATACTTGCCCCCAACTGTTCAGGGTTCGACCTCTGCGGTCGTATCAAGCTGCGCCCCAGCGGAGCATTTTATTTCCTATTCAATTTATGGTATGAAATCTACTAAAGCGCAACTTCTACATGTGATAACAATGCTTTATGATAGCAAGTGTTTTTATTAGTTCAAAAATCCAGCTAATTTCAAGTCTAATTTGATGCTCAACTCACAACAAAACAATTCTTTTGTTCACCAATTCATACCTTGATAATCAATTATGAGATGACATAAAGATAACTTAATCACTTGGCCATTTAAATTCAATGAATAGAAATTTTCAATAGAAGTGAATATAATTCAGTTATGGTCAGTTACACCTGGAGCATGCAGCTTGGTCAATTGACTCCTTAACAAAAGATTTGTATGTGAGTTTTAGAAAAAAAAACAAGGATTCACTTATTCATATTTTGTTGTTCCTGAAATTCTTTAAGTATTTACAAATACTCCTGATGCAGTTAAAACATGCGCTTTATTTCATGCTTTAAATTGAAATAGAAAAAGGAAGTCCCTGTAAAACTAGGTTTTTTTAACACCAGAAAACTGGGATGTTCCCTGAAAACAGGGAATATCCCACTTTTCCTTAATTGTCCCCGACCTGATCAATACAGTTCACTTCAATTATTACCTGTGGGGAAGTTCTCAGACCTCTTTCCCAACTTTGTTTATCTTGGCACCTTCTGGAGGAATGAAAAAAAGTGTACTGCAAAATCCAGTTTAGTCTTTATGCCCCGTCGTAGCGGAGGGGGGGGGCATTAAGTTTTACCCTTGTCCGTCTGTCCGTATATCCCAAAGTTGGTTTCCGTTTTGTAACTTTAGTTTGCCTCAACCAAATGTTATGAAACTTATACAAAATGCTTATTTCCACAAAACACAGATCAAGATTGAATTTTGGTGGCGTCACTTTAACCGTTCTAGAGTAATGCCCCTTTACAAATGGAAAAATTGCTGAATTTTTCGTTTCCGTTCTCTAACTTAAGTTAGTCTCAACCAAATGTTATGAAACTTATACACAATTCTTATTACCACAAAACACAGATCTACTTTGAATTTTGTTGGTGTCACTTTTACTGTTCTAGAGTTGATCCCCTTTACAAAAGGAAAAATTGCTGAATTTTTCGTTTCCATTCTCTAACTTAAGTTTGACTCAACCAAATGTAATGAAACTTATACACAATACTTATTACTACAAAACTCAGATCAATAACAAATTTGGGTAATGTCACTTTTACCGTTCTTCAGTTATGTCCCTTTATAACTTTATATGATATGCAAGCGGGGGCATCATCTGTGTCCCATGGAAACATTCCCCATTTATTTATTTTCTAAAACTTAAAATGTATTTGAATTTTATTTATGTAGAGCATGCCTTAAAATATTTCCAGATACTCCGATTTGTCTGTACTCAGAGTAAATTTTAAGGTGAAAATTCAGCCATTTTAGCCAAAGGGTCCACATGAACCTTAATGCTGAAGCAAGTTAACTGCAAAGTTCTAGCAATGGAAACTTTTACCGTAGTCAACTTGTATCTGAAAAAGTGTCCAATATCCTTACTATGTCATGCATGTTATTTAAAATATATATATCTAATTTCGATATAGGATTTAAGTATTGAATTTGACCTGTTTTACTATATGGGGATTGACAATTTTTAATTACATGTATACATGGTTTTATTGATATGATTTACATGATTAACAAATCAACGTTTACATTAATCATTAAATTAGTCTGAGACAGTAAAAGAGTTTATAAAGTTGATCTTTTCTTATCAAATGAAATGACGCAAAAAATAATTGGTCTTGCATCCATCACTATTCAAAGTATGAAAATATCAATATTGTCAAAGTTAAATGGGAGGGAAATTGGGAATGACATGAAACAAAGGCATAAGCTATTTTGACCTCTGAAGATAACAAAGTATATTGATGCAAATTCTATATTGGAAAATCTTCATCAGACATGGGAAGATCCCTGCAAAAAATATTTACACTAAATAAAAAAAAAAAACAACAGACTTGATGTACAATGTAGGTTTGGGTGATGGAAACCAAGTTTTTAGGATGGACTTAGTTGACCTAATACATGTCTCTGATAGGCCAAAACTAACTTAACAGTTAAGCAGTGTAATATATGTGAACTACTGAAAATAATTGAATGTGTCAGTGTGGTCAATGATGCCTGCTTTTAATCTTTAATTATAGAAAGTACTACTGAGAGATTTTTAAATTTCTATTTAATTTAAGTTTATTTTTACTTGATTTTGGTTGTCCAAATATTACTCGCTTATTCTTGATGTAATAAAATCAGTTTGGGAAACAAAAATAGTCTTTAATGCATGATTTTTAGCTTCATCCCAAGAGTTTATATGAGGATTTTATCCCTGTATTTGGTTGCTGTAACAGTCTAAAATAACAACATTTTGTTTGTATTTGACAGGTTGTTAATAATTAACAAGAACTATTAATAAAACAATGGCAGACAATGAAGCAGAACTTTTAGATTACGAAGAGGAAGAACAAGAAACAACCAATGAGGGAGCAGGAGATGCCACTGCAAAGAAGGATGTGAAGGGAACATATGTGTCGATTCACAGCTCAGGGTTTAGAGACTTTTTGTTGAAACCAGAATTACTTAGAGCTATAGTAGATTGTGGTTTTGAGCATCCTTCTGAAGGTAACTTCAAGTTGAAGTTGTATAAGGTAGAGTTCTGGAGTTAAAATGAAAAAAAATTATTGTATAAAACTGACTGGGATGAAATGTCAAGCGACTTGATTTCCTTGTGGAAATGGACACCTTACATGAATTTGTATAAAAATCAGAATCTAGTGGTGCAATAATGATAAAAGAATGCACTTGTTGTTTGAATATGGATTCCATGCTTTATAAATTTCATATTTTAAGCCTTTATAAAAAGATTAAGAAACCAGAAAATCTGTACAGGTACATTGCAACAATGACTAGAGCTTAAATTGGAACATTTGTCCATGTTGTAAGGTGTATGTATCCCATGACACAAACTTCATATATTGATATATTATAATAATCAAATCATGCTTTAAGTTTTAACATATGCACATGTTTTGCCATTTTGTTTTCCAGTACAGCATGAATGTATACCACAAGCCATTCTGTCCATGGATGTCCTGTGTCAGGCCAAATCTGGTATGGGAAAAACAGCAGTCTTTGTACTTGCTACACTTCAACAGCTAGAACCAGTTGATGGTCAGGTAAATACAATTAAAGAGTAAAAATTAAAAAAATGCACCTGCAGTATTGTTTGAAAATTTTTGCTGTACTAATCAGCTTTAACCATGAATAAAAGTGCACAGCTGCAAAATTTATGAAGCTAATGTTTCATATTGGTATTATCAGTAGCAAATTCAGATTTTTTTTGGTAGTTGGTGCTTGCATGATAAGACAGGATTATGTTGTGTTGAAACCAGAGTTTGTGTTGATAAATAGAGTATGGAATGTAGAATCAAAAGGATAAAATGAAACTATTGTGAATCATTTGTTACTTCCCTGTACTACAGGGTACAAATATAAGTCGTGAATTTGGTGAGAATATTTTACAACAATATTTTGAAGGGTGAAGGTTGGAATTTCATAATTGAAATTCTAATAATAAAATTAAAGAGGAATATTAAGTTTTGGCTCCCTGAAAAGCTATATATTGTAATTCACTATGGCACAGATTGACTCGCAAAATGAATTAATAACTTAATCAAGTCCAGGGGGGTGGGGGATAAATCACTTGCTAAATGGTTTGGTCTACAACATTTTTAAGGTGAAATTGCATGACTAATGATTTTGTGTTCCATTTTAGGTTTCTGTACTTGTGATGGCACATACTAGAGAGCTGGCTTTCCAGATCAGCAAAGAGTATGAAAGATTTAGCAAGTACATGAACAACTTTAAGATTGCCGTATTCTTTGGTGGTATGTCAGTCAAGAAGGATGAAGAAGTCTTGAAGAAAAATTGTCCACATATTGTTGTAGGAACACCTGGTAGAATTCTTGCCCTTCTCAACAGCAAGGTTCTAGTCCTGAAGCATGTCAAACATTTCATTCTAGATGAATGTGATAAAATGTTGGCTGAACTTGGTAGGTTTTCCTGGAGTTACTAAAGCTTACTGTAAATTCAGAAATTATTGCGTGCATTTATTATTGCGATTTTGCCATTTTAGACTAAAATGCGATTTTAATTTTTGCGATATTGAGAAAAATCCTGTTTAATTCATATAAAAAATTTCAAAATGCGAGTTTAAATTATTGCGATTATGACCCTGTCGCATTTTTCGCAATAATAAAAACATCGCAATAATTTCTGAATTTACAGTATTTATAAATAATTGATTGAACACCTATATCTTTTACCCAAGTTGATATATATTATAGCAGTTGAGGAAATTGAACTGAAGCCTGACTAAAAGAAGTTTATCCCACAATGTTAAAATTGTGAGTTCACTTACAGTTCTAGTCATTATCCGAAGATAATTTGGTAGTTTTACTGAAGGAAAAACAATAGTATTTATGCCAAACTTAGATAAAACCTAATAAGAATTGAGTTTTATATGTATGGCAACATATATTACATTATTATTCCCATATTGATCCATTTTCATGATCAGAATGGTTGAGCTCACCATACAGATAAGAATGTGCATAAGAACATATATAAACATTTTTGGAGAGGTTGCTTTTTAAAAATTGTGCATATTTTCTATTCTATGCTCTCAAGATGTTGTTTCACAGTTTTTATATGCCCGTTTACGGGACGTATTATGGTATACTGTTGTCCGTCGTCAACATGTCGGACATTAACTCAAAAATGCTTTAACCAATTTGCATAAAACTTTGGTGAATTGTTTATATCTATTGACGTGAGCTCCCTTTCGTTTTTTATAAAATTTAGATTTTACGTTTCCGAGTTAAGGGGTTTTATTCATTAAAAAAAGGGGAATTTTCCAGTTTTTCGGACAAAAACTAAAAAATGCTTTCAGCAATTCTTATGAAACTTTGGTGAATTGTTTGTATGTATTGATGGAAGCTCCCTTTAGAATTTTATAAATTTTACATTTACATTTCTGAGTTATGGGGTTTTATTGATTAAAAAAATGGGTGATTTTCCAGTTTTCAGACAATAACTCAAAAATGCTGTCACAAATTCTCATGAAACTTTGGTGAATTGTTTATATCTATTGATGTAAGCTCCCTTTTTATTTTTATAAATTTCTAATATGACATTGAGAATTAATTGAACTTTATTTGTTTATAGTCTGACAACAGATTTACTAAGTATTGCACAACAGCAAGAAATCTTTAATTGAATATAAATTCAATTCATATAACCAATTTCAAGTTCTTTGACTACATTTATTCAGAAACCTATAATATGTCAAGTATTTAATTACAATCCAAATTCAGACCTGAACCAAGCTTGAATATTGTGTCCATTTTTGCCCCAACTGTTCAGGGTTGGACCTCTGGGCGTATCTAGCTGCGCTCAGCGAAGCAGTTTATTAGGGCCCAGCCGAATGGCGGCCGCCCTATAATGATCAGTCTGTCCGTCCGTAACAAATCGTGTCCGCTCTATATCTAGAGAACCGTTATGATTTCAAAGTTTATACTTGACATGTATATTAACCAACACTAGAGGGTGTGTCATAATGTATGTTCAATTTCCTAGGTCAAAGGTCAAGGTCAAAAACCTTGGTTTTAGGTAACCCCATGTCCTATGGTAAAGATTGTGTCCGCTCTATATCTTGAGAACCGTTATGATTTCAAAGTTTATACTTGATATGTATATAAACCAACACCAGAGGGTGTGTCATAATTTATGTACAACTTCCTAGGTCAAAGGTCAAGGTCAAAAACTTTGGTTTCTTTTGACAACCCCATGTCCAATGATAAAGATACAAATTTTTTACCACACATTATTCACAGCGGGGCCCACAGAGATGGCTCCCATCTCAATGATATCTAGTTGAAAGTGTTGTGACGAGCAATAAAAATTCTAATTCATAAATTGGCTATAAGAATAAAGAGATCTGATTGGCATACTTTAAATATTGGCAATATAATAAACATATTCTGATAGGCCAATAAAATTTAAATTCACTTGCATTATTGCATTGCAGCTTTTTGGTGCCACAATCTGACTTTCTACTGTCCCAGCAATTGATGATAGTTTATGTATAACCCAGACTGCAAATATAACTTAAAAAGTATACACACACAAAACTTGGTAAAACTTCCACTGACATAATGTGTATGAAGACCTTACAAATCAGATTTTAAATTCTTCAGTTTGTGATTTATTTATACACATGCCAGTTTCTTGTGTTTTCAGATATGAGAACAGATGTACAGCAAATCTTCAGAGCAACCCCACACGAGAAACAAGTGATGATGTTTAGTGCCACCCTCAGTAAAGAGATCAGAGCTGTCTGCAAAAGATTTATGCAAGATGTAAATACCTGTTTACCCCTCAAACGCAGGAGATTTTGTGGTTGAGGACTACTACGTTCTTTGATGTTCATCGTTAAAGCCGATTGAATACTTATATTATTGTATCTGCGTTGGAAAGTTCTTGGTGCAAGATCTGCGTTTTGAATCTGAAGATGATGCCTGTTGTGAAGGATATAAATAACAAGACCAAGTTGATTAACATTACAGAAATTCAAACTTTACAGTTATTTACCAGTATATTCAAAGGATAGCAAAATTATAATTGTGGCAATGCATTTCATATTTTTAAAATTCTTATTTAAGCAGCTTGGATTTTATTTCAAATTTTATTCTAAGTGCAGAATCTATGGGAAAGAGAAAAAAAAAGAATTAAAAAGTTATAACCCTGTTTCTGGTTTGACTGAAGACTGAATTGTTAAAGTTGAAATTGTAAAATGTATTAGGAAGTACAAGTACTGGTCTATTGCAGGTAGTTATTGAATTTTGAGAAATATATTAAGAAGTTACTTCCATGTTAAAAAATTGCAGATAGTTGAAAAGAAATTGTGTTTGCCTTGGAAATAGAAGGGTGGTTAAGTACATGTCTTTAAGTCTTCAGTGAGTTCTTGCTTTTAAATAACTGGTGGAGTTGCTCTTTTTTAAAGATTGCTTGGTTGGGCAAGATAATTGGAAAGTTTACCACATCTTGATGAAAAGATAATTGTGGATTAATGTTGTCGTGCAAAATTATTTATGGTTTACTTGTTGGATAGTTGATGTCTAGTTTTGATGACTTGAATTTGGTGCAAAAGAACCTCTGGTGTCTTGAAGAGTTGTTGTCTAACTGCCTAGTTGGGGGTCTGGTTTTAGGTAGGTTGTCTTAAGATTGATGTTTTTTTTAAGGGGCGCGTCCGGTCAACATGGATGTTTTAGAGGCACACAAGTTCCCTGAGCTCTGAAAGCGATGGGCAAGTGTGTCTCATCCGCCGAAGTGAACAACTTGTATCGCGAGCAACGTTGGATGAAGATATGAATACAAACTTTTAGTGACATTAAATTACAATGTATCTTGTTGATACAGGACTTACTGAACTAAACATTTTAAAGTAATATTTGTGTGTGAAGTGAAAGACATTACAGAGAAATCAATTGACAACTTTAATGTGGAGTACTACCTGTGCACAAGAGCTTTCCACGTTCAGATTTAATAGATTTTTTTACATTGCCTGCATTAGTAAGGTGCTGGCAACATGTTCAATATTTCATCATTTGATATTAATGAAATAGCAGATTTTATAGCAAATTTATTTTTAGTTTGAATTTATGGATCACCACTTTTGTTTACAATTAATGATTATTTCTAGCATTATACATGTTGTACAAATTGAAACTGTTGACATTATTTTTGTTTCAAAATAATTTAATTGGAAAAAAATTCTCTTCAAGCCTCATCAATTAAGTTGTTAGTTTATTGGATTTTGAAAAGATATGAAAGAAAATGATTCTGTAAAGTGTGGCAAAATTATATTTAAAAAAAAATTGAGTAAAAAATCCAAAACTATAAATCTGATTGATGTGGCTTAATGATAATTGATTTGCTTGTATGTTTTTACTATTGTTACTTTTAGCCGATGGAAGTCTATGTTGACGATGATTCCAAGTTAACACTCCATGGTCTTCAGCAACATTATGTCAAACTAAAGGATAATGAAAAGAACAGAAAATTATTTGAATTGCTTGATGTTTTAGAGTTCAATCAGGTTGGATTGTTTACCCATTTTTTAGATGAATTTAGATTATTTGATTATGATTGGTTAACATTTTATGCTGCATCATTGTATTTAAAGTTGTTTTGTGTATTTACTGTTATGTATAATTTTTATGCCCCTGTCATAGTGGAGGGGGCATTAAGTTTTACCCTTGTCTGTCTGTCTGTACATCAGTATGTCCCAAAATTGGTTTCCGTTCTCTTAATTTTAGTTTGCCTCAACCAAATGTTATGAAACTTGTACACAGTGATCTGGAAGGATTTTTTCTCTATGGGCCCAGGGCCCCCCAAAAATAAATTCAATGGGCCATTTTTAGAATTAATGGGCCATGATGTCAAATGAGTGGGCCATTCGTTTACAATATAAAAAAAAAGTAAAAAAAGTGTATATTTCACTGTACTTACAAGTATGATTCTAATTAATATCATGGATACTGTTCCTGTGATTTTGTAATTTCAATTTCAATGAATATACAATAACTTCTTCCAAACCGGGCAATATTTACGATAACCTTTATTTACAATGTTAAAACTGGTACTGTTTCCTTGTTCATGTTCATGTTTTTTTTTACATTAAATTTGGGTCTTCGTCGATACCATACTTATTCCAGACGTTCCGTATTAGAGGACGTTTCTGGCATTTTCTCTGCACTTGTATTATTATTACTTCATCACGATGACAAGAATAACAGTAGAGAGCAACGTTAATTGATAAGACACAACAACAATTCGCTGAAGGCATGTTTACAAAATGTCAAAACGAGCCAAAGACCAAAAAAAATTGACAAGGACAGTCAAGCCCCTTTTATGGAGACAAATACTATGCTATTCATAAAAAGGCTTTTGGATTTTTCAATCGAAACAATAGCAAGCTTACTTAAAAGATTATAATTAGAGAAGAATTCTCGCCTGTACTAGCCAATTTTTACAAATTTAAAGTTGTCTATAAATAATTATATCATGAATGATGGTTAATTACGTTTTTTGGGTAATCAGTCATACCGCATGTTGCTATTATTACCATAGGAAAACACCCGAGACGTCCCAAAAATATATAGGTGCTCCTATCATTGGAGTAAACACTACACAGTTGTGTACTCACACATGGCGGCACGAAATACGATCGGAAATCCATTTGACGATATCTCAACAATTCAAAACAAAGTGAAAAATATCCTGCGCCACGCGGGCGCTTACATTTGTCACTCTATGCGCCATTTCTGGTCGATAAGCGCAATTGGCGCAAGGCGCACGTCCTTCCCGATCACTGTGTACACAATGCTTAATACCACAAAACACCGATCAAGTTTTAATTTTTGGTGGCGTCACTTTTACCCTTCTAGAGTTATGCTCCTTTACAAATGGGGAAAGTTGCTGAATTTTTCGTTTCCGTTCTCTGACTTTAGTTTGCCTCAACCAAATGTTATGAAACTTATACACAATGCTTATTACCACAAAACTCAGATCACGTACAAATTTGGGTAGCGTCACTTGTACCCTTCTTGAGCTATGTCCCTTTATAACGTTATATGCCAGCAGGGGCATCATCTGTGTCCCATGGATACATTCCCCATTTATTTTTCTTATTCTAAATGGATACATCAAATTATACAACTTTTCAAAAGCTGCCCATTTTATATAGGAAAATTATAAATTTTGAGTTGGAAATTGACTTGTTCATAGCTTTGCCACTGCAGAACATATACATGTATCTTAATTTCATCAACACAAATAATCAAATATATTTAAAATAAGATTAAATTTTCCAGTGTGATTAATTTGATTTTTATCTGGTTAATGCTTCTTGAACAACCTACATAAAACACTTGATTTTCCATGCAGTAATTTTGACTACCAAATTTTGGGAGAATGCCTCTGTTGTCTAACTAGTTTGAATTCTATTACTACAGACAGAAATTTGACAAAGTAATTACTTAAAAATATTTGATTAAGTTGACATGGTTGATTTAAAGCAAGCTGCCTAGATGGTTTGATTAAAGAAATAACAATATATTCTAATTTAGATCAGACTTGGTCTGCATCATCACAAGGATCACTTAGTTTCTGTACTACATATTCAATATATTGACTTCATTTAGGGAAATATAACTTTAACATATTGCATAAAGAGGTGTGCAACACAGGCTCCGTAGAGATCTAGTGAACAATTAATTAAACCAACATTTTTATTTTATTTAAAAAATCAGAAGTGTAATGAACTTGTGTATTAAACTTCCAAAAATAATACTTATTTATATGTTTTTTGTAGGTCATAATATTTGTGAAGTCTGTGCAGCGTTGTATGGCCCTTGCCCAACTGTTGGTAGAACAGAACTTTCCAGCTATAGCAATTCACAGAGCTATGACTCAAGAAGAAAGGTAAGAAAAATGAGTGATGTGCACGGAGACTGCCATGCATCATGCATGTTTAAGATCCTTTTTGTAGATTTAAAACTAAAGTAGTTGCATGTTGATGTTCCAAAAGGCTAAATTTTACCTCTTCCAACACTCACAAAAACAGCAGTTAATAATTTATAGTTCAGTTTTATTTCCATATGATTTTATATCGTTATTTTCATGTTCATATCTGAAGGGCTTTAAACAACAATCAACAAAGTAAAATGAAAATGGTTTTACAGTTGGAAATGTAAAAACATTCCTTCTTTTTAGATCTTTAAAATCCATTTATAGAAGTTTTGATTTGCTGTTTTATTTTTATAATTTTACATTTATATATTTATAGGTTGTCAAGGTATCAGTCATTCAAAGATTTCCAGAAAAGAATCTTGGTTGCTACGAACCTGTTTGGTAGAGGAATGGATATAGAAAGAGTCAATATTGTCTTTAATTATGACATGCCAGAAGATTCAGACACATATTTACATAGAGTAAGGAAGTTCTTGTACATACATTTATTTGTGTGTATTCACAACATTAAAAAAGGCTCATATTATTGAAGAAAATTTCAATGATTTTACATATAATTAGTTTTCTCAATCCCAAAAATGTCAAACATGCAAGATTTTTTCCCCCCTTTGTTTTACTTATGAAAATTCCTGCTTGGCTTTGTCAGTCAGATTTGTACTTTCTCTTCCACCTTCAGAATTGTTTGGGGCCAAAGTATCAAAATTTGAACTTGCATGTATACAATATCGAAGAAATTTGTCTCAAATTGGATTGGTCTTCTGGGTATTTTTCTTTGGTGAGAGCTGTGTGGTGTATAGCAACAGATTTTGCACAAGTTTGTATGGCTTCTTTTAAGAAGTGTTTTCTTAGTTCATACAATTGAATTATTGTGTTTCTTGTTTCAAGCACAATACTGTTCACAATTACTTTTGATCTACATTTGTTCATTACTTTCATGTTGACATGTTGCTATAGTTACATAAAGTGACCAACAAAGGATTTTATGAAAATTAGTGTGAAATGTGGAAGTTGCACAAGACGAGTGTGGTTAGTAAGATTGAAAACATTTTCAATGAACACACTTGATTTTTCAGTTCTAGTTCACCAAAAATATGAATTAATGTTTGTTTATTTCAGGTTGCCAGAGCAGGAAGATTTGGTACTAAAGGCTTGGCCATCACATTTGTCTCAGATGAAACTGATGTTAAAGTTCTCAATGATGTACAAGAAAGATTTGAAGTGAATATAACAGAGCTGCCAGATGAGATTGATATATCTTCTTACAGTAAGCATTGTTTCTTTTACAATAATATAGTTTTGTAAGGAATTGTAGAAGTGAAATCTGTGTATCCAAACTCCTTGTGAACCAGTAATCAGACTAAACATAATTTGCATTTTAGGACATCCCATTATTCTCAACAAATTTTACCAGTGCCCAACCAACTTCTGTTTTTCCTGTTTTATTTTTAAAAACAAATTTTGATACTGTACACAATGAACATTTCCATTTATTGCACCTAATATTAAGATATGTTACAGGTTAGTTCATAAAAAAAATTGGAGGTCTATGATGGTATGCCTCAGACACTACATTAAATTCTATTGAAACACTTTATAAAGCTATGATTGAAGAAAGGGGAAACATTGCTAGCAAAAGTAATTTGTTTTAAAAAATATATTGGATCAAGTTCACTATATGTAGTACATATCTACTTGGCAGAAAAAAAGTAACATTGGCAAGCACCTTTAGAAAAAGAAAATCAAACTGATAAGGAAGGCATGTTCAGATTTTTTAAAGTGATAATGGCATTAAGTGTTGTAAGTTACAACCAGAATATGGTATTCTGCAACCTTAGGTCATGTTTTCTTATAATATTTAAACTAAGATGGCACTAGAAGAAAATTTAAACATAAATCAGTCCTTGTTTGAAAAAAGCTAATAACCTGAGGATTAGACTTATCATATTTTCTTCTTTCTTTTTCAGTTGAAGGAAGATGAACAAACTGTGATCTTTATAATGTTTGGAGGAATTATGGACACGTCATGGAATGGCATTTTATGTTGACTTTATCATGTGGGAACAAAACTCTTTTTTCTTGTGAATCAATTTAAACAAAACTGTGATCATTTATGAAATTGTTTTTTGTCATAAAGAATGAAGTACATAAAGATAATGAGAGACTTCAGATGTTAACATGTCCAATGTTTTTATCACATCATTTATATTGTAAATAAACCATCTTCATTCATATACTGTAAATTGATAAAAAAAAAGAAAAAAATTGCAGATGTTTTAGTTTTGATTATTTCTAGGGTTTGAGATTTGCAGACAGGAATAAAGAATATTTTTTGAAAATTATGACATTGTCTGAATAGTTTTTCTTTTATTTTTTTCATCTATAATGATATATTTTTGGCTGTCAAAATATTGGTTCAATGAAAAAGTTGCAAACACAGCAAATAAAAGAATTTTTTTCTTTTTCCATCCACTGGCAGTGAAGATGAACTGATAGTCAATGTGGATAACAGGTGGTCATGATACATTATTTTCACTAAGATGAAAAAAAATTGTAAGTTGAGAATTTTCCGTCTTTTGCCTTCTAAGGACTAGTTAAAATAGACCTCATTTTGTTGAAATTTTCCAATTGTACGCTAGAAATAATTCTTTGGTCATCTGATGTCTCAAGTTTACTTCAAACAACTTGGCTCCCACTGATACTATGCCATGGCTAAAAGAAATGTTTATACTGATTAGAAAAATCTTTATAGCAGATTATTATGCCCCCGCTGTAGCGGAGGGGACATTAAGTTTTACCCTTGTCCGTCTGTACGTCCTAAAGTTGGTTTCCTTTTTCTAAATTTAGTCTGCCTCAACCAAATGTTATGAAACTTATACACAATGCTTATAACCACAAAACACAGGTCAAGTTTGAATTTTGGTGGAGTCACTTTAACCCTTCTAGAGTTATCCCCCTGTACAAATAATAAAAATTGCTGAATTTTTCGTTTCCGTTCTCTCAACTTAGTTAGCCTCAACTAAATGTTATGAATCTTATACACAATGCTTATTACCACAAAAAACTGATCAAGTTTGAATTTTGGTGGTGTCACTTCTAATGTTCTAGAGTTATGCCCCTTTACATGCGGAAAAATTGCTGAATTTTTTGTTTCCGTTCTCTAACTTATGTTTGCCTAAACCAAATGTTATGAAACTTGTACACAATACTTATTTCCACAAAACAAAGATCAAGTACAAATTTGGGTAGCATCACTTTTACCCTTCTTGAGCTATGTCCCTTAATAACTTTATATGATATGCAAGCGGGGGCATTATCTGTGTCCCATGGACACGTTCCCCATTTATTTTATTATTATGAAAATGAGATGATGTTGTATGATTGCCAATTAGACTTGCATGTAACTATCTATCAGACCAAATAAAAGGCATGGATGTAATAGAAAACAAAGAATATGGTGTATCAGTACCAATGACAAAACACACATATTTCATTGATCAATGAATATCGCACCAATCAATAGAGATTCTTTGTATTTGGGCATTCAAAATTTATGTGAATTGCAAGACCAAGAATAAGCAATGTATTTGCTTCTCTTGTCAGGAACATGACACTTAGGAGAAGGAACAAAAACCTGATGGTTCTGTCAGATTAATGTGTTCCAAGTAAGGTAACATGTTAGCTCTGTCAGATTAGTGTTTCCCCAAGTAGGGCAACTTCTTGGCTAATTCGGATTAGTGTGTCCCAAGTATTGCACCATGAGCTTTAAGTGTGTCCCAAGCAGTGCAACATGTTGGCTCTGTCAGATGAGTGTGTCCCAAGTAGTGCAACATGGTGGCTGTCAGATTAGTGTGTTCAAAGTAGTGCAACATAATTGCTGTCGGATTAGTGTATCCCAAGTATTACAACATGTTCTTCATTATAAATAAACTGTTGACACAGCAATACGTCTGGCCTGTTGGCATAAAATTCAGAAAAAGACAATCTGATGGACAGCAACATTGCTAATTAATTCAAAGTCGCTGAATCAACCAGTGGGTAGGGCCTTATAATGGTTGACAAACTGAGATGTACAGACAGCAATGTAACTACAGAAAATATCGTCTATTGTAAGTAGTTCCTATGAGAAAACCTAACATTGAACATTGCTTATTAATTGAAAGTCACTGAACCTTGGCCTAGGGGGCAGCCTCAAAATAGTCATCAAACTGATGTGAACTGATAGCAATGCAACTTCTTACAAAATATCATTGATCTATCACAAGTAGTTCCTATCAATCTAACTCGAGCAGAAATATTAACATTTAAAATTGCTAATTCAACGTCGCTGGACCAGGGCCTCAAAATAGTTGTCAAACTGATATGTACCGATAGTAATGCAAATTCCATACAAAATATCATTGATCTATCACAAGTAATTCGTATCAAACTAATTTAAGCTAAAAACTTAACATTTAAAGTTGCTTATTAATTCACAATTTTGGACCATGACTTGGGGGGCGGGACCTCAAAATTGTTGTCAGACTAATATGTACTGATAGTAATGCATCTTCTTACAAAATATCAAAAGATCTATCTGAAGTAGTTCCTATCATACTAGCTTAGGCAGAAAGACTGACGATGTTGTTGCCGGAAAAGCAATCCCTATGTCTCGCTTTCTGCGACTTTCATCACAGGTGATACAAAAACAAAATGTGTCTACAATCTTTGATACAGCCGGGGGTAGGATGAAATTTGAAAAAAAAGGCAGGACAGGAGTTTTGAGTGAAAATAAAAGGCAGGATGAGCAACTTTGCAAAAAAAAAAAAAAAAAAGGCAGGATGACAATTTATGTAAAAAAAAGTCAGGATAAACTAATAAAAAAAAATGCAGGACAGAGATTACAACTAAAAAAAAAATGCAGGACAAAATTTTTCATCCTAGTCCCCCCCCCCCCCCCCATAAAAATCAAATGGTAGCTCCCTTACAATTCATTTGGAAACTCAACATATGCCAAATGACACTTAATACCACGAAGGAAATCCTGGATAATCGTAGGTCTGATCTATGTTCCTTTGGAATTTCTACCAAAGATGAAGAACTGGATCTTCATTCGTTGTATTGGATACCTACACTACATAAGTGACCTTGCACACAATGTTATATAACTGGGTTTTTTAAGTGCTCCCCGAAACATCTTTCTAATTTATTATCAGCAATCAAAGCAGGGCTTCTAAGTTCTTGTGAAACTATATATTCTAGAGGTAACATGAATCAAATGTGAATAATAAAAAATTCCAAAGATCTGTTAGAGTACAATCTAAGACTTTCATCTTGCAATAGTATTAAAACAAATGAATTTTCTATATTTCGCATTCTAAACTAAAAGACAAATGGAAAGAATTAGTCTCCGTTTGTTTCATACAAAAGGATGACCAACAAAGATACAAGTATCTTGCCTTAGGGAGGGATAAATTGTACTTTGTAAAAAATCATTCTTGGTTCAAACAAAAATTTCTCTGAAACTGACATTTATAATCAAGATGGTTGATTTCTTGATTGACAAAATATTTATTACGTTTGGAGGACATGTTTTTCAACAAACAATCTGCATTCCAATGAGAACCAATTGTGCTCCTCTTCTTGCCAACTTGTTACTTTATTCATATGAGGCTGACTTCATACAGGAGCTTCTTAGGAAGAATGAAAACAAGCTAGAATTATCCTTTAACTTCACTTTCCAATATATAGATGATGTCCCACTACTAAATAATTCAAAGCTTTAGGCAACATCTCTATACTTTCCATGAAGTTGAATTCAAGTCTTTTAGGATTGTAAGTATATGTATGCTTTATTTTGTCAGTTTGCACTTTGATGACCTGACTTTGGTTCTTCTACAATACTGTAATGCAATTGGGTGAACATCACAATAATAAGAACTCACATTCTGATAACTGATCCATATATCTTAATGTACATTTTCCTGAAATCGCAATAATTAATCTGGCATTTTTGTCCATTCTTCTAAAATTGCAATAATAAATGCATGCAATAATTTCTGAATTTACAGTAGTTGGTATAACTAGTTGACTAGTTGAGTATTCCATTTGAAAAAAAAACATATTACAATTTGGTCAGAATTTCGAAAGGAGTAACAGCAATTTTTACAGTCAAGTCATTATTACCATTTACATCTGAAATAGAGTAAAAAACAAATAATAAGGTTGTATCAATTTATTAGTGACATTGTTTTAAAGCAGTCCAAAAGTATATATTCAGAAGTTAAATTTATTGTATCATTAACCTCTGATTAAATATATTCTGTACAAATATCAATACAATAAAGTTTAAACTGCAATAATAAGTTATCTCAACTTACAATATAATTGAAAAAAAACATACAAAAACATCAAATGAACAATATTTTTTACAAGTACCTAATTTTGTTCTTATATCAGCTTACTGAATAGTATTGATATCTGCAGCATCAAATAGTAAAGACTTCAAAATATCTTCAGGAATTAAGATGTTCAAACTAAATGGATATAAAATACATTTTACACCCTCTCCCCATAAAAAGCTTGATGATGTTTAGAAGTAGTTTATAATATTATAATTCATATTTTATTTAAAAACAAGAGGCTCTCAAGAGCCTGAATCGCTCACCTGTAATTTTTTGCTTAAATCTTTCATCAATGATTATTTTTGCTTTTCAATATATATTAATGAGTGGCTTAAAAATGCCATTTAAATGTTCTTTGTATCTGTCATATTTTCTTCAAAAGCAAAAAAATGCATTTTACCCATATGTTCCATTATAGCCATAGTGGCTATGTTTCTTGATTTACAAGGAAATAAAATACAAAATTTATACTAGATACTCTGAAACTCATTCAGCCCAAGTTTGGCTGAAATTGATTCAGCAGTTTCAAAGGAGAAGATTTTTTGAAGTGTGAAAAATTGTCTTTAAAGGGCAATAACTCCTTAAGAGGTCAATTGACAATTTTGGTCATATAACCTTTTTTGTAGATATAACTGCATTCACTTATCATAAGTCATTCCCTTTAAAGAAACCTAAACACAAACATTAACTTGTAAACTATGTAAAAGTTTCAAAGTCCATGAACCATGATGAGGGGGTGGGGCTATATAATCTCTCTATAGAAACGAGACTTGCAAATGCCAATAAATTTGAATACCAAATATCATTGACTTAACATTAGTGGTTCATCTTAAACTGATCTAATAACAAAATAATACATGTAAACTAAGCAAACGTTTCAAAGTCAATAGACCATGACTGAGGCGGCAGGGCCAAATATTTTTCATGGAAATGAGATGTGCTAATGCTTATACAACTGCATACCAAATATCATTGACTTACCACTAGTGGTTCCCCATATACTGACCTAATCACAAACTAATACATGTAAACTAAGCAAAAGTATTAAAGTCAATAGACCATGACTGAGGGGGCAGAGCCAAATAATCTCCATGGAAATGAGATGTGCCAAAGTTAATTCAACTGCATACCAAATATCATTGACCTAACACTAGTGGTTCACCATAAACTAGACCTAATCACAAACTAATACATTGTTGATGACGCCTCCGCCGGAAACAGCATATCTATGTATCTCTTTTTGACTCCATCAAGGCGAGACAAAAAACTGAAAAATTTCCTTAAAATTACCAATTTAGTGGCAGCAACCCAACAATAGGTTTTTCGGTTCGTCTGAAAACTTCAGGGCTGATAGATCTTGAACTATTGAACATTTTTACCCCATGTCAGATTTGATCTAAATGCTTTAGTTTTTGATATATAAGCCAAAAACTGCATTTGACCCCTATGTTCTATTTTTAGCCATGGAGGCCATGTTTGTCAATGGATCAAAACTTTGGATACAATTTACAAACTAGATACCCTAAGGAACATTCAGTTGAAGTTTGAAGGTATTTGGCCCAGTAGTTTCAGAGAAGATTCTTGAAATAGTTTACGACGACGGACGACGACGGACCCAAAGTGATGGTATAAATGCTTTAGTTTTTGATATATAAGCCAAAGACTGCATTTGACCCCTATGTTCTATTTTAAGCCATGGCGGCCATGTTTGTCGATGGATCAAAACTTCAGATACAATTTATTAACTAGATACCCTCAGGAACATTCAGTTGAAGTTTGAAGGTATTTGGCCCAGTAGTTTCAGAGGAGAAGATTCTTGAAATAGTTTACAATGACGGACGACAACGAAAGACAGACGGTGAGCTAAAAACCAGTGTGTACACGTTTAAATGTCTTGCATGCTTAATGGATCATGATTGAGTTCATGTCTTAAAGGGGTATACAACAAGTATACCATAAAATTACATTATCAATGATCCATGTAAATGAGGTCATGGTCAGATGAACTTTGCTAGACAGACATGTACACCTTGCAACCATTCCATACACTACATATAATTAACCTATTGCTTCTAATATTTTAAGAAACGGACTTAATGATGAAAACATAAAACTGATTTTTGAACCATGGAAATCAGGTCAAGGTCAGACAAACCTGCCAGACACACATGTACACAATAAAAATCATTTCATACACAAAATTAAGTTGACCTAATGGATGTTGCCCCGAAGAAGCAGACCTTACCATAATATCTGGATTATGGTCGACCACAAACACTTAACATTGATCAGTGATCCATGAAATGAAGATGAGGACAGGTGAATCCTGTCTGGCAGACATTTAGACCTTGAAAGGATACAATTTACCATCCATAGTTATCCTATTACTCATTATAAGTGAGATATTCAGATGACCAAAAAAAAGCAAATTTTTTAAGCAGTTGCTGAACCATGAAAATAAGGTCGAGATGAATGAACATTTGACAGACAGAAACTTCATAACAAAATGCATCAGTAAACAAGGTATGGAGCATCAAGGTCTTCTTCCACCGAAACATAAAACTTTATACAGATGGTTTATGCCGCAGTCACCACCAGATTGTAACCCCTATGTGGAACATTCTGCAAAAATATTCAAGGAATGACAGTAATATTTTTTCTGTCTATGAAGAAATAACATTAAAAATGTGGTACACACTGAATAACCTGTGTAGCGGGTTATTTAAAAATATTCACCACATTTTTGAGGTTATTTCTAATAGAAAAAATATTAGTCATTCCTCATAATTTAATCTAAGCTCCATTTTTAAGGAGTAAATCATAAAAAAAACGTTGATGACATCGCGGTATTTAAAAATGTACCAGTAAAGGGTAATTTCAAAAGTTCTCAATAAAATTGAGAATGGAAATGGGGAATGTGTCAAAGAGATAACAACCGGACCAAAGAGCAGAAAACAGTCCAACAGCCAAAAGCTCAATACAACTATAAGAATCAAGGGTCATTGAAAAAATTATCATACAATATCTAGGCCACAAAAATTGAGCAACTAGTTGCTTTCCTAATTGATATTGTGGACCTTTTACTGATGTTTAATACTTACAGGAGACCCATAGCACACCCTGTAAATGGTTTATCAGATAAAAACAAAATCACAAATCCATTTTTACTAAAAAGAAGGAAAGTGTTTCAAAGCAGAATTAATTAACTATATTTTTGTTTGGTCCATTTGGGTAACAACAGAAAACAATTATGTCACCTGGAGAGGCATTTAAGTATTTGTGAACTGTTTTAAGGTTTAAGACCCCTTCTGTAGGCCTGTTTTTTTAAGAAATTTTCAAAGTGTAATAGTATCAAAAAGGAGCAAAAATACTGATTAAAAGAGACATGCATTCACAGAAATTATATTTATTGTCTAATTGCATAAAATAGAAAATATGGATTTTGTGGCAAATCAAGCTAAGATTTTAGTACAGAGACTTTCTTTATGAAATTTGAAACCTAGATAACTCACTAGTTTATCTATGTTATGCTAGAGTTTATTGTTTACAAAAAGTCCTAAACGACCTTTACAATAAAAAAAAACTTGTGCTGAGTAACTAGTTGAGCACACCCTTAAAGGTGTACTTGAATTGGTCCATATATGTACTTGTTTTACCTAAAATCTCTTCATGCAGTATTCCCCTATCTATTTAGTAAATAATATCAAATATAAGAGTATACGAGGAAAGGCTGTGGATTTTCTATAAAATTTCCATATGTTTAGCATCGAAACAACAAAAGGGTAGATCATCCTTAATACTGACAGTGAAGTTTTACTATAACAACTCATAGCAAACAATGTAAAAGTTCCTTCAATGGGTGACTAACATGTATTAATGTACTAGTAACATCTTCACTGCATGAAACTTTAAAGTTTATTCCAATGGTGGTACATGAGGGTCTGGATGGGGATCCTTCATTTCTGTATTCTTTAATTTTTTAGGCCATTTTTCTTTATTCTTTATACTTTTTGACCAATAGTCTTTATATTTTAGCACCTAGTTATACTCTATTCTTTATTTTTTGGGTCCATTTTTCTCTATTCTTTATATCTTTTGCACATCATTCTCTATTCTGTAAACCCCCATCCACACCCTCAGACATGTACTCTAATGTATTTAACATTTCATTTATATTAACCTTTGTAGCTATAAAAAAACATTGTAATGACAAGGTAACCTGAGTGAAAAGGTCTCAAGATGTCGTTCAAAGTCACATTCCTTTTAAAGAAATGGAGATATACAAAAAAAATATATCAAATTTAAAGAATAAATTAAAATATTGTAATGTCTTAGATAAGTTTACATCCCAGGAGTCCATGGTCTATGGAACAAGGCTGATGGTAGCGGTGAGCAGTGTGTTGAATTAAACTCGCTCATATATTTAGATGCCTGAAAAATTAAAAAAAAGATTTGCATTAATAAATGATATAGGGGTAGCAATCCAAAATGAAGACTGTTCCATTTAAATAAACATGGAACTCTGGAAAGGCACTTCGAAATCTCATCAATGGGAGGGTGTCAAATACTCTTTTTGAAATGTGAGAATGTAAATAAAATTCTAAAATTGTCTATTTATGTGGTTACCCTCTTTTCAAAGTGACTTCGCCGAGTACCATGTATGTTTCAAAAGAACAGTGTGATTTGTATACTGTAAATTCTGAAATTTTACCATACATTTAATATTGTGATTGATGAACAATGGACAAACTTTGAGAGATTTATTTTTGCGATTTCGTGAATTGTTGCATACAAATAATGCACACATCCTTAGAACAGGTCTAGATAAGTTATCTGGACAAGGGGTTGTTTGTAGATAGATTTTTTTAAGAAATCAGGGGGAGGGTTAAGATCTCACTAATCATGTTTAACCCCACCGCATTTTTGCGCATGTCCCAAGTCAGGAGCCTCTGGCCTTTGTTAGTCTTGTATGATTTTTAATTTTAGTTCATTTATATGTTTTGGAGTTTAGTATGACGTCCATTTTCACTGAACTAGTACACCTCTGGGTGTGGGATTTTCCCGCTGTGTTGAAGACCCATTGGTGGCCTTAGGCTGTTTTCTGCTCTTTGGTCTAGTTGTTGTCTCTTTGACACATTCCCCATTTCCATTCTAAATTTTATTCTAGTCAGAAAATTTTGGAGTACAGTTATCGTACTCAGACTCAGAAATGAACCAATCAAAATACCCCGTTTTGATGTTTCAACATACATGTTGTAATCCGCAAAATTTTTTGCGGTCGTATAAAAATGTAAATTATCTGGTACATTTTCAAATTGTTTTTATCAAACCAAAATCATTGCATTAAACTATGGGCTTGTAAAGGACTGAAGCTTTTCATTAACCCCATTACAGTGGTGATAGGTTAAGATGATATGATCAGATATATGTTGTAAACTAGTTAGACCACTAAACCACTAATGACCTCACATGTGACTATTTCTCAAAAATGATTATCACACAGTGGTGATATTTCTTTGGCTCACACTTTACGTAGTTTATACAAAAACAATTATGCATGAAATATTTCCCATTAGATTGAAACAAACAAAAAGCAATCAATCACTTTGATCATAAGCAAATGCAAATTTCCAAGCTTTCCTTAGGTTAGATGTCTTGCAATGAATCTTAATATTGTGTGATTTTTTGTGAATTTTTCATAGACATTAAATAACAGAAATAAGACCTTTGTAAAATCTTTTCACTTGAAACAAAACTTATGATGTCAACTTACCAAAAATAAAGTCATGCTTTCTTTTTCTTCCTGTGTAAAACCTTCACCTGAAGTAGAAAAGTGTGTAACAACAATCTACAGATAGTACAGTGCAAGTTTAACAAGAATGCACACATTGTTGTGTTAAGCATACCATCACTCATAATACAAAGTATAAAAAAAACAGGAAGTTTGTGTCTGACAGATGTGAAAAGCCCTCACAACTCATCACTGTCTGGCTACTGACAAAATATGAAGTCATTCTGTTTAATATATCTTGAGAAAAGTGTGACCAAAAATATTAAGTTCAATCAACATACTGAAATTTCAAAGTACATGTATCTGCAAACAGGAATTAAGTGTCCGATAGATCCAAAATGTGCTCAAATATTACAAATTGTCAATTTCAAGCTGCCATCTAAATATGAAGTCATTCTGTTCAGTAGTACTTGAGAAAAATGTGACAGAAATATTTGTTTGACAAACGCTCAAACGTAAGGACAAACAGCTAGACAAAATGGACCCAAAATCTTAGAGTGGGGGTATAATTTGAATATCCTGGTTTTATTAATTATAGAAGGCACAAAACTGGTGCACAATGTAAATAAACTAGCTATAGACAATAATGACTGGATGTAAATTACAACTTTTAAATTTCATTTGAATTGACTGAGTTTAACATCATCTTCTATTATATGATTTCAATGACATCAGATTTATAGCATCATTTGATTAGTGACTGATATTCAACCAGTCACATATCAGTATCAAGTAGATAAACAGCATTTGCCATTTTGTTTTTTGACTTAAACATGAAAAAATGAGTTATACACATAGATGGCCACCTGTTGCAAAAACAAAAAGTCAGGGAGGACATCCACATATAATTTAAAAGTACATTTAACTTTGTTGGACTCAAATATTCCTTTTTGGACAGTATCATATAAGAATTAGATGGAATAAATTTCAAGGATCAAGGTTATCATTCCATGTAAAAATTTCTTTGTGTTTGGTTATTTGTAGAGTATATTAATATGTAAAATAAAGGGATTCAAGCCTGAATGAATTTTCAGCTTTAACAACAGATAAATATAGATTCTACCACTGCATTGAGTATTCTACCATATTTATACTCTCGAGACAGATGAGTTTTCAAATTTAAAAAACGATCAAGAATGGAGAGATATTGCAAAATAAAGGGATTTATCATCAGACATGGTCGTCTTTTTATTACCTTACAATAACGAAGTTACAGGAAACAAACAAGTTTGTTGTCAATTGGAAGTTTTACCAATAAAGAACTATGATCAAACAAACCACACATTGATTATAAAAAAGTAAACTAGGGAAAGTATCAATCAGGTAAGAAATATATGTATAACTCTTTTTTTGGTTAGGCTGTTTTAATAAGAGGGTGTAAAGAAGGAGGTTATTGTTAAATTTATCTATCTGGTGTTCATTGACATCATAATGTATGTAATACAAAATGTTTTTCAATCTTAAAACATCATTCAGATATAATTTGAAATTTTTCCTTTCCAATTATCTTTATACATATATTTAGACCTTTTTTATATGAATAAAAATTCTTAAATTTGAACTATATATATATATCAAACTCACCTATTAAACAAGGAAAACTATCTGAATTTTCATTTATGTAAGATTTCATTTGTGAAAGGCAAAGATCACCATCAAAAATGTCTTCTGAAAATAAATACAAAATTTAAGTGTTCTATGTGAAAAAAAATTCTTGAAGCAATAGGTTAAAACTTGAATATTTAACCTTTAGTGAACAAGATCAAATTCTCCTACACCTTCACATAAATTATGATTTCAGACAGTAATATTGTCTTAAACAAATTTATTTTAGTAACTATGACCTTGACCTTAGACCAAGAGACTTGATAATCAACAGAGATCGTCCTCTTAGTATTCATATTCAAGTCAGATTGCAATCCCATATGTTGTATTTGATTTAGAATCCTAACAAGACTTTTCTGCACACATTTTTTGTTTATCTTTAGTTACTATGACCTTGACCTTAGACATAGCATACTCGAAATCATTAGGGATCTTCCTCTCATTACATGTTTTTGTATATGCAGGTTATATCTCTTATGTAGTATTTGATTGAGCATCTGGAAACCACTGTTTAGCACAAATTTCCATCTTATTTTAAATAACAATGACCTTAACCTTTGGTGTAATGATATATATTATATGTGACCATATATCTAAATAAGGTTGCAATCCGATATAAAGTATTTGAGATAGCACCTGGATACGAAAATAATTAACTGACTGACTGATGAGTCAAAACTATAACCCCCCCTTTTCATGGTACCTTTTGGTTTAATTAAACTATAAATAGATACAAATTTACCAAAAACAAATATGACAGTTTCTAAATACCCATGGTTCCTGTGGCTGAACTAAGGTCTATTTGTTTTTAAACATTAAAAGTATCTAGGGGATGTAGTTTGAAAAAAGGAGGGTGATCCACAGAAACAATTCCTGAATTTTTCATGCATTTTTTTTCCCCACAAAAAAGTATATGCAATAATGAAAGCTTCAATCACCCTTTCTTTCTGTTTGTGATGTTTACATAACCTCCATATCTTCATAAAAACTATGTAAAATCTGCTTGGCATACTAAAAATAAAACTGACATTAAATAAACACCATACCTTGCTGTGAAATGGGTTTACTTAACCATCTTGATAATACACTAAATGTTGTTTCATCTACAATATTTGGGTATCTGAAAAGATCAAATTATTTCCACTGAAGAATATTTTATCATGGTATAAACATTTAAATTGTACTGAGGTATTATAAAATAACGATTACCTGTTTTGAGGTAAACAATACATGTATGGTGATTAAGTGGTATTAAAAACTTATGAAAACTATACTGAGGTAATATAAGTGTACTGAGTTATAACATGGTTATTAAGTGTAGAGAGATATAGAAAATAACAACATTGTCTCCAAATATAAAATTTGTTTGTACAAGGCTTAGAAACAGAAAGAATGCAAGGCTTTATGGATCCTTTCTGTTCCTGTTTCAAGCAGAGTAGAAATAAAATGTATATTTAAGAAATAATTCAAGACCCCGTGAATTGTTTTATTCTAATTGGATAAAGACAGCAACTCTTTTGGATCAAAGAGTTCTAGGTGAAGGCAAATATTTGCTCTTTCTGTAATTGAACACACTATTTAAATTGACGTACAAGATGATGAGAACTGAGTTAGTGACATGCTTAAACGATTTACAATAACATACTTAGACAGGTTAGTTTGTTCTCTTTATACTGCAAGTCTTACAACTGTTTCAAATGAAATATTTTGAGTAAATCCCACCAATTTTTTATTTAAAGCGGACCACGTAAAATTCTGTGAACCTGTATTCTTTATTGACTTCATTAAATAAAACTCTACGGAAACACATAATCAATGTCACAAACAAAGCGATATAAGGTCAGTGACTGTATACTGTGAAAGTACTTTTATTCATGGGTATCAATTTTCATGGTTTGAGTGGAGGTTACATGTTCAAGGGTTCTTAAATTCATGGATTTTAGTTTTCTGAAGAAAAAAATAGAGTGAAGAATTTGAAGCCATCAGAAACAAAGATTCTTGAAAATAATCATATGTCGTTTTATATTTTGTGCGACATTGCAAAATATAAAGGTTTTAATGTTCACTTACTTGTTCGTCCTTCATTACTGACAACATATACCAAATTTTAAATAAAATAATTGCTTTCCGAAAAGAGCTGATTTATCTCGGCTTACAATTTGTATCCATTGAAGGAAATTGCATAGTAAACATTTTAATCATTGAACATGTGTAATCAGAAGTGATGACACTGATTAGCCTGAGATTGATTGATCAACAAGATTAACAATCAACAAAGGTTTTAATTGGACCATAAACAGGTCACCTAAAGAAAACGATTACATAAAAAAATACTACAAATTTACTTGGAATTGAAGAAAAAATTCTTATAAAATAAAAAAGCAAGCGCAAAATGAAATTCTTATTTTTTGTATGAGAATTATAAGGAGATAAAATGTACACTTCATCATCACATATCATCACTGGAAGTCTGACTTTCATCGATCAAAAACTAAATTTTTAATGAGAATTGAAAGGTTAATAGTCAGACAGATAAAGTTTAGGTTTTCAAAAGATTAAATGGATAAAACCCTGTCTGAAGTTGTATAATTATATAGTTCATAGTGCATTTGCTGATATTCGATGTATTCTCTAGATTGTATGCCTGTATCCATGTAGTCAAACCAACATGGAGAATTTTCCATGTCTTGATTTGGACAACATTTGTTATATTTCGTTGGACACTTCAATTCGTGGATAAAGCCTTCCACGAAAACCACAATAATTGGTACCCTACGAATAAAAAGTACTTTCACAGTAGAACAAATGAATATATGGTCAATTTAATTTTACTGTGCAGAGTTCTAGTATAAATTATGGTGATGAGATCTACAAGGTTATTATAATAAAATGATTACCTGTATTGAAGTAGATGCTGCAGTAAATAATTTCCTCTATTACTCTCTAGAACTGTACCTCGGCCATCACCTCTGCAAATTTGAAAAAAAAACCCAACAAAATCAGATTCTTCAAATACATTCAGATCCATAATAGCAGTTACAAATGTCTTTTCTACAAAAGTGACATCATCAAATTAAACTTATCACCAAATTTGTATTTACATGAGCAACACGACAGGTGCTACTTGTGGAGCAGAATCTGTTTACTCTTCTGGAGCACTTGATATCACACTTTGTTTTTGGTGGGGTTTTGTTTTTTAGACTGTTGGGTTGCAATTTCGTTGATTTTCATTTTTTGCTATGGCGTTGTCATTTTGTCTTCGTCTTGAGTTTGAATATACCTATGGTATCTTCCGCCTTAATTTTACAAATTTACTAATTTTGGAATCAAATTCAGATTCAGCATTTAAACTATTTTGTCTTATTTTTAGTATCCTTTATATTTACAACCATACTGCTTGTTTAGAAAACTTTGAGAAAATCAATTTTTGACTTTCTTTGTTTTTCACTTGTATCAATAAATCAATATTTATGTAACCAATTGTTTTTATTGATTTTTGGGGAAGAAACTAAACTTTCAATCACAAATTCCCAATAGAATATACCACTGAATTATTAATTAACATTTCTATGCTAAAAAACATTTGATTTAATTTTCCTTTTAATAAGTATGAACCGCGACTTACTGAGTTGTAATCATTTCATCCTCTAGTCTTCTTATAAGCAGTATTGGACCTGGATATCTAAAATTTACATTTCTAATATTTAACATAAAATTACTATCCAAGCATTCTGGGCATGTAAATTTCTTAAGTGTCTTCAACAAAATATATACTTACCTGATTTTTTTTTACATTAAAGAATCAATGTTATTATACAATAGTAGTTAACACTAAACTTTTTTTTATCATTTTCCATACATTTTATGACTGCTTGCAATGTTAGAACATACTTTTTAAAAACTCTTCACACAATTTTAAAGCATTTTAATGATATGAAGTTGATATGGAAACAAAGAACAGATTAAAACACGTTTAATGGGTTACCTGCATAATTGCTCACTATTTTCTAAATTCAGGTAGTTGTTTATTGTTAGTTTTGTTATGCTATCTGGAAAATAAATTAAGTGAAAACTGAATTAAGCATTTTATATACATATTATACTCTCTTTGAAAAAAAAATGGTTCTGAGACTTGTATTTTTTTCATTTTCCCCTTTTCTAATTCAGTATATTTAATATTTTCACACAATAATTCATGTGTGTTATTCATCATGGATATCTGTAGTAAACTGTTTCTTATTCATCACGGATATCAGTAGTAAACTGTTTGTTATTTAATCATGGATATCAGTAGTAAACTGTTTCTTATTCATCACGGATATCATTAGCAAACTGTTTGTTATTTAATCATGGGATATCTGTAGTAAACTGTGTGTTATTTAATCATGGATATCAGTAGTAAACTGTGTGTTATTTAATCATGGGATATCAGTAGTAAACTGTTTGTTATTTAATCATGGGATATCAGTAGTAAACTGTTTGTTATTTAATTATGGATATCTGTAGTAAACTGTTTGTTATTCATCACGGATATCATTAGTAAACTGTGTGTTATTTAATCATGGGATATCAGTAGTAAACTGTTTGTTTTTTAATCATGGATATCTGTAGTAAACTGTTTGTTATTCATCATGGATATCAGTAGTAAACTGTTTGTTATTCATCATGGATATCTGTAGTGAACTGTTTGTTATTTTTCATTGATTCCTGTAGTGAACTAAAATCTATGATCATAGTTCCCATAATTGATAACTAACTAAGTTATCAAATATATTCTTCTTAAATATGATCTCATTAATGTTTTATACGTTGTTCTTTTGCCTGATCTAAATACTGGGGTACTAGATAATCAAAGCTACAGCTATCATATTAGAAGTATGGATACTCAATACAAATATGACAGAGCACTGAACCAAAGATTTGTTTCATTTAGCAAAATGGTAGCAGTCTAAATGTCAGAAGTGCAAGAATTAAGACAGAAGGGTAACATTCAAGGGACAGCAATATTTCATACCAACCTTTTGAGATAACTCTCCAGAAATGTTATGATATTTATAAACTTACTGAAAGACTTGGGCATTCTGGCTTCAGCTAAGGGTAAAACATGATCAAATGTTGCATCTAAAATCTGAATAAAAGAAAGATTCAAAACATTTTTTTATTTCATTAAACACTTTCTGTACTATTTTTTAAACTAGATATTCTAAAAGTGAGAAAAAGCAACAAATCACAAACAAATCTTTTCAAATAAATATATATAAGCTATATTGTAGACAATGGTTTGTTAATATCTAAATGTATATTTTTTGTGTCATTTGGTCTGATTGACATATGGTACTTTTATTCTAATCTTATTTTTGACACTTTGAATGCTGGATGCCTTCAAGTCTGTCTTATGTACTAAGGGATGGCAGTGTGAAAAATAAAGTACATTTCAATAGAGGAATTCATAACTGCCAACTTTTCAAAATCTCCATGGGGGATTTAAAAAAAATGGCATAGCTCTAGACCGGTAAGTGACTCACTGTCCAAATTGGAACTATGTCTGTGATTTTTGTTTTTAGCATTGTGTACGAGTTTCAAAAAATGTTAAAATGTGGATGAGTAAAACTTAAGTCAGAGTGCAGAAATGAAAAAAATTAGCAATTTTCCAAGTTATAAAGGAGCATTACTCTAGAACGGTAAGTTACTCACTGCCCAAATTCAAACAATGTGTGCGGGTTTAGGTTCTTAACATTGTGTATGAGGTTTCATAAAACTTGGGTAAGGAGAAAAAGTTAAAATGCGGAAACGAAAATAGGATGGACGGACGGATTGATGGCCAAGGATGTCACTTAATGCCCCAATTGCCTACGACGGGGGCATAAAAAAGTATAAACTCAATTAGTATCTCACCATTATTCACTGATAACAAAATAAGCTCAATATCTAAACTTTAAAAAAAACGGCATTTGTTGGATTTTGAAGGACAAGTAGCACTATAAGCCCGGACCATTGTGCAGCCGTTCATAAACAAGTCTTTGTTGTCTAGCATAACCAATATTGTGACATACACCTTGATGGCATACTTACTACAAAACTAATATCAGGGTAATTCATAGCTGCCCATGTGGCTGAGTATCCTCCAATAGACCAAGCAAATAAGGCTATATTGTCTGGCATGAACCCTAGTTTATGAATCGCATACTGAATAACTGAATCTATAGCACTCTGTTCCTGGTCTGGGAGGGGTGCACCCTATCAAATAGGAGTAAGATTTATGAATCATAATGTGATGATAAATATGCAAATATATTATTTCGTTTTCAGCATACTGTGGATTAATTTATATTTGTGGAGACCAATTTTTGTGGATTGAGGAAAACTTGGATACTTGATTTCCTCAGGTTTGAAAAATTCTTATTATTCAATTAAATAGTCTTTAATGTAAATAATGTGACTGCCTAGAGATCCATATACATATTTTTGAATAGGTCAATTAAGCTAAGTTTGATTGCTGTAATGCACAATAAAACAATGAAACTAGTCATTGCTAGTTTTAAGAATTAGATAATAACATCGAACTATGGAATACACAGTTTCTTGATTATAAAGAATTAAAATAAAAATAATTTATATGATCATACAATGGTTTTTACGATCAGATCCAAATTTGAACATTTCCTTTATTTTGTGTCCATGATCTGGTGTCAATTTTGGGACAGTGTGATGCAGGCATAAGACAAATCATTGTAAACTTGGAAGTTTTGTTCAGATGACAGGAAACTGCATTATGAAGGGCTTATGGCATTGTGCATCATGTCTCACAGAACAAAATATAAACCTCTGAGACACAACTAACATTCATCCTCATGTTCATTATACTTACAGAACTGCCAGCAAATCCAGGATGATTCCATCCTAATACAGAATACCCAGCTTCCATTGGTGTAACTGTACATCCAATCTCATAAAAACCTGCATTGCCCTCACAGCATATTACCTAAAAGAAGTTCATATTAAGTCAGAACTTCTCACACTTCACAGCTTATTACTCTTACAGCATATGACATTTGATCCAAAATATTGGTATACATTCTAGTTCTTTTGCAAATTTTAATCTTATTAGACCTAACACTCTGACCAAATACTTGGCTTTCTGCAGTCAGTTTTCTTCAATTGCAACAATTTGTACCTTAAAACTTTACCCACTTTTACAGATTATTAGGTAAATGATATCCTTGGGGACTAACACACCTTCTTAATATTTTCTGAAAGAATCATCAATGATCATTAACAGTCTTCCAGTAGTTTTATGTAGATTTTTGGTCATCTGGTATCATTTGAAACAATGACAGCTAAAAGTTTAAGAAGTCAAAATTGTAAAAAAATTGAAAAGCTGTTTAACCAAAACATAAAAAAATAGCCACATATGTCTTTGGTCAACTTTGTTGCAGACCTTTAAGTTTTGTATAAATAATTGGCAATTACATTATACATGTATTTACATGCCAATGTTTACCTACCAATGTTTTGCCATTACTGCCAATGTTTACCTACCAATGTTTTGCCATTACTGCCAATGTTTACCTACCAATATTTTGCCATTACTGCCAATGTTTACCTACCAATGTTTTGCCATTACTGCCAACTGAATTACGTCTATCAAAGAAGAGAGTATCAATCTCATTCTTATCTTCTGTCTGTACCTTGGCTCTCAAACCATGTTTCTTTCATAAAAATAGCAGGTTTAAATTAGTGTTCAGTTAATGACTGATAGGAAATTTAAATCAAAGACAGAGATTTGTTTACCAAGTTTATAGAAATTGTAAAATACATTATTTTGTGGATCTTTTGGTTTAAAAAAGCTTTTTTTTGTCTATTTAGTCTGGGTTAATTGTGTGAATATAAGAAAGATTTTAAATATACTTACATGTATACCAAGATTTAACAATTGATGTATCAGAGAGAAGTTTTTTCGTATCTTTTAGCTTTTAATTCCTTTCAAAATGTTTTTATTTAAGTCGTGCTAATTTTATATCATAATTTTAAAGTTAATTAAAACCACAAATGTCAAATCCTAAAATAAAACCATGTAAATTGAAATCCTTCAATAAAAATATTTCAAGACTAGATCAAGATTAATTGTAACACATATAGACTTACCTCTTCAATCAGTTTGGATCTATTCTGGCATAAAGTTGGTTCTATAACAAACAAAATTCAAAAATTCAAATCACAAATAAAACTGTGAGTGAGGTTAAAAAGAAGATACTCCCTGCACCCTCCAAATACTATTACCACATATTGCAATATTGAATAAGTAAGTTTGATTATCTCCCCCTTAAAATGTATTAAACAAGATTATATTTCTACATGCAAATCCTCACGTAGTGTTCTACAACTGTAAATTTTCAAAAATATCCATGTTGCACAAACAAAGCCTATGGAAAGACAGACAGATAAAGATTGTGTATACCACAAAATCTTGTTTGCATATTAGAGTTCAAATAATGTCAGAAAAAATAAAATACTTTTTACAATGAACTTTTTATATTGTCCTAATATTCTCTGTTCGTAGGAGACACAACTCATAATGTTTAATCAATTTGTCAGCAGTAAACAATGAAGGTTAATATAATTAAGTAAATCAATGTTGATGTTACCAAGCAATAATAACATACCTAGTAATGTATTCATCAGGGCTGTAGCTCCAGGATACATCATACGTCTACCAAATGTGTGTGCACACATATAGCTACAAATCAGGACATATTCAATTTTATATGAAATGGTATGAAAGAGCAAGTTTTAAATTCTATATTCAATGGCAAAATTCTACAAGATCAAATGGTGCTAATGTATGCATATAAAATATTTGAATTGATATAAGAATTATTTGATTTTTGTATGTTCCTTTTTGTTTTTATATGTAATAAAATGCTTCGCTGGGGCGCAGCTTGATACGACCGCAGAGGTCGAACCCTGAACAGTTGGGGCAAGTATGGACACAACATTCAAGCTTGATACAGCTCTGAATTTGGATTGTTATTAAATATTTGACACAGCATAGGTTTCTGACACAGAAAGAATGTGGTCTAAGAACTTGAATTTTTTTAATTTACCTATTATGGTCCAATGTCCAAAATCAAAATACATGGTTAGATTCAGCATATCAAAGAACCCCATATATTCAATTTTTGTTAAAATCAAACAAAGTTTAAATACTGGACCCTATCTTGGACCAACTTGAAAACTGGGCCCATAATCAAAAATCTAAACACATGTTTAGATTCAGCAAATCAAAGAACCCCAAGAATTCAATTTTTGTTAAAATCAAACTAAGTTTAATTTGGACCCTTTGGACCTCAATGTAGACCAATTTAAAAAACAGGACCCAAAATTAAAAACCTAAATACACGGTTAGATTTGGAATATCAAAGAACCCCAATAATTCAATTTTATATGAAATCAAACAAAGTTTAATTTTGGACCCTTTTGACCTCAATATGAACCAATTAGATAACGGGGTCCACAAATAAAAAATCTAAATACATGGTTAGATTCAGCATATCAAAGAACCTCATATATTCAATTTTTGTTGAAATCAAACAAAGTTTAATTTTGGACCCCAATTTGGACCAACTTGAAAACTGGGCCAAAAATCAAAAATCTAAATACATGTTTAGATTCAGCATATCAAAGAACCTCATATATTCAATTTTTGCTAAAATCAAACAAAGTTTAATTTTGGACCCTTTGGACATTAATGTAGACCAATTTGAAAACTGGACCCAAAATTAAAAATCTAAATACACTGTTAGATTCGGCATAACAAATAAATAAATGTGATCAAAGATTTTACAAATCTAATGCGCCATACTGTGCAATTAAAGATTACTTCTTGAAATTTTTCAATATTTGAAATTTGAAAAAAAAATAATATTTGAAGAATAATTCTTATTAATTTCTGAAATCTGAAATGAGAAAAAATTGGCCCCCCACAATTTCTTTTTATCCCCCCCCCCCCCCTTTTCCCCCAAAAAAATTCTTTCCCTCAAGATATGGTCATAATCTCAATTCAAATTTCCAATGGAGTTGGCAACCATAATTACCCATTTAAATTTACCATAGTGCTAACTTAATCTATTTTATAATAGAATTAATAAAAATATAGTGTCAAATCTTTCATATGGATTTTTTTGTAAAAAAAAAAGATGAAAACATTTGCAGATATTTTTACTGGTCTTCCTTTATAAATATGCATTTCTTTAAACATAATTTAAAAGCAGTGTAAGGGAAGTAACCAAAACGTTGTATTTGGATTACCTCCCTTACACTGTTTTAGATTATCTTTATTGTTCATTAACCATTACTTTATACATAATTTAAAAGCAGTGTAAGGGAGATAATTTCAATGATGTATTTGATTTATCTCCCTTACACTGCTTTAAATTATGTTTTGTACTAAAGTATTTGTCCATTAACCAGGACAACCTTGTTTTTCCCCCTTTTTTGCCCCTAATTCCTAAACGGTTTGAGCCATAACCCCCCAAAGCAAATCCTAACCATCCCTTTGTGGTATGGAAACTTGTAGTATAATTTCAGAGAGATCCATACACCGTTCCACAGTTATTGTCTGGAAACTAGAAAATGCTCATTTTTGGCCCCTTTTTGGCCCCTAATTCCTTAACTGTTGGTACCATAACCCCCAAAATCAATCCCAACCTTCCTTTTGTGGTATTTAACCTTATGATTAAATTTCAAAAAGATCCATTCACTTAAACTAAAGTTAGAGTGCGAAAACCAATATGTATTCGGACGACGACGCCGGACGACGACGCCGACGCCAACGTCATACCAATATACGACCACAAAATTTTTTTGCGGTCGTATAAAAATTAGTGGTCCATGATTCTAAAACACAAATTTTAGCTTAAAAATGGGATAAAACAAGGGAAATCAAAATAGTGGTAAAAAAGGTGGACTAATTCGTGAGACAATATTCCTTCACACACTTAGCAAAACCCAAAGCATTACTGTAAATTCATAAATGTTTGTGATGTTTTTATAATGTGAAAATTTTGATGATATATGTTTCACAAAAAATTAAAACTTGAAATCTCAATTTTGATAGCATTATTTGTATTCATCATTTCATGAAGGCACAATAATTAATCTCACTTTGTCTATTGCTGAACCTTCCCAATAATAAATGGAAACAAAAACTTCTAAACTTACAGAATTTTTATTTGTTAAAGGTGAGCGCAAACGTAATGATTTTTGCACGCAAATGTAATGGTAATGCGTGCAAATAGAATGCACCGATACAAATAAGGAGCAGGTAAAAATGATATTACCTTTATAATGAGTAATTTGAATTGATATGCTTGTAATAATTTGTGTACCTTACCTGACTAGTGTTGCAGGATAATGGAGAACTTTAGATAGACCTAATGTAGCAGAAGATTTTGGAACCTGTATCTTTGTTCTTTTCACTTCCCTGAAAATATAATGATTTACTGTGAAATAAATCTCTAATAATTCTTTATCCCAAACATGCATGAACTATGGTATTCAAATGGATAAGACATGTTTGAAAATATTTTAAAGTAGGGTTAAAATAATTTCTGATTGAAACTACATGAAAAAATCAATAATTACCGTAGTATTTTATAATCTAAGACTGTCATACAAGTGGGAGATTTAATCTTATAAAACCTGGTTTAACCTATTACTTTTCTTTGCCTGCATTGTCAAGAATGTAAAGTGATATAAAACCTGGTTTATCCCATCACTTTACCTTGCTTGCATCAATGTCAAGTAGTGATATAAAACCTTGCCTGTATCAAGTCAAGAATGTAAATGCATTCTTCATTTGTTCCAAGTTATTTGTTTTTGCCAGTAAATTTGGATGGTTGAGTTTCAATGTTCTTTGTAGATTAAGCGAGAGTCAATTTTAGAATTTGACGTTCATTTTCATGGTAGAAAAAAGTATTTGACATAGACCCATCAACTGATCAGCACTTAGGGTGCATTGTGAGTGCTTATTGGCCATATCATCAATTATTGCAATAAAATTGCTTTGAATATGAAACAACAAATATATACATATATAGAAATATATGTTATTTTTTGTCATAACATAATTTTTAAACAAATTAAAAATCTATATAATTGAAAAGTTTATAATAAACATGTTTTTTCTGTATTTACCTGCTATTTACATCACTCCATTTGAAATCAATTGGCCAGCCCCAGAATTCAAAGTCATAACCTGCTAACATTTTCTGGAAAATAATAGAAGAAAAAAAGTCCAAATTACTATCAACAAAAAAGTATTGATTTCATCTGTTTATAAAATAAAAAAATATTATGTCTGAGGACACGAATGCCCAACTCAAGCTTGCTTATAATGTGAAAAAATAATTTTGAGATGGACGGAAGGACGAAAAGAAAGATAGACAGATGGAAGGAAGAACGGAAAAGGGTAACACTTAATGCCCCCTTTGCCTAGCGGTGGGGGCATAAAAAATAAAGGTTAAATTTATATGCATATTCTTGACAGGATCATTGATGAAAGCATCAAATGACCGCAATATTCTAAACATAACTGATACATTAAAGTGCTTCCTATTTGCATTTGTTTGGCAAAGCCGCATGTTGAATACATTGCAATTGACTATGCAGAGAAGCCGATTTTGGGTAAGTATCAATGAATCAGCAACCTAACAACATATGTAAGTATAACAAAAAAGACATCTTGAGGTCAATATATAGTCTTACAAAAGAAAGACCTAGAATCATGTTTCACAGTGAACTACTTTAGCATTATAAAATATCAATTTACCCTATTCTGTAGTGTACATGACTTCTCTGCTGCAAGCAGTATTTCAAGGAATAAGGTATAATCTGCATTATATGCTCTCCCTATACCTGACAAGATAAAGATCATATATACAATATAAAAACATTTATAAATATCCTCCAAGTATAAATTAAATTTCAGTAATTTCTTTTTTTTATTTTGAAAGTAGTTTCTACAACATGAATTTCCTCATATTTCACTTGAAATTCATGATACTAGTCCAAGTAGAAAATCAAATTTCAGTTTTAAATAAACAATTTTATTATTATTATTATTATTTAGTTTTTTGTATTTCAAATTAATAAGAAGGTTGATTCTATGCACAAACCATTAAATGCTCAAGTGTGTTATATCAATTAGTTCCTTACAAGTTGAAAGCAAACCTTTTGTTGGAACCCTTTTGAGGTACCTAACATAACAAAGTTTTTAATTGTCAACATACTGTATTATAAAAGTATTATTTTCAGTTGTTTCCTCTTCTAAAATAAAACTTACAGACACCTGTCCATAAATCCTCTAGACTTATTTAGAGGATGTATATAACCCATTACTTTCATTGATACTTGGGTAATTTTACGTTTATTACTTCCCTTGATGCTTTGGTAATTTTACATTTATTACTTCCCTTGATGCTTGGGTAATTTTACATTTATTACTTCCCTTGATACTATGGTAATTTTACGTTTATTACTTCTCTTGATGCTTCGGTAATTTTACATTTATGACTGCCCTTGATGCTTGGGTAATTTTACGTTTATTACATCCCTTGATGCTTGGGTCATTTTACTTTTATTACATCCCTTGATGCTTCTGTAATTTTACATTTATTACTTCCCTTGATGCTTGGGTAATTTTATGTTTATTACTTCCCTTGATACTTGGGTAATTTTACGTTTATTACTTCCCTTGATGCTTGGGTAATTTTACGTTTATTACTTCCCTTGATTCTTGGGTAATTTTACGTTTATTACTTCCCTTGATGCTTGGGTAATTTTACGTTTTTTACTTCCCTTGATGCTTGGGGTAATTTTACATTATTTACTTCCCTTGATGCTTGGGTAATTTTACATTATTTACTTCCCTTGATGCTTGGGGTAATTTCACATTATTTACTTCCCTTGATGCTTGGGTAATTTTACATGTTTACTTCCCTTGATGCTTGGGTAATTTTACATTAATAATTACTTCCCTTTATGCCTGGGTAATTAATCTTATTTTTAAGTTACCCATTTCCATGGAAAACATAATAATTTTACGTTTTTTACTTCCCTTGATGCTTGGGGTAATTTTACATTAATAATTACTTCCCTTGATGTTTGGGTAATTTTACACGTTTACTTCCCTTGATGCTTGGGTAATTTTACATTAATAATTACTTCCCTTGATGCTTGGGTAATTTTACATTAATAATTACTTCCCTTGATGCTTGGGTTATTTTACACGTTTACTTCCCTTGATGCTTGGGTAATTTTACATTAATAATTACTTCCCTTGATGCTTGGGTTATTTTACACGTTTACTTCCCTTGATGCTTGGGTAATTTTACATTAATAATTACTTCCTTTTATGCCTGGGTAATTTATCTTATTTTTAAGTTACCCATTTCCATGGAATCCATAACACATAACAGAAATAAATTAAAATAATTCACATCAATTTAAGAAAATAAAAGAAAAATGTGTCTGAAGATATGAATGCCCCTCTCAAGCTTTGCAACAAAAATGGGACGGACAGACGGAAGGTCAAGGGTAACATTTACATAAAAATATGAAATTCCAGTACTCAACAAAAGACACTTTACTTTGATATGTTAATGAAAAATCTGTACGTTTAAACTGTAAAAGTAAAGGACAGATACTTTATCTTGAAATACCAATACAATATCTTTGATTGTATAAAACTTACCTCGCATCATATAGGCCAGACCATATACAAATGATATTGACAATACATAACCAAGTAATGTTTTACCTCCTTCCTGAGTAAAATATCCTGTAAAATATCACACCATTAATGTCTACGGACAAAACTTGGACAATACAGTCTAGAGATGAAAATTCATATTGGCCAGGTTGTATAAGAATAACACAAAATAGAATGGTCTTGTTCAATTTTTTACCATGTTTCTCTTATGGTTGGTCTGTTTCTCCACGTGCTTAGTGGAAAAGCAGCAAATACCAATTTTAAAGTCTTTGGTTTCACCCAACCAGGATTTATACCTTATAATCATTCCATAAATAAAATATAGTTAAGATTTTCTTGTAGTATCTGAGAAACAGATCTGCTAGATGGAAACTTCAGGACATGAGGCATCTGTATGCAATATATGACGAATCCAGGTATTCTACCTTCTGATATTTAAAGCTTTAAACAAAAAGTTTATGTCACCACTTGAATAGCAATGTGATGTTAATCAGAGGCAAAAATTGCAACATAAATATGTAGTTTAACAGCGTTTTGAATAAAAATAGTTTACAACTAAGCTATTGTAGGTCATGTATTTATATCTAAAGTACATATTTGTGAATATAATTAAGTTTGTACCCTTTCAATTATTTACTTACCCCTCCTGTACAGAACGGTTAGTACTACTGGTGAGGTCCAGTAGGTAAATGAGTAACAAAATCTTATCTGAAAATCAAATGTTATTTTTTTTTTTTAATTCTGGTCAAATTTATATAGTTTGATGCTCCTGCTTATTTACTAGTTATAGTTTGATAAATTCTCATCAATACCAAAGGTGTTTCATCAAATTTCACCAAATTGATCTTGGGTAAAAATGGGATTTTACATGTTTTCAATAATTCTAGATTTGTTTTTGTTTCACCATGGATTTTAACTTAAATTTTCCTAAAAAGATTGCCTTGTATATGTCTACTGGAAATAATTCCATTATATGTATGTTTCATAAGAATCCATACTTTAGATTGGCTGACATTGGTCTAGAGGCATTCCTAAATTAGATGTTATTTTCCAATAAAATCCAAACATTCATGACAGCCCGTGCTTCCTGTGACAATGTCACATCAATCAATAGGATAATAAAGGAAATATTTGATAAAACTAAAAATGTCATGGTAATGATGGTTGTAGCATAAAATATAATTACAAAAGAAGCATTCAATTTTTTAATTAAAGAGATTGAGAAACAATTTAATAACTACACATATCTTTACAATATGGTTTGGTATTTAGATAAACTTACCACATTAATTACTTTGTCTGCACCAGATTCTATTATATTGGGAACATATGCTTTACCCTAAAAAATAATAACACATTTATAATGTAAACTTAATATGCATGATCACATTGTCTGCACCAGATTCTATTACATTATTGTATATTGGGAACTGCATATGCTTTACCCTAGTAGAATATAATATCACATTTACTAAAATATTAAATAAACATGCATGATCACATGGGGTTGTCTTTACTTCATCATTCTAGAGCATAGGATATATAAACAATGTACCAATATCAAACTTTGCAAAATAAAGAGTTTTAATAAGTGATATACAGAAGAGTAGGCAAAAAGACATGGGTAAAACTATATTTAACCCAGTTAAGCATGTTAAGTATGAATATTAGCTGGATTTACCATCAATGGTTCATTTTAAACTGACAAAATCACAACCTTTAACATGTAAACTATGAAGAAGATCAAAATCGTGGTACAAAAAATGTATTTGAAAAAATGCCACTGTCAAATGGGGATTAATTAAAGTAATATTAATTGTTGAGTATTTTTTAATTGAAATACAAAAAATACAAAGAAGCCATACAAAAACTTAATTGTTTTATTTTCATCCATTCTTCCAGGGTTTGTTCACCCACCTGTCAGTTTGCCCAGACTTACCAACTATCCCATTTATGGGGGATATCGATCCCCCATGAGAGGTATTGACCTGAATTTTGAAATTCTTTATTATATTAACTGCACACCTCAAAACAGGCATTCAAAGGAGCAAAATTTAAGTCCTCTTGCACTTAAAATCCCCTATGGAGATTATGAAAAGTTGGCAGGTATGTTTACCCTCCTTTTCAATTTAATACATTTTTATTATTGACCTTGAAGGCCTTCATGGTTTAATGTAGTCATCGTAGAGCAGCAAAATATAACGACTGAATTATTTTGGTTAACAATTTGTAAATCTGATTACTAAAAAGTATCATGAAAATCAAAAGGACCTAACCCTCATTCACAGGTTTAAGGTTCATCATAACAAATGGACAAATATGGCTGTATTTCACCTAAAAAACTACTCTGTGTACAGACTTACCTGTGCAGTTTGGAAAGTTTTAAGGCCTGGCATCCACTAGATATATAAAAGTTAAATTTATTTTGCATATCAGAAAGATAAAATCTTTTTTGGATTATGATGGGCATTTTTTTTCCTTCCTGCAGAAGGTGTAAAAATAAACAAACACCTGAATTGCATTTGATACTGTCCACTCAGTTACTACCTTTAACTCACCTTTAGATGTGTAGACATCTATTGTCCATGCCAATCAAGGACAATCAATACAATACAAATCAGTTGTTACCTGAGAGGGAGCATCTCAAAATTATATCCCAACTTAGTTTATTTTTACACCTTCTGCAGGAACGGAAAAAAATGCCCATCATAATCCAAAAAAGATTTTATCTTTCTGATATGCAAAATAAAGCCAGGCCTTAAAACTTTCCAAACTGGACAGGTAAGTCTGTACACAGAGTAGTTTTTGAGGTGAAAATACGGCCATATTTGTCCATTTGTTATGATGAACCTTAACCTAACCTCATACTATAACCCATTTGAGTGACTGGTCATAAGCTGTTGTAGAGCTGAGGCTACTATAAGTATAACACACTATATAGTCTCAGTGTAGAGGAATGCAAGTTTATGATAGATATTTGTTCATTATCATGATTATAAACCTTGAACTTTTCAACTTAGCTCATTTGAATATGTTTATCACCTGATGGGTATCATCACTGTGTTTTCTAAATAACCGAGGTCCCCTACAGCATCTGTATAGATTGTATATTTGCCGAATTAATGACATTTTGCTTGTTCAACAAAACATCTCTTATGGGTCAATGTCAACTACGTTTATATTGAGAAAGGATAATAATGCTTACTTTCAAACCCTTCAATAACAAAGAAAAGGAACATTCGGGGTTGAAGTTCAAATTTAAAGTAAAGTCTAGAGAGCTTCGAAAAGATAAATACAACTAAATCATTTGTATGCTTTTTCAATAGAAAATATTAAATACACAATTCAAACACTAATACTATTAGAAATTGAACTTTCCAGAATCGAAAGTGAAAGTTGGATAGACCGCTTGCTTTGTCTGTTTGCTTCATCACGATTGAATTTCAATTAGCCCCTCAATTTAAACATGGAAAAACAAATTGAAGAAGTAATTACTATGTTGGCTTTCATCAGCTTGTATTGTATGCTTTCCTGCAGATTTTTTGTACACGTGCAATTTTATTTGAATATATATTGGTTTCGGTTTGACAGTGGATGATTCAGGTGGGGTTTAGAGGGCACCCCTTGTTATTAAATGATACCCATTTGTGAGGATCCCCCAACCTATTAAATAACTGGAATTTAAAAAAAAATCTATTAATAAAATAAAGTTGAGTCTCCTTGCCAGCATATATTTGTATAATCCCTTTTTTGCGATTCTGAGTCCAGAGCAATTTTCTGATTTTGCCGCCTCAGAATCCATCATCAAGCCCTATCAAGTCCATTCAGGAAAATTTTTGCGAACTACGGCACCTCAAACCAGCGCTTTTTACACCAACAGCACCATACACCTAAACGCTATTTATTCCAATCTGGATTAGTTCTAAAATTACACAACTTTTTCATCCAGTTGAACCTATCTAAAAAATATATGTCTGTTTAAGGTTACATACTTTAAAAAAATAGGGTAGATAACTTTCTTAAACTATCCTGGATTTCTACCAAACTTGGACAGAAGCTTGTTTATGATCATAAGATAGTATCCAGAAGTAAATTTTGTAAAAATAAAATTCCTATTTTTCTGTATTTTACTTGTAAATGGACTTAGTTTTTCTGCCGGGAAACATTACATTCACTCTGTGGTTAAAGTTTTTAAAATTTTAATAACTTTCTTAAACTATCCTGGATTTGTACCAAACTTGGACAGAAGCTTGTTTATGATCAAAAGCTAGTATCTAGAAGGAAATTTTGTTAAAATTTTGTACCTGTTTATCCGTATTTTACTTATAAATGGACTTAGTTTTTCTTCCAGTTAACATTAAATACAGTCTGCAGTTAAAGTTTTTAAAACATTTATTAGATTCATAAACTATCCTGGATTTATACCAAACTTTGGCAGAAGCTTCTTACAATCAAAAGATAGTATCTAAAGGAATATTTTTATTGATTTTTTTTCCTCATTTTTGTTGAGCCTGCGATTAACAGCAAAAGTAGGCTGTTCCACGGAACCCTTACGAATTTTTATGTAAACAAACAGAGAAAATTCTTATTTTTCGATATCAGATTTCTATATTATTGTAATGAGAACTCAAAAAGTTGACAAGGAAATCACACATTTAATTTGTTGTTTTATTTCCATTATACTTTGTGGTAATCACATACAAATTTAAGTTCAATGGTATGTTCATTCATGATGTTACATTTTAACTCCTACAAAAGGGTTGCTTCTCATTGACATATATATATTCCTTACATCTCTTTTTATTCATAATTTTCTTTAAATTAATTATTAATCTAGATTAAAAATTTGAGAGATGAGTTTAAAGAAAGGGTTGTGAAGTTATACATGAATACCCTTACATTGTGCTTTACTTACAACCATGAAACACATAACAGTCTGTTGTGGAATTAAACCCTTTACTATATTATAAATTGACAAATTAAAATTTTACCTGTAAATTCATATGATTTCTGTAGGATAACCAAATATTTCACCTCAGAATCTGAACATTTTTTTCAACTAAATATACCAACCAACTTATTTATGTTTTAGTTACTTGTGTCAACAATTAGAAGTCACAGTTACTTTTTTACTGGGCAAACATATCCTGAATTTTTTTAGTTTCAAGTGCTGTCCGATTTATGACCTGATTTTTTACTTGAACAGGAACAAGTTTTTAGTTTCAAGTGCTGTCCGATTTATGACCTGATTTTTTACTTGAACAGGAACAGGCTGGAATGTATGCGCAATATTAGCATAATATAATAGGTACACGTACAGCAATTTGAATTTGATTTATGTTTTCATGTATGATATTAACTTGCTATATGTAGCTTTCGTTATTTATTAGTTGAAGAATGATATTGAAGAAATTAACAGTTTACTAGAATCTGCTTGTCGAACAAGAGTTAAAGATCTTCTTGGTTTGGATAAAAGAAAATTGGAAACCGAGTTAATACAGAAACAAGACCGTTTAAAAAGTTCAACAGAACAAAAATCAATACCAGGAACAATTGTTAAACCAAAGACAGGAACTTACACAGTCACAATACATAACTATGGTGAGTAATGGATATTCCTAGCTATTCTAAAAATCCAACATTTTCTTAATATGAAATGCTGCTTTAACAAATGATAAAGTTGAATCCTTCATAAGATGCAAATCCTAGCCAAAAGATTATTTAGACAGGCAGGTAAACAAAGATGCCCCCCCCCCTCCCCCTTAGCGGAGGGGGCATTAAGTTTTACCCTTGTCCGTCTGTACGTACGTAAAATTGAGAATGGAAATGGGGAATGTGTCAAAGAGACAACAACCCGTATGTCCCAAAATTGCTTTCCGTTCTCTAACTTTAGTTTGCCTCAACCAAATGTTATGAAACTTATACACAATGCTTATTATCACAAAACACAGATCAAGTATGAATTTTGGTGGCGTCACTTTTACCGTTCTAGAGTTATGCCCCTTTACAAACATTCGTTTCCATTCTCTAACTTAAGTTTGCCTCCACCAAATGTTATGAAACTTATACACAATGCTTATTACCACAAAACACAGATCAAGTTAGTAATTTGGTGGAGTCACTTCAACCATTCTAGAGTTATGCCCCTTTAGAAATGGAAAAATTGCAAAATTTTTATTTTCTTCTAAATATCAAGTAATTTTATTAAAATTGGAGTTATCTTCCTTTGTCCATGATTATAGTTGAATCAACTACAATCAATGCTTTATACAATGCAATGTTTAATTTTGACTTCCACTGATAAAACACAGATCAAGTTGAATTTGGGTAGTGTCACTTTAATCATTATTGAGAAATGCCCCTTTATAAATCGAAAGATTGCAAAATTTTTAGTTTCCATTCTGTAACTTAAGTTTGCCCCAACCAAACATTATGAAACCTATACACAATATTCATTACCACAAAACTAAAATCAAGTACAAATTTTTTGTTTCCGTTTTCTAACTTTAGTTTGCCTCAACCAAATGTTATGAAACTTATACACAATGCTTATTACTACATAATACAGATTAAGTACGAAATTTGATGGCAACACTTTTACCATTCTTGAGTTATGTACCTTTATAAACATAAAAATTGCTGAATTTTATGTTCCGTTCTCTAACTTTAGTTTGTCTCAACCAAATGTTATAAAACTTATACACAACCGTTCTAGAGTTATGCGTGTTTACAAATAGAAAAATTGCTGAATTTTTAGTTTCTGTTCTCTACTTTAGTTAGCCTCAACCAAATGTTATGAGACTTACACACAATGCTTATTTCCACAAAACTCCGATCAAGTTCAAATTTGGGTAGCGTCACTTTTACCGTTCTTCAGTTATGTCCCTTTAGAACTATATGATATGCAAGTGGGGGCATCATCTGCTATCCACATTTATTTTCAAATACTACTATAAATTACCAAATAGAATATATCAAGCCATTTTATAAAATATTGGAATTCACCAAATTATGAAATACAATTAGCAAAGTGCCTTAACTAGTAGGGAATTACACAGTTCATATCTTGGATATGGTAAAAATGCATTGAAAAGTTTTGCATGAATAAGTGGGTCTTTGTCCTAGATCAAAAGAAGGTAACACTACAGTACGTTGAAAAAACCCAAAGTTGATGGGTAGTACACATTCTAAGGAGATTATGGCCAGTCAGAATATGAAGATAAATCTGGTGCCATGAGTTGGAAAATTGCCAGTCTCTCTGCATGTTGAATAACCCTGGTAATAACTCTGAGCAGTCTTAGGGTGACCTATGCACGGCCTTTAACCATGCAACATAACTCTTTATTTAATGTAAGTTTGCATGAAATATTTTCCACTGGACATTAGCAAATAACAATCGATAATCAATCAGTATGACAATTGTTACATGTTTTCATTCACATTTTTTGTCAAGTTTTAATGGTTAAATCTATTTATCATATATTTAGTACTTCTTATTGCTATTTTGAATATTTGATAAAGACGACAACTCCAGACCTGTATTGTTACCCTGTATGATGTATCACACCCCTTATGGAACATCTCTATAGTTGTTATCTGCTTGAATCGTTACCCTGTATGTTATATCACACCCCTTATGGAACATCTCTATAGTTGTTATCTGCTTGAATCATTACCCTGTATGTTGTATCACACCCCTTATGGAACATCTCTATAGTTGTTATCTGCTTGAATCGTTACCCTGTATGATGTATCACACCCCTTAAGGAACATCTCTATAGTTGTTATCTGCTTGAATCGTTACCCTGTATGATGTATCACACCCCTTATGGAACATCTCTATAGTTGTTATCTGCTTGAATTGTTACCCTGTATGTTGTATCACACCCCTTATGGAACATCTCTATAGTTGTTATCTGCTTGAAATTTCAGCAAACAACAATGTCTGACATGTATAGCAGCAGTCCCGGACAATGTAAATGTGAGAAAAACAGAATTCACTTCAACGATTCCTGAAATTTGTTGACATCAAACTTCATTTTCCCGACTGTGTTTACATAACTTAATTCTGAGAACAAAATCTGGTTTAGAGTTTGCATTAGTTTAGTATAGCCCTAAATGGTAAATAATGTGTCTGGTCCTCGTAAGGTAAATGAATGGCCAATTGTTTCTAAAATGCATTTTTTTTTATGATATTGATATAGGAGAGATTTAGTCAAATGAATTGTTTAGGGTTGTAAGTATTTATCATATTTTTTAATTTTCTTTCAGCATGGGATCAATCAGAAAAATTCATGAAACTGTATGTCACCCTGAATGGTGTACAATCTTTACCAAAAGATCAAGTAACCAGTCACTTCACAAAAAGGTAAGATAGGATTATGTAGTAGGTTCGAAATAACAAAATGTGTGTGACATTTTATAAACTTAACAATTATGAATTATCTTTCTCTTTTAGAAATAAGGAATACAGTCATGACAGTAATTGTCATCAAATCAAACATAGAAGCTACTGTGCTTAAAGCGTCTTTCTTGATTAAACCAACATGTATGCTCAAAGCCAAAAGCTTTTATGAATACTAAGGATGTCAATCTTATCAAAAGTTTGTACTTGAGTACTTAGAAAGTCGACCAAACAATACTTGAGTACTGCCATAGAAAAATACATGAGTGCTTGCTTAGAAAAATAAAATGCAAATCAATTTATGTGCTAATAAGATGAGCATCTTCAAAAAAAGTGCATATATCATTAAAAGAAGGAATTAGATGTCAAATGATGTTATCAACATAACAATGAATAAATAGATTTTATTGTAAGATTGGTTGCAATAGAATACATTTCAGCACTCTGACTGAGCTAAAGAAGTAATTCCCTAGGTCAACAGCTTATCTACTACTAAGAGGAAACAATTCAGTTACACAACACTGATATAAAACTCAGATCAAGACTGGCTGGATGTAATCAGCTTCTGTTGTTTACCAAATCTTGATGCATACATGTAATCCTGGTTAAAAATTCAACCTTTAGGATGCAGTCTATTTAAAAATCAATTATTTTACAGTGTAAACAAATTTATTAACACTTGTTTAATTGTATGAATGTTTGAGCTTTTGATTGGCTGTGTATTATTATATTACCTGCTTCATACTTACAGTTTATACATTATGAGGTTGTTCTATGTAAATAAAGGTCTGACAAATACAATTATAATTTACCAGTTCTTCAAAGCTATTTATCTTGCAAGATTTTTTCTTTTTTTCAGATCCATCAGATTAAAAGTGAACGACTTGGATGGTAAAAATCATGAACTTTATATTTCCAATCTTTTTGATGATGTACAACCCAGTGAAAGTTTTGTCAAGGTAAAATTCGAAAGTTTGATATTTAGATAAATCAATCAGTGTATCAATAATATACAACTCAAAGAAACTTTTTATCTAAAATTAACAGCATTCATGTATTAAAGGATGTTGAATTGATTAAAGAAAAAAACCAAAGAATTATGATAAAAGCTGGTGGGGGGGATTAAAAAAGTGCCCCTCCCAATTTATTTGTCTAGGGAAATGTTAGTTTCTGTTCATATGTAATCAGATATGCCATCAGATTCACCACTTCACCAATTTTGTGCATTGTATGCATTTTTCAACTAGTCCATGTGCAAAAAAATGTTGCGATTTTCAATTTTGAGCTTTTCCCTCAACATTTGCAAACAGTGTAGCTGTCTGAAATTTGACCAACATAACTGTAATACTTTTGAATACACAGATGATTGAAAATTAAGAAAACAAAAACTTGAAAGGTAAATGGAGATTTTGTTATACTTTATATTTTCAGTCAGAAGTTTATGTTGCTAAACTTTTTTGATTAGTATATATGGAATAACTTTAGAAATTGATTCACTAAGTGAAAGAAACAACAACACAACGTACATGTAGAACATCAAAATAAGGGTGAAAGTATTGTTTACCAGTGGCAGATCCAGCCATTTCATTTTAAAAGGGGGGTTCCAACCATATATCCCCGTTTAAGTTGATTGATTGATTGTTGTTTGCTTTACGCAGCATTAGCACAGAAAGGCTATATCGCGGCAAGAGCTAATTCGTCCCCATTTAAAAGCATTGATCGTAAAAAAAAGGGGGGCCAACCCCTGGAAACCCCCTGGATCTGCCACTGTTTATCATATTGATTGACTGTAAAATACAACTTAAATTTATAGAAAGTTATGCTATTTCCATTGGACAAAAAAGATAGGAGGTGGATGTACAGAAGATAAAAATATTATGAAATACTAATAGAGGAATAAGGCATTTATTGCTGTTCTTCATTTAGAAAATTCCATGCATTCTTTTGCTTTGCAATTGCAATATAAAGGCATGGATAATTACTATAACCGTAAACTACTACGGGTAATAAAATGGTGGTATTTCACCAAAGAAATTATGGCATAAATGCTTGGGTGTTAAAGAGATTCATCTTGAATTAAATTTTCATGAACTGAAGATACGTTTATTGATATTGCATTAGAAGTTTATATAGTTCAACATGTTCAATGTGCATTTTATATTTGAGTTATTGATTTCACAATTTTGTTTTGCATAACTATAGATTAAGAAAGATACTGTCTTGGTAATGATGAGAAAGGACAATTCTAAAACCTGGACATATGTTACACAGCGAGAAAATAAAGAAAAGGAAGCCAAAAAGTAAGGCATACTATTTTTGATCATTTTGTGTTACCCAAAATGCCAGTGGGATTTAGTGCCATCCCTTTCCATCTCTTAATCCATCTTTCACACAGTTTTGTATTGCCTATAAAATGTTTAAGAAATTTGTATCTGATATTGCTTGAATATCGTTTTGCACCACATATTGCATTAGCTTATTTTCTGTGGCCCTTAGAATCTCTTTTCTGTTTAAAATTTGTTTAAATATGAAAATAACAAATTTTCTAAATTTACAATGGGAAGACAATTTAGTACAAGTTCATAATTCAAGAAAGAAATTGGTAACATCTGATTTATATACAATATTACAAGTTTTTATACTCTGAATGAAAGAAAGGTATATGAGGCATTTTTCATCTTTTTTTCATGCTCCTTTTAAAATAAAATAAAATGTTCAATCTTATTTAAAGTGTATGTTGCCATTTTTGTTTCAGACCCAAAGTGGATGAAAATGCTGATCCCAATGATAGTTTGATGACCATGATGAAACAGATGTATGAAGATGGAGATGATGAGATGAAGAAAACTATAGCAAAGGCATGGAGTGAATCCAGGAACAAACAATCAAAAGACACTGAATAATTCCAGTCATCTACATATTCTAACATGATTGACAGTAGAAAGTAGCATAGATTTTAAAAATTTATCAAATATCTGAAGAAAAATCATCTAATCATTTTATAATTTCATAATAATTGTGTTTAACTGTCATAATGATGTATCAACTAATAAATTTCAGACTTTGTACCTATTTTTAAGCCACCTCCCATATCAAATATTACTCCTCATACAGTTTTTCACTTATTAGTCCCCTACCGACAAAGTCGAAGGGGACTTTAGGTTTGCACTCTGTCTGTCTGTCCATCCATCAGTCCGGCAAATCAGTTTTCCACACTTTTTTTTCGTGCTTGAAGACATTGATTTGATATTTGGTATATTATTTTATCATGACTACTTACAGATCAAGTTGGAATTTTGTTCCGGTCTTATGATTTTGTGCAGAGATATGGTCCTTGGACTTACAAAATTCACTTTAATAATCAGTTTTCAACACTTTTTTTCGTCATGCTTGAAGATATTGACTTGATATTTGTTATATAGTTTACACCATGACAAGTTATAGATCAAGTTAGCATATTGTTCCAGTACAACTAATTTTTAACCGGTAGAGGACTATGTATTGCCATGCAATACTCTCAGAATGCTTGTTTTCAATAATATTGTTTGTTCATATGCCAAAGGTGTTTATTTTGTCAGGGTTTTTAATTATGCTTTTGTGAAGTTATGCACAAAATTAAGGGTTGTTAAAAATTTTGTGAATATTTTAGCATAAATGTCTCAGGGTTTGTCAGCCAAAAGTCTTGTAACAATTTTCCAACTATTTATTTTTGATGACTATGTGTGACATACACAAAAAGATTTCAGGGGGATTTTGTTACTTTTTTTTTTCCTTAATTTTGCCTGAAAAGGCAGTTTTAGAATTTTTTCCATATAGAAATCTTAAGTTTGTACTGGAAGCCTACAATATCACTTTATAAAACAGCAATGTGGACAAGGAATTTATGTGAAGAAAATTCATGAAGATCAAGAGGCCTAAATCTGATGCTAATTTACAAAATGACTACAATGGATTCATTTAGTTTCCTAGATTGAGGAAAAATTGTGTTTTCTTTGATAATTGATTTTGTTGTTTTGTAAATGCCTGCATACATGGTTTACCTAGACCAACGAAATCCACAAAAATTGGTAAATCACGAAGAATAATGACACTACTGTATTTGTTTTGATTGATTTATTGGTGTTTAACATCACTTTCAGCACCATTGGTTATATCATGGCGGTCAGTTTTATTGGTGGAGGAAACCTGAGTGCCTGAGGAGAACCAAGACCTTTGACAGGAAAACTGACAAACCTTGTCAATCAAGATTGGAGTTGAGCACCTGCCATGTGTGGGATTCAAACTCACAACCTCTGTATTGATAGGCTAGTGATACAGTAGTTGAACTACTTAGACCATTCAGCCACCGATGCCCCTACAGTATTTGGATATTTTCTTATTGATTTAATGTTTCATGAAAAAGTGCTATTTTTTTAATGAAAAAGTACATAAAGTATCAAAATATATGAATTTCTTGATGCAAGATCTTTCCTACAGATCAATCCTCCGAACTCTCCTGGTATGAAAAATTTGTGACTTTTTTCCAACTAAAACCAATTTATTGCTTTATAAAAAAAGTTCCAGATTATAAACATCATTGAAGAGTTCAATGTTAGTCATGGGATCCCAAAGTTTTTACAGTGATGTTGTTCATAGTGCTTGTAAACTTTGATCTTTGAATAAACTTATTAGTCCCCTACCGATGAAGTCGAAGGGGACTTTAGGTTTGCACTCTGTCCGTCTGTCTGTCCATCAATCAGTCCGGCAAATCAGTTTTCCACACTTTTTTTCGTCATGCTTAAAGATATTGATTTGATAATTGGTATATAATTTTATCATGACAAGTTACAGACCAAGTTCAAATTTTGTTCCGGTCTGATGATTTTGTGCAGAGTAATGGTCCTTGGACTTATAAAATTCACTCAAATAATTAGTTTTCCGCACTATTTTTCGTCATGGTTGAAGATATTGATTTGATAATTGGTATATAGTTTTATCATGACACGTTACCTATCAAGTTCGAATTTTGTTCTGGTCTGATGATTTTGTGCAGAGTTATGGTCCTTGGACTTCGAAAATTCACTCAAATAATCAGTTTTCCTCACTTTTTTTCGTCATGCTTGAAGATATTGACTTGATATTTGTTATATAGTTTACACCATGACAAGTTATAGATTAAGTTAGCATATTGTTCCAGTACAATGAATTTTTAACCAGTAGGGGACTATGTGTTGCCATGCAATACTCTCAGAATGCTTGTTCCAAAAGGTTATCAATTTAACACTCATAATTAGATCTCTGAATATTGTTTTTGGTACAAAAATTTATTTTGCAATCAACAAAATGTAACTTATTGCTATACATCTAGAGTCCTACATTCTGTCAATACTTATATATTGGCATTGCACAAGATCATGTTTTTCTCCGAATATTTAACAATGATTTTCACTAAATCCATTGGATGTTTACTGATTGATATTTTTTCTAAGACTTCAGTCTTCGATGCATGATTTTTTAAAGTTATTATTGGCTTTGAACTAGATTTCAGTAACTGTGAGTACTCTCAGAAATATACTTCGTGTCTTAAGTCTTTTTGTGTGCTATGTGTTGATCTGATGAGTTGAGCCTTTTTCAACTGATTTTAATACTTTGTCATTATGTTATGCTGTTGTATCAGTGTCCCCAGGGGGAGGATTCTTGTTTTTGTCTTTAATTTGTTGTGTCCGGGCCTTTAATTGCTTGCTATGCGGTTTGGTTTTACTCATTGTGGAAAACAGTAGAGTGACCTATAGTTGTTAACTTCTACATCATTTGGTCCCTGGTGGAAAGTTATCTAATTGGCATTCATACCACACTCTCTAACTTGTATATTTTTATTTCAATACTTTTCTGTGCATACTATTTCAGCCACAAGAGAGAAGCTACTTTTAAAGTTTTATTGAATGCTGATTCTAAGAAGTAATGAAAAGTTCATAAACTCAAAATAAGGGTTATGAATTTATTTTAAAAAAACCTTTAATGTTACACAAGGCTCTGGTATATAAAAAACAAAAAAACAAATTTAATAGAGTATGTGTACACCTGTAGCACAGGTATGTAAAACTAAACAATATAAAAGTATAGTAGGTGTACACCTAGACTTGCTACATGTCCCTTCCTTATTACTTTTTTTTAATTTTGCCCCTTTAACAATTTTACTGCTATAACTAGGAGATTACCATTATACTGACATCTGCAGAGGAAGGGACTTGTAAAGTTTGTCTGAGGCTTGACCAAACTGTTAATCTTAGAGTAATTAAGATTGACATTTATTGATAAGAATTTCAGATAACAGTAGGAAAGTGAAACTTGATATTCCAGGGTTGTGCAAATACTGTTTATTTATTTTCATTTTATAACTAACTAGAAAGATAAGGTCACTGAACTTATACATATGATCAAACATCACATCATTGTCAGAGTTTCTGGTGTTTCCAATGGCAGAATGTTCTACTCCAAAAAAGTTTTTTAGATTTATAAAATTTACTCCAACAACTAAAAAAACTCTTTGTGTAATTTGTGGAAACAGAATTGAAAAAAGTGATTACAGAAGAAAATTATTTCATGGCAGCATCAAATCTGAATACTGTATTCTTATTGAAAAATATCTGGAAATAAATATTACAGAAGAGACACATGCAGATACTGCTTGTAGAAAATGTGTTAGAGAATTGCAAAAAATTGACAGTGTTTTAACAACATTTAAATCATCATATCAGAATACTTTGGCAAAACTACGTGAAACACATGGACATAACTCAGTTTCATTCAAAAGACAATTTTCTGAGGACGGTAGTGCAACTGTTAATAGTAGGAAATCGTTGTTTCCTAGAGATGAGGAAATAGAAGACTCTGAATTCAATATCGACACTGAAACTGACACAGAACTGAAGGTATGTTTGTACAGTTCATTTTGATTGTAAAAACAGAGAAAATAATGAATCAATGTCCTTACATAATAAACTTATCATCCTATGGCTAACTAACAGAAACGGGCAAAATATGTGTACACTCCCCTTTTGATTTATTGACTTTTTGATAATTTTTTTTTCCTCCAGTGGCAAATATTTCATGTGTTTCTGGATTAGAATATGATTTAAGCATAGTTATTTTCAGGTTGAATAAAAGATTTAAGGCATATTTCTTGAAAAGCGTATTTATAATAGCTGTTAATTATATCCTTAATTTATATGTTTAAAATACCCCTTCCCCCCCACACACACACAAAATGAAAAGTTGATGCCAAAGTTGTTAACTAAGCCAATGGAAAGCTATCTTTGTGTGAACTACCAATATTAATGTTAAATCAAATAAAACAACAGAACTTTTTTGAAAAATAAAATTATCACATTTTTTCAAAATGTGAAAATTATTAATTGAATGTCAAGTATTTAGACATGATATTCACCTTTTTAATAAAGACCTTCTTATTTGTAGGTTATAATATGCCGTGGATTGAAAAATGAAATACGGTGCATGCCTTCGAAGCACTTTCCAATTCTTGATGCCTTAACCTCTGGTGATATGCCTACAGTTGGTTCATTAATTTCAAAAATTCCAGATTTGCAAGATGTTTTCCAAGAAACAGTGTTTGATACCATCAAAGGTGAAATTAAGACTTTGTCACTAAGGGAGAATAACTCAATTTTACGTAACCATGACAAGATAAAGTCTCTTACATTTGCCAGAGTTATAGATGAATGGAGACAGAAAGCTCCTACTTTTTTAAAATCACTTGAAGCATCGGTATCAAACCCAGCACATCAGTTTAATAAGTATAAAAAGGGCGACGCTTTAATACCAGGCATAGTGACTGCTGGCTGTAAACTTCTGACCCTGTACAGCAAAGATTTAAATGCTTTTCAACATTTTAATAGCTATATTTTGTGGAAAGGTGGTTGCAAGAAATCTGCATTTTCTCGACTGAATGCCACATATGACTGCTTAAGCTACCAATCAACGCTAAGTTTGGCAGACAAGTTAGGGAATGACTGGGACAAGGATCTTGTTGCTATGCAAGAACTAGTAACAACTGAAACGTCACATGAATTGGTGTTACTTCAGAACATACAGATGATCAAAGAGTCCATTGATTTGGTGAATGGAGATGCCGATACAATGGTACAACGAATTCTTGAACTTTCTAACGCGGAAAATGACTTGCATCAGTACAGAGATTTAATGCACCCTGGCTTTTACTTTGTAGGAGATAATGTTGATATGCGTACAAAAGTCAGGAATATGAAAATCTATAATCAACACAAAGACCATCATATGTACCAAATATGTGCCTATGAAAACAGAATTTCAGGGAACCATCTAGACAACACCGTTGCCAAAGGAGATGCAAATACAGTGCCCTTTACTACTTTCATACCGAGTCAGTCAGAATTGGACAGTATAGCTAGTGACTTCACTTTCCTAGTAGCGAAAATATGGAGTCAGCATATTCCACATTTCAACATATTTGCACCAGTACTTCCTGAGTATATCGAACATCAGTACATGAAAGAAATGAAACAAAAAACAACAAGAGTAAGTTGATAGTTTATGTGTTATTAACAAATTAATGAAAATTTTATTGATTGTTGTTAAATATAGTCAGTGGCAAATAATCCATGCATATTACAAATAAGGACGAGGATGGAACATAAAAATTTAAATAAATTTGATCAATCTTACACGTTGGTTGACAAAGGTTTAAAAATGGTTACTTTCAAATCATGCATGTTAATTAAGTCCTCAAAAGACACTGTTTGTTAAGGTGTCCCGCATTTTTTCTCTTGGTATTTAGCAAAAGACCTATTTATTCAACATATTTTAATAAAATCACCATAACTTTAAGTTTTGTTGATATTTATGTTAAAAATCAAGCGACAGTAAATATTTAAGTTTTTTCGAAAAGATTATAACCCGTAAACATAATAACATGCTTAACTGTGCTCATTGTTGAAGGCCGTACGGTGATTTATAAATTATAGTTGTTAATTTCTGTGTCACTGTGTCATTTGGTCTCTTGTGAAGAGTTGTCTCATTGGCAATCATACCACATCTTCTTTTTTATATTAAAAAGTATTTATACAAAAGTACAAAAACATATATATGAATTATAGTTGATTGCGTTTAATGTCATGTACCTCATTTTGCTTTTAATAGATAAATATGGGAGTTTTAATGAAAAGTGAGCAATACAACGAAGATATGACAGACATTTGTGAATTTATGCACAAGTATGTACCTGGACACAATGAAACAGATGACTGGACAAAACAGCCAGAAAAAGTCTTGAGTGGAGGTGACTATTTAACTTTTGAGAGACACAAACAGGCACAGTCATCCAAACGAAATGGTCGAACTCCAACAAAAAGATTAGAGGGACTGGTGCCTAAAATGGAAGAATTTCACAACCAGGGAGAGTTGCTAAAGGTAATGTCTACAATACTCTACCTAAGAATGATAATTTGAAATAGATTATGTTGTATGTTGATATTAAATCTAAATATATTTGGTCAGAAAAACACTTTTAATTCTTTTGAGGAATGCATATTTATTTCCTTGTTAAAACCGTAATCTTTCTGATTGCTTCAATTTCAGGTCATTTGGAAGTTGCTGTACTCAACTTCATCAGCTAGAGACCAGGGAACTCTGTATGCAGCACGCAATACCATAAATGCAAGAAATGTGACCCAAGATCCGGCTGATGATTTTTATGCAGCTTCTGATCTTGTTGAGAAAGTTACCACAGCATATATTATAACAGGTGGTCTTACTCATTTTGGAATGGAAAGCATAGACTCTATACCTTGTAAACATGTTTATGATGGTGAAGTTGGGAATACAAATGACATGAAGGAATATATTTTTGATCAGGCACGCTCGTTTGTTAAGACATTCACATTGCCAGAAGTACCTAAACTTCCAAAATATGGGCCAAATTGCAATACGTATAATTGTAGATACTGTGGAAAAAAGTATAAACAACCACATTCACTCAGAAAACACGAATCCTCCATCCATGGTCATTATGACCCTCTTTTTGCTAAGGAAAAAGTTTCAAGTAGCAAAGATAAGGAAAATGAATCTGATGGTGTTAGTGCGTATACAAAGTTGGTTTTAACATTAGGTTTATTACGAATGGATCACAACGATGCAATTCATATGGGTGATGGATCAAGGATGTTGAGAATTGACCAGTTCCTTGTTTTGTACTATAAATATTGTCATTGTACAAAATACGCCTTTGGTACTTTGGAAACTATAGCCCAAACTGAAGTTTTGTTAACAGAACGCCAGGCACACAGACTGATATGGAACAGGACTGTAAACCATAGAGGGGACGTAAACACAAATCATCCTAATGATTTAGATGTAGAACATTGTAATAAGGTTTTTAAAGATTCTGCCCATAGTTACAGAGGTGTTTTTACTGAGAAAGTGGTTGCTAGAGTCAGTAAGAGTGCAATGAAAGTACATGAAATTATCAAACAGTTTGACAAAGTGTGTAATGTGCATGTTCCATCAGGACGACATAAGACATGTGACAAGGAAATAGACATTATAACATTGGTCAGACAATTCCAGGCATGTAATTTATTCGATTTCATTCCTGGCCGATCACATTATGCCTATCCAAACATAAAGGAAAATCCCCTTACAGAACTAGACATGGAGTTTGTTAGAGACTGGATTGCTGCTAGTTTAAAAAAGTTTCAAAACAAACATTTCTATTAGCAGAACTATTTTATTATTTCAAAACATTTCATCATCTGAACTGTAAATGACTTGTGGTTTTCTTGTTGACGATTCTAAAACATCACTGTCACTATCACTTGAAAACATATCATCGAGTTCGGTAATATCATTGTCATTATTATCATCACTATCATCACTGTCCTCATTAGACATAATAGCTGTGTATATATTAGGAAGGACTTGATTACAAGTGTTTGTACATACACATTCATCTTCACAACTGCATGCACATTTGCATGAGAGACGACAAATATCACAACAAAAGTGAGGTATATGTGCATGTTCAACAATTGTTTTAAATATATTTAGAATAAATGCCCGTCTACATGTTTTAGATTTAACATATTCTTTCATAGTTGGGAATATATTTTGACTTCCTAAGCATCTTTTGTAAGTTAGCAGAATAGCATTGCATTGTTGTGAAGGTTCTCTACCAGCTCGACCAGATTCTTGTACATAGTCATCAACATCATTAGCTGGACCATAATGTATAACTGTATCCACACCTTTTACATCCAGACCCATGCTAAATGATGTTGAACATAGAACAACTCTTATATTACCGTTTGGATTCATGTAGGATGTACAAATAAAATCTTTTACGTCATCATCAGTTTTCATGTGGAACATGTCAAAAAGGCGATTTCTATTATCATTTGGTCCACCCTCTTTGAAGTCAATGTAAGCATCACGTTTAAGGGATGTTTCAAGATATTCATATACGTCTGCCATGTGTTTGATTTGCCTAAAGAATATAATCATCCTTGAAGTGGCTTGCTTGTATTCTCGTAATAAATTTACTAACCATCTAAAATTGGTGCAAATATCATCTGACAGTAAATTATGTACCCAGTATGTCACATTCTTTTTGTCTGGATTTACCATAATCTCAGTGCAGTTATCCATACAAAGTTGCTTTTTAATGACAGCTTTGGTTTCCTCTGTAGCTGTTGCTGTCAGAGCCACTACTGGTACATGTCCCCCAACAAGTGAACGTATTTCGTCAAGTCGGCCATAACATGGTCTATATGCCAATTTCTTCTTCTTTTTATCTGGTAGCCCACTGAAAAAAACATTTTTTTTCAAGATTAATAAATCATATTGCAATATAAATCTGCATAGGTCTCATAATAATGCCTAAGCATTACAAAGAAGTATTTCATAAAAAAAAATATGTAAGCACCATTGAAAATATATTTATATTATCTCAATAATTGTGACATCCAACAGTCCAGTAGCAAATATTTCATACATCTTTCAGAACTTCACAATATGAGTTCAAAAGTTTTTTAATTAGGACATCATTGGCAGAATAATCTTTTGATATAGTGAATGAAATATTCAATTAAAAGTGTGATTAATTATTAAAATTAAAATTAAATGAGAATGTTTTGAATAAATAAACAATCAAAAAATTAGTGAATGTACAAATATATAAATGATGTTCTTTTGTATGCATGTACTATATTTATGATATCAATTTTAGTTCTTATGTATGCTATAGTTTATGTTAGCACAATTGAGATTATTTGTTTTACTACTTTACTATTATATGTACAAAAATAAATACTTACAACTTTTTTATGCAGTGAGCTTCATCTACAAATACTGTCTTGATAAGTTTTCTCTTTGCCAAATCCAACAGTAATTTTCTTTCGTGTCCAATAAGTGACTCTGGACTGGAGAAAATAATGTCAATTTTGCCTTCCTTCACATCTCCTAAGGAAAGATTTGTTAGGCTGTCTTCAAAATGAGATGGTGAGGTAATGTCTTTCAAATATACTGCTTTAATCCCTTTTCTATTCAATGCCTGAGTCTGTGTACGCATTAAAGATGTTAAAGGCGAAATAACAAGTACAATACACAAATCATTCTTCTGTAAATATTTGAATACAAAAGGTGCTATTTCAAAAGTTAGTGATTTACCACTTCCAGTTGGAGAACAGAAAAATACATCTTTGCCTGACAAAAAGCTTTCTACAACTTTTCTCTGGTTAATTTTGATTTCAGTAAATGACAACTTTTGTAATCCAAAATCTATTGCAGCAGATATGACATCTGTATCCATTTTGATGTTGGAATCATAAGAAAAGTGAAATTGTAATCTACTTGAGATAAAATATGGGAGAACAGCATGAGATATATACACATGACAGCCTAATTATCTATTATCAGCAGCTGTGAAATAATAACCTCTTACCGACCAGATACTGGTCGGTATAAAATGTTATTATACAAGTCCCTTTCTCCAAGGGCAATCAGTATACTGGAAGTTAACAGTAAACATATAAATTAGTAAGAAAGAAATAAAAGAAAGGGAATTGTAGCAAGTCTAGTGTACACCTTGAACAAGGGTATGTAAAACAAAACAATACAAAAGTAAAGTAGGTGTACACCTTTAACACCGGTATATACATGTCATAATAGCACACAACCTAGAATTATATAAAGCAGTTCACTGAGGGTTCTATATAAATACACATCAAAAATTAACTTTACCTCTTTTGATGGATATATTACAGAAATACCAGCTATATATTTTTCTCTAATTCTTCGTCAATTTATCCCTTTCTGCACCCATTGTATAAAAAAAATTTAATCAACGTGTGGTTCGTTTGATCTCAGTTCTTCATTGGATAAAATCCGATTATGACGTCGAATTTTCTTGCTTTCCTCTGAATTTCCTATTGTGATGGCATGAAAAAAGTCGACCATGCCTGATGACGTCACATAGAAAGAACACATCTCTTTGCAGATCATTCGAAAAGAAGGAATAAATTTGCCTGCGTATTGTTTGAAAATCATTAGAGAAACAGATTCCACCACCAAATCTCGTGCAATACGATATTTATCCACTCGACAGTTAAATTTTAAATATTTAAAACGCTCAGCGAGCCTCGCGTTTTAAATTTGAAAATTTAACTGTCTCGAGTGGATAAATATCGTATCACACTCGATGCAGTGGTAGAATCTATATGTATCCAATTGCTTCTCTCAAGCAGATCATACCAGATATAATTTAAAATCTATAAAAAATTAAATTTTCAACCTTACTGTAGATCAACAAATGGTTTACAGCCATCCTACTCTTGTGTGTGATCCTATAATTTCATTAAAAAAAATTCAGCAGATACCAGGCTTATAATTTTGTAAGCCAGATGCGCATTTCGCCCACAAAAGACTCATCAGAGACACTCAAATCTAAAAGGCCAAATAAAGTACGAAGTTGAAGAGCATTGAGGACCAAAAACTACATAAGCTGTGGTAATCTATTCCTGGGGTAGAAAATTCTTATTATTTTCCAACAAAATAGGATTTCTTGCTTTGGCTCTGATTTGATTTATTATACACAAATTTTCAACTTACTGGTAATTTTTTGTGTGTGCATTCTTACTTAAACTGCCTAAGGTTAAGTTGGAAGGAGATGTATTAAGTACTTAAGTTAGAGAATGGAAACCAAAAATTTTTCCATTTGTAAAGGAGCATAACTCTAGAAAGGTAAAAGTGAGGCCACCCAAATTCAAACTTGATCTGTGTTTTGTGGTAATAAGCATTGTGTATAAGTTTCCTAACATTTGGTTGAGGCAAACTAAAGTTAGAGAACGGAAACCAATTTTGGGACATACGGACGGACTGACTGATGTACAGAAAAGGGTAAAACTTAATCCCCCCTCCGCTATGGCGGGGGCATAAAAAAAAACACACCCTAAAAGGTGTTTCTTGGTAACTTCTGTTGAAATTGAATTGAATGTTTCCATTTGAACATGCTTAATGCAATATACAATTGTTGAAATAAAATTTCTAAATTTAAATACACAAGATTCTTTTTAATAACATAGCTCTAGGTTCAAAAATTAAAGTAAAGATCTGTTGTATAATTCAAAAAAGTCCTTTCTCCATTAAAAATGGGTACCTGTCACAAACTGTTCAATCATATCTTCATTTATTAAAATTTACCTGTGTAAAATGTTTTCTTCAATTCTCATATCAAGATATCACAAAGAACAAACAATATAAATAAGAAGATGTGGTATGAGTGCCAATGAGACAACTCTCCATCCAAGTCACAATGTATAACAAGAGGCTCATGTGAGCCTGATATCGCTCACCTGTAATTTCACTTTCAGGCATTTGACTTATTTGTACATCTTACTTTGCTGAACAATTTTGTAATTTACACTTTCTCTCTTTCTATAATAATATCAAAGATAATACATAACCCAAAACTGTAAAATTTCCTAAAAATTAACTATTTCTGGACAGTAACCCAACAATAAGTTGTCCTATTGTTCTGAAGTTTACTTGACAGGTAGATCTAAACCTGTTTAACACTTTCTTTCACCTATATCAGTTTTGCTCTTACTTCTTTAGTTTTTGAGATGAAAGCCAAAAACTTCATTTGACCCCTATGTTCTATTTTTAGAAACTGCCACCATGTTTTTGAATGGATCAAATCCCCAAATACAATCTATAAACTAGATACCCTAAGGAACATTCAATTAAAGTTTTTAAGTATTTGGCCAAGCAGTTTCAGAGAAGAAGATTTTTGAAAAAATAATTAGACTTTCACAAAAAATGAAGAAAAAAAAACGTTTTATGGGTAAAAACTCCTCAAGGGGTCAATTGACTATTTTGATCATGTTGACTAATTTGTAGATCTTACTTAGCTGAACATTTATTGCCATTTATACTTTCTCTCTATCTATTATAATATTAAAGAAAATAACCAAAAACAGTAAAATTTAATAAAAATAAACTATTTCCAACAGTAACCCAACAATGGGTTGTCGAACTTGTCTGAAAATTTCATAACAGATAGATCATGACCCATTTATCACTTTAACTCCCTTTCACTTTTGCTCTAACTTCTGTAGTTTTTGAGATATAAGCCAATTACTGCTTTTGTCCCTTATGTTCTATTTTTAGCCATGGCGGCCATGATTGTTGATGGATCAAAACTTCAGATACAATTTATAAACTAGATACCCTAAGGAACATTCAATTAAAGTTTAGAAGTATTTGGCCCAGTAGTTTCAGAGAAGAAGATTTTTGAAAAGTAATAGACTTGCAAGAAAAAATGTAAAAAATAAACGTTTCAAGGGCAATAACTCCTTAAGGAGTCAATTGACTATTTTGATCATTTGACTTTTTTGTAGATCCTTCTTAGCTGAACATTTTTGCCATATACACTTTCTCTCTATCTATTATAATATTAAAGATAATAACCCAAAAACAGTAAAATTTCATAAAAATAAACTATTTCAGACAGTAACCCTACAATGGGTGATCCAATTGGTCTGAAAATTACATAGCAGATAGATCTTGAATTATTCATCACTTTAACTCCATGTCACTTTTGCTCTAACTGCTATAGTTTTTGAGATAAAAGCCAAAAACTGCATTTTACCCCTATGTTCTATTTTTAGCCATGGCGGCCATGTTTGTTAATGGATCAAACTTCGGATACAATTTATAAACCAGTTACCCTAAGGAACATTCAGTTAAAGTTTAGAAGCATTAGGCCCAGTAGTTTCAGAGGAGAAGATTTTTAAATGTTAGCAAACATGAAGAACAAATTGAGTAAAATTGTCTTTCAAGGGTAATAACTCCTTAAGGGGTCAATTGACAATTTTGGTCATATTAGCTTTTTTGTAGATCTTACTGTGCTGAATAATTTTTACAGTTTATCTTTATCTTCAATAATATTCAAGATAATAACCCAAAACTGCAAAATTTCCTTAAAACTACCAATTTAGTGGCAGTAACCCAACAATGGGTTGTTCGATTCGTCTGAAAATTTCAGGGCTGATAGATCTTGACCTATTGATCATTTTTACCCTGTCAGATTTGCTCTAAATGCTTTAGTTTTTGAGATATAAGCCAAAAACTGCATTTGACCCCTATGTTCTATTTTTAGCCATGACAGCCATGTTTGTTAATGATCAAAACTTCAGATACAATTTATAAACTAGATACCCTAAGGAACATTTATGTAAGTTTGAAGGTATTTGGCCCAGTAGTTTCAGAGGAGAAGAGTTTAGGATGACGACGGACGCAAAGTGATGGCATAAGCACAAATGGGGCCCTTTGGGCCTGGTGAGCTAAAAAGTTAACAATTATAGGTCAAAGTTCAGCCTTCAACACAGAGCCTTGGCTCACACTGAACAGCAAGCTATAAAGGGCCCCAACAATTCAAACAAGTCTTTAAGCATCTTCATTTGTTGGTGCTTTTCTGTGCCTTCCTCCACGTTCGTAACCTCCAGTACATAAGATAAATGTAAGAACAGTTCCAATAACTGTGTACAATATGGCTGCAATACACGTCATCCCAAAAGAAAAGCTCAGATGATGATTGATATTGAAGCGGTTTAGGTAGAACATGTCTGAATTATTGTAGATTCCAGAACCAAACACAGCCACAGATATCACAAGAAATCCTCCTGAAAATAATATTATATCATTATACTATATTATCATAACAAATGTCCACGTGCTGTGTCATTTGATCTATTTTGCATGATGTATTCATTTTTTCTATAAAACACACTTCAGTGGCATAGTAGACTGAAAAGCAGAGGAGCAGCAACCAAAAGCCCCTCCCCAAAAAAAAACAAAAACAAAAACAAACCCAATAACACCTTTTCTATCAACTAAAAGTCTATTAGTTTCATCCATATATATATACCGGTATATACTGTAAATTTAGAAATTATCATTGCAAAATAAAATTGAAGACAAAAACCACCTCACATGGCATTCACTCTCACTAAATTATACAATGGAAAGATAAACTTTGAGACAAATTTATCAAAAGTTTATTTAAACTTCAAAACTATTATTAATAATGATAGTGTGAAATCAAAATTATTATTCAAAAGTGGGTCTTTTCAAATACTAAAGATGAGTTCTTTTAATTCTGAATTATCTAAAGTCAGAAATAATGTACTTTAAATTCAGAATTTTTTGCGATGTTTATAGTTTGGTGAAATTGCAGAAAGATGATCTTACATGCACTTAATTTGCATATAACCTTTTGATATTATAGTTGCCAGTCATATATTTATGTATTTAATACAATGTTTTTGTATTTAGCCTTTAACGATTGTTATAATTGGTTTTGTGCTAATACAGTACAATTATTATCTATTGTCTACTGCCTTATAAAGATCTTTTCTGTTTTACATGGATTAGTTTATTAGTTTGAATAAAGAGTTCTCTTCAGGGCTTTTCTTTTTTGTCCTGAAATGACCAAATTAAATATGTTAAAACTACTCGCGTCTGTAATATGAAAATAAGACAAAACCAAGTGGGTCAAAAGTCGTAAATAAAATTTTCAGGCATAAAATATATATATCTCAAAAACTTTTGTACCAAATGATTATCCTGGGTACTGCATTTGTCCATACCATTATATCTTAAGAATAAGACATTTGAATTCCTATATCTGACATGGTTGTATCTGTATTCTACAGGCTTAAGATTCAAGAGCTCACATTGCAAACTAAGTACGCTGGGCGCTGTATCCACAGCATAATGTGTCATTATTACATCTTGGTACATCTTGTAAATATCAATAAAATGCTCCGCAGGGCGCAGCTTGATACGACCGCAGAGGTCGAACCCTGAACAGTTGGGGCAAGTATGGACACAACATTCAAGCTTGATACAGCTCTGAATTTGGATTGTGATTAAATATTTGACACAGCATAGGTTTCTGACACAGAATGAATGTGGTGTAAGAACTTAAAAATTTTAAATTGGACATTCACCTTTTATGGTCCAATATCCAAAATCTAAATACATGGTTAGATTCAGCATATCAAAGAACCCCAAGAATTAAATTTTGATGAAATCAAACAAAGTTTAATTTTGGACCCTTTTGACCTCAATGTGGACAAAGTTGATAACGGGGCCCAAAAATCAAAAATCTAAATACATGGTTAGATTCAGCATATCAAAGAACCCCATATATTCAATTTTTGTTGAAATCAAACAAAGTTTAATTTTGGACCCCGATTTGGACCAACTTGAAAACTGGGCCCATAATCAAAAATCTAAATACATGTTTAGATTCAGCATATCAAAGAACCCTAAAAATTAAATTTTTGTTAAAATCAAACTAAGTTTAATTTTGGACCCTTTGGACCTTAATGTAGACCAATTTGAAAACGGAACCAAAAATTAAGAATCTAAATACACGGTTAGATTCGGCATATCAAAGAACCCCAATAATTCAATTTTTGATGAAATCAAACAAAGTTAAATTTTGGACCCTTTGGACCTCAATGTGGACCAATTTAAAAATGGGGCCCAAAATCCAAAAACTTAATACACGGTTAGATTCAGCATATTAAAGAACCCCAAGAATTCAAGAATAAAACCCCATTGAAATTGATCAAGAAATAAGCAATTTATACGAAGTATCTTCTTTTGCACAATACTGTGCAATTGAATATTTCTTGCTATTGCGCAATACTGTACAATTGACAATTTCTTGCTATTGCGCAATATTGTGCTATTGGATATTTCTTGCTATTGCGCAATACTGTGCAATTGAAGATTTCTTGCTATTGCGCAATACTGTGCAATTGAAGATTTCTTGCTATTGTGCAATACTGTGCAATTGAAAATTTCTTGCTATTGCACAATACTTATTATATAATAATTTACACATCCTGTTTGGTGTGTATCTCCTACCATATCATTATTATTTGCTTTTAAATATTAATCAGAAATAACCAACTTAAAATGGAAAATTTTAAAAGAAAAAAAAAAGGAAAAAAAAAAAAAAAAAGAAAAACAAAAAATCCCCCCTCCCAAATTTTTTGAACCCCCTTATGATTCATCACCCCCAAACTCAATACCAGCCTTCCCTTTGTGGTATGGTACCTTGCAGTACAATTTCAGAGAGATCCATACACTTGAACACAAGTTATTGTCTGGAAACTAGAAAAATGCTTATTTTTGGCCCCTTTTTGGCCCCCAATTCCTAAACGTTTCGGGCAATTACCCCCAAACTCAATTCCAGCTTTCCCTTTGTGATATGGAACCTTGTAGTACAATTTCAGAAATATCCAAACACTTACACACAAGTTATTGTCATGAAACTAGAAAAATGCTTGTTTTTGCCCCTTTTTTGGCCCCTAATTCCTAAAATTTTGAGGCAATTACCCCCAAAATCAATTACAGCCTTCCCTTTGTGATATGGAACCTTGTGGTACAATGTCAGAGAGATCCATACACTTACACACAAGTTATTGTCTGAAAGTTACAAAAATGCTTATTTTTGGCCCCTAATTCCTTAACTGTTGGTACCATAACCCCCAAAATCAATCCCAACCTTCCTTTCGTGGTATTGAACCTTATGGTAAAATTTCATGGAGATCCATTCACTTAAACTAAAGTTAGAGTGCGAAAACCAATGTGTCTTCGGACGACGCCGGACGACGCCAGAAAACGACGCCAACGACGATGACGCCAACGTCATACGACCAAAAAATTTTTAATTTTTGCGGTCGTATAAAAATTACATACCAGTTACAAAGCATCCGATTACAGTTAGACCTTGACATAGACTGGTTCCTGTTCCTCTACATATAAACAAGAGCAGCATAATCGTCACAAAAACAGCACTAACAAACCCTATAGATGCAAGTACTCGTGTTGCTATCCAGTAAGCTACAAATAACAAAGTAAATTTGTAATTTCCTGTTTGATCATGTACCTGACTTTTGGCACCGAGACATGTCTCACTTGTATGGTATTTGATAGAAAAATTGGGAACCCTGTGTCTTGCCTGCAATTGCTGCTGTCAATGTAAAAGTGTAATGTTGGCTGTAAAAAGAGAGTCCATTTATCAGTAAAAAATACAGAATGTAAAAAAAAATGAGTCCATTTATCAGTGAAAAATACAGAATTTTAAAAAAAATCAAATTTTTTCTCAGATGCTATTTCTTGATCTTAAAGAAGTTTATGTCCAAGTTTCATAACAAATTATAATCCATGAATGTTTACAAACTTGTCATATCAAAAGACAGTCTGTAAATGTTTTCTGCAAAAATCTAAGTCCATCAGTAATATAGAAAAATGAAAGAATTCAAAATTTGGCTTCAGATATTATCTGCCAAAGTTTCATAAAATTCTATGGAGGTTTGACAAATTAATTTATGTGTAAGGGCAAAGTTTAACCCTAGACTGTATCTGTTTGTTATTAACTGCAAAAAAGTAAGTCCTTTTATCAGTAAAATACGGAAAAATGGAGAAAAAAAATATTTTCATTACTTTGCTCTGGATACTGTCTTTTGATAAAGGTGTCAGACCACCAATTACTCCCTCTAATTTAGAATGTATGTAAAAGTAGCCCTACTCTGACACAAAATAGTGCTTTTGATGTCCTTGTTTACTTAAACTAACCAACAAATTTGCAGAAATGAAACTTTTGGTGAAAGAGAAATATATTTAGACCATTTTGAGCCAAAATTTACTTGTCTATGAGTTTGCATTAAAAATTGAGGATTAATGCGCTCCATAGTATACTAATTTAAGATTTCCAGAAAACCAGGGGTTATTTTTGGAGTACCTCTTTTTGAAGGTCAGTTTTTTTGTTAGAAGGCTTTAAAGGTATGTTGAAAATTGGCATGCAGAAAGCTGATACATGTACAATTCAGGATATGCCTGATTTCTATGAAGTTAAACTTAAGGTAAAATATTTAGAAAGCTGTGAAAATTGCAAAATTTGGTTGAACAGATAGGGATATTTAATTGGTGGTCTGACACCTAAAAAAATTGAAATCCTGATACAAAAAAATAGATTTTTTGATATCAGAAAATATTTTTTGGTATCAAAAAATATTTCTTGATATTAGGAATTCAATTTTTTTATATCAAAAATTCCTTTTAATGATATTAAAAAATTCAATTTCTTGATATCAGAAAATTATCTATATTTCTTGATATCAAAAATTCGATTTTTTTATATCAAAAAATCCATTTTATGATATAAAAAAATAGATTTTCTGATATCAAGTAATACTGACGATTTTTTTATATTTCTGATATATATCAAAAAATAATTTTTTAATATAAAAATTTTTAATTCCTGATATCAGAAAATAAGAAAAAAACTAGACAAATTGATGCCCCTCACTCCACTCTGAAGTAACTGTATTATTACAAAGTCAATGTAGGACTCTCTTTGAGATATTATTGTGTCTGGGAGACACAAATGATGCCCCTGGCTGCAGATGCAAAGTGTTATTTTAAAATACACAAATTGGAGAATGGGAGCACATAGGTCTATGGTTCACTGTAGGAGGAGTTATCTGGAAACACTATGCACCTCTTTGCATAAGAGTATATATACTCCAAAAATGACAAAGTTCAACTATCTCCCAAAAGAGCAAATATTAATAAAAATCAAAACCCTGACCACATGCACACCTTCAATATATGTACAAACAGCCAGCAAAGTGAAAACTTCCTAGCATTCAAACTGTAGAAGGAGTGATCTGGAAATGCTATGCACCTCTTATGCAAGTAAATACCCCAAAAAATGACAAAGTTGAACTATCTCCCAAAAGAGCAAATATCAATAAAATCAAAACCATGACCACATGCACACCTTCAATATATGTACAAACAGCCAGCAAAGGGAAAACTTCCTAGCATTCAAACTGTAGGAGGAGTTATCTGGAATAACTATATACCCATAATGGGACAGACAGACGAAAGGATGGACAGACAGTAGGACTGACAGACGGACAGGGGTAAAACAATATAACTTTTAGTTGCGGGGGCATAATGAATGATGGCTCCCTGTGTCAATAAAGCATCCAAGCTCACCCATGAGCCCTAACATTAGGTCTGGTGTTTCGGTCGTGTTTAAGGAAAGAATATCTCAGAGTTCGGCTTCATCAGTCATACAAAGTTTTGTGTTCTTAACTGTGTTTCACATATTAATTATTTCAAGGTTTATAGTCAATAATTCTTGTAAGTTCCCGTTTCTTTTATAAGGAATAATTGGCTTCCTCTCAAACAGATGTGTGCAGCCAGGATTTTGTGAAATTAAGCTCTAATGTTTTGGTAATCTTGTTTTTAGTTTTTTTTTTCCTGTTGTTTATGTTGCGGATATAGTAATTTAGTTAGTTCCGCTTAATATAAAAATAAGGAGATGTGGTATGATTGCCAATGAGACAACTATCCACCAAAGTTCAAATGATGTGGATGTAAGCAATTATAGGCAACCATACGGCCTTCAACAATGAGAAAATCCTATACCGTATAGACGGCCATAAAAGGCCCTGACATGAAAAATATGAAACAATTCAATTGAGAAAACTAACGGCCTAATTTATAACAAAACAATTTACGAAAACAAATATGACAGACATGAACCAACAACAACCACTAAACTACAGGCTCCTGACTTGGGAGACAGGCACATAAAGAATGTGGCGGGATTAAACATGTTTGAGCGCTCAACCCTCCCCCTAACCTGGGACACTGGTGTTACAGCACAACATAAGAACAAGCTATAAAAATCAGTTGAAAAGGGCTTAACTCATCAGATCGATACTAAGAAGCAAAACATTTAACAAAAACACAGACCGGACGTGGCAGGGTATTTATACATCCGTAACAACAACAAAAAGACACGAAGTATAGATCTAAGAGTACTCACAGTTACTGACAGCTAGTTCAAAGCCAATAACAACTGATAAAAAAATTGCATGTCTTGTATTTTCAAATACTTTATCTATTTTGTCTTTTTAAGAGATGTTTTTTGAAAGACTGTGAGTATTTCTTATGTACTGTGCCTTGCATAAGTCATTTAAATACATTTATTTGATATGAGCTTTTTCAGTGAAGTATTGAAAAGTTTCAATAGGTTTGATGTACCTTCATTTTGGAAGCGTTTGTCTTTGAATTAAAATGACTGTCAAGAAAGTTCACTTCATTTTGAGAAAATTGGTATGTAAAATTTAGGTGGGTATGTATTGTATTAGATATATATATATACTGTAAATTCAGAAATTATTGCGATTTTTTTATTATTGCGAAAAATGCGACAGGGTTATAATCGCAATAATTTAAACTCGCATTTTAAAATTTTTGATATGAATTTAACAGGATTTTTCTCAATATCGCAAAAATTACAAATGCATTTTAGTCTAAAAAGACAAAATCGCAATAATAAATGCACACAATAATTTCTGAATTTACAGTAAGGCGAAAAGATTGTGTATTACGTCAGTTGAACCTGAATATATCATCCAGCCAAAAGCTACAGGCATTGATCAGATCAGTCCTCGCATACTTAAACTATCATCAGAAGTTATTTCACCGTCAATAGCTTATATTATAAATAGGAGTATCACTGCTGGTATATTTCCTTCTGAGCTTAAAAATGCCCGTGTCATGCCAAGTCATAAAAAAGGTCCTAAAGATACTGTCGACAACTATAGACCAATATCTATTTTGCCTACTCTTTCAAAGATTTTTGAAAAGCATGTCTGCAAACACCTATACCGATACCTATTTAAATATAAGCTCCTTCATGCAAGTCAGTCTGGATTTAGAAGCCACCACTCTTGTCACACTGCTTTACTAAAACTTATTGATCAGTGGTTGAAAGCCATTGATGATGGAGAAATTATAGGTATTATCTTCCTAGATTTTAAAAAAGCATTTGATCTGGTAGATCACATTATCCTTCTTCAAAAACTGCAGTGCTACAAAATTTCAAATTTATCATGTAACTGGTTTAAATCATATCTATCTCATAGATTCCAACAAGTTGAAAATGGGACAATCAAGTCAAGGGCACTAGAAATAAAATCTGGAGTACCTCAGGGCTCCATATTAGACCCCCTTTTATTTTTATTGTTCATTAATGATTTGCCCCTTCATATAACCTCATCTCAAGCAGACCTCTATGCAGATGATACTACCATTCACTGCACAGGTCGTAGTCTCAATACCATCCAGGACAGCATTACAAATGATTTAGACAGAATTGAAGAATGGTGCAAGGGAAATAAGATGTATATAAATCCAACAAAAACTACATCTATGGTTATTGGTTCTAGACAGAAACTAGCAAAAACAGACCATGTTCTTAATTTGACTGTTGGTAACTCCCACATTAGAGATGTTAATGGCGAAAAGCTCCTAGGGGTTTTTATTGATGAAAATCTTGAGTGGACAGCCCAAATTGACACTTTGTGCACAAAAATCAGTACCAGGCTAAATCTTTTGTCTAGGATAAAGAAATCCCTCCCCCTGGAAACACAAAAGTTATACTTTAATGGTTATATTCTCCCTATTTTGGATTACTGTTGTACAATTTGGGGAAACACCAGTGACCAAAATACAAATAGATGAGTTAAATTTCAAAAACGAGCAGCTAGAATTATTCTTGAACTTCCTTATGATACCCCATCTAATACAATGTTTAAAAAGTTATCATGGCTTCGATTTACTGATCGTGTAATTTACCACAAGGCCTTATATGTTCATAAATGTTTATATGGATCTGTCCCAGAATATTTGTCTAACAAAATCTCCTATGTTACAAATAAAAATGGAATGCAACTTAGATCAAATACTACCCAATTACTTAATATACCAAAGGCAAGAACAAACACATTTAGAAGATCTTTTTCATATTCTGGCCCAACTTTATGGAATAAACTACCAGAAGCACTAAGACACATGTCAAACATAAATACTTTTAAAACAAACTGCTTTAAGTTTTTACTTGAAAATCCAGGAATTATTTAAATGATTATGTATCAATTTTGATTACGTTTTCTTATGTTTATCTTTGTTATGAAGAAATTGTGTGATGCATTGTGAGTGGAGTGTGAGGGCCTCAAGGGAGAATAGTGTTTGTACTAATTGAGCATACCCTCTTGAAATAAAGATTATTATTATATAAATCTTGAACACATCAGTATTTTGTTTCGACGTGTCAAGTTTTGTAAAACATTTTCCAGTATTTAGTAAATTCTTTGGTCGTCTAATTTCGTCGATTGGGATTCTAAGTGTTCGATGCAAACGTAAGGATGTTATATTTAAGAATAATTTCTAAAAGCTTGTCTTTTGGTGCATGGCACTCTAATTTCGTAATAAGTTTGATCAAGGATAGTCAGTGCTTGTTCAGTTTCTTCAAAGGGACTCGAATTTCGTAATTAGTTTGATCGAGGATATTCAGTGCTTGTTCAGTTTCTTCAAACTGAAGATTAGTGTACATGATTTTTGCTTCTGTTATTAAATAGCAGTTTTCTGGAGACTTTGAAGTCTAAATCATGTTTATAAAATTTGAAATGATATAAGTATTTTGTTTTTGTAACAAGGGATGCTATGTCATCAATATAATGACCAATATCGTGTAGCGATACTCCACATTATAAAACAATTGGTCTACCGGGAAGTTCGGGAACATTATTTGCATATATTTCCTGATGTTGGGCTCATGGGTGAGCTTGGATGCTTTTATTGAGACACAGGGAGCCATCATTCATTTTTTCTCATTTTCTGATATCAAAAATTTTGATATCACAAAATCATTTTTTGATATCAGGAAATCTATTTCTTCATAAAAAAAAATAAAGAATATTTTCTGATATCAAAAATTTGAATTTCTGATATCAAAAAATTGAATTCCTGATATCAAAAAATGAATTTTTGATATCAATAATATCAAATGAATTTTTGATATATCAAAAAATATTTTTTATTTTTATATATCAAGAAGTCAATTTCCTGATATAAAAAAATAAGGAATTAATCGTAAAATGGCGCCTCATAAAACTGCAGATGTACATCATGATAATATCTGGGACTTATACAGTGAACATTTATTTATCTGTAAGTCCCAGATTGTATTTGTTTTTTTATAGAACATGTAGGAGACAGTTACATGTATGCCAAATAAAAGTATAAGTGTGGTTCCAGTTACATCCTGAAAAAAAATAGGGTCGGTAGGTTGGCAATTTTTTTTGTTTTTTTAAAATGACCCTATTAATATACTCAACACAGTAGTGCTCTCTTAAATGCCGGTCATGATCCTCCGAGAATTCTCCAAGAAACCATGAAGGGGGCCTACTGGTTAGAGAAAGTAACTGAAATTTTGCAGTCTTATATATAGGACAATCATCCACCCTATACATTTCAGAATCACTTCAAATTTAACAGAAGTTGAAAGTTTGATGAATACCCTTCAGATATACTACAATTTTAAGCATCTTTACATAATTTTCATCTCGGTACAAAATCCCATTTAAAAGATGGTAGATCATGTAGATTTATTTAGGGACTTCATTCGTGGGTACTGGAAGTTTCCTGTAACTGGGATCCTATTCCATATGTTTGGTTGTAAAATAATCAGATACGTTACATTTTTAGTTAATTTTGTTGCATTCTGTTAAGAATTTGTTGCATTTTAGCTGTAGTGGATATTTCTAATGGAACTTCAGATGACAGAAGTCTGTGAATTTAATTATTGATATGATTGAAATTCACATTCCACAAAAATGGGATCGTTCGAAAATTATTTTTCAGAAATGGAAAAAAAAAGTTCTAGGGTAGGGGTGGGTTTAAACTAGGGTCGGTCGGGTAACTGGAACCACACATATTCATATACTTTTATTTGGCCTTATAAAAAAGATGGTTAATAGACAAATAGCCATAATTCCAGACATTTTTGCAAAATCTGAAAAATTTCTCCTAAGAAAAAAATGAAAATTGCATACATGTATCTTCCATAAGAGGTGGGAGTGATACAGACTATTTTTATGTATTTCTGGAATAGCCCAATATAGTTAGTCTTACCAAAAATCTTCTTTACTTTTTCATATGAATCTTTCTCCCATTGATACTGGTATTTTTTTTCGGATCCTAACTTAGCAATTAATCCTAAGTCAATACAACCATTACCACCTAAGCACCATTGCCAAAGCCCTAAGTAATGATTTGTTTCAAGCAAATCAATTTCCAATTTGCTTGGTTTATTGTAAATCTTGGCAGAAAAATCTTCAGGTACACTGACAGTCAGCCAGAAAGGTGTGGCAAATCCAAGGACAAGCGATAATGTTGCAACAAATGTTAAAACGAATAGACATTTGTTTAAAAATGTAAGGTTTTTCCAACTTTCAAAACGCGCCATGGCGATTTAATTAGGGGACATTTACATGTGGGGAAAGAAACAGTTTATTCCTAGCTCACTTCTTTTGAACAACAATCCATCAATATATGGTGGTAAAATCCCTCATGAATGGAAACAGACGAATATCTGCCCTCTTCCTAATTTTTCACAAAAGTAAAGGCTGTTAACCTACTTTTTAAAGATTTTTTGTCTATATTGAAATCTAAATAGAAAAAAAAGACATCATGATGGGGTATCCATGCAATCACCGACATAAAATTAGTACGTGCACAGCAAAATACACACAAAAAGCAAAGGGACATCGCTTTTATTGCTGTTCTTCAATTCATAGTGAGGCCTTCAACACAAAAGTTTACTTCTTATTTTATACAGGAATCTGTCGGTTAGATGTATGAAATGAACAATGTGTGATTATTTCTCACACAAAAATATGTTTAATGCTAGCGCTTTATTAACTGAGTTGCAGATTTTGAATGCCAAGGCTACAAACATCATTTTAAAGTTTCGTGTTTGTCATGGGATCCCAAGTTTTTTTTTACAGTGATGTTGTTCATAGAGCCTGCAGTAAACTTTGATACAATCCGTGTAAACCTTGATCCTTTGAATCATGTAAAATTATTCTAAAAGGTTATCAATTTGACGTGTCATAAAATCTTTGAATAGTGTTTTTATCGGTACAAAAATTGATTTTGTTATTTAAGGAATGACTGTAATATTTTTTCTGTCTATGAAGAAATAACATCAAAAATGTGGTGCACACTGAATAAAAAAGTAAAAAAGGGCATGGCGTCGCGCCATTCTAAATTGCTTTAGATAAAACACTAGTGTAGTAGGTTTACACATTTAATACCGGTATACATGTCATATACCTGAATATCACACAACAATAGAATTATATAGTAGGTGTAACCTTTCACACAAGTATATATATATATATATATATGTCATAATATCACACAACTTAGAATTGTATAAAGCACGTATACATGTCAACTGACCCGTATTCTGCGGATTATACCCGTCGCCTATCACCCGGGATTTTTTAGATACCCACCGGGTCGTTAAATAACCCCGGAATTCAGCATTTGGCCCGTTTTCATCCGTATTCTTGTGCATCAAGACTTTTAAGTATGAAATGATCGATTAATAAGTGATTTTCCTCTGAAATACCGGCAAATTCGTAATTCTTCCTGGACAGGAAGTTCAACTAACTATGCTAACTGTCAGATTAAGTTACCAATTAAGTGCTTGACAGCTTTGGTGTCATACACACTGTTAAATAACACCAATGACCTTATAGCCTAAGGTCATAAATAATTTTTGTATTTCAAAGATGTTTGACAAAAAAATTCGACTTACTCCCCCTTTTTTGCCACTTTTCACAGTATACTCCTTAAAATTATGTTTCTTTGTAAAAAGATTAAATCTTCTAAGGCAAATTGAATGCAAAGATATATAAGTATATCACTTAAATGAATTTTAATTTCTAAGGACAATTAAGAAATTAATATTTTGAAAATTAGTTTTTTATTCTTTACTTCCTTTAAATGCTGAAATTTTAAATTATACTATATAACATAAACTGCTAATAATTGGAAACTGACCGTGCGAGACCCAGATGGGTAGTCAAGGTAGTTGAATACCCCCTAGTAATAATTGGAATAAAGAGTAGAGCTATGGAGTATTACTTACTAATTGTTGTAACAAACCGTGATACAAAGAGGTTAATGGTTGTTTTAAAACAGTTTAGACTGAAACATTAAGAGGGAATAAGGCTTGAATTGATAAAGTATAATAAATTGATATTTCAATGATTAATAAATGCAATGAAACAATTAAATTAAAGTTTTATATTATTTTCAGTAAATACTTAACCATGTGAACATGTTTTGGAAATTGTTCGCTTTAAAATATAAAAAAATGTCCCCTACAAACTTAAATTCACCTAAAAAAGTTTGTACGCGTCATGACCTGAGAGTTTCAAAGCAGATCATGACCTGCATTTTCATTTTCAAAGGTTAACAGGTATGAAAGCAGTTCACTGAGGATTCTATATAAATACACATCAAATAATTAACAGTAACATAATCTCTTTTGATGGATATATTACAGTAATACCAGCTATATCCATATATTTTTATCCAATTGTTTCTCTCAAGTAGATTTTATTTGATGTAATTTAAAATCTAACAAAAATTAAATTTCAACCTTACTGTAGATCAACAAATGATTTACAGCCATCCAACTCTTGTGTTTGATCCTATAATTTCATTAAAAAATCTCACCAAAGATACCAGGCTTTTAATTTTGTAAGCCAGACACGCTTTTTGTCTAAACAAGACACATCAGTGACACTGGAATCAAAAAATCTAAAAGCCAAATAAAGTAAGAAGTTGAAGATCTAGAACATTAAAGAATTCCGAAAGGGTTTGCCAAATACAGCATAGATAATTTTTTCTAGGGTAGAAAATCCTAAGTATTTCGAAAAAAAAGTATTTCTTGCTTTGGCATTGATTTGATTTGTTATACACAAATTTTCAACTTACTGGTATTTTTTTGCCATAATTTTTTTTTATTTTTGGGAGTAAAATTGAGAATGGAAATGGGGAATATGTCAAAGAGACAACAACCCGACCAAAGAGCATATTTTACTGAAACTGCCTATGGTTAAGTTGAAAGCAGATATATTAAGTTCTGTTTTAAAGAACAGTTAGTATTAATCATTTCACACACTATTTTTCTTGGACTTTACTTAGGTTAATCTAAAACACATTTTTATTATATTTACTTTGAACAAAATAAATTCTCTGAAAGTAAAAAAGCAGCACAACTTCAGGAAGAATTTGTACAAGTTTCGTTGAATTCTGTTAAACTGTTTTCAAAAAGATGCATATCAACAGTGATCAAACAAAGATGACTCAAAAACAAATCATGTATAAATCAGACGAAGAAGAGGTAAAATTGTCAACATGAAAAATGAAGTAATATTTTGTAGAAGAGGTAATTTTCAATGCCAAAAAATACTTTTTAATACAATAGTCAATAGACAATACATCATTATTTATTAGCAAAACCACAATTATAACGACGTTAAAGGCTAAATATAGGTAGATTGTGTTTAAATACATTAAATATATGACAACTGTATATTAAGAGATTGTACACAAGAACGTGCATGCAGTAAAATAAAAAATAACAAGAATGCACACCTTGTTGTTTTAAGCATACCACCACTCATGATTAAAAGTATCTGAAAAATGGAAGTATGTATCTGACATATTATCCGAAAAAAAGTTACAACTCATTACTGATAAGCTGCTGACTAAATATGAAGTCATTCGGGTTAGAAATACTTAAGAAAAGTATGGCAAATACTATGTTAGTTCATTCAACATATTAAAAATTTCAAAGTATCCGAAAACAGTAAGTAAGTGTCCAACAGATCCCCAAAATAGTCACACGTTAAAATTCATCACTGTCAAGCTGCTGGCTGCTGCTTTCAGAGAGGGGGTATACTAATATTACTATTATTTTGATACATTTGTCACTCTTAGAAATATATACTGTAAAATCTGAAATTATTGCGAGTTTTTTATTAATGCAAAAAATGCAACTACTTTAGTATCGCAATAATATAAGAACTTACATTCTGGTATCTGATTTATATATCTGTTAGTAGCTTTTCCAAAAAATCGCAATAATTAACCTTGCATCTGTTTTCATTCTTTAAAAATCGCAATAAATATTGCATGCAATAATTTATGAAATCTGGTGCAGTACATCAAGTGGATAATATTTTTACTATTTTGTCAAATATGTTCAAACCTTTACAATTCAAATAACAAACTTGATTGAGACCTTTTACAAATGTGGTCTGGAAATTAAAAGTTTAACAAAAGCTCTAGTTCTAAAGCTACACAAGCAATGGTTACATTATTTATTAAAAAAAAATAATAAAAAACATCCTTAAAGGTGTTTCTTGGCATCTTTGGTTGAAATTGAAGTGAATGTTTTCATTTGAACATGCTTAATGCAATATATAATTGTTGAAACAAAATATCTAAATATAAATAAGCAAGATTCTTTTAAAAAATGAAAACAACACGTTATTAATTTAATGCGTCCGAAGCGCTTTTCTGGATTTACCTTCATCATAGCTCTAGGTTTTATAATTAAAGAAAAGATGTATTGTAAAATTTAAAAAGGCCCTTTCTCCCCTAAAAATTGGTATCTGTCACAACCTGCAATATGTTTTATAATTATGGATGACCTGTTCATTCATATGTTCATTTATTAAAATTTAACCGTGTAAAATGTATTCCTCAATTCTCATATCAAGGTACCATAAAGAACAAACAAGTCTTTAAGCATCTTCATTTGTTGATGCTTTTCTGTCCCTTCCTCTACATCCAGTACATAAGATAAATGTAAGAACAGTTCCAATTACTATGTACAATATGGCTGCGATACACGTCATCCAAAAAGAAAAGCTGAGATAATGACTGACATCGGAACGGTTTAAGTAGAACATGTCTGAATCTTTGTAGATTCCAGAACCAAACACAGCCACAGATATCACAAGAAATCCTCCTGAAAATGATATTATATTATTTTACGATATTATCATAACAAATGTCCACATGCTGTGTCATTTGATCTATTTTCCAAACTGTATGCATTTTTTCTATAGAACACAGCGTCTTAGGAGTAGACTGAAAAGCAGAGAAGCAACCTATCAAAAGTGAAAAAAACCAATAACCCCTATTCTATCAAATATCGGTCTATAAGTGAATTGCCAAGTTTCATCCATATATATTTACATATACTGTAAATTTAGAAATTATTATTGCAAAATTAAATTGAAGACAAAAACCACTTCACATGGCATTGACAAAGATATACAATGCAAAGATAAACTTTGAGACATATGTATCAAAAAGAGAGGTGAAAGATACCAAAGGGACATTCAAACTCATAAGTCGAAAATAAACTGACAATGCCATGGCTAAA